GGCTTCCCGTCCGCTCAGCCGTACTCAAGCCACACGCCGGGAGGTTAGTAGTTGGGTGGGTGACCACCAGCGAATCCCTTCTGTTGTATGTTTTTGTCTGGTGTTTTTTTATATGTTTGAATACAGGCTGTGCATGTCGCAGTCGCTATACAGACAGGCTGCTCAATGAAGGACGGCAAGTAGTTCTTGGCTTCTTACTTAATGAAAAGTCACACGTTTCCTGTGCAATAACCATGAAACACTAATTTCAGGCCATCGAGCTGGATCTCATCCAGACTGTCCTCGCTCAAGGGCCATGCCGTTGCAACAATCAAAACATTGTTGGCTCGTACGTTTGTGATGCGGCCAGATGGAGTATGGAGTAGACATTAGGCCCTTGCTCTGAGCGAGTGTTGGCCGCCACTGAAAGTGGCCAAAGCTACCCGCAGTCATAGTGATAGTCCCCTACAGACACAGGAGCATGGGCCTTAGAGATAGGGCTACCTCGTCCTTGGCAATGCGCGGGCTAGATATTGAAGCGTTCAAAGCATATCATCGTCGCCACCTGAACGGCATGGAGACATCCGCCTGTTTCGCGATAGAACAACGGATATTACACAACCAACCAATATGATAAAGCGCGAGCTTCGATTTTCGGTCGGGTTAGCGACAATTATTAATTGGCTCGGCCGCCAACAAATCCCGTGCGGATAATATGCTCTGCCTAATCTCTTAGAGCTATCTCGCGCGTCCAGGTGTCGGATGGAATTTCTCAAGCAGGGGCTTGAAGCCGTTGCGGCTGGCGAAGTCACAGGTATGAAACGACATAATTCATGGCGAAGTTTCAACTTGATCTTTCAACTTACTTTCCATGTTCTTCACGAGACTGGCGATATGACGTACATGCGGCTAGCGACTTCCGAGTATTGTATCTAAAGTAGATATTCTCATATCTCATCGCCTCTACCGCCCTTGTTGCGCGTCAAATAATGAATGATCAGGGCTCCCTTCATAGGTCATATGTGTGGAATGAAACAGAATGAGGTATCAAAGCGCACCGTTTTTAAGATCCAATCTGTATCATAGTATAGATTCATGGAGCCAACACAGATGATCCAGATTACTTATAATGAGAAGTAGGAGTTCCTCAAATTGAACCGAAATATATTGCCGAGATTCCGTGGCTGAGCGCGATCGGCCATTCCTCGACCTGTGATGTAGAACCAAAGCCAATGTAGAATGGGACAGGACTAGTTCTAAATATGTTAATGATTTGGGAAATTGGCATAGGCGACAGACGATTGGCAAAAGAGCGGCAGTATACGGGTGGAAAAATGTCTGAAACATTGAAACTTCTGCTATATAACGTTTGAAAGAAATGCGTCATATGAATAAGCTCGACTGGCCCAGTGGTTAAGGCGTCTGTCTTACATTGCCCTGCAATAAAAACACAGAAGGTCCTCGGTTCGATCCCGAGGTTGAGCATTCCTCTTTTTGACACTGGTAATCGAAGGTCTATTGACCATCCATCATTGTTTTTTCTCATCTGCGAATCCTCCTTTCTTGTAGACTGGGATGACAATGCGCATAAAGCATGCCGCCTTATGACCCTTACAAAATATATATCCGGGCGACTCGGCTCAGCCAGGTGCCTGGTAATGCAAATCCGATGTAAATTGAGGTTATACAACACGCCAGGTACTCCCGATCGGGAAATTCGTACGGTACCTTGGGCTAGTGTTTAAAAAGCTCTAGATTTTGCCCGAACACGCTATAAAGCTTAGAGCCCTTTAACGTATCAACATAAGCGAGCTAATTCGTAACCATTTTTCTAACAGTCGTTTCCTTGGGCGAATAATTGGAGCATCATTGTAAACCACGGGTTTGGTCCAGGCAGGTTAAGAAGGGAGAACGGAACTTCAAAAAAGGTCATATTGGCTTGCAATATTCCCGCGTGGACGAATACAAAACATATATCTCGTATTGAACCCTTAGCCCGCCGTTCCCTGCGTAGTCTCGTCCTCATCGCCATAGTAACTCTCTTTTTCCTGCGTTCAATTCTCAGTTTACCAACCAGTCTCTTCATCCAAGACAGAGCTTCACCAGGTCTGATGTAAAGACCGGAAAATTGCAAGATCGTCCCGTTTATTGGCGAGAGGCTTCTTATTCCAGCCCAGCCCCAGCTCTCGCCATGGCATGCGACCATCCGTGCGGTGAGCACAGTTCAGCAGATTTTGGGCAGGGTAAGTGGGTTCAGATGAATCTGAGGTATCAAGAAGATGTCCATAACAGTTGCATAAACGCTCTGAAGGCGCGAATACGAAGAATCCGACAATAATGTAGTTGTTCGCAACGTAGAAGCCCCTATCAGGATCGGGAGGCAGGAACATTCAACCCAGCGGCCGTGGATGGCGACTACGAAGCCTTGCGCGTGATATACGAAAAAATGACTCGCCGTGGTGAATCAGATCGGCTAGCGAGCCATCCGAGCCTTTGTCTACAAGAAATGAGTGGCAGGGTCCTGAATCATTATACGCCCATCAATAGGTTCGATGGGTGATATCCTTTATTGTTACTCTTTCTTTTATTGTTTGATTCTGGCGATCTGGACCACCCAGTTCAGGCGCATGGCTCAACAACTTGAGGACCGACCGCACACCGAACTCTGAACACTGAGCACCATTTCAGTTTGGTTGTCTTATTGAGTTACCAACGATTGAGCACCGATGTACCTAACGATGGTGGCATAGCACGGTGTACTTTTTAGCTGCATGTTAGCCGCTGCTCGGACACTTGACAAGTGATCATCCCTGCCAATCAAGAAGCCACTTCCTTTTGCTCTACCCGCTAGCCTGTTATTATAATGTTTCTTTCATGTTACAACTGAGGTCGTTTTAATGTATTTCCTGGCCCTATCATTCACAACAAACAGCTTCACACCCGGATCATAGAACTGATAAACTGACAAATTCTAACGAGCATGTCCGGGATTCATGCGTCTCCAGTTGGATACTCCCTGCGCCGGAACGGCTCATGTTTCGCCACCGAAACCGACTGCGGTATAACATGGTTCTTCTACCACGCATGCTGTCCCAAGGGCACAACGTGCGCTTCCGACGTCAGCGTCAACTGCTGCTGCCCTGAAGCCAAATCACTGCGGATACACGACGGCTGTCTTGTACCACCAGAATGACTACCTCTGTTGCCCAAGCGGAAACGACGCTTTGCCTGGATTGAATACGGATACGTGAGCTGTACCGACGATGTCAGTGCTTTGGCCGCCGAGGTTAGCCTCGTGCCCTCCCTTTCACCGGCGCAAAGCAGTCCCGGTGCCTCACGATGTAAGTCCAAGAACACAACTCAATGCTTGTTCCTTGGAGCTGCTAACGAGCGCTGATTAGGTTCAAGCACTATCACAACCTCGGGACGCAACTGCCACGTCACTGATGCCTACGACGACATCCGCCTCAACCACATCGTTATCTGGATCTCAGAGTACATTCACACCAACATCTGTTCCAAGTACTGACTCTTCGAGGATGTCCCCGCAAGTTAGCACCGGTGCAATCGCAGGTGGGGTCGTAGGTGGTGTTGCCGGCCTCGCGAATCTGAATTTTGTTCTATCGTCGAGGCCCGCCTATACGCTCGGACAGACAATCACCGAATCAATCCATGCCGTACTGCCCACCGGCAGCGAAAGGATATCGGCCCAGTGAGTTACATGCTGAACAGAGTCCGCCCATGTACGAATTAGCCACTAGCATGCGAACCACTCCAAAGTGACTACTGTGACAACTCATGGCTCAGTTTCGTATTGGTCGCTGGATACAGTGATGGTATAAATATTAGTAAAGCTACTAAATGGAAACTGGCTTCGTTCCATCACTTGGAGGAAAGAGCTTGAAAAGAAACCAGGCAAACATTCTGTAAGTCAGACGATATTGATGGGTTTCCGGGGTGGAGATAAACTCCAACGTACACATGCCTAGATTGTACCGTACTGATGCTGATTATGAGTTCCTGACACCAAGTAAGATGACAACCAGTGGTTGAATCTGTATCTTGAACTGAGGCCATCACATGAGAGAAATATAGACAAAACGACAAATTCGTCTACTGATGGCCTTTTAGCAACACAGTACATGGCCGCAGCCTCAGAACATGTAGTTGAAGTCTACGTGTCCTAGGCCAGGCAGCTATTCACTTCTTATCTCCGGAAGTTTGGATATAACAGAAGAATCCGCGATCATCTCGATTATACCGCAATACCGAAGCCTTGTGACTCATGATCACTGAAGACGGACCGACTATTATAGCGCGTGGACGTACTGCTCGTAGGTTGTAGCCTGTAGGGCAATGTTGAGCCTCGAAGAGCGGAGCCCGATTACGTGGAGGCTCCATCAGAAGTGGATCTAAACCTGAAAGAAATATGCGGCTCTCCTATCCGAAGACAGCTCCAGCAAATAGTGTAGTTGATCGTGTCGGCTTTCCCCGAGGGCTGAACTGTCGGAGGCTCCACTATTGAGGCTTGTAGTGCGTTAATGCGAAGGCAGTCTATTGCGCCACAGAATTTCTTGATCTCTGCTCCATCGACCGAGGATATGTTTGTAGATTAGCCCCAATCAACCATGCATAGTTGCATATACGCCGCACGGCGCCCCCTCGCGACATTGCACTTGCTTATATCCATCGTGGTCAGTAGAATTCATCCGGCTCTGGTTGGAGCCACGGAATCACATGTGCCGGAAGGGTTCCGGCGATGGTCAGGTACGCCGTTTGTCTCCTAGCGTGTGGACCCATGGCATCTCCAGCCCCTACGATTCTATACACTAGTTACAACTAGCACGCTTTACAAAGTAGTCAGTACTAGCTTCCTTCCCATTAATAGCGAAAAAAGATCCTGATTGAAATGCCCTGTGCCCCCATACCTTTACTACCGCGACGTCTCATCCCTCATGGATGCTGAAGAAAGAATGGAAAAGCTGGAAAGCATGACACCAAAGAAACTTCCTGCCAAGTCCGCCAGCGCGGCAGAGATTCGCGCATATCTCGCATGGATGCTCGTCTCGAAATATCAAACTTCCCCCGAGCTTGCGCAAAGCACCGCCAGCCGGTGGCAGGTCGGGCGCGGCAAGGAGCTTTGCGAATTCAGTCTCGGGAATTTCAAAGCCCAATTTGGAGAAGATATCGGGCTCTGTTTGTACAAAGGCGTTTGCGAAGATGAGTATAACGATTGGCGATCGACTCGAACAGCAAAGATCGCTAGAGGTACGTGGCTAATCTTTCTCGCACCCCTGGCTGGCGCTGTGACTCGTTCTAGGAAGCGCATATAGACTAATGGGGTCTGCTATGCAGGGCTGCTGATTACGTCTATTGTCGGCTTGATTGTTCTTATCATTCTCTTCATTTTCCCTGGGTTCTTGAGCACCACGCCCGAATCTTCCGGTAAGCTTGTTCTTCACGAGAATTCTGTCATAGAGTGCATCAGTTCAAACCAGGAAACAAAAGCAATGAGTTAGGGTCCGCATGCTAAGGCATCATGAAAACGATAATACAGGCCGTCCTGCCTCTCTCGATACGCCAGCCGCATCGCCAGTTCCATGGGCCTTATTCGGGCTTGCACAGCTCAACTATCTCATCCAATGCCCTATGGACGAAACGAATAGCTTGGGTCTATATGCGGCCGGGGTCTTTGGGGGTCTATCTTTGTGCATCGTTGCACCTATGCTCTATTTCCTCTGAAAGTGGGGGAGCCTGGTCGCAACGAGAGTCACGCCCTGAGTCCGGTCGGTCATTGCCGCCCATCGTCCCGGCGGCCCTCTGGGTACCCTTGATCAAGCAGCCCAAGCCCTACTGTATTTCATGCTTACATCATGGAAGGCTTCAGGGGGGCCTCGTCGGATGAAGAAGGCAAAGGATTGTTGGTCTCAGTGGGGTCTATGGCTCGACTTTTATATCTTTTGCACACACCAGCGGCTGCCAGAACACAAGCTAGTCACCCAGACCTGACTCTGGAATGGGGATGTCAATTCAATCATGTACAATGTGAGTGTCTCAAGAGGTCAATGCAATGGGATATGTGGAATTTATGGATATCTACGCGGCTTAGTGCTGACAGTCAGCTGATATATTTCCAATCATCAGCATAACGCGTCATTTCCTGGCAAAGGTCAGATTCGAGGGCTGATGATAGTATTTAAAATAGCCAATTTTTACCATCTGCTTCATAAGACCATGGTAAATAGCTCTTTCGCCACGGACAGATAAGGCCCCACCTATGGAACAGGAAGGAAAAGAACGTACATTGAAGATATCGTATGATTGGTCATTTGAAAACAGCGTAGACGGTCATTTCCTCCAGAAAATTCTGTTCAACGTCGTCTGGATGGAGGGACTGACACCGATCAAGGAAGTAGGCTGTGGAGAAGGATTTAAGGTCGCGAGTAGGGCATCGTAACGCAGCATATGACGCCAATGTTCGCACTTTGGGATTTTGAATGTTCAGATCGCACACAAAGGTAAAACCGAAAGGTCCACGGGAAGTTAGCAATCGCACGAGACGCAGAGGAAGTTCAATTGAAACCTATGTGCGTCTCAGGGTGGAGTTCCTGTAAATCATGCAGGTAAGCCAGTCAGAACATACCGTCTTAAAGTCGTTCGAGTGGCCATTATCTTGCAAGAGTCTACTCAGTACCTGGGTTCTCCGGAAACCCTGGAGATCCACCATCCCGCGACCCTTTTGACTCAATGAGCCAGTTAAGCTCCCCTACTGGGTTCATTATGGGTACCAAGCCTGCTGAATAGTGCTGAATACCGTTGCTAGACGTTTTGCAGGCTTTATTGATATCGCTAGCATTGAAGGATCAGAAGCTGCCACGTAAACGGCTTTTACTCATTATTTGTTGATCTTCCACCATGTTCTAAGCAGTAGAGATCTGAAGAGAAGAGCCGTATACGTAGCAGCTTCAGAGTCTTAGCTCAGTGCTTCATGGAGCAGGTAATCAACCCGCTCCACACTACGATTCGGAACCGCGAACCCTAGGTTGCGTTCACCCTTGCCGACGACCGATATTCTAGGGTAACATCGCCGGCTGACATCCGTCCTTTTTGTGCTGATATCGATCCTCTGAGCTTAGGTCGCTTTCTAGACCAGGTATGAATGGTCCTGGTTGTGGTAAAGACTGAGTTCACAGTCTCTGGCAGCGCAAGCAGTCCGGCCCAGCCAGCCCCAAGGGTAAGAGTCTTTCTCATTTGCAGGAAGATCGATTCCAACATCGTCTCCTCCCTGGACCGACATTTGGGACACTTTGTTCGTCTAAGCTGCGGGACCTTTGACCGACGATTTCTTGCAATACGTCTACCGATCCAGATTCATTGACAGTGCACGAGTACAAGGGTGATTTTATTCCTTCTTTATCTTCATGTTGCATGTCTTTGCTCTGCCTCTTGTGTTTCGATCTTTTCCTATATTTCTTCTTCCTCTTCCTGAGAGGAAAGAGAGAAAACATCCGAGACGGTAGAAAGCGCTTGCAAGGGTCGGGCTTAGGGCTTATGAGAACCGAGCGCGGGCGAGAGGCACCGTCATTCAACATCCCTGCTGGCTACACTAGCCGCTGCTCTAGATCGCTTGTAAGGTTTGGGTGCCGTTTTCTTGTCTCCCCTTTCTCTCCCTTCCAATTGGAACAATTCTTTTACTCCGGGGTTTTTTCTTCCCCTCGTTCCGTGCTCCTGATCTTTCGAACCTCCCCACACGCCTCAGTTACACCGCATCCCGCTGGCAGCTCAATTCCTTCGCCCTTGGTGTCACTGCTGCTTTTTTTCGCTGCATCATGTTCCATCTACTATTTGGCACCGTTCAATGAAGGCATCAACGGTCTTGTCTGGGACGAGGCCGCCTCGCAAGCCCAAACTCTGCTCGCATCGGCCGTATCTGCCCTAGCCGGCGGACTGGACACCGACATTCGCACCTTGGCGCTCAACGTCCTTGCAGCCACGGGGTCCAAGCGCCCACAATCCTTCCACAGCTCTCAAGAAGCCCAATCCCAGGAAGCCCGCTCGTATGGTGAGTCGCTCAACCTTGTGATGGAGAATTCTTTCTTGATCATGCTGATCCCTCCGGGGATCCTGGAACTCCCTGTGCTGCTGCCCAACTGGTGTCGACGGGTGGGCGAGGCGGTCGAGACCTTAAAGCAGCATATGTTGACCAGCAACCGCAAGCCGCTCACAATCCACGAAATCCTCGGGAACATCTACGCGATAAATCTCGCCGGGCATGACACCACCGCCAACACGATGACCTACCTGATGCTCTTGTTAGCTGCGTACCCAGCCATCCAGGAGTGGATGGCTGAGGAGAGCCAGACGGTAATTCCCCGCAGCGATCGGGACGTGGATTATAAAACTGCGTATCCCCGATTGAAACGCTGCCTCGCCGTGTTGTTATTGTATTTTCCCGCTTCCCCATGGGCCCTAGACCCCTTAAATATCGAATGCTACACGTGACAGTCATGCTAATGAGGAGAGCAACAGCCGGAAACTGTCCGCCGGTACCCGGCCATCCTGGGCCTCCCCAAGTCCGTCGCCCCTGCGTAAGCGACCTCCCACCTCCCCAAGAGCAACCGCACCCTCGTACTATCGCATGGCACCGTCATCCTACTCAGTCTGCTAGCCGTGCAAATCCACCCGCTCTATTGACCTAATGAGCCAAACGCCTGGCGTCCCCGCCGGAGGATCAGTTTTTTTGCAGTGGACAGCACTGGCAACCGAAGCACGGAGGATATCCTTGCCAGCCGGGCGGAGCAGCTCGCACGCGAGGAAATCGTCGAGCCGCAGCCGGGGACCTACTTCCCTTGGTCCGCTGGAGCGCAAGTGTGCGCGGCCCAGAAATTCACGCAGGTCGAGACTGTCGCGGTCTTGGAGTCCCTCTTCCGCGAGCATCGGCTCCGGGTTGTGCTTGAGAAGGGAGAGGATTCTGAGGCGGCTCAAGCGCATCTGGTTGCTAAGACGCTGGATACGCAGCAGCTGCCGGTGTTTCAGTGTCGGATTCGGATAGTGTCGAGGTTTTCTGGGAGCATGTTGGGTGAAACGCTGTCACGTAGTGTTCCCTTTCTTCATCTGTGAATATTTTGGCATCGACAGCATTAGCTGTGCATAAGAGTTCTTATGGCGAGGAATAGAGTCAGATCGCGCTGACTGCGCTGCGCAATGGTCGTGCAGTACTACTTGGCTGTCATCGTGATCGGAGTGTCATACTGACAAGGCAAGGGATTATTGGATGACAGAGAGGTAGCCACGGGCGGAGGCTCCGAGGGCATCGGGAATTAGCGTGCTGTAGTTCCAAGCTTTCCATAGTCTCATGCGGAGTCATCCCTGGCCTCCTCGGAGCCTTTGAGTCACGTGGAATGAGCACTTCCGTATATCCGCAATTCCGGCTGCGAAGTATAGGCAGTAAGTAAACTGACTGGTCATTGAGGAAATCGATCATGGAGTGCTATAGGTGACATATATAGCGCAGGCCAAAGATGACGTGAAGAGCCTCAAAGAAGTCCGTGAACTTCTCCGGTCCCTCTAACTAACTTCCCAGCACAAAGCGAGTCCTCGTTCCTGAACCTCCTCGGAGCTGATATCGCATCGAGAGTGAGAGAAGGGGTGAGCGGAAGGCAGCCGGAGACCGCGGAAATGACTGCTCGGAAGGCGGAATGAGAATTATCGCCCGTGACCGCCTGCCTAGAAAACAAATTTCAAGCGGAACAGGTGTTCTTCCGTTGCGCCCGCCGCCCGCCCATCCCACCATCTTATCAGCCCACTTGCCCGCTGTTTGCCTTTTCTCGTTTGCCCCTCTCCAATTCTCCTGTTCCTGGTTCCGCCTCTACACTCGTCACAATGGACTCCGCAGCACAGGCCCGTTACGATCTCATCCGCGAGAACCTCGCTGAGGTCTTGAACCCCGAGATCATTGAAGGCATCCTCGCTGAGGGGCGCAACCCCCGCATCTACTGGGGTGAGTCAAAGCTAAACAAAGCGAAGACTGCGCATCGTTTGAGCAAAGCCAACTAACTTTTGGCTCGATTTTAGGAACGGCCACCACCGGCAGACCTCACGTCGGCTACTTCCTCGCCGCCCTCAAAATCGCCCAATTGCTGCGTGCCCAATGCGACGTCGTCGTCCTGCTCGCCGATATTCATGGATTCCTCGACAACTTGAAGGCGCCGCTCGAGCTGGTCGACAACCGCGCTCAGTACTACCGCAAGGTCATCACCGCCATTCTTCAGTCCGTTGGCGTGTCCACCGAGCAGCTCGAATTCATTCTCGGCAGCTCCTACCAGAAGAGTCCCGAATATGTCATGGATGTCTACCGCTTATCGAGTCTGATCTCCGAGTCGGATGCCAAGAAGGCTGGTGCAGAGGTCGTCAAGCAGACCGAAAACGCTCCTCTGAGTGGTCTTCTCTACCCAGTGCTCCAGGTGCTCGACGAAGAGCACTTGAAGGTCGATTGCCAGCTGGGAGGCATGGACCAGCGCAAACTCTTCGCTGCTGCTGTTGAGTGGTTGCCCAAGCTCGGCTACCGCAAGGTATGACGATTGCTGATTTCTCAGCGGAACCTTTATCTCGGAAAGCTAATGTATTGTCTAGCGCGCACATCTCATCAACCCTATGATCAGTGGATTGAAGGGTGCTAAGATGAGTTCCAGTGTAGAAGGTAATCCTATTTACCCCACGACTCCCCAATTCGCTCGGATAGAATGAATACTCATATCAATGCGCACAGACAGCAAGATCGATCTCCTCGATTCCGCCGACAGCATTTCCAAGAAGATCCGCAAGGCTGAGTCCGCCCCCAAGGTCGTCGAAGGCAACGGTGTCATCGCCCTCGTGGAATACGTTCTCCTACCCGCCGCCGATCTCAAGGGTAAGAAGGAGTTCCGCGTTGAGCGCAGGGATCAGGAGCCGTTGATCTACACCGACATCAAGCAGCTCGAGGAGGACTACAAGAACGATGTTGTATGTTCTATGCATTTAACCCCACATTCCGATCATGTCACTGACGCAGATCTTTACTCGCAGTTGACGCCACAAATGCTCAAGCCCGCTGTGGCGGACGGTCTCGTCCAACTCATGGCGCCCATCCAGGCGGCCTATCAAGCCGACTCCGAATGGCAGGAAATCACCGCCAAGGCCTACCCGGCCCCAGGTGCCGAAAAGAAGCAGAAGAAGGTTAAGAACAAGGGTACACGCCACCCCGGTGCCGCTGCCGGGGAGAAGCCGGCCCAGGAGGCCAAGCCGGCCGCGGAGCAGTAAGGTTAGGAAAAGAAGAAGAGGCGTAACCATCTCACATAAAAGGATATCCAATTCGTTTAGAATCTCAGCGATAGACCCCATCTTGAAATGACTCTGGAAGTTCTTTTTTCAAATACCTGCAAGTTCAGCCCAGGCTGGGCGAATTCTGTCTCAGTATTTCTGCGAGCGCGTTCAGAATAGGCTTTCTCTAAGTCCGCCTGCTTTTTTACATTGGCCATGTTTGAAAGCCGGCCGCTTTGATTGTGATCGCAGCCAGCCTTGTTACCGTATCGAAATGGGCAATCGGTGATCTCAGCGACCTACGGGTTTCTGACATTCAACATGTTTTATGGGTTAATCTTTCCATACGCTCATTGTCGTCCGGTCAGGGTAAACCTGCCAGCATTCCAGCTTGGCAGCGTTGGAATGGATTCGAACATATTGTAATGGAGCTGGGATGATGGCGCGCGGTCATGTCGGCTACCAGTCACCATGGCTCGAACTCCACCCGTACTGTGCTTACTTGACACCACATTCATGAACAGCCGATGCAGATATGCTAAACGAAATAAGAAGCGGGGGTGGTGAAAGGAGAGTCGCGAGATAGCTCAACGTTGAATGGCAAGCGGATCACCCGTGGATCACACCTGAATTTAACCTTGGCGGTGGTTTTCAACTGTCCTTGGGATTGGGTTTGTAAGCCTTGAGCTTACTACCAATGCCATGCATAAGATAGTGATTATTGCTAGCAAGCACAATGTGGTGTTGGGAAAGGCTCGGTGTTGAGGTACCGGGGCCTCGAGAGCCCGCCGGCAGCTGACTGGGTCTTAAGGTCAGCCACGGCGCTCAATAAGGTTGTTTGTTGCGGGCGGAAGCTTCTACCATCTGCAAACTCGCGTCATGCAGCGATTTGATTAGTTTAACGCTTTTATCTTCTGCTTCACTTTTCTCCAATCCGATTTTCTTCGCTCGATACGTGCACGCCCTTTGCTTATTCAAGCCTACTGCTTTGCATTCGTTGCTTGATATTCCCTGAAAGTCTAGTTCCTCGATATCGCCGTGGCTTCGACCGCAAGTGAGTAGTCTGTGATCTACTTGCCCCCGAATTGTTATGCTGTGATTACTCGTGTGCAGCAAGGGAAATGTTTTCTCAGCGCATGAGACTTCTTGCCGGTCAATGTATATCAGTCAGCTAATCCGCTAGATAGACATGTGCAATCAACAGATCGATCGCCGAGGCAGATTCTAGACGCCGAAAAAGACCTCGTGGGAGCTGGAAATGATGCAGAGCATAATGGAGCCCCGGAAACATCTTAGCGGTTTCATTGAAGGGGGTCCTAGCCCCATGTTCAATAGGTATTTGGTGCCCGAATTCTAGACGTTCGATAATCCCTTCACCAAAACATGGCGAAATGAGATGTTCTCATGCGGAGCGCTGCTGCCTCTAACGGCCAAGAAGACCGATTGAGTGCTGGAGAAACTGGAATACAAGCCGGGATATTTCAATGATCACCGGATATCTATAGTCTTTGACGGGAACTTGTCAAGTCTGCCTCAGCCATTCTAAATGACCTTGTTATGGACTCGCCATGGCGATTCATTCTTCGGAAGATGTCCCAGATAGGACTGGTTGTAGCCGGTCAGCGCTGATTGACAACGTTATCGAACTGGTGCACCCGTCCCTATATCCGCTCGTTTGTGGCCGCATGCGCATCTTGAGAGACGCTATCACCACTTTTCCTCAATCCCTGGAACACTATGACATTGAGAAGATCATAGCCCGCACGATCACACTGTATAACCTAAGATGGCCACCATCGGCCCTGCACGGAGAGCCAAATTTGAACCGTACTGACTACCATGGGCCGGATGCGTCTAATGAGACATCACTGAGCCAGGAATTTCCAATATATCAGAAAACGACGACCACAGTGGCGATGAATCGATCTCCAGCTTCACACTGGAGGCGCGGGAGGAATAGCGATGGTCACGCCGAATCTTACCCTTGAAGATCAGGGAGTTCCACGCAAAGATCACAGATGACGACACGGTCGACCTCAAAGCCACTTATGAACCACACTGCTTTTAGTTTATAGTCAAATAGCAAATGTTAAGTTGACTCTGGGACGACCATCACACGTTAACAAGTCTTGACAGCTTGCAGGTCAAATGGTATGCAATCCATGTTTCCATTCCTGAAATCTTGCGCAATTTGGTTGCAGGCCATGAGACTAAGGCGTTACCTCCGCTTGCACTTCCTCCCGGAGGGGCTGGACCCGTGTCAAAGCAATATGCGCAATCCCGAAGCCTAGTGAGGCTTTGTGAAATAGGTTCTTCATGCCTCATCTGTTTTAGCGCTGTGAATTGGCGCCTCCATCGAGACCGTCAGGATGAAGTCCAGACAATCGTCAAATTAATTCGACTGCGTCTGCACAGCGGGCTCGTGGCCGTATCGAACCCTGAGATGCTTAAATGGCGTGAGGTTGTAGTAAATGGAACTACTAGCGACTTCTTTCCACAGGGTTATGGCAGTATACGAGAGCGTCACGACGTGTCTTCGGCTTCGGGCCCGCAGCGGGCTGAGCCGCGATTGGGAAGCCGTGCGGGGAATTCGAGGCACCTCAGGCACGCTCCGTCGATGCTGTGTGCACCTACCGGTGACACAAAATGCTTACCCTCGCTATTAGACCACATGTCCTCTCACCAGGTTGTGAGACGCAGAAAATATGACTGTGGTTATCTGTAGCCTGGGAAAGCATACGAGCTATTTGACTCTGTCAGAAAATGTCGACAGGTCAAACCTCTTCGAACTAGCGTTCATCCTACAGTGCGCATAGTATGCATGCGCCAAAGAAAACTTTCTCTCTGCCATACTAAGAAATGGACAACGGAGAACGCTAGGAAAGCCAGAATCAAAGTTCAGTTCACTGGCTGACCAGACCGATCTATAGGCGCTAGGGACCGCCACTGCGCCTGTGAACACGACCTGTAAGTGTCAATGGTCGCAAACTTATCGGGTCCATGAGAAGTTTGCCCTAACTAAAATCTTACACTGTTACATTAGACACTTTCGCCAAGAAAGAGCATCTTGCCAGGATGCTCGCCGCAGATGGCTGGGCTATTATGCTTTGACGTGATATGCATATTGGTTACCTATCAGAGTCACTCCGAGAACCCGGTAGACCATGCCTCAGAGCCAGGTATTTGTTCTTGTAGTCACGAGGTCTTGGTGGAGTGTTGCCCTATCGGTCAGTCACTGACAGCTATAGCCACTAATCTCCCACGTAATCACCGGGTCACCATTAGTGTGAAACTAGGTACGAACCCCTTGCTATGGGTGACCAATGCCGGCGGAGATGCTTATTATCTCCAACGGTAAATCTGTGGTAAGCAGGACGCCCCACGCTTGTCGGAACCGAGTAGCACCGATTGAGAATAATGTCGACAACTCAAGGGCTTCTCTGCAAGGGCTTATCTTGAACCTTGTATTCACCTGTTAAGGATCCAGGGTAGCCTGCCATAAATCTATAAAAAACTCAGTGTAAGCCCCTCTAGCGAGAGTAATGAAGCGCAGCACTTTGTCTCTCAAACATACTGTTAACATATCACATGTGATACCCAATTTCGGGTCGACGCAGACTGGTCCGGCAGTATTCTCCGCGAACAGCATCATGGATGTAGGACGTGTTCTCGGCTCCACTGGCAAACAGTTGCTCGACAGGATACAAACTACGGCCATATCTTTAGGAATGGCTGCAGTTCCTGTCAGCCTTCTTAGGAGCCTTGTCTTCTCGATTCTTTCTAATGTCAAAACCGGGGTCTTGGACATTCATTCGCATGATGGGCAGGAATGGAGATTTGGGTCTGGCAACGGAGGACCAAACGGGATGATACACCTCCATAGCGACGCCTTTTGGTTTCGAGTGTTTGTATCAGCGGACCTTGTGCGTCTCTTCCGCCCCTCCATTTCGTTTACACTTTCACGTCGTCAAACTTGCTCCAGTGAACCGTGCTAAAACACTCATTCTACAGGGCTTTGCCGATTCCTACATGTTAGGAGAGTTCACAACGCCAAATTTGATGGGACTGATAAAGGTAAGTGACTGAGACCGCCAAACCGGAGGTATTGCAAAAGCTGACCTGTGCCCTTCAGCTGTTCATCGTGAACGAACAGCACTTGTCCAATCTGAGCACCACACCATATCGATTCGTATCCACTGTCTCGGATATGTTATTCTCCACCGTCGACACCGGCACCCTTAAAAGAGCCAGTCTCAACATGGTCGCAGCATACGACCTGTCTAATGAGATGTTCGAAGCATTCCTGTCGCCTGACATGAGCTATTCCTGTCCCATCTGGCTCCCCAAGTCTCACCCCGAGTACAGCAGCGACACTTTAGAGGCCGCACAGATGCGCAAGCTCGACACACTATTTGCCAATGTGCACGCGCAACCGACCGACCACATCCTAGAGATCGGCACCGGGTGGGGAAGCTTGGCAATCCGGGCGGCGACGACGATCGGCTGTCGAGTGACGACCTGCACGCTGTCTGAAATGCAGTACAAGCGGGCGAGGAAGCGCGTTGAGGCTCTCGGGCTTCAAGATAAGGTTACTGTCTTGCTGTCCGACTATCGGCTCCTCCCGACCCCGGAGACTCCATATGATAAGATTATTGCGGTGGAGATGATGGAAGCAATGGGAGATTATGAGCTGGAGACGTTCTGGGAGACGGTAGATAGGTTCTTGAAGCCAGAAGGAGGGATCTGCTCGGTTCAGGCGAGTATTATGCCCGAATCGGTGAGTCGTGCATTGATGTTGTTTGCCGCGCAAATCTGGTTGATATGTTCTCCAGAGATATAAGAACATGTTCCCAAAAGGCGAGGGGTAAGTTACAATCTATGGCGTCCTTTCTGTCTTTTCTATCTAACACTCATATTCTCCCAGGTTCATCCGCCGTTACGTAAGTACATAATTCGGTCTCATCGAGCACACCTAGAAACTCATTGGATTTCACGCAATAGATATTCCCCGGCGGCCACTGCCCCAGCGTCACGCGATTACTCGAAGCGGTGCAAAAGTCCAACGCCCGACTGGATCTGGACTCCATCCAACAGTACGGCGCCCACTATGTCCGATGTCTGAATGAGTGGAGTAGAAAATTCCAGGATAATTTCCAGAGCATCATTGCCCCGCTCATGCGGGAGAAATACCACTTGTCGGAAAGAGATGTGGAGGTGTTCTATAGAAAATACATTGTGGGTCATTTCCATTATATTTCGAGGGGCGTCAGTGCTGACCTACGGCCTACTACTGTCAACAGTATTACTTTGCATATGCGGCGGCTGCATTCGACACAAAGATCCTGCACCTCGCGCAGATCACTTTCAGCCGGTCTGGAAGCCTGGCGCTGCTCGAGGATGTATAGATTTATCTTGTTTATGATTCTTGGTCGTTCTTTGTTCTTGTCTCCAGAAGTGATTCTAGATCCCGAGTGTGCTCGGATAGATTATACAGTACAGTACAAGCTGTTCTGCTTTGACGAACCCCTCACCGTGGATTCTGGTACTATGAAGAGTTGTATATCGACTGTCTGAGGTTGCCGTGACGACACAGAATTGGCAAAAGTGGGATTTATCGGCGTCTCGCGCGGTTTGACAAAATTTCCTGAAATCAATCAACCTTCTGGAGTCGGAGCAGTAATGCGGAAAGGCAGAGCTTCCTGGACAACTTGTGACTTTATCCATCGGATATAGGCAGTATCTTCGACCTCTATTATATATGATTCTGTGACTGGCTTATGCTCCACCAGGACTAGACAGCGTTCCTAAAAGAGAATTTTGATATAGCTTTAAGTGTTGCAAGAGAGATTACACGGGGTGCATAATTTGATTACCCTGATTATATCCGAGTGAAAAAGAGCTGCAAAAGTTTTTGCGGTCTTCAATATCTAATCAATCAATTCAGAGCTCTTTTCCGGCAGCTGGTATTGAGCCTTGGAAAGGGACTATAGCAGAACTTGGAAGTCATTTATCTGCTCCTGCCCATCTCAGAAGTGCGAGTCGAGCAAGTTTTAGAGGACTGTATTTTAGCTTAGTCCAAACTTTAAGCCTGATTAATTAGAGTTCGGCTTAGCTTATTCAATCTTAATCAGTTCAGCAGTTCAGTTTGTTCAAGGTTGAAAAGTTCTACCTAGTTCGAATAGGAACATCCTTTAACTTGGCTCAAGGCCGTACAGTATCCCCCAAGGGCCATATTTCCGAAAATCCTGGCCCCGGAATTCCGCCACCCATGGGAAAAGCAACGATTGCCTTCACTGAACTGTAAATGACATCGTGAAAAGTGTGAATTGATGGCATTTCATTGGCCAGCCAGGCAATTGGGTGCCAGTGAGATGGTAGAATCGTGGTACGTAGAAGTCTTAACATGCTTCATTCAATTGGATATTCCTCGCTGTGGGTCATGATGAAATCAGTTCTTCAGAGGAGACTCGTTTTTCCACAATCCTGAGAACTAACACGGACTTCATTTCGTCCAAGAAAAGGATATTTAAATGCCTTTGTGGGTCCTAGTAGAATCCCAGAATATCTAGACATGAGAAACACTCTGGCTTGACGAAAAAGGACCTGAATCTTTCTCTGTTGGCCTTGCTCCCTTTAGAGACTTTTGAGCCCTTTCAGCATTCGCCACGATGCTCTTTCATTCAAATTCTATTTCCCTGATGATTGCTGCAGCCACCACGGCTCATGGCTTGACGCTTGACCGTCGACAGTTGAACCCAGCTGCGACAATCACCGCGAGCACTACATCCTCGGCCACTTTGGAACAGATTGACTACATTTCGAAAGACTTTGAGTCGCTCAATAACGACACTTCGTCCTAATACCTCGGTTACCGCGGCAAGGACTTTGCCAGGCCTATGTACAGTTCGTCGCTAGATGGCACCCAGCAGATCGGTCATCATCTCGCAGTGCACTGCCAGACTGAAATGGCCCGTAGCTTTCTTCGTTTGAGGGTGTTGAACTCTTTGGATGATTACCTCAGTCTGACTTTGCTCTTCCTACGGATCTCTGCAGTTTCTTGCCCGCTTTTTACCAAGAGTAAAGATACTATTTAGACGGCACCCTGTACTCGCTGATCGTATATCTATTTCGCAGCAACCGACTGGCAGATTGATCACTCATAACTCCCATTTGGGTCTATGTAGCCCTCTTTTTGGCATTGACCACTGGTTGTAGCAAAGTCAGACTCTGCACAGACGCAAGACGAAAAACATGAAGACTAAGAAGGGAAAGAGGAATTCGCGCACATGGAGCATATCAAACAATTTGGATTTATCAGTTAGAGCAGCAACGGTATAAGGATATCGTCCTAGAAATGCTACCTAGAGAGACTAGCATCAGGGCGTACGGAAGGATGGCCTATTTACATGAAAGCTGGGATTACTTGGAACAAAGCGCGACGGTGCTATCAGGTTATTCTTCGAAGGTGTTGTGAAAAGTGGCTGGTACGGGTTGTAGGCTTAACTGTCTCCTAAGAGACATATGAAATGAGATCAACGAGCTGCTGAGCCCCTGCGAGCAAGGCTTCTAGGCTACTCACCCACCGAGAGCTTCTCCAACAGCCTCTGGCCCAGGCCATCCAGATACGGATACCCCTTCAGGGCGGACACATCATCCCAGAACCGCACCGCATCAGGATACCCATCGCCGTGAGCATCAAGCTCTTCCCGAAGCAGCGCCTTCCACTCCGCATCATCGGGACAGTTACTCTGGCTACTGACGAGGACATACTCGAGCCACACGGGGTAGTAAGCTGCATACTCCCAGTCAATGATCCCCGTCAGCTTCCCCTCCTGCACCATGATATTAGTCAAATGCAAATCCCCATGTGTAAGGACATACGGCCCGCACGTGGGCATCCTCGCCAGCAGGTTGTCGACAATCTTATCCGGCAGGCCGCAGGGGGTGTCCTCCGTCAGCCTCGCGCGGAGTGTCTCCTGCAGTTCCGCATCTGAATGCCAGGGTCCATCGGCGCGACAGCCCACATAGCATGGGAACGGCGGATAGCACGCCCCGCCGCCCGCCGACTGGATTGACGGCGCGGTCAGCGCACGCAGCCGCTGGCGAACCTCGGCGACTTGCTTCGCGATGTCTGTTTTCTCGCTCTGGATCAGCGTCGGCCATACCTGTCCCAGCGTGGTCCCTGGCACCCGCTCTTCCAGCACGAAGTACTGCTTCTTGGCGTCGCGCCAGTCGTGCAGGACGCGTGGGGCGGGGATGGCGGGGTCCAGGGCGAGCGCTTGCGAAATGGCCCCTTGCGTGCACAGCCCGTCGTCGGCGGGGCGTTCTTTGAGGATCTTGTCGCTCCCAATGAACCACACCCCACGGTCGTTGACGGCGTCCTGAAGCCGGATCGTGCCGTAGTAGGCCGCATGGTTGTGCCACCAGCCGCAGGCCCGGCATCGGTCGTATTCCGAGGATGAACCATAGCCGCTTGCGCTGGAGCAGATGCTGCTGTCGAGCTGGCGGTTAAATCTTCTACAACGATCACCGCTGCATTCCGAGGGGACTGCAGTAGAGGGGTCGGACAATCGGATTGTGGGAACGTCCATCATCTCTATGAATTCAGACAGTGGTGTGAGACTACTTCTTTCGGTATGATGGCCCCTCGCATGTGATTACACTCGGGGGTTCTTATACTGCACTTGTAGCCTCTGTAGATGCATGCATTAACTATCCCCTTGTTCTAGAACAAGCGCATAGAACAAAGCAACGGAGTCAACCTTTGAGGAGATTTCCAGCCCGGTCAAAGAAACTAGAGAGATCCATTGACTCGAGGCTCGAGTTAGAATGCGAACAAAAAGACAGCTCTTTCGTCACTTTTGTCGTCTCCACGCCACGATCTTCCTTCAACGCCAGTACCACCCAATATTACACCATTTATGCACATTTCGTACGTGCGGTAGCCGGTCTGAGTGCACCACACTATCTGTTATCTCGACTAGAAGATCCTACTGGTTGAATCGCGCTGTCCGAAGAAACATCTTCCATTACCACGAAACGAGCAAACGAGGCAAGCTATCCACCGTTAGGCGGGTCTGGAAATATGCCAACGAGCGTCGATAGGCATATACAACAGATGAAGAAGACACGTAGGCGCTTTGCATTTATTCGAGTACTGTATTTTCCATGGTCAATGAAACCTACGAACAGCCCTAAACCACACAAGATGTTCAGTAGAATTGTATAGACTCGTTCCCCCCAAACAAACGAGACGAATCACGGATGCTTACCATCCATGATCCGCCTCTCATCCGCCCACGCCATGATGGCGTCAAAATCCTTGCACTCGTGCACCGCCCCTGTCCCGTCTGTTCCGGGCTGCGTCCTCTGGCCCTGGCCCTCCAAAGCGGTGTCCCCGCAGCACAACAGCGACTCCCGCAAGTACTGAAAACAATGGTTCACGTGCCCATGGGGGCCTTCGGTGGGGTCCTCGGTATGTTGCAGATGATGCAGATGGTCATGCTCATCCGCGTCTCGGGCTTTGTTCGAAGAGGTGCCGGCGACGAGGTCGTCGTAAGCAGACATGATCGCGTACTGAACTCCAGATTAGCAAGGGCCAGGTGTTGAATTTCGAAACGATAGAACCAAAAATCTGCTTTGATGACATGGTCGATGCCATCACGAAGTCACTCACCAAGCAGTGCATCTGGTGGAAGACAGCCACCGCGTAGAGGTTCTTCCCGAACTTTTCGATCGGCGGAGACAAGACGTATTCGAGCTGGTCGGTCTCGTTGACCGCAATAAATCCATTGCCACCTAGCAGTCATCGTGTGAGCCAGGGCTCTATTCCAACATATCGATCATAACTGTAGCTCACGAGGCATATACGACAGCCAATTCTCCTTGGTCGCCGCTTTCGAACTCTCTGTGACATGGTCTGACACAGCCATGGGGTCGAGGCGAAACAACACTTGATGCGTAGGGACTAAATTACGAGCCAGAAGCGGAGTATTAGCCTGGGTTCTGGGGAGATAGAAAGCAACATGACGGAAGGGCTCTAACAGTCCGGCACCAATCCATTCAGATCGCGGAGTGGTGGCTGTTTGCTTGTTTCAACCAAGTACACTAACAGGACGATGATCTCGACGAAGCCAACAATGACCACTCCGACATAGAGCAACGGGCGCAAGCAAGCCCATCGCCGGGAAGAACGGTCCTCGTTAGTGTATTGATCCCGCTTGAGGAGGAATTCATCGGATTCCCGGTGTTCGTAATCTGCTTTGGTTGACATGGTCCCGGTACTTGATCGACTAGTACAACGTGGGATGTGGACGAGAAAAACCAAGGAGGGTTGGAACAGCTCCTGTTATATACATCTTCGTAACTTCGATTCTGGTCGACCAATTCTACACATCCTCTAATTTATGCTTACGAACAGCCGTGCATTACGAGAGGATCCCGCGGGACCATCAATAAAAATGCGGCGGGCAGGAACAAAGACAAATTTTGATCTGGGGCTATTGATACCTTCAATCGGTGAAGGCCGAACCTTCCCAACCCCACGCTTAGCCTTGGCTTACAGTTATCTAGGGTTTCTTCTAGGCAACCAGTAAGGGATGTTTCGCAGCGACGAACAGGGCATTAGCATCTGCCTGAGCGCAGGGAAGTCTAAATCCGAGTAAACTCTAGACACAGAGAGATTGCATTATTCCCAACCGCGAGCAATCCGTTTCCCAGGTCTCGGGCATCTCTCTGCTATGGCGTGTGTTCCACCAGTCCATACACCTTACATGAAAACAAGCGTCTTAGAAACCCAAAGCGAATCACTTGTTGTTGCGAAGCGGTCCGTGCCATCAGTATCACTACCAGCACGCCTGCAACTCTCCTTCGAGGTTTCATCCTGGATGCTTCTATGACATTCCATGCGGGGGACATGCTGTGTCCGTGGTGCGGATGATGGCAGTTGCTTGTTCTGGGCCTGGTGTGCCTGGGTGCCTGACCCCGAAGAGTATAAACCCCCCCTCGCGCGCCCGTTGACCGCGCCATCGCTTCCTCTTCGTTGATTTCGCAGCTTCATCCTGGTTGATTAGGTATTGATCGACCAACTTCACGTGGCCGGCGACATGTTTCGACCCTCATGCAGCAGACCGAATAGTTCCTCACCGAGCGTATCGTTCAGCCCCAATTCGTACGTCTCTTGCATCGATGTCGACGGGGACTTGCCCATCGTGTACAGCACCTCATCTCCGGGATGTATGTTACGACTTGGAATCTTGCTTTTGTACCTTTATATTCGGAGAGCTCGCCATTCGGTACAAGTCTTCCTGCGAATATTCACTGACTCGAGTCTTCTCATCTGTTGATCAATTCCACAAGCACAAATCCAGCACTGGACTGAGCCCTATAGGGTTTCACACTTCAAGAGGCCGATGCTCAAACTAAGGCACAGTGAATTGTAACGCACCCATCTGGAGCAAGGCAAATCTCTCGTGGTGCACTGTACAAAGCCCCGGGTTTTCTCGTGTCAACTATAGTTCATACTGTACATAGTCATCTTCTGCACTGCCAGGCGGATACACAGGCACTGGCTGCTTGAACTACTATGAGAGCTTTTGAGTAAATCTATCAAAGGGACTGTGCGGTACATAGGTCTCTTGCCATCTCAGTAGTCCTTCCATAGCCGGTTCCGAGCACTCCTCCGCCAGCATCAATCTTAATAAACCCCCTCCTCAAGTAACCCCCTCGCCACTCCCTCACCCTCTCCATCGCCGCAACCAACAACCCAGGCCCAGCACTAACCCTCGCCACCCCCATCTCCCCCAGCTCCCTCACCGAAATCCCCCCAGGCATAGCCTTGACATTCAACCTCCCCGCAAACGCCTCCACCAGCACGCCCACCTCCTTCCTACTAATCCCCCCTCGCGCTGGCCCGCCCCACACAAACACCGTCGTCGCCCCAGCCTCCTAGATACGCCCTCCCACGCTCCATCACCTCCTCCAGCTTCCCGCCCTCAAGCAGCGCATCGCACCGCGCATTGACCACAAAATCCGGCACCCCGGCCGCACGCGTTACCTGCAGCACCGTGCGGATGCGCTGTGCCGCCTCGGCGGTACTGTACATGCTTTGCGTGGCGTTGTCGAAGTCCTCGATGTTGATGCCCACGACGCCCATCGCGAGGAGGTCTTGGATGATAGACGCCAGGGCGGCGTTGTAGCCGTCGCGCCGTCGCGGATATCGATGGTGAGGGGTTTGCCGGTGGGTTGGATGGCGGCTGCGATGGTTTTCGCGGAGTGGAGGAGGGTGGATAGTGGGAGGGCGGAGTCGGTGGTGCCAGCGGCGGCGGCGGCGACGGCGTAGCTGGCTGTCGCAATGGCGTGGGCGGCGGGGAGGGAGGCGATGGCTTGGGCGGAAGCGGCGTCGTAGTTATTGGCTAGCATGAGGGGGTGGGGGGCGCGGTGGTGGAGGGATTTGAGGTGTTAGGCGAGGGTGTTTTGGGGGCTGGTTACGTTTTATTGTTTTTGGGCTCTTGTTATTGTTATAGAAGAATAGAAACGGCGATCGACTCTTACATACATCTCTGTCGGGTGGAATTTAGGTAAGTACAATTGGATGATCCTTATGCATACTTCACCTCATGAGTCATTTAGGCAACCAGCTCGTATACTTTCTCTAGGCACCAGCACGCTAGTCCTCAATTGGGTTATTAGTGACTGGCAGTCAACTTATAAGACTCATTATTCAGGTAATTACCATATTGTACTGAGACACCTGGCAGGCTGGCACTAAACTACCAGCCATAGCCCCACTTTCGGCCAACCACGCGCGCTGCGGATCCTGTGCCGATCTGCTGCGCGATGCGCAAGCCACCAGGTCCACCAGAAGCTTTATTTTCACTCCTCACGTAGGCGGATGATGATGGCTATGAGCCGTGAGCAAGTAGTCGTGCTTGAATTTATGTCCCAACTGGACGTCTGCTGCAAGTCATGACAAAGTAAGCAAGGTGACCTGCGCATGAGTGTACTGTAGTGCAGCGGAAGATAGTGCATCAGAGAATCGAGATTGCAGAGCACGACCAGAAACCATGTTGAGTTGTTCGGGACCAGGTTGCATCGAGGTTTTACTGGAAGTGGAAGAGCGATGGGTTTCAAGTCCTCGGATAGAGAGGATGAAAGCCAAATATATGCAGCTTACCAGAAACATTCATCTCGATCTGTGGATTACGCTCACTGAAAGAAGGATCAAAGTGAGTCACGGATTTCCTAAGCCTGTCACTACTTACACACATCTCTAAGACACGCATCGCTACTGTATTCCAAAACACATGTCTCGACAATGGCTGGCAGTGCACCACTCACATTGCTGCAACATGTCAGGCCGATTTCTGCCCAGTCATCATCCATGCCAACTCGGTTGGCCGCGCATCCAACCGCAGCACGGAGTACTTCTTCTCCAACCACTCCTGGCTCGTCAGCACCGGCGCATCGGATTCACGAGCCGGGATGTATCGTGTCTGTGGCGCACCCATCACGGTCTGATTCTCCGGCCGAACCATGTATGCAAACGAATAGCGGGTTGGCATGGCGCGGTTGGGCAGAGGCCCCACCCGGTGGACACAGGACTGCAGGTAGCCATTGGTGAGCATGGAAAGGCCGTCACCCAAGTTGACGATGGCGTGGCCGGCTTTCGGTAGCACCCATTTCCAACAATCATCGCCAGGACTCTGAATCTGTAGGCCAGGCTGACGTGTGAACAGGAAGGTCAACGTGCCCATGTCAGTGTGTGCGGCGTGCGGGACCCCGCGCTGCTCGGCGGGCTGCGGCTGGTACTTCAACAGACGAATAATGTCGGGTGATGGTGCAGAAGAGCGATGGCACAGCTTCAAGTTCCCGGATTCGGGGAGCTCCAAGGAATGTGACAGTCGGTCAAAGATGGTTTGCGATGTGGTGTTGACAAAATTAGTGAACTGCCGAAGAGTGTTCATGTTTTGATCAATCAATTTGGGGCGCGGAAAGTCCTGCTGGTTGTCCAGATTCAGGATGCCGTTCTTCGGAATCTAAAAGTCTGTCAGTGACACACGGGTGCTTTCAATCAAGGATGGTCTATGTAGTCTTACCACGTATGTCTCGAAACCATCACGCTGGCCTTCGAGTCCTCCGAAGTTGCGGCCCACGGGTTTGTACCTGATAGGCTACATAAGTCTTTTCTCCAAGGACGTACGGGGATAATTTGACACAACATACCCATTGCATTTCATGTTTCCCAGCTTGTCAACATCGTACAGACATTTCTCCTCCAGGGGTAGATCGAAAATTTTCTCTGAAAAATCATAGACGGACTCGAGAACCGGAAATATTTCACTACCCACAGCGGCAAGTTCCAGATAGAAGGCACCGTCATGTCTGCTCGCCTCAAGGAGGCGTTGAGCTTCGTCTTGGTCTCCAGCTTGCAGTCTGCCCAGATTGAGCGTCTGCAGCTCCGCAACAGGGAGATCTGGAGGAAAGTCGGTAGCGTCCGATGACGCGTAATTCGGGATTGTCATGACGTGTTGACTCTGTTGGATTTTCTATCTAGTCCATAGACAAGAAACACGCACAAACTAAGCTGAAGTGGGAAAGAAAGGAGTGAGTGCAGAAGTCTTGTGCGGAGAGTGCAGCTGTTCAGGAAGCCCGTCTCAAGTCCGCGCTGAGCTTTAGTTAGATAAGAAGCGTGAAGCTTGTGGACATTCTTCGTCTCAGGAGCTCTATCATCACGTGCAGGTTGTATATGACATGTCGGTGGGAGGCACCAAACCTAATTCATTCACCGCTTGTTGCTGTCCACCCATACTTACTTAACATACGAAGGAGACTGACCATTTACTGATCATCTCAGGCTTGGGGTAGTGAGATTGAATTGATCTATCTCTAATTCCACTTTCACTGTGGCTGTCTTTCCAACCCTTTTTGTTCATATCAAATGCAGGGGCGAATCAAGATGAGCCGGCCCCCAAACCGGCTCAGGGTCCGCTCCTCTTGACCCGCCCGAGCTTGCAGGCGATAAGGTATTATTGTCCGACGACGGCCTGCTAACTATGGAATCGACCCGCAACCGGTGTCCGATCGGTATAGTATGTCAAGCGAACCCCTACATAGTCATCACTATCAATGGCGCAGCCTTCTCGCTGCTTCATAAAGATTCGTTCAAGCCTTACTAGGCAAATCTCGTTTCCGGATTCTGGTTAAATTGCAGCAAGTAAATCCGCCTAGCAGCTCCTGCGCCTCGTCACCGCACACTCAACAACTGGTAGCAAACAGCGATTTTCGTCACCTCCCAAGCCGTGACGTGCTTCTTGCTACAGCTCGGATGTTGCTTGGGATGGTACCTTGCCAAGCTGACGGAATACACGCAAATTTTACCTCGCCTGATGGCATACTGACGGGACATCATGACTCAACGCGATGACGGGGGCTTAACCCCCCTGCCCCCCGTGGGGGGCCTGCGAGCTCGTTCTTTCCATCTACAACATTCTTGCCATTTTTACCACTATTCTCAGATCCACAATCACCATCTCTATCAACCACTGTAAGGACCACTTTCATGAACATCTCTATCCACCACTACCAAAATCAAATCACAGCCACCAATATGACTCAAATCAGCACCAGCCCTAAGCAGCAAGGGCCCATCACCCCTGCGGCAGACCGCACCTGTCCGGTCTGCCAGCTCAGCTTCAGCAGTGTGGAGCTTCTCAGGAAGCACCAACACTCGCAGTGGCACAGACTGCCCTGCAAGCACTGTGCGAAGAGCTTCGTGACTGAGCAAGCAGTCCAGCAGCATCTTCGGGACTTCCACTGGCAGACAGTGGTGTCCCCATCATTTACCCAGCCTGCGGGAGTTGCAGCAAGGCCTCCCACTTTTTCTCCTCTTGTGCAGCCTGTTAAGCCCAAGGCTGCACCCAAGGCGGACGATACGAACTGCCGAATCGTCCACCTCACGAAAACCGGAGAGATTTCTCTCCTACCTTTAGAAGAGCCAGCACAGCCTTCCAGTTCAAAATTGACTTCCGGTGCACTTCTTCCTGAGGCAATTGCCCGGCCAAAGGTTTCTGATGACACTACCTCCACGTCATCTACCTTGTCAGGGCAGGACCTCCTACTTGCACGCCTCCTTGCGAGCCGCCATTCTCAGACTCGCCTCTCCACAGAAGGCTACAACATGGTGGCCACTCCTTCGGCCTGTGACCGGCCATGGAAGGGCGCAATCCTGCAAGAGCTATTCAGAACTACTCCTAAGCGAGTAGAAGCTCCTCGTCGTCACAACAAGATGACCAGGAAGGCAGTCGTCATCGACTGCGAGATGGTCATGACGCACGACGAGGATAGAGAGCGGGCCTACAACGGGTAGCGTACCTGGCGGTGGTGGACTTTCTGACGGGTGAGGTACTCATCAATCAGTACGTCAAGCCCTCGGGGAGAGTCACCCACTGGAATAGCCGCATCACGGGGATCACCCTCAAAGATATGAACGCGGCCGTCCGAAGCGGCGCAGCGTTCCGGGACTGGCAGGCGGCCCGCGAAGCGGTGTGGGACTATGTGGACAGCGACACGGTGCTCATCGGCCAGACGCTCCACAATGACCTCCATGCCCTGGGGATGGTCCACTTTCGGGTGGTGGACACGGCCCTTCTCACGGCAGAAGCCGTTTTCTCGGGTTGGGAAGACTCAACACGATACCCTCGGCTTTGGAGCCTGAAGAAGCTGGCCTGGGCCATGCTCGGCCGGCAGATCCAGGCGAGAAGTGCGGGCCACAGTGCCCTTGAGGACGCGTTGGCCACTAGGGACGTCCTCATCCACTGTCTTGAGAACCCAGTGGAGTTAAGGAAGTGGGCTTGCGAGGGAAGGAGGGAGTACTGGGATTCTGGGGATGGGAGGCTGGGCATGACATCGGCAGTGCCCATTGTGGCCGGCGATGGCCTGGAAGATAAGAGCGAAGACTCGAGTAGCAGCTCTGGGTCTCGTTTATGGTCGGATTTCAGTGAGGACTACTTGTAGTCTCATTGAAATAATCCTTGGGTTGTCCTGCCCGATTGAAGCCATTGGCACTGGGTGTCTTGTGTTTCTTTTTGTTTGACTTTGATATTTTCATTCTCCCATCTCAGTGGATGCCTTTCTGTTCTTGCTAGCTCCAATCTTGACAGCCACAATGCGATTGTCCTCAGCCCACACAATAACACTTTGTAATGCCCCCCTGTATTAAGCTCCTGGATAGTACATCCATTGCATCCCAGTCAGAGAAGCATGGCATAAGACCACATGATGCCCGAAGTAGACTCCCGCGACATTGCATGTTTGAAACAGCCAGAGCCAAGAGGATCCAATCTATTCACAAGTCGGCGCCCTAGCAATAAGAACGTGCCACCCGACTGACATGCGATAGTGGGCTCGTGCTTCTCCCATTCAGTCACATGGCCTTTGAACTTGCTTGTTCTGGGGGTCGCCATGCGCCGTCTATCGTACAATATACTATATGCAGACCAGCACAATCGGCTATATAGCGTTATTGAAACGCATGCCTCATTCTGCATGCTCTTTTGGGGATACGATCAGCAGAAAGTCAAGTGACATTCTATTTACAAAAGAAAGCTATTATGGCTCTAATCAAAATAAATGGAGTAAACTGCTTTTATAATCCGGATGGAAAAATGCTATACCTACCTAGGGGAATCCCCGTACTTGTCCGAAAAAAAAAAGGCTTCCTCATTGAGCCGGTTCATCCTAATCACACGAAGCTATGCTATGTCGGTCCCGAGTAGCAATCGGGCTGGCTCGAGTGCTCATCATCACCTCCTCCAAGTGGGCTCTCAAATGCGCAGTTGCGCTGCCCTCTATCTTCGTCAGATCCTTGCGGCAGAGCATACACCTGTTACTATCGTAGAAGTATCCCCAGCCCCAGTGATGCTCGAGCATGTGGGCGGTCCAGGCCTCCGCATCGGCAAACGCCGCATCCACGCTGCACTGCTCATGCAGGCAGACGTACGGGTGGAAGTCGTAGCGGACATGCTCTCTCCACGCAGCGGGGTCGCTGCAGACGTTCAGGGGGGCCGCGTCGTTGCAGTAAGGACAGATGACGCAGCCGTGCTCGGGCGTCAAGGGCTGGGGCGGCGGCGGCGGCGGCGGGAAAGGACCCCCGCCATCTGGAGTGGTGTTAACGGCGGGGGCCTGTGGAGGAGCGTCGGGCGGCGCACGGCGACGCTGCCGGCTGAGGATCCGCCAGCGCATGCGCTTCGCAGCGCTCAGCCGCTGGCGAATCCTCTCGGTGGCCCGGGGGAACTTCGCCCACAGGTCGCGCTCGATCCGCCACGTGTAGTGCTTGCCGATGTCGACACCATCGATATCGAGGACGTGGTAGTCCGCGCTCGTGTCGACGATGCTCGCCAGCTCGTAGCTGCGTCGCGGGCGAAGCGCGGTCCGCACCAGCGCAATCCAGTACGCGGCGTCCTTCTGGGCTTCCCGGAAGGCGAAAGCCGCTTGGTCGCACCAGATGCCGTCGCGGATCGGGCTGGGGTGGGTGAAAGCAGCCTTGATATTATCCAGGGCGTGCGCGACGAACTCGCGGGTCTTCGGGAGGGTTCGCAGCTTGCTCAGGCTGGAGGTGCGGTAGTCCGCCGAAAGTTCCGCCTCGAGCTCCGGCCAGCCTGGGGCCATTTCGGCAGCGGGCGTCTTCTGCTGGACAAGCACCCGGTATAACGCGTGACACTCTTCGACTTGCAGGTCGACTTGCTTGTTCTTAGCAGCGTTAACGTCCATTGTGTGGTTTGCCTGCATCGAGGTTCGTTCGTGGTACTAACAGTCTTGATGTCTTATGGTGTGTCATGGTAGGCCTCAAGCATGTTTATATAGACCGGTGCTTCCTTCCCAGGCGTAAGAAGAAAAATCATGCATAATACGAAACATGCAGTAAGACTTTCCTGCAAACATAAAAAAAACTCCCCACTGCGCTTGAGACCATGAAAATGTTCGGACCCTACCGAGGCTTACTGCACGATTGATGGGATTTACCAGTAACCGTAGTGGTCAATGCGTTAGCAAACCAAGAGAGAGACAAGGAACTGAGGGAATTTGGGGGAGGCCACCATCGTGCTTTGTGACAGAGGGGGTTCGATATTGAAAAGTATCGCGCAGCGAATGCCTGGTATATACACGACCACAGCGGTGGGACTAGGGCCTCCCTATCTATACCGCTGTATATGAGTTATCTTTCGGATATAGTTATCAAGACTGGAACACCTTATCTAAAAGCTCTGCTTATTGCCATGTCTTGCCATGCTGCCAGGCCTCGTGTGTACAGACCAGTCAATCTCTCATCCTAATGAAATGTCAATTTCCTACTTAATGTGATACTTCGGGGAATCTTTCCAGTAGAGGAATATCACTGGACATTGGTTTTCCTTTCTGAGAGAATGTTATCTTTTTCATACTATCATATCGCTTCTTACGACTCCAAGCGAGACTTCAATGATAGGTACTAGTACCACAGAATGATGCCAACTCTTAGCGGCCATATCAGCCATCACTCGCAGGCCTGACTGATGCTGGAGATGTATGACCATTCGAAAGTGGTCGGTGTGGAGAGGATGCGGTGAGTCGGAGAATAGATTACAATCGGAGTCTTCGTTCATTCTCCGCCCGTCATTTTCAAGAGAGAGAACATAGGAGGAGTACTATGCCAGGGCACTCGATGTTTTGACAATAGCCTTGCTAGTCCCAATGGGTGTGAGCAATCCACGGCATAATTCTCTAGTTACGAGCGCGGGTATGTAAGTAAGGTCGCCCTTTTTCCAGAGAAGTCCGAACATGACAAGGATAAGATATTACTTTTTCAGACACAATCACTTTTCTCTTGGCTCCTCTGAACAAGCAATGTAGCATAGCGTGCGGCACACGACTGGCAAAGATACTGGCCGAGTATTTCGTCTTTCGTTTGCTACACAATTTTCGTGGCTACCATCCATCAGCAGTACGATCAATGCTGAAACTTATAACGTGAAAGACCTACGCAGTTGGCAGCTTGCCTAATCGAGACTTTCGCAAAGTGATGGCATCGTGAATGATAAATAGCGACAGATGCATTGCTTCGAAACCAGAGTCGATGATGCAAGGATGGTTCTCGTGGAAGCCTCTTTTAAATCAGGAACCGCCCGGAAGTGGTGGACTGGGGGTTGCTTTCATAAGTCAAGACCTCGGGCGGACTTCCCATGGGACCTGATGAGCAAATGACTAGGGCCGTGAGGATTCATACAATGAATGGTGCACATAAGCTGGAGCAAGCCAATCTAAATTTCAAGGGTAGAACCCGAATAAAGTTTTTATAGATATATACAAGAACAAGAATCAGGCCAGTCTCCCCCATCCACACGACCTCACACTACCTCCTCCATTCACTAATCTCAAGCTAGCGATTTACAACGGTCTAGTTCGAGGCAACGCACTGGTAGTAGTAGGCGTTCTGCTCGACGCAAGTGTAGGGGCTCTCGCACTCAGTGGGTCCGGTCCAGTTGATTCCACCGCACTGGTAGTACTGCTTGACCTGACCAGCAGAGTTGGTGGCCTCAGCACCCTGGGGGTCGCTGACACCGGCGCTGCCGCTGGCAGCAACCACGCTGGAGGTGACGGGGCTGGGGGTGACAACAGGGGTGGTGGCAGCGACGGCAGCAGCAGTGGTGGTGGGCTGCTCGACGACAACGGCAGTGGTGGACTGTTGAACGGCGACGGCAGTGGTGGACTGCTGGACGGCGACGACAGTGGTGGTGGGCTGGCTCACAACAACGATGCTGGTGGCGGAGGCGGGGGCGGAAGCGGAAGCGGAAGCAGCAGCGCTGGTGCTGTGCAATCTGCAGGGGGACTTAGACTTGGTGGAGGTAGCAAAAGTGGTGGCGGCAGAGCTGCTAGAAGGGGCGGCAGCAGCAACGGAGACGGCGGAGGTGGTCGAGACCTCGGGGTGGGGAGCAGCGGTGGTGGTCTGCTCAACGGCAGAGGTGGCAGAAGCGACTGATGCAGCAGCGGAGCTGGAAGCAGTGGTCGAGTTACCATCGGGGAAGTACTTCTCCAGGATGGGAAGGTAGGTCGAGTAGGCCGGGCCATCAGAGGGCTCAATGCTGTACATGTAGGATCCCCACCAGGGACCGGCAGACCACCAAGAGGCACCCACCCAGACATCGCTGTTCTCGGACATGTAAGAAAGCATGCCCTCAACAGCCTCCTCACAGACGGTGTTGACAGCACCAGCGAATTCTCCGATGATACCCTTCTTGCTGTTGGTCTGGAGCCACTCGGTGGCGCTCTCAAGACGCTCCTTACCGATGGTGGAACTGACACAAGTCTCCGAGGTACCCGAGGCATCGGAGTCGAGGTACTGGTGCATCTCGTAGATGATCTTGTCCTCAGTATCGGTCAGGCCGGACAGGTCATCGTTGTACTCGGTCCAGGTCCAGGCACCAGAGTAGCTGTTACCCTCAACGAAGATGTACTGGGAGGTGGCGCCTGCGGCACGGATACCGTCGATAGCGGCCTGGTTGAGGCTCAGAACCAAGGACTGCTCCATATCATGGTATTCGTTGTCTGATCGATTGATTAGCTTCGTGGTTATCAGCAGGAATAATTGAACTGACTGGTATCGAAGATGACCTTCTCGTTGTCGGCAAACTCGGCAGCGACGTTCTTCCACCAGGTCTGGAAGTCAGAGGTGGAGGTGATGATGGATCCGTCGCTGCAAATCATTAGCCCTCTATCACAGAGGGAGCCTGGCCCGTTGACTTACTATCTTCCGTAGTTGTGGGGGTCGAGAACGGCGTAAGCTCCGCTGTCGGTGACGAACTTGACGGTCGACTTGAGGTCGCTCAGGTAGGTAGAAGCAAACGAGCCAGTGATGCTGTCGGGGGTGAGACGCTCCATCAGGAAGGGGATACGGAACAGGTTCATGCCCGCATCTCTCAGGATCTGGATCTGGCTGGTCGTGGGCCAGGTGTAGGTGGTTCCCAGAGTACCAACGCCAGAACCAAACTCAGCACCAGACTCGCTGACACCGAAGACTATATCGGTCAGCACTGCTACCCTGAACGCCTAGGCGACATGACCTTACAGGTGAATCCAGAAGAACGCTTCTTGATCTCACGCTTGGGGAGAGCGTTGACCATGCCGGCGGCGGAGGCCGCGATAACCAAGTTGCTGATTCTCATTTTGAAAAGAATGTATATCGAACTAGTCGGTTGAAAGAGTGACTGTAATAAAGAATGAATGAATGTGAGAGTAAAGAAGGAACGTCAAGAGCCAGTCTTGATTGTAGTATACCAAGTAGCAAAGACGAACGGCCGGGGATCCTCCTTCTTATAGCACTAAGTCGTCCAGGCACACGTCAGGTCAGAATTATCCTGGGAAATCCGGCGGCTCCACTGTCAATCTCGGCGGCAGATTTGGGCGCATCCCCCTGAGACCGCCACTGGACGACTCGAGACCCATGCACTCGGGTGGACATGGTAAAGGTCGAGAACGTTTCGCCCCAATATGTCCTCGATGTGACGAAACTCCAGGCCGGCGCCGAAGCTAGTACGGACCCTTAAAATCACTTCAGGTGCAATATCAGCGCGTCTCGCCAGCGCCGCTGACCACAGCCCTGGTTGCTCGCAGGAGAAAAATTTCCAGTTGATTGGGAGACATGAATTACTTCCCAGGCATTGACTCCGACACTGTTGTGACATCCCCTCAAGTCTCTTTCATGGAACGTTCGAGTGTAGTGGAGACGGCGAGCAGCATCCGTTGTCACAGTGCAAGCCTTAGCACAGTAAAGGAAACCCAGTGCCCCCGTCATGATCACCCTTTTCGGAGCGGTGCACTGGCCCCAAGCCATCGTCCTTCATTTCTCCAGGTCAAATTGCCATTTAGCAGCGTGGGGCCATACCATGCAATCGCTAGGGAGTCTGATCTAGATGAAACAGCATCGCGTCCCAAGCCTGCCGTTCGTTGGTGGAGCGCTCGGCGATAGGATTCACTTAATCAAAAATAATTCCGGGCCGAGGAACGCACACAAACGGCGAGATGCCGGTAATCGAGAAAAGCCGTGCATTCTATTCCATATTTCATTTCAGCTCAGGGAGCAAGATTTGTTCGTCCTGCCTACCCCCGACTCGCCCGGTTGTTCTTCCCAATTAATTTATGGGCCGGTCCCATACTATTTCAACTGAGACATTCCACCTTCCGCGACCCACCACAATCGTCTGCCATCTTCCAGGCTTCGCTGTGGTCATTTCCAGATAGCTGACCTATCAAATTCATGGATGTCTTTACACATTGCGGGATCCATAATCAAACACAGAAGAGGGACGAATTTGCAAACGACAATTGACGAGTGTGAATCCTGTTGATGGTGGCGTGCAATTTGTTGTGGTGGATTCCGGATTGTGGTTGTGGAGATTTGCGAGGGGGACCTCGGGGTTGCTGTTTGTTGCTTGTTTGTCTCTCCTGACACGCACGTGCCGGAAACTCACCCGGAGTGGGAGATTCGCCTCAATTTGACCGCAATCTACCTGTACATACAGAATTTGCAAGAACTGATGGGCAAGATGAGCTAATGTCCACCAGACGTCTAGTTACTCGGATGACCGGGTGGCGTTTCTAGTCGCAGTTAATAATTTCTGTTTAGTATACTACCAGCTGGTGCCTAGCACATGTCCACTTCGCTTTTTTAGTAGTTTGCAATCGAATTGCTATTTTGGCATTCTCGAGATTAAACCATCATACTATTTACAAAGCCACACCTGCCGAGATTCGGGCAAAGATCCGGGTGTAGCCAAGCGCAATGTGCAATTTACCAAGGGCCCCAGTCCCCTTTTCTCAGCATTGGCCGACATGAAATTCGAACGATCGATCACCTTCCCCGATCGGGATGGCAGTGGCATCATTGTCATAGAGTGTACGCTCAAAATAGCGCACTCGTCCTTGTGTACTCACAAGGATTACTGTCTGTTGTTGCGTCCCATATGCCCCCTGAAGGAAGGAGTGGTCCAGAGCATCGTGCTGCTCGGAAGAAGCATCCTCTGCCACCTTGCTGTCACTGCAGACCGCAGGCACCTTCTCTGTGGGTTTGACAGGCTTCTCGCGAGCCCCTAGTACAGGGATGAATATGCTCTGTCTGAAGTACGGCAGGTAGTCTTCCGCGGTGGCATCCTCCGTGAGCTTTGGTAGCGTGTTCGTACTCAGCATATCGAGCAATCTTTTGATGAGAGCATCTTCGTCTTCCCCCTTCTGCGCATGCTCAGCAATGGCCTCCTTCATCAACCTTTCGCCCTCAAGAATTTTGGGCCAGGATCGATCGTCAAAAATCGTGTTGCTAAGGCCAAGGGTCTGACCTTTCTCCGTGGCAACCCAGGCAATATGATCCATGGTAGATGAACGATTGGAAACGATGGCCAGAGGTTCATTGACGTATCCGCACAGAAGACTGAATCCACCAACATTCCTGGCAGACGGGCTTGCAACCATTCCCTGTACAAACTCCTCGGTCGGTTGTCGCCGGTCCGGGGCGGACGTCAGCCAACTGTTGACGATAACACCGCGACTTCGTGCTCCTGTGGCCTGCTCAGAAGTGTCCTCGCGGTAGTTAGTCAACACCGCTATTTTCCCGTCTTTGGTAATTCCCATCCATGTCCCATGTGCTGCTCGGGCTAGATCTCGACCACCTAGGATATTGGGTGTTGGCTCTGGCCACCAGTCGGCTGGGGATGTCGGCCGCCGAAGGTATTCCTATCCTCTGTCAGTCCCAGACAAAGCTTTGCGCCGATGCACCGGGAGTAAGACTGCTTCATACATCTCTATTGTCAACTAAGATTAATGAGTAGGACGGGTGGGCAGTTGATACCAGTGCGATACACATTGCCGCTGATTTTGAGGGGGAAGGTTCGAAGATGGGACCAAGAGGTGAATCTCTTGCGGGGAGGTTGACCACGGGCGAGCTTGGCCACCTCTTGTGTGAGGGGAAGGTCGGAGCGTATGGAACGATCAAGCAGCTAAATCCGGGATGAGTATCGGTGGGCTGACTCCGCTGGTCGATACTAGTATTGAGGCGAACTATAAGTCCCGAGATCGAACTCGAAAGTTGGATTCAATGACTGGTGAGTAGAGGACAGAATGAGGCGACTGTTGGGCACTTGAGGTCATCCGACAACAAACACGGCCGGCAATTTGGCTCCACCGCCCGACTTCGCTGTCCACCGCATCCCACCATATCTTTCGATTGATAAGGAATGATATGAAGCTCAAAAGTTCGACTGAGACTTTCTCTTTTAAAATGGTGATTGCTCTGGCATAGAGAAACTCTCGCACGCTTCTTGATGACGATAAGGTAATTGTGCAAGTGATCCGAATTCGGACTTAGGAGCCAATGAAGATTCACTTAGGACTTGTCAGGCCTCCCTTAAACAATAAATGCATGCTCGAAAACGTTGGTCTTGCGATCCACAATTGGGACGAATCGTAAAGCGCCAATGCCACAAAACCTCTTTCGTCCCTGACCCATGTTGTGCATTTTTCCTGTATCTTTTCAGATATTGCTTTTTCTCGAGGCGGAATCAGGACTATATACAAGACTCCACGCCATGGACTTATCGGATTTTGGTTGTCTCTTCTCTGAAGCCTCGATATTGTCATGACGTCAGCGAGATCGAAGCAACCCGAGCGGAAAGCGAACGGTGGTAAGGCACCTGCACCGAGACTCCTATTTATTGCCTAAGGCTTTATTCAGGCCACAAGGCCACATGTCACGGAGTGCCCGCCCGCCTGCCTGTGACGGCATGAATGCCTGAGGTGGATGATGTCTTCTATTATTAAGACCCCTACTCCAAAATAGGGCTCGATGGGGTCATTGATGCTAGTAACTCACTGATCCGGCCCCAGTTGCTCAAGGCAGCCACGCTTCATCTGGTTTGCCCTTGTGCAAACATTTTTTTCCCTCGATTTTTTGTCTTATCCTCCTTACCCCAATAGCTTGCAGTAATCATCTTTTCATTCTTCCACTTTGTGCTGCAGCCGGCCGGTCGCGATCCTTTGTGCTGCTCTTCTGGTCACTGCTTGAAGCTCCCTGCCCCGCAATCCTATTGCTGCTCAGCTTACCTATAAACTGATTCCCCTCACCCCTGAACTTGACCACCACAGTTCTACTATCACCGACACCCTCAAGAGCAGTGGCCCTGTACAAGCGCACAAGCTCGTCATGTTTGGCATCATTGCGGATCTGTTATCGTGAGTGAAGGCTGTTTCCCCAATTGCTCTCTCCCCTCTCCGCACAGCTTGGAGATTTTCGTCTCTCCAATGACGGTACAGCACATGCTAATCTTCTCTCATGCGGAAACCAGATCGGTCATTACGATTTTATTCCCCATCTTTGCCTCGTACAAAGCCCTTCGCTCTTCCGACCCCTCCCAACTAGCACCATGGCTGATGTATTGGGTGGTTCTGTCCGCCGTATTGATGGCTGAGTCCTGGACGGTCTTTATTCTCGGGTGGTTCGTCACTCGAAGTTGAGGATATTCGAATTTCTCACTGATGAAGATGACACAGGATTCCTTTCTACAGCTGGATTCGCCTGTTCTTCTTCTCCTACCTTGTTCTTCCCCAGACGCAGGGTGCCATCATCCTGTACCAGGAACACGTCGACCCATTCCTTGCCCACCATGAGCGAGAGATTGAAGAGTTCATTGGTCGCAGCCATGAGCGCGCCAAGGCTCTGGGGCTGCAATATTTCTACCAGGCCGTCGACTACATCCGGAAGAACATCCTCGGCTGGCCTGCTCAGCGTCCGGCAGCTCCTCCGCCGCCACCCCCCTCTGGACCTGCCGCCTACGCGCAGTCGCTGCTCTCGCGCTTCAACATCCCAACGGCATCTGCACCCGGAGCCCCGACTGCGCCCGCCGCCACCGGCCAGGACTGGTTCTCCACTATTAGTTCCGCTGTGGCCGCCGTCACGTCGGCCGGCAAGAGCCCCGAAGTCCGTGGCGAGGAGCTGTCCGCCAGCGGCACCTTCCTGCCCCGGGATATCGCCTCCATGTCTCGCGCCGATAAGGCGCAGTACATTTCCCACCAACGCGACCTGCTTGAAGTGCTGCGCAGCGCGCTGGCCAAGGAGGAGCGTGAACTGCACGGCAGCGAGACGGAGGCGGACGACCTAGCCTACGGCGGTGCCCCGTTGCACAAGAACGAGAGCGAGAACTCGTTCCACCACGTCGAGCACGAAGATCTTCATCGGAGTTCTCCGGATCTGTCCAGCCGCACGGCCAGCGGTACTTGGGCTTCCGGGTGGTTTAACGGCGAATCCAATGATATGCGCAACCGTCATCATTAAGTTTCAGGTTTAAAAAGAGGGTGGTTCTCGTATTCTTCCCTTCATTTTTTTTTTCTTTTTTGCTTTCGATTCTGGTGGCCTCACTATCTTCCTCCCACGGTTTCGGGATTTTCAGACAAGTAGAATGAAATTCAGTTATACTCATCGATGAGGCTTTTGCCATCAAAATTTATGTCAATTGCCACCGGAGAGAGCAAGTCACTTGCGGTCATGTCGTGAGAATGATATGTGCTCTGTATGTCAGGTGCGCGTCGAACGCAGCCATACTGCCGTAGACGAGGGACAGGTTGGTCCTCATGCTTGCTTGCGCTCCTTGCCATACATCATGCTGTCGCAAACCCACGTGCCTACCCGGTGGGCGACAAACTTTAGCCCTGAGCTGAGTTAATGTTAGTGGTGAGCTTGTTGTACACTTGCGACGGCCACATTGAGTGCATAGCCGCCGGACAAAGGATTCCATACGAGATTTTTCGCGGAAAGTTACCTGGTAGAAACAGCAGTCGACCGCCGCTTTGGGGGCTGGAGGCGCAATGCGTGGCGGGTGTCTTGCAAAGCTCTTTTGAATTTTGGGTGGGGGGGTTTTAATCTGACCGTACTGGCTTCGCCACGGATTGTTCTAGTGAGTGCCAAATTCCCAATAGAGGAAATGGTGGTAGAAATCAGGGCCGCGAAACGGTGTGAATGTGGCTGTTGTGGCTGCAATGGAAAGAATGTTGTTTGCTTCTTTTCTAGAACGTGGATTGACTAAGTTATGGATAATGGCTGTAAGTTAAGTTAAGCGATGGCTTGCCTGAGTAATCTGCAGGTCATCACCGCTGGGAAATTCAATTCATCCTGTCTTGGCGGCACTGTTTGAGCATTGGAAATGGAATGATACTTGATTATGAGACTAGAGGGACAATCATAGGACATAATTCTGCTTCGAAAATATACTAAATGGAGCGTCACGGTAACCCGGAGGGAAGGGGAATCCTTTTTAGGTCATATCTTCAAGGCTTCGGATGTTTTAGACGGTACAGAGTGTCGGTAGGTATGCATGCAGCCCGAGGGATAGCGCATCCTAAGATGTAAGGAAGCAAAACCCACGAACAAATAATGTCGGCCCAACCAAGGCGTCGACTGGCCGAATGTCAGGTTCAGACGTGGCAGATCTGAGCAACAGATGCAAAAAGTACTACCTAGTAGTATTAACCTCTGGAAGGCTCGGGGGAAGGTATCGTCCAGCGAGCGAAGGCCGAATCAGCTGCTCGGGATCAAGGACTATAAATAAATTCGCGGTGTCGTTGGAGTATCCGTGATGATAAAGGATGAGGCCTGATTTGCGATTGTCAAGGTCCTTGGGAGGAGCCGAGTGTCACTACTAGGCTTTCTATCTAGTACGAGGTAGGAGAAAGATCATGATACATTTGGGTGTGGGATACACATGTTGTTGAATGCGTGTAAATATGCGATCTATGTTTCTCTCTATCTATCGCGGCGGTGGCGCCCTGGAATGCTCGGATCGTTTTTAACGTGGATGTGGTTTGTTGACCGGGCGATCGGGACTGCATTATTGGCTTGGATGATCGGACCTCACTCTCTACCTAGTATTGCTGTTGCTGGCTGCTTAGGTCCTTCTTTTCAGACAGGTCCTTGTTTTGGTTTGTGGTAGTCACAGCAGCACTTTGCTTCAACAATGAACTTTTATGATAGTTGATGAAATGGAACTCCGACAAATGTCAGGTAACACAACAACAAGCAGACGAGCACACAAAAAAAAAGAATGAGCGTTCTAATGAGGGTGGTTTGATACGGTAACACCATGTGAAGCTGGTGGTTCGGGAGCGGTAATCCTGTGGCAAACAACGTATGTAATCGGTCTCCCGTATCTTGGCCTCAGGTGTCTGGCTCATGATTTCATGGTCGCCCACAACGTCATGCGCCATGAGGCTAAACACCAATTTGTGGGATGATGGGACAAAAGAGGCAAAGCAGTTGCCGCACGGAACGAGACCAGTGGCCAGGCTAAACGCCTGACGTGACTCATGGCTATATAATCCGGTGATGATGATGCTGGATGCTCCGAGTGCTGAATGGTCAGCGTTCCCGGATAGTCACACTCTGGCCAGCCCGCCAGTGAATCATTCATGTCTTGAGTATGAATGGAGTGAATGGAGCAAGGCAGCGCACCGCCTGGATTGAAGAAAGACGATTCAAAACCACCAATCACGATACTACAGCTGCCGTAGTCAAGGTTGGTTAGTCCTCAACAGCCACCTTGGCTCGGGGTGTTTGCCGCTTCCACCGGACAATGGCGGATTTTCCGCAGTGGTCAGAGTGACAAGCGGGCATTGTCAACTTGAATTTGAAAGCTATGCGTCAGCTCTCATTTGCTGGGGGAAAGAGTTATTGGGGATATCTTTGCTGATGCCAAATGGGGCAGGTTGACCTGCCACTGTGATGTGAATGGTTTTTTGTTTCGCAAACTTTCTGTATCAGGCGTATATGTGTGTATGTTGTGTGTGATGATAGGGACTGATTCACTGACAGAAGAGAGAGAAGCAGCTTTGGTGGTTCCGGCGGATACAGAGAATATTACAGTACGGTCACACTCGATACCAACCACAACCCAGCCCAGCCCATCTTCCTCTCAGCCCAGCGAAAATAATGAAAAACACTGTGCAGGGTAAAAAAAAAAATCCTCCACCACCACCCAATTTTATCCACGCCAAAAAGGCAAAAATTAAAAAAAAAAAGTGAAGAGAGTAAGAGAGTGAACAGTAAAGGACGAAAAAAGGTCAGAGAATTATTTCTATCTCTCCCTCTTTTCTTCCTCTTCCTCTTCTCTTTCCCTTTTTCTTTTTTACCCCAGACTTATCGTCGTTGACCACGACGTGATTAATTTCCTTGTTCCGTGGTCTTCGTTTCTTTTCCCTCTTCCTCCCCTTCCTCTTTTCGTCGTCTTTCCCTGACACGAAAAAAACACCACTCCCCTCCCCTCCCCTCTTCCACACTACCCTTCTCTCTCACCACCCACCCCCTCCCCTCCTCTCAATCTTGTGTGAGGACTTTTTTGTGGATGTTGTGGTTCTAGAGCGTGTACCTTTTTGTTGTAACACGCCCTTTGATAATTCCTCTTCTCCCTCTCTTCGTTTCACCCGAAGATTTCTCATCCTCTCCTCTCATCTGTGTTGCAGGTCCCTCTTCTATCCCGAACGGACTTGCTTCTTCGAACGACGTAAAGTCAATCGTCAACTTTACTAAAAAGCGCTTGAATCCTCTACATTTCGCATAACCTGTCTAATGAGCTCGATCCCTCCCAAGTCAGGCCTCCAACCTCAAGGACAGAGCACCTCGACCCAGGCCGCCTCCTCTCCCGCACAATCTGCCTCGCCGTCGACGGCGCCTCGTTCCTACGCCAGCGCCACCAAGAAGTCCGCGACGGACTCGACCGCCGCGCCCGTCACTGTGGGCGGCTCGTCGCAACATGGGAAGTCGACCTCAGCATCTCCTGTGAGCGGCAAACCCATGCAGCAGTCCCAAACCCCCGGCGTCACCATCGTCAATGGCGCCCCGGCTCCTCAAAGTGATCACTCTCGCAAGCCTTCGGTGACCATTACTTCTGCTGGCACCTCCGGTTATATTCCCAACGGCGGCCAAACCGGTCGTCCCAACAGCCTGCAGTTCGGCTTCGCCAACCAGCAGTCCTCGCCTAGCATGGGCAATCCCGCATCTTTGGCCACTCAGCCTCAGTCCGGTCTTGGTGTCACTCCGCCCGTGAACCCCCGTGTGACTTCTCCCCAGACTTCGCCTTCTCCTATTCCCCAACCCGCCTCCAGCGGTGGCCGGCCACCGCCGTCGACCTACCAGGCGCAGGGTAATGTTCCCAACTTTGGCAGCTTTGGCGATGCTGGCGATAACGTAAGTGGACCGTTCTATTCCTACCATTTTTTCTTGGCATCGCATCCTAGTCCCTTGTTCCGCATTATCTGCAAGACCGCTGGAAATCGACAAAAAGACGGTCAAGATATTGCCATGATCAGAGGGACAAAGACGGGAACGAAAATTCTTGCAAGGGAGCGCACGTCCTCCGTTCTTGGCATACCTCGTCGATATATCCACAACTGAGAAATGCTGATATTAATCGTTTTTCCGCGCTAGCAACAGATGCGCGCGGCTCCACAGGCACCCCTTGGCCCCGGTCCTCAGTCGACCCACCTGCGCCGCGAATCTTCTCAGTCGACTCACAGCGATATGAGCAATCACATGGGTAGTGTTTCTGGACGTGGAGGTTACCCTCACCAGGGCGGTCGCGGCCGTGGCTATTCTCAGTCGAGCTATCAGGGTCAGGTGGCTTACTCTCCAGGTCCCAACTTCCGCACTACACCCAACCAGACCCGGGGTGCTCCTACTATGCCTCCTTCGTTCCATCCTTCTAACCAAGGACGTCCGCTCGGGCCTTTCCCGAACTCCCCTCATCAAGCGAGCCGCAGTCCCGCGCTCGCCAATGCGCATCCTGTGACTCCCCAAATGAACCAGGTCCCTATGGCGCATGCCCAGATGCCCCCGCAAGCGTACGGATATGCACAGCCGATGGCACCCCAGAATGTGAGAACCCCCCATAATAAACCCTTTCGACGTGGATATGGAGGACCCAGAAGGAAAGGATCTTATCGGCGCCCATCTCTTTCACCCATTTACGCTTCAACTGCTAAAGCACCCCTTCCACCCATTCCGTCCATAAATCTGGCACCAGAAAGTGGGGATTTTGAGCAATGTCTAATGCTGATGAAATCCAACCAGGCCTACCCCGGCTACGATCCCACCGCCTACAGCTACTACCCCGGCTACCCCATGGCTGGTGTCCAGTACATGGCTCCTCCATCTCCGCAGCCCCGGCCTGGAATGCCCTTCAACCCCCAGGCGCCATACATGCAGAGCCAGTACCCCGTTCAGCCGCCTTCCCAAGGCACGTCGCTGTCTCGTACGCCCTCGCAAATGTCTAACGACCGCCCTGGTTCTAGCCTTGGTCAGGGCCAGCCCCCTGCTGGTCCTCCTGGCACTGGCCATGCTCACACCGCAAGCCGTTCGTCGAATAGCCCCGGTCCCGCGAAGACGCCGTTTTTCACTCCTGCCAAGAAGAGTAGCGCGATCGTCATCAAGGATCCCGGCAGCGGTGCAGTGAAGACGTTTGAGAAGGCCCCTGCCTCGCCAGCCCGCATCACCCCCTCCCCTGTCAAGATTGCTACTCCCACCTCAACTCCCCCCCCCCGCACTGGTAGCAGCGCTGATCACGCTCGGACCGAGTCCAAGTCTATCAAGACCGACGAGGAGAAGAAACAAGAGCTGAAGGAAGCTGTTCGCCAGAAGATCGAACAGGAAGAGGCTGAGCAGCGCCGCAAGGCAGAGGAGGAGGCCGCCGCCGCCCAACGCAAGAAGGACGAGGAGGAGGAGGCTGCCCGCAAAAAGGAGGAAGAGGAGGTCGCTCGTAAGAAGCAGGAGGAGGAGGAGGAGGCTGCCAAGAAGGCTGCCGATGAAGAGGCCGCTCGCAAGAAGCTCGAAGAGCTGAGTCTCAAAGATAAGCCGGCTGAGACCAAGGCGGAAGAGCCCGCTAAGCCTGCCGAGTCTACTCCCGCCCCCGCTCCCGCTGACGACGATGAAATCGACTATGATGCCATTGAGCGTGAGATGGCCGAGATTGAGGCCAAGGAGCGCGAGGCCGAGGCTGCTTACTATGCTAAGAAGCAGGCCGAGAAGGAGGAGAAGGAACGCAAAGAGAAGGAAGAGCGCGAGGCGTATGAGGCCAACATGAAGCAGGCTGAGCGTGAGGCCGAGGCTATCGAGGAAGCTCGTGCCAAGAAACGCGAAGGCGGCGTTGTCTCTGAAGAGGATCAGAAGAAGAAGGATCTTTTCGCCTCGCTCAAGAAGGGTGGTTTCTCTGCTACGGAGACCAGCACCGAGAGTGGAACTGCTACGCCCGCTTCTGATATGGGTCCCCCTGCTAAGCCTGCGAGCGCCCTCAAACAGAAGCCTGCTGCTCTCAAGCTGGAGACCAGCAAGGCTATCGAGCCTCCTCAGCCCAGCGCTGCTATGAAGTCTCTTCACTCTGCTCGCTTGATTGATGATCTTAGCAAGATCACGTATCCGGAATCGATTGCTTCACCCAACCCGGCTTTGAACGCCAATGCCCCTACCGATCGCAAGTTCCACTACAACAAGGAGTTCTTGCTTCAGTTCCAGAATGTCTTCAAGGAGAAGCCATCGATCGATTGGGATCTGCGCGTGCGGGAGACCGTCGGTGACAGTGACTCGTCGCGTCCCCAATCGGCTCGCACTCCGATGGCCAGCGGCCGCCAGAGCTCCCGCCCCGGCCTCGGTCAAGGGTTCCCAATGGGCAACTTCGGCCAGCCTGGCAACCGCCACAGCTTGCCTCCTGGCACCACCTCCGAACAGCGTTTTGCTATGTCTCGCCAAGCTTCTGCCGTTGGCACCCCCTTCGGTTCCTTCGGTCGCGGTCTGAGCGTCGGTGGCCCCATTGGCCGCACTAACTCGACCCCTATGCACCCCGGCATGCCCTCGCCTCGCCCTGGCTCCGGCCGCTCTGCCACGCGCAACAGCAGCAAGCGCGACAAGCAGCAGGCCAAGAAGGAAGAGGACATGGCCAAGTCTATGCCTCTCACCGCTGGTAAGGAGGTTGAGGCTCTTCAGGTCTCTACCACCGGTTGGAAGCCCCGGAGTATCGGCCAGGCTGCCACTGCTGGTCCTACTCCTGCTGGCTCAGCTCACTTGCCTCCGGATGTGGTGCAGCGTAAGGTGAAGGCTGCTTTGAACAAGATGACGCCTGAGAACTTCGATCGTATCTCTGGTCAAATCTTGGAGATCGTTTCCCAGTCCAAGGATGAATCGGATGGACGCACCCTGCGCCAAGTCATTCAGCTTACTTTCGAGAAGGCTACCGACGAGGCTCACTGGGCTTCCATTTACGCCAAGTTCTGTAAGAGCATGCTTGAGAGCATGAGCCCCGAGATCAAGGACGAAAATATCCACGACAAGAACGGCAACGTTGTCGCCGGTGGAAGCCTGTTCCGCAAGTACCTTCTCAACCGTTGTCAAGAAGAGTTTGAGCGTGGATGGAAGGTCAATTTGCCTCCTAAGCCCGAGGGTCAGACAGAGGAAGCTGCTATGATGTCCGACGAGTACTACAAGGCCGCTGCCGCCAAGCGTCGTGGTCTGGGTCTCGTCAAGTTCATTGGTGAGCTGTATAAGCTGGGCATGTTGACTGAGCGTATCATGCACGAGTGTGTGAAGAAGCTTGTCGATTATGAGGGTATGCCCGATGAGGCCGAGGTCGAGAGCTTGACCAGTCTTCTGCGCACTATCGGTGCTAGCCTGGACGCCTCGGAACGAGGACATGCGATGATGGACGCTTACTTCCAGCGTATCAGCTTGATGATGCAGACGCCTGGATTGCCCAGCAGATTGCGATTCATGTTGATGGTAAGTTGATGATGTATCTGTTGAAGCTGCAACTAGACTAACCCTCTATCAGGATATTCTCGACCTTCGTAGTGCCCGCTGGGTCTCCAAGGATGCCGACAAGGGCCCTAAGACTATCCAGCAGATTCGTGAAGAGGTGAGGAGGACCGGACTTTGTTTAGCTTTGACTATAGCTAACTATTCTTCCAGGCTGCTCGCGCCCAACAAGAGGCCGAGATGGAGCGTCTTCGCCAGCAGGCGAACCGCGGCAGCCGCCCGACCATGGGTCGTGGTGACGCCCGCAGCTACAGTAATTACGGTAACCAGGCTCCTCCTCAAGACTTTGCCTCGAGCAAGGTTGGCAGTGACGATCTCCGTCGTCTACGGACGACACGTAACACCAACCAGCCCATGTCTTTCGGACCTTCTAGCATGCTGGGCTCCCGCAGCAACAGCGGACGGAAGAACCTTGGCCCTGGTGGCAACCTGGTTCGTGGCAGTGATGACAGTGCTGCTAGCAGCCGCACTGGCACTCCTCCTGTCGGCAAAAAGGAGGAAGTTACCTCGATCAACGCATTCAGGTGAGTCATCCTGAGATTTTTGGTTTTGCAATCTTGATGCTAATTTGTGCGCAGTGCTTTGGCTAGCTTGGAAGACCGGGACAACATGGCTACCTCCCCGCCATCGAACCCTACCTCCCCTCTGCTGACCAAGTCGCAACCCGCCGTTGAGCGCCGACCCTCCAAGACCCCGTCCACTGCCGGCGAGGAAGCCTCATAGATTCTCATGCAATGACAATACAAAAATGATTTCGTTCTTCTGGAAAGATTTCTACGTTTACTGTTGCCCCTTTTGACACTTTGTCACGACATGTCTGTGATTTCTTATGAACATTCCTCCTAATCTTCTCGTCCATGATTTTCTTTTCGCCAGCAAGATCGGTCGCTCATCTAACTTCCGTGGGAAAGATAGAGGGAGCTTGTCGACTTTCCCTTGTACAGTTGATGTTACCCACCCGGCTCCACCCGAGAACGTGAGGTGGACGAATGGGTTCCCTTACGATACGAATCTAGGGAGATTGGTTGGTTCGCTGGAGGGGTTGAGATGACCTTGTTTTCTGTTACTGCATTGATATGTTTTCCTTTTCTTTTTCTTATTTTTCCAATACCCGGAGAGCTTTGACGAAGTCCTTCCCTTGCTGCGGATGTTTCTATCAGGGCGGGAAACCTTGCAGGCTAGCCACGTGGTCGATTGCTTATGTCATGCGAGAAGAGAGAAAGAGAGCTTTTGTGGTCATTTTCTTTCGTTTTGTGTCTGCATTGCATTTCCTGGCATGTGGCCGTGCCTGTGTTGTTTTTCGATTAGACAAAATCTGTTAGAAAAAGTTTGCTTGATTCTTGTGGTTCTAGTGTGGTATTCGTATGATGACCCGTACGTTAATGTCTGTTCCATTCGATAATCTCTGGTTTTATTTTTTTGCTGGAGTAGGGATTTAAAGGAGTCAATGTGCACTTGCATCTACCTGAAGTAGTGGAGTAGAGCAGAGGTGAGGATCAGACCTGTAGCCGGTCAGTTCAAAGGATTGCATCGGAGAAGAGAACCAGGAGGTACAGTAAGCTGGTGGAACTGCCAGTGGCCACAGCACCCTAGGGGCTCAGTCGTCATCCATCATTACCCTCGCCCCATCCTCGCGGCGGCGGCGGTGTCTGCTGTTCCTCCCCTTCTCACCCGCGCGCACCATCCTCATCTGCATTTTTGGTTTGAGTTGCCACCTGTCGTACATGTCTAGTAGTCCGAGTAGCTGGATTTCTAGTTCGAGTAGCAGTACTTCTAAGTCTGGATGGCAGCAGCAGCTCTAGTAGTGGCAGTAGTTTTAGCGGTACCACCAGCACCACCAGCACCAGCAGAGCTAATGTTTATTAGTAGTGTCAGTAGTGCCAGTACTACTAGTAGTACTAGTATATCATCAGCATCACCAGCGCCAACGCCAGCGCCAGAGTCAGAGTCAGCGGACAGCCCACCACCACCACCACCACCTGCCGCCGAAGCAGAAACCAGAAGTTACCGAAGGAACAGCAGGAATAGGCACGCAACGATACGCAAAAGGCGCCAGATGCGCCCATTCAAGCAGGAGACTCTTGTCTCTGCGGCAAAGGCCATTGGGGCGGACGGCGCCAAGCGGCGAAGCGTAGCGAAGTGGCCGGGAGACACGAAGTGTTCGAAGCAGGGCCACTTGACTTGCGTGTCCGGGCAGCAGAGACTTGGGGAGGCGGGGCGACGGCGGCAGCGGCGGCGGCGGCAGCGGCAGGCTGGAGGAAGATGCGCAGCGCCGGGTTGCGCGGGGGCTGGGCGGGGTAGAATATCCTGACTGGAACGAGGGTATTCTCAATCTGAGAGGGGCGGTCTCTGAAGGAAGTCTTCATGTTGAGATGGATGTTCCTTTATCATCAACAACCGGGATCGGGTGGAGATCGATTCTGAGAATAAGGGGACCTTTCTTGCTGTATCTGGAAGGAGGATTCCATTGCTGTTGCTGTTGAAATAGGCTCATGTGTGCCTGTTAGACATAAATAATCAGTCAGTAGGTAGTTCTTTGCTGAGTCGCGAGGTTTGTATAGATATCGTGGTCAATGTCTGGTTGATGTCTGGGTGGAGCAACTGAAAAGGAGCTCTATCAAAGACTTGCATATGACTTTCATGATTTTGTGTCCATCAATAGAGACTAATGGGTGGAAACATATCACACAGCTGGTTCAAAAAGATCCTCTCGAGTAGAGATAGTCACATTAATAAATCTAGGTATCTAGAACAGTATCATAACATAATCGTCTGCCTACCATTGCCCGCTATCTGTAGGCTTTCGTCATCATGCAACGCATGCTATCTACCAATGCATCTGCGCTTGACTAGCTGGAATGCTGAATGCATGGTTGTGCGGAACAGGAAAATCAAACATGCTGGAAATCTCCGGTCTGATCGTCTTATGCTTCGTGAGTCGTGTTTGCTTATGCTCCGTCTCTTCTATCCTGAAATTCACGCAGAGAGTGCTTCTGGTCTTGCTTAGCTCTTCGTAAACGGCTCGCATCACGTCTTCGAACGTTGACAAACTACCGAGTCATATCTCATGATCCAGCTGTTCATGGAGCATGAACGGCTAACTGCTTCTCTTCGAACCGGTCGGATCCTCATAGACAATCCGCGGGACCACATTGAAATCAGGCAGTCCCGGAACAACCTCCAACTCACCAACACCATCCTCTGCTTTAGTATCAACCGGCACTGAGCTGTCGCTGGACTCGGTTAGTTCGAGGCCCGGAGAGTGTGTTCCGCTCGCCTCGTCCTCCATGTGCATCACTGTCGGTTCGTCGTCCGACCCACTTCCGTCCACGGAATTCTCCAGACTTCCCGAACTAGGACTTGGTGTGGCAGCTTCCACCAAGCCATTCAACGAGGCTGATTCATCGTGACTGACACTGCTTCTCTCAGACGTCGACAGCGAGGTGCGCGAGTTCGTGTACGACCGAGGTAACCCTAAAGCGGCTGCCACCGCCGCCTCCTCGTCGGGCAGCTTCGACACACTGCTGTCACGACTGGTACTGCGGTCGAAGATATGGCTCCCGCGGCGCTCACTCATCTCGAGGATGTTGTTGTATCCGCGTCGGGTGGGATCGGCGAGACGCTTCTTCTTCTTTTTCTCGCGCTTCGTCGATGGCCGAACCACGATTACAGGAATGGGTGACTGCTGCAGACAGTACTTGGATACTGATCCAGGCAGCAGTCCCTGCACACCTCCTAGGTTACGACCTCGGGTGCCGACGATGAGAACAGCCGGCTCATAGATCCGAATCATGCGTTGGATGATCTCCTGGACTTTGCCCACCGCAAGCTCCAACACTAAGCTGATGGCTTTCTCATTCTGGCTGTTCTTCTGGATCACCTGTTCAAAAAGCTTCTCCGCTTCCTTCCGGTATTTCCCCGCTTCGACCGCGGCGTCGCTGGCGATACTGGAATCCTTCTCCACTGCGCGAAGACAGACAATCTCATCACCGTCATCGACAAGCTCATCGATAAGCCATTCCAGTGCGAAATCGGAGTAATCATTCTGGTCAGTGCCGCACAAGAAGGTTCGACTGCGCCGGGTCGACTGATAGCCTTTGTGTTTGTAGTTGAGAGTCAGGGAGAAGTCGGCCGCATCCGGGTTATCGAATGTGTCGAACGAAACACCTCTCTCGTAGGTTCTGGATCCCGTCAGCCACACATACTTACGTCTCGTGGAAGGATAACTTACTGCGGGGGTGGAGGGGATGGTCCACGACTGGGTGTAGGCTTGATCTCCCGTTCGATAGAGGTGACGTCGAGCTGCGGGCGCGGTCGGTGACCTGCAGCGCTGACGGATCGACGATGCGGCAGCGGCTCCGTACCGCCAACGTTGAATTGAATTGACTTTCTTCGGGAACTCTCAGACCGTTGTGAAGACCGAGGTTTGCTGGTCCCTGTGTTATGGGTGACGCCGCCCTCAGGGGGGTGTGACAACGGAGAGGGCATGCTGAAGGTGCCCGTAGGTGGTTAAGTGAGGAAAATATGATGGTCGTCTCAGCCAGATTGTTGGCAGAGATGCAAGTCGATAAAAAGTCGGTCGCTCAGCCACCGTGAAGCTCGGCAAGTTCGGCGAGTGGTACGATGCGGGAGACGCCGACCATGGTTTGGTAAGTGAGGTCGTGAAGGAGAATCTCCCGAGCAAGTGTCTGAGACCGGCACGCTCGAGGATGAGGGAATGAGATGAACCAAAGCGGGTCTCAAGGCTAGCCTGGAGCTACAGTGAGTGACTTTGCCGAAGCGCCGGAGTGAATAAGAGTAACGAGACAAGCAGCAAGCCGAAAGCAGCTGGAGGGTGTGAAGGAGAGAGAGGGAATAGGAGGAGACCGGCAATTCCACGGCGGGGCAGATGGAAGGCGGTCAGGAGGGAGAACGCCGGCGGGTCACGTTTCCCTGCTGTCTGCCACGCGGAGACTTCATCTTCGACAATTCCCCGGTCATCAACCTGACCATATCCTTGGCTACTTAGGACCAAAACAGCAAATGAGCCGGGTGGAAGGCGTTAGCTGTACCAGACTGAGTATATACTTCCGGTCATGGTAGATACAACCGGTAGTCTCAGCTTGGCCAGGCAGTCTGGACCATAACATTTCAGCGGAGCAAACGGCGTGCCATTGCGGCCTGAAAGCCAGACACCGGATTTTTTTTTGGCAAACTATTACGAAAGAAGGAAGGGAATGGGAGGTCTAGATGGGTAGAAGAGTCTTCAGCTCTTCAAGACTTGGTAGTGCTAAGGGCAGCGTCACTTAATCTTAAGACGGTGAGGGATTATTCAGTACTGAATGGATTGACTGATCAATTCAATTCAAAATTGTCAATAGTATCAATCAGGCCCAGATTTCAGGAACAAAGGGCGGCCGGGTGACAGGAACAATCGGAAGCCGGATTGAGTCAGGGAAAAAGAACAAGAGGGATCGGCGGTGATCCTCCGTGCGGATCGATCGTCCTTCAGCCATGTGATCCGTCACGGGGCGGTGTACCCGGTCTGGATTGGCGAGAGCCGCGATCGGCACTGCCATCCCCGGTCTAGCCAACTGCGAGAGAGCGGAGTCAAGTCGCTTCAACTGTGCAACTTGGTCTAGTTCACAGTGAAATGATACCGATCACTGATTAGTCTGCTAGTTCTTGACACCCCAGATTGATGATTACAGGAATGAGGGCAAAAGACGGAGTAGAGAGATTAAGTATCATGTTGGTAAAGAATATAATTCTATCTGTATAACTTCATCACCTCGTCTCATATTTGCCTGAAGAGCCACCGTTATAAAGCATGTCGTGGAATACATAAACAAGAAAAAAATGGGGCCGGCAAAATTATGCGGCCCAACGGTGGGACCAGGAAGGAGACGCTGTGGGTGGGTATGAGAAGAGAGAAATCAATGCCCAAACGCTCGGGCATGCAAAAAAGGGGGACCTTCCCCAGTGCCAATATGCCAACCCAAAATAATGCAAAATCATGATGACAGGAGAGGGAAAAGTGATTTTTGGTTTCGATAACGCCGGACCCGCTATGATGGTGACAAGTTTGTCCCAGACTATTGAAAGAAAAAATTGTTCCAGAAACAATCCACGAGGGGTATCACGTATGATAATGATGTGTACAGAGAATGGAGGATTGGCCGCTGCTGCAAGGTACGATCAATAAGCTTCAAGCATCGTACTTGGCGCTCGGCCAGGAAGGTAGTAGCCATTCTCCAGATCGGTCGGTGAGAGAGGAATCTCCGCGGCTTGTGCTTCCTTCTCGTCGAATGCTTCCAAGGTTGGTTGAGGAGGTGAGGGGGGCATGGTGTCGTCTTCCGATTCCCCATCAGAGTCGGACAGCAGCTCGGGCGGGGTTTGGCGGGAAGGCGAGCGAGTCAGAGTCAATTCTTCCAGGTCCTCCTCATCATCATACTCGAAGTCGGAATCAGAATCCGAGTCATCGTCCTCCTCCACTTCCTTCTCGGTGATAATGGCCACCGGGGAGGGGGCCCGTCGTCGCACCGGACTGTAGGAAGTAGGTTCGTAATGGTCTTCATCGTAGTCGGAGTCATCTTCGCTGACGTCTGAGTCGGCGTCAGAAAGATCCTCGGCATCCCAGTCTTCCTCCGGGTCCTCAACTACGGTTTCCGCCCATTGGATGTGTCTAGGCTCGGAATGATGGGAGCTCTTGGTCACACCGCTCACAGTTTGGTTGAACCAATGTTCTTGTTCACGTTCAGCATCAGCCAGCTCCAACATGAGTGAGTCTAGCAGGTTGGCGTGACCAACCAATAGGCGGAGATCGTGGTCCGCCCGGGAAGCTTCGCGGGTAAGCTTCCTGCGGGCGGTGTGGGCGAGATAGTATGTTTGAGTGATGCTCATTTTCTTTTGTTGGCGACGGCGGGCCAGAGAGGTGAAGTAGGAGCTGAGGGAAGGAGTAGAAGTCGGAAGAGAAGAAGGAGAGGAAGAGGAGTGGGAGGAAGGAGTAGAAGTAGAGGTAGAAATTGTGGGGGAAGCAGGAGTTGCCATGGCGCAAATCTCCGGGAGGGCCGCGGTGATGTGCTTTTGCTGAGTGAGGATCGCCGAACTAAGAGGCTAAGAGATGACTCGTTCGCTTTGCGCGGTGACTCAGGCAGCCTTTTTTTTTTTTTCTCTTTCCGGCGGCGGTGGCCGATCGAGGAGGGAGGGAGGGGGCGGTGAGTCAAGGGCCGCTGGTAATCGCTGGTAATCGCTTGGTATCGCTGCAGGCGGATCAATAATGGATCGCAGCCAGCGCCTTATCTTTCAGTCTAGTACGTTTGCGACTGATGCAGAATGCAGATGCAAAAAGACGAGAATACTGATGATTGTCTCAGTGTTGTCAGGCTGTTCGAGGTTCCTGGCGTCCCAAATTCTCCACAAACAATCATGCACTTTCAATAGTCAACGGTAGTGGCAGGCGGAGAAAGAGAAATGGATGTGCTGGTGGTGCGTATGTCGTAATCACAGTGATGTAGTGTTGTAGTGGCTGAATGCGGTCTGAGGTGGACAAGCGAGGATTGTTAGCTGAATGTTGTGATTAGAGAATGAGAAGAAAAGAAAAAACATTCCCAGATGTACCAGGGAGATAGGGATGTTTATGATATATCCACTTTCTAGGCTGATTCTTTTTTTTTTTCTTCTCGCTGCTTGTTAACTGCTATTTCCAATCCCCGTTGTCTTACACCCTTTTCCGCTTTTTTCTTATTTTTTCTTTTTTTTTTTTATCTGCTCGTACTCCATCTAAAGTCCGAAAGGCGCGATCGGACGTTCGGCGACAGACCGTCCGTGGATCGGATACGCCGTCGAGGAGTACCGGATCCACCAGCAAAGTTCTGCCCTGCACCAAAAATGCCTGCCCAAGAGGGCAATTGCTGTCTCACCGCCCATCGTTGAGACCAATAGTTGCAGTAACCCAGTGAGTCACGTCCGGGCGCCGCGCTGCTTATCCCCGTTCTGGGCGATCCCAGCTCAGCAATCACTGCACAAAAACCCTGGACGGGTTTCCGATGACCAATCTTTCCGCGCCGATGTCCCGTTTGGAAGAAAAAAAGGCATCCCAAGCTAGAAAATTCCAGCAGGTGCCCAGCACACCTGCCCGGCAACATTACGATTACTCAACGATTGTCTGCATTAGAAATCCTGACTGCAATCACCATCATTATTCATCATCTGTCCTCTTGTGGTATTTTCACGCGCCAGGTGTCAAATCTTAATATTTCCACGGTTGATGGTCAGAAGGAAAGAGCAGCTGGGCTTGAATCCTTTTATTAATGCTCAATCTAACTGTACTCCGTAGTTATAGTTATCTGGGATCTGCTTTACGAGAACTGAGGACAGCCCTTTGCTCCGACTTCCATCCCCCTCGCTGCTGAATTATTGACACTTTGACCTGTGATTGATAATTGAACTGATTCATAAGCTCCTACGGACAATCCCCTGGCATACGAGTAAACCAGCCTCACGATAGTGTTGACCCTAGTGTGGATTTCCAGACGGGATCCGTGACCCATCACAAGAAAAAATTGTTCTTCTTTGCTCCACTTGGTTAATTCTTGTGGATTTTCCGGGCGCAGTTGGGAATCTGAGGCACGGAGTAGGCTATCCGAATCTCTTCAAACGTACGGAGTACCCGTATTCCCGTCCCAATCCCCGTCTGTCAGCCTCCAGGGTTCTCAGGATGAGTAATCTTTTCTTTCAGTGAGAATTTTTGACCGAATTGCTATCCAACTCCGTCCATGCCTTTCCACCCCCTCCCCCGGCCCCCCCTGCACAACCGCCAAACCTAGATATGGTCGCGAGAAGGAGTCATGAACGGAAACGGGCAAGTAGCTGAGCTCCCCGGTCGGTCGGGATATGGAAGAAAGCTCAGCATCAGCAGCCGAGCTCAACACAATCAATCAATGCCAATTTTCAGGTGCGGTGCCGAATACGACGGCCCCCATTCCTGCTATCTTCCTTCTTGCTGCCTTAGCCTGCGCCCGCAGCCCCTCTGCCCTACTTTGTAGCCTTCACTGCACAGGCTACCACATGTAAATCCACCCATTCTTGAACTCGTGTCGGCATATTATCAATCTCATGTGAAAAAAAACAAAATAATAATAAGGCAAATGAGCATTTTCCAACTCCTCTCCAATTCATACGTCTCTGCCTGTCCACGTATCTTTCACTTCTTGCAGAGCACAGGTATGGAAAAGATGCTACTCTACGTCCATTTGTCATAAGGGATAGAGGGCACCCAATAGGACTATACAGTGATAAACACAGGCCGCCACAATCAAAACGCCTGTCACGCCTTAGCTCTTTCTGTCTCTCCGACAAAGGGAGATCCGGGGCCCGTCATCATCGCGCTGTCGTCTTACTGTTTTAGCCATGCGGCTCTCTCTGTCTTTGTGTCTTCCCCACCAAAGTCACCCGCCATGCTTGGCAAGTCAGACCCAGGCGTGCGTATTCTTGGGTTGGACAATTGGAGCATTGTACACAGCACACCTGAAAATTGGCCTAGGAAACTAGAAAAGAATAGTGTCAACTAGCCTATGGAGTACATAGCACGTACCTCGTACTCCGTATCTAGGGCTAAACTAGGACTAGAGAGGTGGAGGAGAGGGGGGGGGAGATCGAAGCTGGGGCTGAGACTGGGGCTAGCATTTGATCGTCCTTTTCCCCTCTGCCCCCTCCTACTCTCTTCCCTTCGAGATAATGTGTCGGTCCGCTTGGCGATTTAAGATAACTCCACTCCGCAGGCAAACGCAACCCCCTTCCCTCACCCCGATAATCTTATCTTGCTTACATGGCTGTGCAAATTTGTGTCTACTCGCTCAGCTAGTCAGTGAAGCTCTGCCCAATCAGCCAAAGAACATGTAGTCTGCGCTGAGTGGTCATCTATGATCCCACCGGAATACGTAGGTAGTCGTGATAAGCCTATCTATCTATTCTACGGGTTACGGAGTGGCTATGGCCACGGGGTCCAGTCTGACCGCCACATAACCAGGCCGAGCGGATGATGACTCGAAGAAGAGCCATGTGTTGCTGTAGGTGATCATCTTAGACTATTGAGAGTTGAGAATCAATGATACGTTAGTCATGTTCTGTCGTTCAATCGTTTATCTGAAACTCCCCTTAGCTGACACACAGCCTCCGCATAGGAAGCGGAGCAAGTGCGAAGATGGGGATAAAAGCCCCATCCCTCCAGATAAATCAAAGGATACTCCGTAATGCTCATGGCTCGTCATGTGACCCTTTTCCTCACTAGTGCCACTGTCCCGGAGATAAGTTCACGCAGATCCATCTTCCTCCAAAAGGCTATTTATTTGCCTGGATGACTCCGAGGCAGCAACGATAAGATCAAAACGATGATGTGATGGATGAGGTCAATGACGGGGGAACAGTCGAAAGGTGGAAACATTATCGGCAGGTCGTCAGCATTTGCCATTACCAGCGTCCTGCCCCCATTGATCGTCCAGATCGTCCCTGGCCACTGTGGCAGAATCGATCTCATTCTCCATAGTATGGAGTATCATAGAGTCTGGAGCGGGCAGCGACTCCATAATCCAGTGGGGGAATGACATGGCGGGGAGGTGATGCTTCATACGGAGTACAAACCCACAGAGACCGAAAGGAAATCCAAATTAAAGCTGGCAACCACACCTTCAACATGACAGTCGTTCTAGACCAGAACGTACCCAAAACAGAGTCAAATTAAACTTTCATCTCATTTGATACCACACTTCATCGCCAGCGGGATAACCCTTCAAGCTGCTGCAAACGTCAACCCATCATCAACCCCCTCCGTTGCGTTTCTCTGCACGGTACAGATTTCAAATCAAGAATTCCCTCTGTAGTGAACTACCTTATGACCACGCATCTTTCTCCAGAGGCAAAAAATAAACATCCACAGCACCAGTCAGAACCATCCACATCATCATCACCAGTGGCAGAATATCGCCCCCGGACTACGCAATACTGTGTCCATCTTGACACCATTCGCGATCGTCATCGAGATAGGGCAGCAGCAGCAGTAGGCTGTCAATTTAACTACTCGACTAAACATCATCGTACCGTACATCCCTAGCTTCCCTAGCTTCCCGATTGCTGTCCTACCTCATGAACCACGATCATCCTGACGTGAAAGCTTTTTGTTCTGGATGTACACAAATAAACCAATTGTGGTGTATATTACGTCGTTGCAGTACACCGTTGACAGAAGAAGGAAGCCAGTTTTTGACGTCACGACGGGATCGCCATCGCCATCGCCATCGCCAAAACCATCGAGGGCCTGCTTCCTCCCCGGGCTTTGACCTCATCTTCGGGATACGGAGATAACAGACGGGTGGTGAGGGTGATGGTGGTGATGGTGGGAGGAAAGATCAGGCATCCGAAATCCGAGGGACTGACTTTCACATATAGCATGGCAGATGTGAAGAATGAAGATAAGCTTTGCGTAAGAAACATGTAGCTCCATTCGACGTCACAAGATAAAGCCACCCAGCGAAGCCCACTCAATGTCAATGTGATCAACTCATTCAGCAGTTGTCAAATGTCCTACAGATTACTTGACCTCCAGCAGTGCACAAGCACATAATTCCACAATTATAGTAATACATCCTCAACAAATGTACATACGGAGTACACACTTATTTCCGTCCTTGTCAAAGAACATAGAACACACACAGACCCATGCATAGCATAGCATAGCATAGCATAACACCTTAACGCCCCCCCCTCCCACCAAAAAAAAATACCTACGGGGTCCCTTCTAGCATCTGCAACCGTGGCACAAAATTGGCCTCTCGCCCTTCACGACCTCCGACCTTCCGCCTAGCTGGCAGCAACTACAATACAGTAATCCCATCCCTGGTCCTATTGTAGCTTGGCCGACGGACCCTTTTTGTTGCTCGGAACCCCAATTTCCGTGCCACCCGTGCTAACTATACTAAACATACCCAGTAACTTACCGAATCAATCGCAACAACCTAAAAATTTCCACCCGTTGTACCCGTGCGTGCCGGATTCCGAAGCCCATCCACTCTACACAGTAGTAGGTACTCACTAATCAGTAAATTCCAGTAGCCAGCTGCGCGTCCCTCTGAGGGATTTCCCATGTGCACCTGGAACATCACGGATACGCGGATCAGACGGAGGGAACGGGGTTGGCTCAGCCTTATTGTACTAGTGCTTAGATTTGCTATGAGGATACTGTACTGTACTCACTTTACTTACTGTATTCTTGGATTCGAGGATGAAATTCTGCCGGTTTTATAATTCTAATATTGACGAGTGTTTGTGAGGCGTGATATGGGGTCAGGGTGTTCTGCACTTGTAGAGCTGGGAAGGGTCTGTCGCTCGGAGCCATCTCGCAGCCGGAGCAGAAGTCGAATTTTCTGTTTCTGAGTAAAAGGTTTGTCGGAGCTGGGCTTATTCCTATCGTGTTACAGTATAGGCAATGGCATCTGATTCTCTGGCAGGATTGTGATTTGTATGTATACTTATCGATCGGTAGTCCTTTGATTAGGTATGGAAGGGTAGTGCTGCGTTGATTTGCTTGACGGTGCCTGTGGTCTATGTGCTGTATGGCTTTTGAGGATGGGTCAGGGTTGTGCTGTTGTGCATCTCATTGTCCGGTTTGTCTCCAGGTAGGGAGGGATTGGGCAATAAAGATTGCAGTGTCCTGTACGAGACTACTTCGTTAATTTATGCTGTGCACACTGCCCGCTGTCATGCGTGCGTCACACTAACTGGATGAGTCTTGGTTCTACAGCATAACTGAAGCTGTGCTCGATGCATGCGATTCTTGTCGCATCACTTTGCCCGCCTGCCCAGTGGGTTACTGCTCTTTGTTTTGTCTGTCTGGTCATATTCTCAATGACTTGCCGACAAAAGTACTGTCTACCTAGTTCCTACATAGATACAAACAACAATCTAAGTGCTAATATTCTCAATTCGACCTGGTGCAAAGCTAATTGAGCAAAACGATCTCATTCCATCCCCCCAAACAAACTCCCCCAGTCCGTCCCCTTCTTCCGCATCTACCGCATCCACCACCGCAACGGCTCCGACAACCCCCCCTCCTCATCCACCTCGCCGATCTCACACGGCAACAAGATTGCATGGTCCAGCGCATGCGGCAGGCCCCGATGCCTCCCCCGCACTTGCATCGCAATGATGATCGCTTTCGCCGCGGCCCCAAACTCCCCACACAGACTCGTCTCCGTCCCGGGGTACCCCAACGACAGACCCACCGTGCCGTACGCAGACACAATCTCGAACAGAATCGGAAACAGCGAGAACGCCCGATCGTCCGGGTTGTCTTGCAGACGTTGGCCCTCCGCGACGGCGATCAGGAAAAATCCCAGCATCACGTACCAGAGGTCAAACCCGAGCTGGCGTTGGATATGGGCGGCGAGCGAGTCGGACTGGTGAGAGGATCGGCCGTCCGTGTCAGAGGTCGACAGGTTATCGTCACTGTAGAAAATACCGAGGCTTCTTTCTTCGTAGACGTTTGTCTTGCGCATGGCAATGGCGATGGGGAAGGCGGAGATGTACATCATCACAACAAAGGATACTTGAGTCGCCGGGTGGAGGGAGGTTAGCGGGGCGATGCTGAACCCGGCGGTGCGGGTCGAGGCGATTTGAAAAAGGCCGTTGACGAACCTCAGCCCTGGGGTGATGGAGGTGTCGCGGGGTGACTATCAGGTTCCTGGATCGTTAGGTCTATTTCTGGAAAAGTAGAAGAGTGGCCTTGTGCACACGGACCTCTTGGAGGGTATAGAAGATAAGCAGGTCGATTGCATTGAGCAGCAGCAAGACGGCCGATAGTCGCCATGTCTCTGCGCTGGGAAACAGAAGTGTGAAGCACCGACGCGGATGCTCCAGAAGATATACCAATTCGTCGTCCAGGGGAGACCCGTGGCTGGTGAAGTGAGACAGGGTCCAGATAATCAAGCGGAGCACACAGGGAAATCCCGTATTGCCAATGACCACCAAGAAGGTCATGACGAGGAGAGGGAAGGCCGCAGTGTGGAAAGCATCCATCGAGTCCGGGGTGAGAGTGAAGCCCAGATCGTTGAACGCTGATCCGGCCGTGAAGATCGCCCACCACGGCCGGCTAATTCCCGCTGCGGAGAGAACCTGGCTGTACTGTTTGTGCGGCAGCACCCACGCCAGGAACAACAGAATTCCTAGGAGGTGAAAGACCAAGAAGTAGCAGACCAGAATGACGAACAACGTCTTCAATGCCCGGTACTCGATCCCGCCCAACTCCTCCTTCTGTGCTTCGTCCCAGTCGGCGTAGCTGGCAATCGACGGCTGCCACATCAGCGCCGGCAGACCGTCAAGGTCGTGACTGGATCGCTGGAAAATTGGAGACAGTGAGCGACGCGAGCAAGTCCCGGACATTGATTGGTGACGATGATGTTTGACCTCGTACTCGGCCTCTGAGTCGCAAAACGTGATGTGCGGACTGGTCGATCCAGCCGGTGCTGCAGCACCATACTTCCGCCCGGGTAGAGATCCGACCAGATCGGATGTGCAATCCTCATCATGGACAGTCTCCAACAGGGGTCGTTCGTCAGCGGATCTCTCCGTCGAGATCCCTACGTGGGGCCGGTTCTCCGCCCCCACTTCCAGTAAACCTTGATTCCATTCATTGCGCTGATTGCGGCACAACACTTTGGCTTCGTTGATCACACCGCGGAACCGCTTGCGAAACCAATATAACCGGATTACCACCAGCAACGAGTTGATGAAGATGACATTGGTAACCATCGACACCCCCCAGAGGGTGAACTGCTGGACAAAATTCAGCTGATTGAGGTCGATAGGGTTCAGCCCCGTCTGGGTGGCTGCTCCGGAGGCGAGGAGTAAGGCATCGAGGTAAGAAAGTCCCCCAGCCAAGTAAAGCACAAGCGACGACGAGACCGCCCAGAAGATAATATAGATGTAGTGATGATAGCGCCGCAGAGGTGACTTAGACGGCTCGTGGGTGAGAGGCATGCGGTAGGAAGGAGTTTGTGCCGTTGAAGCCGAATGTCGTCGATGGAAGATGTCGGACCACCAAAGGGTCGAAACAATGCCCCCAAAGGCGCGGGGAATTAAATAGCTTGAGAGAAAAGCTCTGTCTCCTTGCGTAGCTTGCGGATGAAGGAGTGGCTAGCAAAAGCCAACAAATGCCTCACACAAATGCATTCTGAATTTTGAGTGATCGGATCGACTGGGCTAGTTACCACTTACTACAACCGAGAGTCTGAGGCTAGCAAGGAGCTAGGTCAGTAGCTATACTCGCTCCCGATAAAAGCTTGGGCCAGTTTCACAACTTATAGCTGACCGGTTTGAACGCCCTTCTCGTTGATTCATGGACTGGAATCCTCAAGGGGGTTTTGGCAGATTTTGCCATCCAGAGGGAGGTTGCACAGCAGGGGAGCTGGGGCAGCAGAACCGAGATCGATGATTCCCCCCGATAAATTGGCTGGGAATAATCGCTCATAGTGATTTGTTGCTTGGCGCGCAACCTCTGACGCACGGTTCATAGTTTGGCTACCTTCAAGAAGCTTTTTCTGTTGTTCTTTCTCATCGTGCAGGACGCCGGAGCCAAATCTCACAATTGGCCGGAAATCATTCCTGGATGTAGACAAAAACCTGCTTGAGTTCCGGGGCTTGGGTCATGGTTGCAGGAACCAGGGGCCGAAGGGGTGAGCAAGTTGCTGACATGCTTCTTTCCAAGCTGTGATATTGGCAGGACTCATTAGTCATTGCTGTGTGGTAGTTATGCACTTCCAGGTTATAAAGGTGAGGTTGTGCTTGAAGAGAGGATCTCAGCGCGTGGAGAGGGAATTCGAAGGGGGACGATCATTGTTGCCTGAGGCAACGAATGTCTTCAACAACCCGGGTGTCGTCAGCCACTCGCTCACTCCTTAGTTGGATGCGGCATCACCAAAGAAAAACATTTCTACTGAGATCCAATGGCAATTGGACCATGATCCAGAGGAAACGCAACTGAAACTGAAGCCGACGATGACACTAGCCAGTAAGTCCTACCAACATGCCCAGCCACAGCAACAGAAGCTTGCAAGTGCGCTACGCATCCTTACGACCAGAAACAGATAGTTACTTGAAAAGGAGGAACCTCGAAACATTCTCTCCAAAACAAAGTAATATGATTGCTGAACTGAAGGTACACTACCCAGCTGCAGCCAAGAAGATTATAAATCGGGAGAATATTACCACACCTCTTCCCACCTTTCCAGCCTCTATTGCCCCCCACACAACCGAGCGATACAATGATCCGAAACACACACTGCGTCAGCTCTACTGCGAGCACGAGGCACCGGAGGGGACGTTCTCGCACTTGCTGCTGGTCTTACCACCGGTGATGTCAACACCGCTCATGGAGAAGTCGCTGCAGCTACCGTCACCGCACAGAATGTAGATCTCGACCGCATCGCTCTCCACGCTGCCGGTAATGTCCTCCAGAGTGACGCCAGAGATAGTGACGCCGTCGCTGGGGGTACCAGTGGGGCTGCCGTTCTCGTAGTCCTGCTCGATGACGATACCGTAGTCGGAGATGTCGGAGATCTTGATGTTGGAGAAGGTGATGTCCTCAACCTCACCGGTGGCGTCGTAGACGGTCTTGATGCGGACACCGTTCTCGGAGTCGGTAACGGTGGAGTCGATGAAGGTGACGTTCTTGACGGTGTTGTCGGAGCGGCCGCCGACCGAGCCGATGGAGAGACCGTGACCGCCGGAGCAGGTACCACCGGAGAAGTAGATGTTCTGCAGGAGGAAGGAAATCGAGGTTAGCATTGAATTCTGGTCATGGAAGAAAGGAGCCGGGCGCTTTGTCCACAGCGATGGAAGGGAAGCAGCCTACCTCGCCAGAGTTGATGGCAACACAGTCGTCCTGGTTCTTGACGGTGGCATCGGTGATGGTGATGTAGGTACTCTCGCTGATGTCGAAACCGTCGGTGTTGTGACCGCCGTTGTCGTCACCGTCGCTGTTGTCGATGGTCACGTCCTCAATGGTGAGGTAGTCGGACTCGATCGAGATGGCCTGGACGGGGGTGTTCTTGATCTTTAGACCGGAGATGACGGAGTTGTCGAGGGAGTGGGCGTAGAAGAACTTGGGCTTGGTCTTGCCGCCGTTGGTGCCCTCACCGTCCCACCACTTAGCACCGTTACCATCGAGGACGGCGCCGGAGGACTGGGTGACGGTGATCTCCTTGCCAGAGATGTACAGCAGGGGTCCGTCCCACTCCTCATACTCCCAGGTGGTGGTTCCCTCGAAGGTGACCTGTTGGATTGGTTAATGAACCGCTCGCCTGGGAATTCACGAGCCAAAAGGTAGCTAGGTACTCACCTTGGTACCAGTCTTCAGGTCCTTGAGGTTCAGCGTCTCACCGGCAGGAACAGTGATGTCCTTGAGGACAATGGACGTGCAGGAGGACTTGCTCTCGGAGGCCTCAGCAGCAGAGGTGAAAGTGCAGGTGGAGCGCTTGTCGAAGTCCGAGGCACGAGTGGCAGGGGCAGCAGACACCAGAGCAGAAGCCAAGGTGGTGGCGCAGAGCAGAGAAGATTTGAGAGAAGGCATGGTGGAGGTTTTGGATGTCTGATCAACAGATGAGGTTCAAAAGAGAGACTGTTCTGATCTACAGAACGAAGACAATATAGACAAAGGTAAGGAGAGAAAAAGGAATGATTTGCTTTGGAGTGAAGACCAATCGAGATACCAGGGCGACGCAGCCCTTTTATGTGTCCGGACACGAATCCAATCGAAGTTCTCCTATTCCATTCTCAGTGTTCGTTCTTCCTAAACAGGAGAGGGAGAGGAGACTCGAAGAGGCGGAACCGCTATCAACCTCAAACCATCTAATCAAATTAGGGCGGCTAAGTCGATTGGGCCTACGCGGCATTTTCTTAACTGAACTTGGCTTTTAACGCGTGATGTTGGGGTTGATTTCTGCAGTGGGGCTGATTGGGATCCCAAACCGTCAGCTTTAAGCTCCCAAAACGCAGCCACTCGTTTCGAAAGTGGGTCAACAGATTGAGCTTCTGTGTTAGCTGTGAACGAGAAGTTCGAAAAGCCAGTGAGCTCAGCATGCTCAGCATGCTCAGCATCAAACTTGTCTACGCATCGCAGAGCAGGTGTTTGAAAGCAAGTGCAACAAAGAAAGTCCTAGCACCCCATCCGATGGGGTTCATCCCAGACCCACCAGGGCAAAATGCTTCGTCGAAGCTTGTCGCGACAGATATGAGACACATCACCAATTTCCACCGTAGGGCCTTCTCCTCGGGACTTCCAGACCCAGGTCAGCAACGGAGAACAGGGACAGTGCAGTCTGAGCTTACGGAGTATGAGGATACATATTAGTAACTGCATGTCGGCAAGAGATTCGGCTTTGTTGATCCATGCCGGTTTGGGGGCGAATGCTCCACCCATCGATATTACCAGGAGGGTTGAACAACCATCACACATTATGGTGTCCATACATCACATAACCACTTTCATTCGGCGAAAAAAAAAAAAAAAACAGCTTTCACAACGATTCCGCCGCGCTTCCTGAACTCGGCAGTCCACTTGCCGAGACCCCTTAGGGGACTTTCCTCGTGTCCAATGACAGGTCAAGTGTATACCATGCACGAGGCACGAGGATTTGTGGCGTGTCTTAGACCCTGAACTATGCAGGAACGGCGCAGGAAGTAGTGGGTTTCGACAGGCCAACGTCGCTGCAGGCGGGTTCTCCAACTCGATGTGTCCTTCGACAGGTACTCGCCTCGAGATCATTATTCAACAGCAGGTAGACACTTGGCTTTAGCCGCTTGAGATGGTATAGCACTGCTTCTTGAGCATACGATATCATCGGATATCCACTGAATATGAATGCTACGAGGTGACACTGTCACAGGGAGACCAGCTCAAGTGGATAGCAAGGCTCTGATGGAGCATTCACGCAGGACCCAGGTCGCAATGGTGGAGCGCAAAGCAAAATCACCTTCTACGGAGTACTCTCTACCCTGACCCACGTAATTGTTATCTACTTCCAATCATTTCAAGTTGCGTGGGTGTGCTCCCCACCGTCGCATTATCTTAGATATCTCCTGCTACGTTCGCCTTAGATGCGAGAAGAGTGAGCATTAGATGATATTGATCTAACACGTAGAACTAATTATAGTTATGTGCTTCTCCTGAGCAGGCGATGTGGACAGCATGTCAACCCTCCTAAGTTTACCTTTTAAGTTTGGTCTGTTTTAAATTTGAATATCGCCAGAACTTGCATGGTGACTAGCCCAAGGACTTGATCAAGCACATCGAAGACGAACCGATAGAACGGTGGAGAGATACTCCAACTACTCCGTACTCGCCCTCTGAACAGAAATAATCCACCTGCCGTGGATAAGTTAGCCAAGGGGGCAATTCTCGATAGCTTCACCCAAAATGAGCATACGTACCACCTTCAGCTTCTCTCCCGCTAAAGCCCAAATTAGCCGTAGTAACTCCGAGCCCGGCCCTGGAGCCAGTCAGCGCTCGGCGTTCAGGGGAAAACTTACTCCGATGTCCCGCATGGGTTTCGTGTCGAGTGTGGATACGACGGGTAGTACCTGACTCCGTAGAGGTGTTCTAGACTTATGTGAATGGGGGACCCCAGGGTGTCTGCTTGAGTATAAGTTGTCCTTGCCAGGTCAGTACCTATCAAAAAAACTTTATCTCCTCTATACTTACATATTCTCCTTACTTCGTTGCCATTCATCCTCTGTCATCTTCTCTAATCCTTTCCTGGTCTGTATCATCAGCACCATTTCCATTCCAACACTCAAATTCAACAAAAAGCAGAGCTATATCCGTCCCAACGAAGCGACCAAAAATGTAGACACATTCGCGAACAGCAAGAAAACCTCAGCTCTCTCACCCTTCCCCCAACCCAAGCAACCCCAACAGCCAAACATCACTGCAAGCTCAAGCAAAACCAAACCACTCCATATCCCCCTCCCCATGAATCGGCACCGTATGCCCCACCCCCGTCGCATAGATCCCCTGCAACCCCTTCCCCCAGATCGTAGTCACATAGTTCGCCTCAGGGGTACTCGCCTCGGTCTTCTGGGGCGCATCATAGTCATACCCCCAGACGCCCGCCCACTGCTTGACAGTCTCGTAGTAGTTCTGCGGGTACAGCGTAGTGTCGACGCTGCCGTGGTAGATCTGCATGCGGGGGCGGGCGCCGCGGTAGCCGGGGTCCATGGCCTCGGCGATAGCGGCCCAGTGCGCCGGGGTGGTGATCGACTGGCCCTGCGCGCAAGTGCTGTTCCACGCGTCGGGGGTGTTGGTGGCGCTGTAGAAGCAGCCGGCAGGGACGCCGGAGTAGACGGTCGCGGCGTTGAAGAGGGCAGGGTAGGTTGCTGCCATTACATTCTAAGAGAATTTCATGCAACCATCAGTATGACTTTGACCAAGGCTGGGTAGGGCCTGGGGATGTCTGGGAAGAGGGAAAGCAGCGGGGGCGCATACTAGGGGGCATACGTACCGTCATCATCGCCCCCGAACTCGACCCCGTCACAAACACCTTGCTGGTATCGGCATTGTACTGCGCAATTGTCCAGGTAACCATGTTAGCGATAGAATTGCTGTTGCCCCCGCCGTTGTGGGTGAGCGTCGCCTGCGAGCTGACGTCCCAGCAAGTCCCCGAGTACGGGCTCTGCGGGTAGATGACGATGAACCCGTATTGTTCAGCCAGCGTCGCGTAGGGCGAGTCGCTGTAGTAGGCGCTCGCCGTGCCGGTGCCTGCACATATTCTGATAAGCTTGCGCCCGGGAGCAAGATTTTGGATTGATCGAGGCATAAGTTAGTAGGACGTACAGTAGTGGATGGCAACGATGATGCCTGGTTTGCTGGCCAGATTGGTCGGCACGTAGATGTACATGCCTACATTAGTAGGGTTGCTGCCGAAGTTGGTGACCTGCTGCAGGGAGCCAGCTCGGGGGTAGACTGCGTCCCTGCTGCCTACTAGTAGGGCCCTTGCACTGCATGACAGGGCGTAGAGCACGCACGTGAGAAGTAGTGAGAGTAGAAGCATCGTGAGTCTGGCAGTGTCGATGTGAGATGATGCTGTGTTTGGGTTCAATCCATTTTCTTGATACTTAAGGTAGGGTTATATATAATAGTAGAATTCGTCACGGCTAAATCCGAACCTGCGACAACAATCAACCTGAGGTCAATCCGCGACAAACTCCCATTCAGCCACTCAATTCAAGGTCAAACAACCCTGGAAATGCGGGGGAAAAGTGCGCGTGTGATGCAATGTCACGGATAGATGGTGGGTGAGGGTCGATCTCCGTCACCGAAGGCGTTAAGAGCGTGACGCGGGATCATTTGGCGTTTCAGGGATTGGACCCTGAAGCCCTCAAATAGCCGGGTTTCAGCCGGATTGGCACAGTTGGCTGGATTGGATTAACCGGTTGCTTTTGCCGCATGGCTGAAGCTGGTCTGGGTGTTGCAGATTATAGGCTGCATTTGGGAGTACAGAAGAAGTATGGATAGAAGGATGATGGACGGTACTTCAACTTCAGCCTTCGAGCCGAAATCAGGTTCAACTCGGGACAACAAGACTTGAATACTTATACTACCAGTCGTTATGCGAGGTCAGTCTGCGCACTTACTCCAAGTCCGTCTAAACCATCCCATTGGTGAACGCAATGGACAATGCGCAGTCCGACTATCTACACCACCACCACCACTACTACTACACTATAGATGCGAACGCAATTCCCCATGCGTCCCCGAAGGCTCCTCGAACCCAATGAACGCCCTTTCTCTGATCTCAGCCAATTTGGTTCGAAACAGACCCAGAGAACAGGCTGGACGGCTTCTTCCCAGCGACATTCTTCCCAAACCACCACGAGGGGGCTCTAGCAAAAAGCTTTTGCGTGCCGTGACATCGCAATGCTCGATCCAACGCCTCTCGGCCTCGTGTGTCGCCTCAATCTCACACTGCCTCCCAGTCTCCTTTGAGAGTTTCTCCGCCCTCTGGCAGGTCGCGCAGGAACTCGACATTCGACTCCGTCAGAGGCGGCACATTCGCGAACCCGAACATAGGACCCGAGACGATCAGCAGGTTGAGATAACCGGAGACTGAACAGCCAAGGTAGCGTTCCGACCCCGTGCGCTTCCAGCAATCACACAGATTTCTCGCCCTGCGTCCGGCCGTGGATGTTGACCCGCGCGTAGCTCCCATCCATGGCGTCGAACCCCGTCGCCACGACAATGACATCCAGCTCGTTGAGCCGTCCATCGGCCGTGCGGATCCCCTCGGCCACTCCCTCGGTGATCGGATGTGTCATCACAGCTCTGTCTCAACATTCCTTGTTCGCTGCTCTGGTTGTGACTGACTGGTGTGATTCCTCCCTGTGTTGAATTGCAAATGCCTCGGAGGAAGTCAATGAGTGACAAACCCTGAAACCCTGCATTGCAACAGAATGACACGGCGAACTGTTCAGTCGATTCTGATCAACCAGCTTCCACATCACCCCGCTTGCTTAGCATCCGCTGGGTGGAGAAGTGGAAATTTCCGCTGCTGACAGGGTTCTACTTTCACATCTTCTACGGGGGAGAACTGATGAGTTATCAGTCTCTATCCTTTTAGTTCAACAAAGGGCACCAAACGAATCGGAGGGATCGGATGGAATGAGCAAGTTGAGCTTCAGGCAGAGTATCAAAAGATTGGAGCCATAGCCAGAGGAATGTCACAGTGACCAGAGCAGCTGTGAAACACACCACAAAAGCTGATGACGGCAGATTCCCCCCGCAATGGATATCATTGTGCAATACTACTTATCACATTTAATAAGACTTACAAGCACATACGACCACAGGGTGTGGAAAATAGGGCTTCCCGTCCGCTCAGCCGTACTCAAGCCACACGCCGGGAGGTTAGTAGTTGGGTGGGTGACCACCAGCGAATCCCTTCTGTTGTATGTTTTTATCACCCGATGTTTTGTCATTCTTCCTTGAATGTATCCGTCTAATCAATTAGGGATAGCATGCCTTCCAAAAAAACCACCTACGCATCACCCTCCATCTCATAGTATGGATTATTCGGGTCATACGGGAATTTCCGCACCACCACATCCCCCTGATACCCCCACAGATCCGCCTCGATCCCGGCAATTTGCACCGCACAGACATCTTCCGCCTGCCCGAACGTCTTGACCGCCGTTGCCGAACCGTTCGCATAGTTGACGCGCACCATGTTCACCGTCTGTCGACTCGGACCACCCAGCAAGTAATTCAACGGTATGAACTGGACGCCCGAATGCGCGGTTGTGAACACCGTGTTCGGTAGGTCGCCCGTGTGAGGGACATGATGCATTCCGAGGTTTAGCCACACCACCAGGTCGGTCTGATTCAGCGACTCGCCGTTGAAGAAGTCGGCGAAATTGACAGGTGGGTTATGGATGTCCTGGCTGTTGTAAGGGTGGGCAGCGCGCGGCTCGTGATCATGTCGCTGGGTGACCTGGACGTCGTGTTCGGCCCAGTGCGCGGCGTGCACCAGGTTGCTAGAGTCCTGGACGGTCAGATGCGCCGTCCCCGAGGCCGGCTGGATACGGTAGCCCCGGTACTCGCCGTATTTGTTGAGAGCCTCCTGGTTGATAACATGAATCATGGTCGCGCCGTTGGCGCCCCAATTAAAGCGGCCTTCGTCTTCGGAGGACAGAATCGACCGTTGCAGCGCCATGGTGTTGCGAGAACGCCCGTTGGACCAGGTGAAGTTGCGGATCACCGGGGCGACCGTGGTGAGCTCGATGCTGTTGTCGATGCCTAAGATGTCAAAGTCGGCCTTGAAGTTAAGTACATGATCGTGCATGCTGCCGGACAATGCATCGTGGATGCGGTATCCATACTCCTCGTTATGCGCGTAGTAGGCTGCTTGGATGTAGCCAGATGCGCGCACTTCGACGCCAATAGTGCCATCCATGTGAAAGGTGTAGCTGGACTTATGATCAGTTGAGAGTGGTCACGAATCACGCTGAACAATATTCACCTGGTCATGTAGTCGTAATTTCCAATCGTGGACACGGATCGAAGCGTGAAATATACGTTCTTTGTACTACTCACGTAGTCGGAGGTGCTGTGACGTTGGATTGGGAAGTCCGCATCATATTCAAACACGCAGAGACTGTCAATATGAGTGTGGGTAGTCTCGGAAACATAAAAGGAGCTGTTGAGGTAGGTCGCATGTACCGGGCAGTCGTATCCCTTGATCAACTCAAAGGCGTATGGTCCAAACCCGTAGTAGGAGTCCAGATAGGCTACACTGGACTGGATCGGATCATTGCCGGCGTAGTGGGCGAGCGCTTCTTGCAGGCCCAACTCGTACAACACCCGCTGGCCCTTGTAGCGTATATCGAAAACCGACACGCCTGTGTCACGGGAGAAGCTGATATAGAACGAAAAGTCCATCCATGTCACATATATGTGATCAAAGTCAACAGAGTATCGTGCTCCTGCAGGCGCAACCATGAGAGGAGGTTGCTGCTTGTCCTGCGGAAGTATAGGGCCCCGCTGGTCCGTCTGTGCCCAGGCTCCTTCGATGTTAGGTTTGAGTTTGACAAACTCGGGCGAGAAGAATGCATTGCGGAAAGCTTCCGTCGTTTCATAGAAAATATCATTATACAGCCAGCCTTCAAGCTTCCACTGAGAAGGATCACGTCCAGTCACATCGGACTTGAAAAAAAGACCCAGTGGTAGAATGCTGCCGGTGTCAAATTCATCTGTGGGCATGTTCCAGAATGTGTCCCATCGGACAATTCGACCATCATCCTGCCATAAGGGATCGATGCCCCAGATGTCAATGGTATCGTTGTCCAACCCGAGTGCAGTTCCATTAAACAAATCTAGAGTTATGTCTGCCACGGCGGCACTAATCTTATACAGCCACTCCGAGTAGATGGTGCTGTAGTCAGCGTCAAGATTGCGCACACGGCCTTGCGTCTTGCGCGTGTAAGGGTATTCTAGTGGAGTCCACGTAGAGGTAGAGTCATTTGTAATGGGCAAGGGTCCGACCAAAATGTCAGCATAATGAGGATCACTAGTGGCGCGATTGTCAAGGACAACATGTGCATAACGGCTAGGGGCCGGGTCTTGCTGATCGAGATAGTTCAAGACATCTGTCTTATTTGGCCGCATCAATTCCACGAGGGCACTGTTATTGTCAGAAGAGGAGGACTGCTCGGAAGGGTAAACGTTACATCGTATTGTCCCACTCTCCGGCGTCCTCAGTGACAGTTAAGTTCAATGCTGGTTGCTGGAAAAGCCACTTGACCACGGACGCTGTCTCATCGCCCGTCAACCCGTCCCAAACATTCTGCTTGGGTGCTTTGATCACAGTGGCATTGTGATCAGTGCACGACGACGAGGATACAGAGGAGCGAGCTTGCAGGTTTCGCGGCGAGCTTTTCCTACCACGACCTTGACGGACCCATGCCGTCTTGGGATCAGGCTTTGGAAGGGCTAAAGCATTCCCTATCAAACCCACCAGAAGAAAGCAAAGGGGGAGTACTGCCGTGAAGCTCTCAAGTCTCATCTTGTTGACGGTGTAGAAAGCACTACCAGACTGTTGAAGACAAGATTCGATGCCTGCACCAGAGCTTTATATCTATCGGCTCAACTGTCCTAGCATCTAGCTAGACTACCATTCCCTGGAGAGCCGAGAGCCATATCTTAGCTAGTAAGGCAAGTGCCGGAGACACTCCTCATACTCTCCGATTGTTGAGACCACAACTTGCTACATCGCGTCAGCCCGCTCTTGGACTTTCCGGAACCAGAAGGTAAACGCGATGGTGCCGACGATGTATATGCTATCAATCGACATACCCAAATAGCATGAATTGGAGAGGCAGAAATGCAGTCTAGTGAGATATCTTTCTATGCGCTTGGACTGAAGCGAGCCTTGGCGTCACCGTGCCCTTGATATGGGGGTTCGGGATAATTGCGATTATCTCCAGCGAATCCGGACCGGCCGTCAAAAATTGGGTTTATCACCTCCCACTTTGACGGAACCCGCGGGGTAGAGACTCTGAGAAAATGTGATGTAAAGCTTATGAAGCCAAGTGTCATGGGCATTATGCCAGCATCGGGCTGCCGAGGTTTGACATGTAATGGTACTACAAGGTGAGCCTGGGGTACTGTAACCACGTTTCATCCTACACAGTTTGCTGATATAGATCGAAGTTGAGCACTATGAAGCTCGTAGCAAGATGGGCTCGGTCGCTTTCCTGGTCGGCTGTGGGTTCCTCTTGTCTTGCCGTAGCCGTAAATGCTGTAACCTTGTCAGCCCTGTGCATCTATACTTAGCACCGTAATTCAGGATTAACCATATGGGAATCATCTCGGAATCAGGGCAAAGTAATCACTGACTATATGAGCAGACCTAAGCGAGGTGACAGCCTGAAAAGCCCCGATCTGATGTTGAGAAGCCGGGGTGAGGGGTTGTTATCTTCAGCCTATAAGCGAGGATCAACCAAGCAAGCAGCCCAACGATCCAAACGCAAGCGAGGAAGGAGAGTTGGCGAGACGAAAGTAAAGCGCAAAGCTCGCGCCATGTCTAAAAACGAATGGAAAGGTCTGAACTTGAAGGTAATGTGAGAGAGGAGTTGGCGGGTCGACAGTGACCCTCTCCTTGATCCCCCACCTTATCATCCTCAGGCAACCAGTCTTGTTCAGCATTGCAGTGGAATTGTCAATAGCGCTTCTTTCACACAAGGCGGCCGGCCCTGCTCAAGTCAGACTCGAGTACTGACTGCTCTTTCAAGCCCCCTCTGTCGCGCACTGATCTCTCCCATGTCAAGCCGCCCTGGCAATTTCCAATCTGTACACATTATTTGGACCTTGTTCAAGCCAAGATCCCTGCATCTACTTCATGATTGCGCCCTCAAGGCTTTGTAGCAGTCTTTCAATCGTAGGTTCACTCTTCGTAACCACATCATGCAAGGGCCAATCTCAGACGAAGCTGTGATTCAGACATGGAATATGACCATGTCATAGTTTAAAGGCGCGAGGAAGTCACCCTGGAACAAAGGACTGACAGACAATCGTCACGGGTGCCATGAAGATCACCAATGCTCTCCGCTCCGTGCATCAGTGTCTGCACTGGTCATCCTAGTATAAGATGTATAGCTCGGAGACAGTCTCCTGAGAAATTGACTCGTTCAGAAGGAAAAGCCCTTTGTAGTACCGGTGGCCAACATACCGACAAAACTAGGAAGAGAGCAGTACTTTCACGGGTGGACGCTGGAAGCATGCGTCTGAAAGACTGTTCATCGATATCCTTTCTGCCAGATATTCATAGATCCTGGCGGACAGAAGGTAGCGTACCGCAGCCTATGTACACAGAGCCAGCATCGAGCACTCATTGAAGCCAGGGCCAGACATAGCAGAGTACTGCTGCACAGCAGAGAAGGGCTTTCACAGTTCATTCACAAGGTAGCACATCTCAACCGCACCCAATCTATTCGAGCCATCCAGCCTGGAATCAGCACTAACCCCATCCCATGCCATAGGGTAAATCTTTTCCCACGTCCACCAAAATCGACCAAGTTCATTGAACCCATTAACCAAAAGCTCCTCATTCCTCGACGTCATCCCCGCGTCCCGGCGCCGAAGGCAAAGGGTGTTTCGACCAGCTACATCCAGATCTCACCTGGCAATCACAGCACAACGTAACCTCACATCAAGAAGGAAGCCATACCTCAGCGAATTATCACCCTCTCTCTTTTCCGTTCTTTTCCATCAAGACAACAAAGAGGAAGAGGGGGGTTGAACCCTTCGCATCCGAGATAATCCCTTTTCGTCTGATCTTGTCTCGCATCCGAACCACAAAACCATGTGGCATAGGGCCATGACAGTTGAACAGTTGAACCCTTCGGCCGAAGTACACATTACTTTCGAGGAGGGTTACCGAGTGTGTGAGCGACATGCAAGAGATCATACGGTCCGTTGCTGGTTTACCCCAGGTCCTCCCCCCTTATTGCTTGGCTCCAAGCCATCCAGCCTGTTTGGATGCAGCCTTGTCTGTTGGCGAGGTTTCACACATAGGCTTGTTAAACGCTGAGGCGTGATGACGGTGGTTATCTTGTTGGTTTTGCTTGAGGTTTGATTCGGATGCGGGAGTCGACGGTGGAATTTAGTTGCCGTACAAACGAGGCCAGAGATTCAGCATAGCACAGAAAAGACCCCAAACCTACTTACTGCATCCTCGAGACGAGTACGAACCATCATCACCGTTCCTCTCCCGCTAGCTCCCTTCTCGCAGACAAGGTAAATCAACCCGAGCCAGACTAAAACGACCCGCAAGCACAACCATCGCCATCACAACGGCCATCGTGCGTTCCGTTCGAGACCCTAACTCAAACCACAAGTCAAACCAGACCGGCTCATCTTTCCCTTAGACCACCAAGGAAAAGAAAAAAAAAAAAAAAAGCTGTCACAACCCAGCTAAAGGCAAAAAGACCATACCACCTGATCCTTTCTCCGTAGCATAGCTACCATAGCCAACCTTACAACTATACGACCATCTCCTTTGGGATGTTCATCCCTGTCCGTATCCGGGGAGAGGAAAAGGGGGTGGGGGAGGGTGAGGCTCTAACAACAGGTTGAAAAAGATGGCATGATTCTTTCCAGTCGGCCGAAGATTCATCCTGATCATACCAAAATCAGTCGATAGAAACAATTGGCGGGCTCGAGGGGGAAGTACTATACCAACGGCAACCTCTCTCAAGCAAATAGGGGTTCACGGCAGCAATACCCATCCAGCCACAAGTGCACCTTGCATTGATTATCCTACTGCAGTGTTTATCAGTGGACTTTCCCTTGTTTGGGTTCGGAAGAACCCTGGAGGTCGCCGAGAAGAGGACATCCAAACCCCGATGCAAATCGGATTAGACTTTCTCTGGGATTACCTTGAAGTTCCTTTGTAGGAGAGGAAGAACTGGAATACTAGTTGGGATGTTGTCACCGTCAACATCTACACTTGGTAACTACTATCCACGGAAAGTGTTCAAACCCTGGCAAGCTTGTCTACAAACGAGCCCCATCCGCGGCTCCCATCTGGGAAATGAACAAACAAGTCTCACTCGGCAACAAAGGAAGATAAGCAGGTACAGAACTCCACTCCAGTCAAGCCCAGGTCGGACCCTCCCTTCCTCACCCAGAGAAAAGTCTAAATTAAGTTCACATTCGAGCCAACACCCAAGTCGTTCCAGGTTTATTCAGCCGATCGGATCAGGCCAGGATACTTCTCGGACCCGAAGATGGAACCAACAGACAGACACCTTATATCCGAGTGCGTCCGGATCCCTGGGTCCCCTTCACCCCCCAACCTCTCTCTGCTTCGAGTTCAGTAGAAACTGGAACAACAAACTCAACTCCGCAGGGAGTTATCACCGTGCAACATCCGTGCCACGGATTGGGATGGATTAGTAGCCACTAGCCCATTGAGTCTCGAGTCTAGAACGAGATATCATTCGACGATGGAGAAAGGAGAGGGAGTGCAGGTGCGTTAGGCCGACCGTTAGAAAAGAAACAGTTTCTCCCGACCGATGGTAAGTTAAACTACTTTAGTTATCGCCGGATGTCTCCGACGTGCCGCTTCGGCCGGTAAACTCATCAGACTCAGTTTACTCACTGAGAAACTGGGTGGAACGATGGATTCGACTCTGCGTGGCACGTGGATTCCAGAGTAAATGTCTCCGCCAGCGTTGGAACCAAACTAGTGCCATCGTCTTTTTTCTCACTAAATACACGACCACAGTCGTCATCTCTTCGTGTGCGAGTCTATGCGGTGTATGCGCGGTGCAGTACAAGTTAAATGCCTCAGTCCCGGCCGAATCGCCTCATGCGGGTGTCGAACCCGTCGCCACATTACCGCCCTGATTGGGCTGATCGCCGTAATCATTCAATAAATATCTGAGGAGATGATAATAATCGGCCCGCTCCCCTGACACTAGAGGAAAATAGAAAGAGGATGGATGAAAAGGAAGGAGGAACTGCATTCACGGTGCAGACTAAACAGGTGTGATGAGTATCCATTCAAGTACCAACGAACGAACCATCAACAACAAGGCGGGCTACATCATTTCTTTGCAGTCATCCATTCTTATGGTCGGGGATGAGACACTGCATCGGGCGACCCTTCCAGCTTCTGTCTGATCTCTGTCTTCGGCCGAAACGGTTATTCCTCGGCAGGTAAACGCTGCCTAATCCCGGATCCGTTCTTGAAACAAAGGGAGAGAGGGGAAGAGAAAAAAAAACAAACAACACAATGCAAATGTCCAAGCAGAGTTCAAACAGAAGAGGGGGAGCCGCACGCACGCCATTCGGGAATTTCGCGTGACGGGGGGGGGAAGGATAAGACTATCTTCGAACCACTACAAGTACCCGCCGATGTCCGGCTTCCTCCTCACTCTTGATCTCCTCCTCGGCCCCCTCTACTTGCAAGTGGCGGACCCTCTCCGAGGCATTACCCCAGGTTTCATCCAGAAGGGATGAGACAGAGCTTTGCCCTCCCCACTTCTCAGGCTCATCGAGAATTCAGCTCGTGAGATTGAAGTGGAAGCGATGCGCCAGCACAGAGCAAGACTGCTTCTGTTATTCGAAAGTGGTCAGCACCGGTCATTGTCAAGATGCACCGGTCGCTCTCCCACGTTTGGAGTGCCCCTTACGGGATCGTCCCAGAGGACAGATCAGAGCCAACGCCGCCAGGCGGTGGAATTCAGCCGCAGGATACTGCGATTCCTAAAGATCTCGCCAAGCGACCTTCTTTCAGGCGCTTCCTGTCCCCATGTTGGGGAAAAGCATTACGTTCGAAACCCGGTTGAGGATGTTGTCAATATGTCCGTCTTGTGACGACGCGCTATGAGTTGGGGGATGAGGAACAGGTACCGGGCCAAATGCGGCCGGCGATGGGGTGGTGAACACTGTGGCGGGCGACAGGCTCGGCGTAGTCGTTGCAGTCTGCGGCACCGAGAGCTTCTTCTGCTTCTGGCTGTGCGCGCGGAAGGCGGCACTGACTTCACGCAAGGCACGCAGCGAGGATGCGAGATGTTTGGCCGAATCAGTACGATTGTTTCGATCGGCTTCGCCGTCGCCATGTACATGGTCCGACAGAACGGCCTCCAGCTTCTGGATCAGATCCCATGTGTGGGGGTGCAGTCGCTCGTTGTTATTGGCCACCAAAAGAAATGCTGACGCGATCGTCCGTTGCAGGCTAATCCAGGTTCGCGAAGCATGAGTATTGATTGAATGTAGTTCAATAAACGCCTCAATCGTGTTGCTCAAATTGGTCAGGCAATCCTCCTTGATGATCTCTCGCCGTTGGTCATCCAAATGTGCATCTGGATCGAGCGATACTCGGCACATGAGCGAGATGAAATATGACGAATGCAGTCGCAGCTCGGTCCGTTCAATATGCTCCGCGAGGGTGGTACAGCGGTCCTCGAATCGCAAGTGCGGGGCTGCCTCGGCGAGAATCCTTTCAATACGGTGCTTGTAGTCTCGGATTTCATGGTACCGTAAATGGCTATGGTGGGTAAACATGAGACCTCGCAGCATCTCGAGAATAACCGAGATGATACGGCACAGCGTCTCAAAGTATCCTCGGTGACCCGGCATGGATTTGGGATCGTACGGAATCTCGGGCTGGCTGATCATGGTAATGGAAGGCCGATCGTACGCTAAGGAAAAATGACTGTTCTGGAAAGCCATCGCCCACCTATCTCGTCTGTCAGTCTCACCAGTCTTGTTCGCAGAACCTTGGCCACGCCTTACCAGACTCTCCTCCGCGCCGCTTGAACTGCCCGCGGATATCCCGAAGTCTCGACATGCAGACCCAGCACCATACACATACGTTCCGTCATGCCTCCAAACCACAGTCAGCTCTGTTGAAAATTTGACAGCAATGACAACACTTACCCAGCAACGTGTACGAGGCTCCTGCATTCATGTTATAGGATAGGACGCTGCCGATGACCAGCAAAATCTGAATGATTTCTACGGTCGGCTGGGATACATAGTTCAACATGCGCAAGCAATGATACGCACATGATACTAGAAACCGATCAGCTATGTCGCCGCAAGGGGAGGAAGGAGAGTGGTACAAACCATATACCCACGACGTCAGCTCCCGCTCCTTGCCTGGTAAGTCGGACAATTGGCAACCCGAGGCTAGAACAGCAAAGAGAAGACTCAGGAAGGATACAGTCATGCCAAACGGCTTTACCATGCCGTTGGCATCCGGTCGATACACTCCCCCTACAGCCTGTCGACCTCGCAACAGTCGCTCCATATGCTCCTCGAGTCTCGCGACATCGGGCAACACCGGGTAAAGCACGGAACCAACATCTATATAGAATCTCAATAGCCTGCAGCCAGCCGATGCGATTAGCTTCTTGAAGACAATTCCACGGGTCAAAGGGGCCATGGCACTCACTTTCGACATTGTTCGTCATCGGGTAGCACGCTACATACTCCGGCAATGTTGAACGTGTAAGGGTCGGACGACCACAGATCTACAAACGGATACGCGGCAGACTCATTCCCCATGGCCAGTTCGGCGAGGAGGTCCTCTCTAGGCAGCGCCTCTGCCGTATCCTCCGAGTTCTTCGACTTATCCAGAATGTCGATCACCGCCGATCGTGAACCGATGTGGACGGAGCCCGTCTTAAGTGTAGTTGAGCCATAAATACCCTCCGAAGGAGGAGAGACCTCTTCCTCCGTGGGCGACACCTCCAACTGGGGCTCAGTGGCCTTTCGCGCCCCATGGGTCTGGAACAAAGAGTCCAGACTGACCAGAATCTCCTCCATAGTCCGCATCTTGCTATTTATCTCGTCCCATTCCGCCTGAGACAAGGTCACAACTTCCGACAGGCCGTCTTGGGTGGTCGATGATATTGACCCCGGATCGGGACCGTAAGGAGCATCGCGGCCGGACGAATATTGGGAGGGCGGAGGAGGAAACTGAGGTGTAGCTGTTGAGGCGGTCGCGGAGCCGTATTGGTCGGCGAGGAGCGATCCGGGTCTGGGCGCCGAGGGAGGAGGACGGCCGTAGGAGCAGTTGAAGTTGCGCTTGACACAGTTTCCGCATGGCACATTGCGATCGCAGCGGACTTTGCTGGCACGACATGGAAGGCAGGTTTTACATTCGCGAGGCCTGCGACGGATGGGGTACGTAGGCATTGCGATTAATGGCACGCGTGGTCGCTCACACCCCCACTACCTTACAGGGGAGGCCGGGCGGACGTCAGGATCGGGCGGATGGATCGAGGTAATCAGGTGGATGTCTGGACTATGAATCTGAGACGAGGTACACACTCATCAAGAATATCTTGCTCACTCAGAGGATAAAGACAAATGCAAAGAGGAGTGATGAGCCAAAGATCCTCGAAGGGCTGAGAAGAAGAGTTAGTTGTCGATGGTGGAGAGAGATCGGAAGGCGTGCTATGCGCGAGAACGCTGATAGCGAATGGATTCGAATGGGGGTGAGGGCCGAGGTGGCCGTCGGGAAGCGGACGCGACAGAGATAGCGTTAAACTGAGCAGGGAAAATTCCGCATCGGGGAGGGGGGTGGTAGAGGGGAAGAGAGAGAGGTGTAAGGGCCAAGGCACAGCCAGTCAATGGCGTTGAACCCGGCACAATCAAGGCTGAGGTGACATGTTAGAAGCAGGCGAGGTATCGACTAAGAGTAAGGGTGAAGGGTGGTAATGGTAATCGTGGTGGATAAATGGAATAATCTTCAGATCGATGCAGGAGCCGATCTGTTTTGAGGGGGGAGAAAAGGGCCCGGGGAAAGGACTCAAGGAACAGCAAAAACAATGCTGGAGGGGGAATTTCGATCGCTTAATTTCAATCGGAAGAGTGATAGCAGTTGCAGTGTTGTAACTTGTAGGTTGGCTACCTTTTAGTCAGTGTAGGTGATCAGTTCACTAATACTTAGCTAATTAGCTAATTAGTGCAAGGGTGTCTCTTTTTGCGTGTCTTTGTTGCAACTACTCCGTAGTATTCGCTAGTAAACCACAATTAGGGAGAGAAAGAGAGGGACGGATGTGTAGGTAAAGAGAGCGCAGTGCGCAAGTGTGCCGTACGTGATTGAGAAAACGAACTTGATCAACTCAACCAAGTTAACCAAGATGATCAAACCAACCCGGGTTGGTTGGTCAGTTTCGGGCTTAGCGGCGACCCGGCCAAAAAGTCCCTCTTTTCTCGAAAGGCATCCGGCATGGCGTGGTTTAGTCCATTCACTAGCGAATTGACTCGGTATATGACTGCTCATTAATGGACTGATAGGTAAGTTATTGGCTATTGAGTCTATTAACTATGTAGACCTACGAAGTACTGCTCTTCGTGTTGTCAGAGGATCTCCTCACCGTAAAACGCTATGAAAGAGTGATCGTAGTACTTCAGAGTTGTTTGTACATAGCCCGCTGCCATCCGATTCGATTGCCTTGCATAATTTCCACCCCCCCCACAGCAATATCGCAGCATCCTAAGCTTGGACCAGGCGCGGGATCCTATATTCATCTCATTGTTAAGATCGTCCCAACAAAACCAGCATAAATACTTTCTTAAGTCACTAAACCATGTGTAAGCAATAAGCATAAGGATGTGCCAGCGGAAGTATTCGCTGATCGGTTTTCATTCCGGTGCCCAGATCTTGGGTTTGCATGGCGAGAATTCTGAATAGAGTCAGCAAACTCGGATGAGAGAATATTCGGGGACGGTCGGGGATCATTCGAGATGGATAGCTAAGCTTCATAGGTGGACGACGCTGAGGGAAGTTCGGCCGATCGCGACGTGGGCTGATCCGCGGTGCCGCAATGGGTAATTAATGTTGAACAAACATCCTTCGCTCAGTGTATGGGGCATATCGCATCTTAAAACACAATGTTTGGATGAGTTGGTTGTATATCTTGTTTTGTTCTATCTCGTGTCTTGGATTCAAATTCTATGATCGCCCCAGTCCCGCCGGTTCCTGCTTAACACCCACGCTTGCACTTTATGCTTAATCTAACTACAAACTGCATGACTTCATGATGCATCAAAGGTCTCCACTTGGAGCTTTTCTGGGACCAGCAAGCTAACAGTGAAGCACGAGGGGGCCTCGTCCACTCGCTGCCGGTGACTACTGTGTGAAAATTGAGACAAAGAGATGGATAGATCGACACGGGACCATTGACCATTCACATCTCTGCGACCCAAAAGGGCCTGAACCCTGTAAAGTGGGGTCTGGTTCAAGCAGATCGAGCTTCTCGGAAAGCATGGCAAACAAGGACCATCCTGGTAGACAGATAGGGCTCCGTCATGACCTGGAAACCCCCATTGTAGTCGCTGGGGAAACCTGTGGTACAACCCACCAGTCATGCCAGCGTGTCTTAGACCCAACTTCTGGGATGGTAACCCGAAGATTAACCGACTGGGGTGGCTGAGGTTCTTCGCAGTCTTTCGACCCGGCTTGTGCTTTCAATGCCTTTTTAACCGTCTCAATCGCGATGCTTGCACCGATACAAGCCCGCATGGTATCTTTAATGTCCCGCTTCCAATCCTCCTCGATCGCAGGGGCAGGGCTTTCCTTCTCATCAGAATCGAGAATAAATGCACCATTGGCCAGCGTAGCTTCCCAGGCCTTCCGTGCTTCCGAAATGGCTTTCGTGGCACGCTCTATGACGATATCATCGCTGTCACCTTCAAGCAGCGCCTCGCGATGGTATTCATCGTAGGGAACTAGCTCTGGTAAAGTAATCTGAAGAAAGGGTTTCATGCGTATTTCGTACCGTAGCCGGTCACTGGAGTAAGCCTGAGCTGAAGATGTGGTCGGCAGGATGCGATGACGAGCGAGAAGGACGTATAGCGCGTGCAAAGAGATGGCAAATGCGTCAACAGCAATAATCTGTGTCGTCAACCTCTCAAGAAGTCGAATGGATCGTTGCAGCACGGAATGGCGCTCGAAAGCATCACGCTTCTTAGCAGCCAAGTCCGTCAAGTTGCGCTTCGTGGCGGCTACAGTAAATGTGCGAATCCGATCGATATGGCCAAGATGGGTAGAGCAGATGTGGGACAGATACCAATACATGCCAGGAAGCTCTTCGGGTGCATAAATTGATAGCTCGAAGCCAAGCTGCAGAATCAAACGGAATTGGCTCAATTTGTGATGGTACGCCCAGCTACTGAGGGGGTAAGAGTAAGTGGTATCGCCGTTGGCTAGCTTCAAGGGGGGCTCATTGCTCAGGGCGCGAAGCTGCTCGTCGAGATCCTCGGCCTAGCAGCGATGGAATTAGATTCGAGACACTGCGACAAGGGGGAGTCGAGAACTCACTTCCATTTGTAAGTTGTCCCAGTCAACGAGTGTATGACAGACGGTCCGACGAATACGACAACGGTTCAAGCAAGCACTCCGGAAAGTATCAACAAACGGCTAGACATCAGGTTAGCTCAGTGAATAGGCTATGACATAGATGCATTACTTGCCTGTGAGAACCGTTTCGTGAAGACATCCATATGCTGTGCTATTTGGAACCGTGGATCTGAAGGCACTTCAATTTCATCTGCACTGGCTTGCAAAAGTATGCTGGATGGAAGAACGATTTGTTCCAGTTCATCATAGAGGAACTGCTTCACGGGAACCGTTCCCAGTATTGTCCTATTGCTGACAATAAGGGACTGGACAAGAGATCTTATATAGACAGAGGGTTGAGGTTTCCGAGAGAGCAGAGCCCAAATGACCACCTGAGCCTGTCAGCAACAACTTTACATCCACAGTGAAAGGCATGGTCTGCACCTTCAGGTTATAGGGCCCCTTGTAATCAAGAATCTCCAATAAATCGACGGCATCCTGGCATAATCTTCTCAAATGCGCCAGCGCATCCTCAAAGCTGATATTGACCATGGGACGGGGAGGAACAGTGCTAGCCAGTCTCCGTTGGATCTTCCAGCTGAAGGCCTCAGGTACTCTTATCCCGAGGACAGCGGACTTGCTCAGAAAGTCCAGGTGAGATAGGCAGCTCAAAAATTGCGCTGCGGACCTTGTATCTATCACTTCCAGGTCCTGCTCCATACCCGAGAGGAAATCCCGTCGGAAGAGCAAGCGAGCCCGCATGGCCTCGGCCACCTTCTCACCCAGAATACCAGTCTGTTCGTCGATCCAACGTATCGCGCGGTCAAGGAGACTGTGAAAATGCTTGGGATCAAATTGAGACAACAGAGTACGATTGTAGAGTTGTGTGACGAAGTCCTCTTCCTAAAACAAAACGAAATTTGGGTTAGCTTCGTGCAATAGCCAACAAAATACGGTAACACCTACCTCAAAATAGTACTCAGTTGTGACTCGCGCATGTACAAAATCGCAGGATTTCACAAGTGCAAGGCAATAAGCACGAAGTACGATATGAACCAAGTCGGGAACCTCCTTGTTGCTTTGCAACTGTCCGCGACCGAAATGGGTGTTTTCGAGAGTTTCCGGTACAGGCCAAAGAAGTCTGTCAAGGTACAAGGATGTGAAAAGGGTCTGGGAGAGAGGGTGGCCCATATGCCATGCCATCTGGCATCAAATCGACTCAGTCAGTACGTTTGGAGCCCCTGTAAAGAAAAAGGTCAGATCACACCTACCTCGTGGCACAATAGTTCGTCCATGATACCCAACACCTCTTCCGGAGCCAGCTCCCGCATCATGTCGTAGTCATCTTCAAGGGCCTGCGCGCTGTTCTCCCCGGGACCTAAGTAACCGCTGTCCATCTTCGAGTCCATGATCTGAGCGACATCATAAGATCAGTCTTGGTAATCAGGATTCGGAATCGTTCAGCGGGACCGAGAATCGGGTCGCAACCAACCTCAAGCGCACCGACAGCCTCAAAGAGAGTGAAATATTCATCCTTGACTAGCTGACCGGTTCGTAGTTCTATACATCAAGAGAAGAGAGCGATGAGTGTACCACACATACAGCCAGAAGCAGGGCCAAGGGAAATGAAGTACTGACTTGCGGCGGCGGTTGTGAAGTCAATTGTGATGTCGCGCGGGGCAACAGACTGGGGAACAACCCGCATGGTCGGAGATCGGATTTCGTTATTTGGCAGCATGAATGTAAGAAACCATCTGCAGCCAGCTGCTAGATTCAAAGGCGATCAAGTAGCAGATAGAGATAGTGTGTTGATTCCGGGGTAGATCAGAGGAGTAGCTGGAGAGCGGGCGAGGGGGGGCGGGGAATCGGGCGGACAGGGCAAAACTTGCGGGAACGCAAGCCCGCGCCGGTCGAGCAGAAGAAGTCCCGAGGGAGCTTAAGGCCATACATGACACAGGAAGCGAGCCCAGAGCTTTACGTTTAGCACAACAGGCAGTCTACTTTGATCGAACCATAATAGCAGGCAGGACATAGTCTTTTCGTCTTTTCTATTTATACTGGGTCAACGGGCCAATATTGCTACAGAGATCCAGTCTATTCCTGCATCAGAGTACCCCCGAGACCTCATCAACTTCTCACCAGCGCCCATTCTTCTTCATTTCATGGTCATTCTGCCGAAGCAATCATTTATTTGGACTCAGCCTGACCAGCGGCAGCCTGGGCCTGAGCAAGGGACTTGACCTCGCCCTGCTTGCCGTTCTATATTGGAGAGAAGTTGAATTAGTCGAGATTCTCATGTGCCATTGAACTCCGATAAATAGCCGGTGGATATCCAAATACGAACCTCCCACTTAGCGAAACGCAGATCCATCTGACCACGGCGCTCAGCGGCAGCACGAGGGCCGTCCTTGAGAGAGCGACGGACGGCGCGAGCGGCGACGGCCAAGTAACGGTTGTAGCTGTAAAAGTCGGTCATCGCGTCAGCCAGGGCGTATGGTTGGAAAGCAAATGGACATGAGCTGAGTGAAAACGTACGTGAGACCAGCGGACTTCCAGGCGAATGCCATTTTGACGGTAGGAGACGAATGAGAGGATTCGATTTGGGGGAGGGTATCGCTTTCTCTGTGATGCTTTGCAGACGGTCGAGTTCGGAGGTTCGGGAACTCGAGTCATGTGATTCACGTGATGCTACAGGTCACCTGACCGTCTCCGGCATAGCACTGACCGGAGTGAATCAATACTTCCTAATCGGGTAATGCTGTACACAACGGAGAGTAAAAGAATCGAGGTTAAGTTCTAAATATTCTCCATGAGCCTCGAAGCTCGAAGGGCGCAAGTGGTATTAGTCCGCTCTCTCAATATCAGCTAACTGTCTCGATTGACATTCAAAACCCCTAGGCCATCCAGTTGAGGGGGTAATCGCAGTGCAAAGGCTGTTACAGTAGCCACCCACCTGCTATTACTGTTATTGAAATGCCAAGCCTACAGCTCACCAAGTTAGAAACGTACCAAAAGACTGCTCAAGTGACTGCTGTGCTTTATATCCTCAAACTTTTACTCACTTCTCGTCAATAACTTTCACAATCGCTAAGACAAGCCTTTAGATGCAGTCCCATAGATCGTGATAAGATTAATTTTAGCTGAGAACAGCTGAAAACCTGTTGCGGATCCTGAGCACTTCAAGCGCTGTGCTTCCCGGGAACCTTTCCATTAATTACTACTCAGAGTGATAAGTACGTGATCTTTAGCTGGGTCCCTGTTCCATAAGTCAAATTCCCTTCACCTCAACTCACTTTTACTAATTTCTGTTACCTCACCTTACCCTTTGTTACCCTCTCATCTCCAATCATTACTTTGGTGGGTATTCCTTAATTGAGATCGTTGATCTGTGCAACAGTCCATATTCTCGAAACATGTCACCCGTTACTGCTTGTCTTCCCTACAATGAAGGCTGACTGAGGTGTTTCTTGCGCACAGATACATCAACAAGAGCTGGACCACGAGACTGATTTGATCTAGACAAGGTACATCCGGCTCTCTGGGCGGTTGTCAAAGTGATATCCTAGAGGCTGGTCGAGTCTGTGCGTATATTGAGTTTTCGCATAGAATACAATGAGTTCCTCTCGCAAGTCATCGAACAGGCCTAAGAAACGCGTCCTGGTACGATGGGATGGTATACTGATCTCTCTATTATACCCTGGTTTCTCAGCCTCTGGCCATTCCATAAGCTAACGATCGAAGAAAACCTGAACGAACTTCTACTCCTTACGGTACAATCAGTTTGTAACACCCAGTCCGTGAAGATTCCCTGGACCGAGGTTGCCACAACTATGGGTCACAATGTCACGGAAGGAGCAATCGTTCAACACCTGGCAAAGCTTCGCAGCCGTAGGGTTGCTGCTGGAAAGCCTGTACCCCCGCCTCTGCGGCGTGGCGGCCTTGGTGCTGGTACCTCAAGTAATCAAGCGGAGGCACTACACGGCAAAAAAACGCCCTATCCAGATGCGAAGCGTCAGCGGGCCACTCCAAAGTCAAAGCGTGATGGTGAGCTGGGACTAAGTGACTTCGCAGACGTAGACTCATCTTCCGATGAGGACTATGTGGTGGGAAGCGCATCCAGATCACGCAAGAAGAGAACCAACACGGCCGGCTCGCGGGGAAGACGCAAGCAAAAGCGCAGCTTCAAATTGGAAAGTGATTCCGGTGCTATTGAGACGGGGGATGAAGAGGACAGCCTGTTGATCCCTGGCGCCGAATTCCTCGATGGACCCAGTACTATGAGCTCAACCCCTGAGTGTCAACTGGGACACGCCAGAGTCGGCAAACACAGAAAATTAGTCATACTCAAGTATGCACGAAAGGGCAATCAAGCTCCGCTGGTAACGTCTCGGAGTCTGCCACAGATTTAACTCCCAATGACGCCTTCCTTGCCTCGGGCTATACACTACAGCAACAATTTGCTGGGGCTGATCAGTTTCCAATTCAGGGCCATGCCTCTGCAACCAACCTGCCTGAGAATTTCTATTCGAGTGTTTTACCACCGGCCAGTGGTCTTATGCACTCGCAGCCCGGTGATACAGGACACAATCCCTCAACCTTCTGGTTCAATGATACCACTCTTGGATATCCTCCTCCTGTTTACCACGGACTTACCGACCCTGATGTGCAAATGGGATACTCAGGGGATAACACAAGTAATACCCAAGAGCAATTCGATACTCTCCTTCGCTATGATGATGATTCACTTGGCTAATTGTTGCCCCCTCCCCTTAAGTTGAGCTTTTAAGCTTCATTACGTCCATTTGTAGTATGACTTCGACGACGATATCATTCTTGATGCACAATTAGGCGCCTCTCTTGACTCGTTCAGAGCCGTTGTACCAGGGAAGCTTCCTGTTGATAATCGATTCCCTGGTCGTTATTGGTGCTTAAGAGCCGGTGGTTTTCTTCATGTATTTCCTTGATTTTCATGGCTGCAGGTAATTAATTTGTCCTTGCTCATGGTTCTGTCCTCAAAGCTTGACTACGAAAATGTAACTAATTAACTGAAAGGACACATGAACCTGACACAACTTGCTTGGTTGTAGGTCGGATACTACTTGACTAGTGGACTGTGTACTCTTTAAGAGGTTCGTAAATAAAGGCCGATATTCGGGGAAGTTCTGGCGCGGACATCCGACCACCCGGGGCAATTCCCTCGGATACCCGGTGCCACGTGATCTTCTAGGAGCTTCTGCCAGCCAAGACAATCCGGGGATCGAGAATCGCCTGGAAAATTTTCGAGACTTTGGCTTCATCTCCATCCATCTCTTCGTCTTTCCATCCCCTTTGTTCTTCTCTACCTCTTCTCCCTCTCTACCCGTCCTTGCTCTGAGAGTTCTGATCGGGCTGTCTTTGCTTGATTGATCTTATCATTCTCTTCTGTCTGTTCCTGTCTTCTCTTAATCCCACCCCTTCAAGATGCAGAGAGCCCTCGGTTCCAGGACCTCCGTCCTTTCCGCTGCTTCCAAGCGCGCCCCTCTCTACAGATCCTCCGGTGTCAACCTGCAGCAGCAGCGTTTTGCCCACAAGGTAAATCAATCCAACAGGATGCCAAAGCGGGTACGCCGATGAGGCAAGTCACGGCTGCTAACATCCATCTAGGAGCTCAAGTTCGGCGTTGAGGCTCGTGCTCAGCTCCTCAAGGGTGTTGACACCCTTGCCAAGGCTGTCACCTCCACCCTCGGTCCTAAGGGTCGCAATGTCCTTATTGAGTCTCCCTATGGCTCCCCCAAGATCACTAAGGGTAAGCTGCTACCTCACTTTCCTCACTTTTGTCCGTGAGAGGACATCCTTGTACTGACTTACGTAGACGGTGTGAGCGTCGCCAAGGCCATCACCCTCCAGGACAAGTTTGAGAACCTCGGTGCCCGCCTCCTCCAGGATGTCGCCTCCAAGACCAACGAGATTGCTGGTGACGGTACCACCACTGCCACTGTTCTCGCCCGTGCTATCTTCTCTGAGACCGTCAAGAACGTTGCTGCTGGTTGCAACCCCATGGATCTCCGTCGCGGTATCCAGGCTGCCGTTGATGCCGTCGTTGAATACCTCCAGCAAAACAAGCGTGACATTACCACCGGTGAGGAGATCGCTCAGGTCGCTACCATCTCCGCCAACGGTGACACCCACGTCGGCAAGCTCATTTCCACTGCTATGGAGAGAGTTGGCAAGGAGGGTGTGATCACCGTCAAGGAGGGCAAGACCCTTGAGGATGAGCTTGAGATCACCGAGGGTATGCGTTTCGACCGCGGTTTCACCTCCCCCTACTTCATCACCGACACCAAGGCCCAGAAGGTCGAGTTTGAGAAGCCCTTGATCCTTCTCTCTGAGAAGAAGATCTCCGCCGTCCAGGACATCATCCCTGCCCTCGAGGCCTCCACCACCCTCCGCCGCCCCCTCGTCATCATCGCTGAGGACATTGAGGGTGAGGCTCTTGCCGTCTGCATCCTGAACAAGCTCCGGGGTCAGCTTCAGGTTGCTGCCGTCAAGGCCCCCGGCTTCGGTGACAACCGCAAGAGCATCCTCGGTGACTTGGCCGTCCTCACCAACGGTACCGTCTTCACCGACGAGCTCGACATCAAGCTCGAGAAGCTCACCCCCGACATGCTCGGATCCACTGGCTCCATCACCATCACCAAGGAGGACACCATCATTCTCAACGGTGAGGGCAGCAAGGACAACATCGCCCAGCGCTGCGAGCAGATCCGCGGCGTCATGGCCGACCCCGGTACATCCGAGTACGAGAAGGAGAAGCTCCAGGAGCGCCTTGCCAAGCTCTCCGGTGGTGTTGCCGTCATCAAGGTCGGTGGTGCCTCCGAGGTTGAGGTCGGTGAGAAGAAGGATCGTGTCGTCGATGCTCTGAATGCCACCCGTGCCGCTGTTGAGCAGGGTATCCTTCCCGGTGGTGGTACTGCCCTTCTCAAGGCCTCCGCCAACGGTCTTGGCAACGTCAAGACCGCCAACTTTGACCAGCAGCTCGGTGTCAGCATCATCAAGAACGCCATCACCCGCCCTGCCCGCACTATCGTTGAGAACGCCGGCCTTGAGGGCAGCGTCATCGTCGGCAAGCTCACTGATGAGTTCGCCGGCGACTTCAACCGTGGTTTCGACAGCTCCAAGGGCGAGTACGTCGACATGATTGCCACCGGTATCGTCGACCCTCTCAAGGTTGTCCGCACCTCTCTGGTTGACGCCAGTGGTGTTGCCTCTCTCCTCGGTACCACCGAGGTCGCCATTGTTGAGGCTCCTGAGGAGAAGGGTCCTGCCGCTCCCGCTGGCATGGGTGGTATGGGTGGTATGGGCGGCATGGGCGGTGGCATGTTCTAAGCTGCTTTTGCCGCTTCAGTTACCCCTTCCTCGCCTTCTACCTGACCTTAAACCTTGTATCCTTGTTTCTGAAAGGTTTCTCCTTCGAGCGTGTTGTTGCATAGTCCGGGTTATGTCCTGATATATGGTTTCTTTTTTGTGTTTCTTTTAATGTGTCGCATGTCTTCTCTAAATCATTACTCCTACCTTGTATCCGATCTTACCCCCCTTTGCACTTATCTTCTTCTCCATTGGATCGGACCTCAAACTCATACCATCTCCACTCCGCCACCTTGGACACAAAAGTTCTCACGGAGTCCTGTGTACCATACCATGTACTTTACGTTCAAAACACTCGGTTCTGCCGTGGTGACTGCGATGTCAAATCTACTTTAACTGTTAAGTGCTTGTCTTTTGTCACGTAGAATTTCATTTATACAGGTCTGGTAGTAAGGCAAATACGCCCCAATGCTGAATAGGGTCTGGGGAGGAAGTGAGCTGAACGCGGAACGTCTAGCTACTATATGAAACCCAACAGCACAGCAACCATCTTAGCTGTCAATCTCAACCCCAACTAAAACATTCCCCTCCTCCCCTTCCGCCTCTCATCACCACCCCTTTCCACCTCCCCACCTCCAACACCATTATACCCCTCCACCACCTCAATTCCATTCCCCTGAACCGCCATCAAACGCGCCGCAATCATCTTATCCTCATGCCGCTTCCAGAAGTCATCCTCCCCGGTATACTGCCGTTTCTGCCCGTTATAATTCCGCCGATACCGCCGCTGGAACGGGCCCCCGCTCCCGCCGCCAAGCGACGCGCTCTCCTCGGCGTTGTTGTTGCTGTTACTGCTGCCCAGCGTCGACGTAGAGGCCGAGATACTGTTCGTCGGCCGTGCAGTCATTCTTTGCCACTGTAGCTGGACGAGCGTGACGGGGGCGAAGAGTGAGTCGGCGAGGAGATTGAGGATGAGCTTCTGGGCGCGCCAGAGGGTTTCGCGGAGACGTTCGTTGAAGGCGATGAGGAGGGCGATGGTGATTATTGCGAAGGAGGTGGGACCTGTTGTATTGATTCTGTTTAGAGCTGTGGCTGAAATCTTGGTGGGTGTTTCGAAAGGCAATGGGGGGGGTCAGGGGATGTGTTGAGGGAGCATCGTGACGATGGAGAGATATATCTGAGGGAAAACTTACCTGAAATGTAGAGCATTTCGCCCAGAGTAAGGTTTGCGGATTCCCCGCTCCATTCGCGGGCATTGATGCCGAAGAGAGAAGTGAAGAATGAGAGGGGGAGAAAGCTAGAGGGAGTTGCAGAAGCTGTTGTCAGCACAAGAGTGATATACTCTTATCTCATGATAGACTAGACAGAGGGTATAAAGACTGACATGATGGTAAAGATGGTAAACACCATCACGGATCGGGATTGGTCTTGAGTAACTTCGGCCTCCCATCGAGCAAGTCGAGACTCGTCCACGTTAGCTTGCTTTTGCTTGAGGTCTAGGAGATTTTCGACCTGCGATTGAGCCGATGGAGGGTTGATTAGTTTTGGGAGGCAGCTTTGGTTGACGGCAGGGGAACTCGGAAACGCACCGCTTTCTGAGCGAGAGAGGCATTTTCTCTCATTTCCAGGACCTGGTTACGGTAATCGTCGAGTCTGGACAAGGACGTCTCCATGAACACCTTGCCGTAACCCTTGTGTTCGAAGTAGCTGGACATCGTCTTGATGATTGTGGTTTGCACGTCCAAGAGTTTGAGGATCGTCCCGAGCTCGTCGATGATATCTCGTAACTCCAGGAGCGTGGAGAGGTCTTCGCGGTTGCGACTGGCTAATTCATGGTCTCGTTCCTCGCGCTCAGCGGCTGACATGGGCTTGCCATCTGCGTTCTTGTTGAAATCCGCAGGGCGCGTGATGAAACCACGATTGCGAAAGCGCTTGAACGATTTCGTCATGGATTCGGTCTAAGAGTGTAAGTTGCGCTACCTCGGAAGCGAGAGCGGAGACTTACCAGGATGCTGATGGACTCTTCAAAGATGCGGAGGATCTGCAAGTCGCGATGCAGCGTTCGATCAAGGAGGACGGTGGCTGCATGTAACACGATCAAGGCAGCAAGATCACCGGCCGTCTCGAATCGTCTCGCCAAGTCGCCATTCAGCTCGTTGTAAATGCTGTTATAGAGGTTCGACTGTTCATAGAGCTTCCCTTCGGCCGTGGTGGCTTCCTGGTGGGGGAAGAAGGTGACTACAGTTCTTTCATCGACTATCCACAGCCAAAGCTGATCGACCATGAGCACTTTACCGTCCATGAACGGGCCGGTATTTCCCGAGTTATCCTCGACGAGTAAGGCGCTGTTGAACTCGCTCAAGTTAACCTTCTTCTTCGTTCTCTTCCAAAGCATCTGGTCATCATCTCTCGCAACCGTCGATCTAAGGTTTGGATATCCAAACTGATCCAACGTCCTTCGTATATGGATAGGAGGTTCATTGCCCAGTAGTTTCCAGATCAGCTTCGATTCTAGACTGGCGGTTGATATATTGTGAGGCACAGGTCTGAATCTCCCCTGTTTCAGTCGTTCTTCGACCATCTTGCGTCGATGGACCAGGTTTGAGTACGTGTCCCAATGGAGCTAAAGAGTAATTAGATCAAGTACTTCCAGAACTTGGTGCCAGATTGTTTACTACGTACATAAGGAACCTAAGCAGCAGATCATTAGCTTGATCCAGAGGTCATGTAGGGACAAACTCACATATAGGGCCAATCGTGGGTCGTGCTCCTCCTCTTGAGTACCAAAATTTGTATGCGGTTCTTGTTTAAAATGGATGCATGCCGGCCGCACATAACGTGCGTGAGGCTCTAGATGACGGGCTCTTATGAGGTTCGAATACCAGTGCTCTTCATCCATGAGCTTCTCGAAGCTGTCCCGGCATTCATCATCTGCGTCAGTTTGACCACAGCTTCTTCTACTACACACTTCGGTAACTTACAAGGATTTCTTATCTTGCTCGCGACACGCTCGGGCTAGAATTGGCGGGACCCATCCAGTGTGCGTATAAGGCACATGGATCCAGAGAAGCTTCTCGCTACCCGGCTCTGGCCGGTCAAATCGAGGTATTCTTCTCGGCTTCTCGGCTCTTTCTTCGTCTTGTTTGTCTCTTGCTGGCTTTGGGACAGGAAGGAAGGCTTTATATCTGTTTGACGAGCTTGTTCTACCAGCGGACCATCAGTATTGGCGGTCACCACGTCCTCTGGAATTTAGGTAACTCACGCCAAATGCTTGGAAGCGGACATGGTGTCATTTTTGTCGGCATTGTCTGCTCCCGGACACTGTGGTGCCTGCTCAGCGGAGCTTTGCAAATCGGAAACCGTCTCATGCTGCACTTCGAAGTATCCCTCTCCAAGCGGCTCAGTGACATGTATACGGGGAGAGGAGGGTGCCAGGAAACTCCGGCTGTCTCTGAGCGGTGGCCTCGAAATAATGGGCTCAGATCTCGTCCGTACCGCCATTCGTGCTGCAGGGGTGTTTGCTGTTCCATCTATTGAAGATCGCACGTGCGCAGACGTGGGCCTGCTATCAAAGCTGCTAATCGAGGAATCATCGAGAAGTCCAACAGGAATCCCACTCGTTTTTTGCAGTCGATCTCTGAGGCATATCGACGGCCCAGACGCGAGGTAATCCTTTAACGATGCTTTTGTGGACCAAAGCTTGAGAGGTGTCTCATCGCTGACACCTCTGGCCGTGTCTTCAAAGAATCCACTGACTTGGATCATGACTTCCTGGTCAACATCCATGGGGGCATCATTCATCTTGGATAGCATCAAAGCCATGGATACAGATGACTGGAGCTCACTGATAAAACTCAGCCGCGTCGTTAACTCTTGACCGTTGAAGTAAGCAGTTCCCATATGGTTGGCCGTCAGAGGAATGACTTTCTCGTGCTCAAAATCCAGGATGCCTGACCGGATTGAGGTGATCGGAACGTGCATCTCCACGGCCGTGCCTGTTTCGTGGTCAACGATGCTAATCTCTGAATCCAGTGTCTCCAGAAACGACCACAGCTTCATGTCTGCTGAGATCGACTTGAATTGGCTCCACAGACGTAGCAAAACTGGGTGTCTCGGTCTGAAGACCTCTTGCAGTCCAGGGGGAATATGGTGTTTCAGTCGCATCAAATGATGTACGCTGTTGGTAAACTCGGGAGCTGAAAGATAGCTCGAGCCAAAATGCGGAGTCGCCAAAAAGGCGATTCCATAGCAACTTGACCATATCGATTCAACGTTCGAGGTCTTTTGACTGGCTGTAACAAGCGCTGTCTTGGCGACCAGACCACCCGTGCTATGGCAGATGAAAAAGATAGGTCGCCGCGGGCTCTAGGCATATACTTCCATATCAGCTTGAGTGTAGCTATCTAAGATAAGGGCGTGATTCCCATACAGTCGCCTGGCGTTCCAGTAGAAGCTGCGTCAACAAGTTGTCAGCTAAGGACTCCAGATCATCCTGAGGCCCTAATCGCCCATGGTCGATCATTATCATCCGTGCATTTTGGATGATCTTTTTCAGATCAGTGCGAAGCCAAGGCGTGGTTGCACCCTCGTCAATCCACGTTTTCTCAGGATCTGCACCTATTGCTGGAACAGCAACAATACTAAACTCGTATTTCTGTATGAGAATAACCTGCTCGCAACCCGAATGACAGGGAAGACCGATGTTGACTTACTCGACTGCCGTTTCGGCTTGCAACGGACGCTCACCGTTGGGAACCGCCATCATGCGCTGATTCACTCGAGGAACCGAGAGGCGAAGACATTGTGGAGTGGGGAGAGAGGTTATTTGCAAGGTGAGGAAGAATTGGATTCTTAAGAATCGGAGTTGCGACAATCACCATCATCTGACACACTGTTGACTCCTCCGGGGCAGGTGACTTGGCTGTGCTGAGGCCAAGAACTAAACCAGGCTAACTTATTTGTTCAGCCTTGTCGTTCCCCTCAGCCTTATGATTCAGATTCATCCCAGAATCCGACGAACTTCAAGGTAGTCATCGGCAATCTGTCATCTAAATCAGTCAGGTGCAAGCACAGACTTTGATCCCATCTTGGGCTTGTAGGGTGATCTTTGCAAAAGTTCCTGCTACACATGTACACCCGAAAGACCTTTATTTTAGCAGTCACTGTGATATTATACAATTCTGAATATATACTCAGCTCGATGGCCATCGCACAAGATTCGTATAGACATAAAGGAGAGAAGATCGTGGGTCGCTCTATCGGGGATATGATGTTGTACATGAATCAGAAACCGTGTTGTACCAGAAACACGAACCCGCCCTTTTTCAGCGCCATGCAGAAATGGAAAAACAATAAAGATGTAAAAAACATCAAAGTCAAGAAGAGGTATGTGTCTATGGCTCAAGTCCAATGCAAAATCGCCGAGACAAAGTACAAATATCGCCGGACAGTTAATGTAGAGTAGAGATCGTATCTGTCAGTGAGAATTCGCAATCAGACGAGGTATGCTTCGGGGCAGGCCTTGAAAGGATCCTCGATGCATGCAGAGAAAGTTTCGCTATACTCTTGCACAGCATGAAGATCTGTGCTATAACGATTCAGAAGAGACAGCGTCATCCGCAGAACGGGTCCGGTCGTTGACGTTCCGTGCCATCTTCTTTCCAAGCTCATATGATGATATCATGATAGCGCAGGCAGGAGCAACTTTTAGGCACCGTGCAACCCAGCCACGGAATAGACCAGCCATACCTTCTTCGCGGAAAATGTGCATTAAAAATTTCGGCAAGGGAAGTTGTTCGGGGTGCGATGTCCCTTTCGTATTGCCTCCGAGGGTGCTTGTTGCGTCGTCACCCATGTGTCGGAAAACTTGCTGACGTGTCTTACCCACGTCAAAAGGAGTGGTAACAAAAGCTGCAAGGGAACCAGAGGAAGCTCCTGCAATGAAACTATCGAGGAAGGTCGGGGTATCAAGGTCATGTGGCGTTTGGTGACTGGCGAATGAGAAATCATGTGGCAGACGATTTAGATACGCTTCTTTGCGCGCCTCGATGAAATAGCTCTTGACTTCTTCATATCCCCACCAATATAGACCAGAGAAAGGCACATCTCGCCACATGGTAAGAGTCAGCCCCCTCCAGAGCGAGCTGTAACCATTTGCGTGAACCATTTGGTGCAGACCCTCAAGTGTGGCCTTGAAATGTCCTGCGCCTGTGCCTGGAGTGGCTTGCAATCGCGTCCGAAACATTTCAATAGGGCTAATCGCGGACGCGGCAGCAGTTCTTGCGACCGAGCCTGCAACCAATGGAGCATATGCGTCAGGAATAACAGCTTTGATGGGACTCTTGTCATCAGCACGCAACCAGTCATAACCAGCAAAGTAGATAATATTTGCCGGAATGCCCATCATAAGAGTGGGACTGAGTCCACGCCAGAGCGTCAAGACTCCTTCATTTCGAGCGATCTTTCGTAGTCCATCCAAGGTCGACGTAAACGTTCTCCGCTGAGTCTCTTCTACCGCGCATTCCGTCATCGATGATGTAGCGCCTATGGTTCCGGCACCAGGCACCGCGACACACATCTGTGCATTTTGACCGATCCAGAAGACTTCCCGACAACAAGCAGTAACTCCAAGGTCTGATGGGACATTCTTCAACGAGTGTGTGGTGTGGGAGGCGAATGAGGACGTATTTTTGACTGAAGACTGAGCTTGCAAGCGGACTCGAACAACATCTAGAGGGGTGGCTGCAGGGAGGATTAGCATCATTTCGTGGACACTTAAATTGATAGCGCAAGGTGGCGTACCTAGCAGAGCAGTGAGAATGCTACCAGTTGTGGCAGAAATCATCTTTTGAGTGATTGAAACATCATCTTTGTTAGGTTTGGCGTCCAGAGCCGGGGCAGCCCCTGGTCCAGAAGTAGTCGCCATTGTCGAGTTTTCAGCTGCTTGCCATGACTCTCTCGAGCCCCCTTGTGAGTTGGTCAAATCGGATGAGCGATATCGGTCTCCCAGCGCAGGTTCACTTCTGATAGCGGACATTCAGCAACCGAGACGGAATTGGAGAGAGGTGATAGACTCTCTTGGCTAGCGATGACTCAATCAGTTTGCACTTAGATTTCGCGTGACTGACTGAGATTCTCGGGATGGGGCGGGTGTGCGAGTAGCAAGGTATGAAAAGGTATGAGTCGAGGATCTGCAACAGACGTAAGAGGGGAGAAACATGCGTCAGAGAAAAAGAACGCTCGGGACGTCGGCGGTCGGCGGTGGCGGCTGGACCTACGAAACTCTCATTGAACAGGTTAAGGGCCGGAGATAATATTGATAAGCATCCGCTACGTCCCTCCCCCAACTCTTCCTTGACTACCTTTTTGGCCTCAGCATGTTCCTGTCTGCCGTTTCCGTTCGCTTCTTCACCGATTGCTGCAGCAGGAAATGATCTTCTAAAGGCTTGTCGATGTGTCTCACTCCTGGGTGCTTTCATTCGACGACAGTCCCAATATTCTTGGCCATTGCACCTCTAGCTGAACCCTCGGTCGCGGCAATTCAAGCCAGTCCCGCACTAGCCCGCTTATCAGTCTGGGGTTCTGTTCGCCGAGCTTGTCACAACCTCGACAATGGAGGACAATGCCGAACTCGAGTCATTTCGACGCCAGTGGCGCGAAGAAGTTGCGCAGCGGACCAAACATTCTAGGCCTACCCCTGCGCAACCAAGGCCGTCCAAGCCTTCGACAACCCCGTCGAGCCATTTACCACCTACCCGCCATGAGGCATCGCAGCGTGAAGAAGAGCATGGAGGCGCAGATTCTGTCGATCATAGCGAGATAATCCATGGAATGGGTCAGCTGAGTGTACACCACGCCGATGAAGATGCTTTCCATCCTCCCGCGTCTCGAGAAGAACCCAAATCGGCTCTAGAGCACTTCGAGCGAGCGGTTGAGAAGGAGGCAGAAGGCAAACTCGGAGACAGTGTACAACACTATCGTAAAGCATACAGGGTGAGTAGAATTCGAACAACTGGCAGTCTCGATCATCTTTGACTTGTTCATTTTCCATAGTTGGACTCTGCAGTCGATAAGACATACCGTAACAAATACTTCGCCGCGGCGTGGAAGAAATCTGCACAGGCTCCTTCTTCTGGCGTTACTCCTAGCAAGTCGGCCGATCAGCAAAGTCAAAATGAGACCCCGATCCTGCCGACGCCCGAGCTCATCGCATCTTTCGCTCACCTTCCGATTCCTCAAGCGGAACCATTAATTGAGAACACACCTCCTCCACCGTGTCCCATTTCTGAAGTCCCGTCAGAGGTTCTGGTTGAAATACTGAGACATGTGGCACTGATGGACCCGGCGACTCTCTGTCGGATGGCACTGGTCTGCAAGCGCTTTGCCTACCACTTCGCACATGAGCAGCATATTTGGAGGCGACTGTGCCAAGGCTCGGAGTTTGGTTTCAAATCCATGCACTACGCATTTGCTTGCGATATCCACGGCAACCCCGAACATAATCTAGGACCACGATACACACCGTTTCCTCAGTCGATGCCGGTTCAGATTCCTGAACCTCTGTCTTCGTGGAGCGAAGTTTTTCAGGTGCTCCCCCGGATTCGGTTCACGGGGATTTACATTAGCACAGTCAACTACACGCGCCCAGGTGCTGCTGCAGCGTACCAGAGTGTCTCCTGGAACAGTCCAATTCATATTGTCACCTACTACCGATACCTTCGCTTCTATCCAGACGGCTCCGTCGTCTACTTACTTACCACAGTGGAACCCCGCGAGGTGGTGCCTCACATCAGCAAAGAGAATGTCAAGATTGCCCGAGCGACGACTCACAAGCAACATCCACGCCACACTTCGGATGCCACTGTAACCGCCGACGCGCTCGATCCCATTCCGCATATCGCGCTGGAAGCGTTGAGACACGCCTACCGGGGCCGCTGGCGCTTGGCCAAGCCTGTCTCCGACTCCGATTCATCTTCTGAAGACGCGCCAGTTGAAATCTCCACTGCGTATAAGTCATTGCCTGAAAAAGCAGCCGCGTCCCCTTCAGATCCTCGAGACCTTATAATAGAAACCGAAGGTGTGGGCCCGAAGTACATGTATCTCTTGCAGCTGTCGCTCCGGTCGACACCTGCAGCCAAATCGAACCAGCCCAACGTCTCACCATCGAACCCATCGAAAAATACGAAGTTGACCTGGAAGGGTTACTGGAGCTATAACAAACTCACCGACGATTGGGCTGAGTTCGGTCTCAAGAATGATCGCTCGTTTGTCTTCCGGCGCGTTCGAGACTGGGGCCTGAACTGAACGAAGCATATGTGGACATGAATTCCCTTGGATTGATTTGGCTCAAAACTCGAGTTGATAAGATATTCCCGGTCAGATAGTAGAGTCAGCTTAGATATATATAAATCATCAAGGTTACGATAATACGATCTAATATACACATCATGATGCTACACCAATTATACTTTGATTATAATTTGAAATAGCGAACAAAGAAGATGAAAGGCATGGATACATTTCTAATAAAATGAAGCCAGGCAAAGTACCTAATGACTTCAAATAAGCTCTACTCAACCCTATACTTATGCTCCAGTGCGGCGATAGGGTCCCCTCAAGGCTTATCGTAAGCTTGACGCCAAGAAATTCTTTATCGATAAGATACACCTGCGGAAGTCCAGCCCCATCAAAAAAATTTCGGGGAGAGAACGCTCTCTCCGCCTAGAAGTCCGCAAGAAACAACACCAGCCGTCGCAATCCACGCGACATGGGATTTGATCTTCTCACGTTTATAATATAATATTACTCCACCGCTACTCCCTCTTATCTACTGCTTTTACAATATACCTCTAAGCGTGACACCGAACCCAAAGGGAAGAGAGAAAACAATGCCCGAACGGGTCCGCACCGTCTTCGACGACGAGGACAACGCTATTACCGCCAGCAAATCTACTCCTTCAAATGCAGACTCAAACGGAACGGCAGATCAAATACACACAGAAACCGCCCGAACGAAACGGAAGGGAACCGGGACCGACGGCGACGATGGATCGAAGAAGCAGAAGAAGAACAAGAAGCGGAAGGTTGTGAAAGAGGGCGAAGAAGGTTCGGGCTCCCTTGCGGCGGCAGAGTCTAAGGGAGAGACGAACGGTACGGTAAACGCAGAAGAGGATAAACCTGCAATCCGGACGAAGAAGCCAGAGAAGAAGCACGCGCAGAAGGACAAGCAGGATGAGACTGCCCTTGAGGAGGGTGGCAAGTCACCCCTTCACCACCGCAACAACAACAGCAAGAATAACTCGAGAGCGGCGGGCACAACGAAATCTGGACTGGGCGGTGGGAAGCCGAAAGGCAACTACGGTCCGCTGCGCGAGAAGGCGCAGGCGCTCTACCAGCTGCGCAAGAAATTGCCGATTTTCCCGCATGCGGACGAGATCCGGGCGCATTTGCGTCGGAACGATGTGATGCTGTTGATTGGAGAGACGGGTAGCGGTAAGAGTACGCAAATTCCGCAATTCCTGGTGACGGAGAAGTGGTGTCGGTCGGTGAAGGCGAGGGTTGCTGAGGATGATGGGTCCGGGACGAACAACAAGAAGCAGAAAGAGGTGCAGGTCGGCGGGTGCATCGCCATCACGCAGCCGAGAAGGGTGGCTGCAATCTCGTTGGCGAGGCGTGTCGCCGATGAGATGGGCACGCCGCTGGGGAATTCCTCCCCGGCGAGTAGGGTCGGTTACTCGGTGCGATTCGATACGTCGACATCGCCGAGTACGCAGGTCAAGTTTCTCACGGAGGGAATGCTGCTTCAGGAGATGCTGCATGATCCGTGGTTGACCAAGTATAGTGCCATTGTGGTGGATGAGGTGCACGAGCGCGGTATCAATGTTGATCAGGTGCTTGGGTTCCTGAGGAATATGGTATCGGGAAAGCTCGAGGGCCGAGGCGGGGTGCCTTTGAAGGTCGTGGTTATGAGTGCTACGGTCGATATGGAGAGCCTCATGGGCTTCTTCAAGGAGGGATTGAAGCCTCGGCGTGCTATTGAAGGAGCTACGGAGGAAAGTAAGGGCGCGGACAGCCCGTCAAAGGACACGAAAGAGGATGAGGGCATTGCTGCATGCCATATCAAGGGTCGTCAGTTCCCAGTCAAGGTCATCTACTCCCCCGAGCCTGTGCATGATTTCATCGACGCAGCGCTCAAGGTGATCTTCAACATTCATTACAAAGAGCCTCTGCCGGGTGACATCCTTGTGTTCTTGACTGGCCAGGAAACGGTGGAGGCACTCGAGAATCTTGTGAATGAGTATGCTGTGGGGATGGACCCTGCTCTGCCCAAAATCCAGGTCCTGCCGCTCTTCGCAGCCCTACCTCAAGCTGCCCAGCAACGAGTCTTCCTTCCTGCACCACCACGAACTCGCAAGATCATCTTGGCCACGAACATTGCCGAAACCTCCGTCACAGTGTCTGGAGTGCGGCACGTGGTTGACTGCGGCAAGGCCAAGGTCAAGCAATTTCGCTCGCGTCTTGGTTTGGATTCTCTGCTAGTCAAGCCAATCTCTAAGTCTGCGGCGATTCAGCGTAAGGGTCGTGCCGGTCGTGAAGCGCCCGGTTCGTGTTACCGTCTCTATACTGAGAAGGATTACCTGGCTTTGGATGAAACCAACACTCCCGAGATTCTCCGTTGTGATCTGAGTCAAGCGTTGCTCAACATGAAGGCTCGCGGCGTCGACGATATTATGGGATTCCCATTTTTGACGCGACCTCCACGGGAGGCTTTGGAGAAGGCACTTTTGCAACTGCTGAGCATTGATGCTTTGGAAGAAACCGGCAAGATTAGCTCAATCGGGAGACACATCGCCAAGCTTCCTCTAACGCCGACACTCGGTCGAGTGCTGCTGGCTGCTTCAGAGTTTGGGACGGATTGTCTATTAGATGTCATCGATATCATTTCGTGTCTCAGTGTTGAGAATATCTTCCTCAATACGACCTCGGAAGAAAAGAAGGAAGAGGCGGAGGTTGCGCGACGGGATCTGTATCGGAGAGAGGGCGATCATCTCACCATGTTGGCTACAGTACAAGCTTACGCCGCCGAGAATACGGATCGCAAAGCATGGGCTGAGAGACATCTCGTCTCCCACCGTGCCATGCAATCTGTTATGGTACGTTTCCCCATTCGAACGCTCTCGTGTGATTAGTGATGATTTACGGACTTGTTGAATTTTGCACTAACCACCATGCTTGTTGAAGGATGTTCGCAAGCAACTTACTGCCCAGTGCCGACAAGCCAAGCTTCTCGCCAATGATACCCGGGGCTCTGCAACCACGAACAACTCCTCCTCCCCAATGTTCATTCTAAAGAGTTTCCTTCGAGGATTCGCTACGAACACGGCGCGCCTCGTACCGGATGGCAGCTATCGTACGGTAGTGGGGAACCAAACGGTGGCAATCCACCCGTCGAGCGTGTTGTTCGGCAAGAAGGTGGAGGCAATCCTGTATAACGAGTTCGTTTTTACGAACCGTAGTTACGCGCGTGGGGTGAGCGCCGTGCAGATGGATTGGGTCGGAGAAGCATTGTCTGGGTAGATTTCCTTGGTCCAAACATCTGTGCTTGCGCTTCCTTTGCCTAGTCTGCAGCCCCACCTGTAAATAGATAGATGATTAGATGGCTGCCAGTCCCGAGAGCGCAACCTCATAATACCCACCTTACCAGATGAATGAGTCTGAATTCACGTAGATAGTGGGGGGAGGGGTCTGGCTGGCCCCCTGACAGCCATGAACCATGCAGGGAAGATCAAAGATGACATGTCATTGAGATCAGAGGGAAGGGCAAGCGAATATGGAATGATCAGCACTGGGCTGATCCTTGGTCGAGATGGAGGGGGAGGGTGACAGGCAAATTCTAAGCGAGAGCAAAGAAACATGATTGCCTGAGACTCATCTGGAGTGCATCTGCGATGAGTTGGGCGTCGGATACCCATGAACATACCCGGGAGTACTGTGTCAAGATGGAGATGCTCTTGCGGACCTCCGTCGATCATCCGATTTAGCCAGATTGAGTCAATAGTCCTCCCATAATCAGGTCGAGGCATCGACGGCATTCATCCATCGCAATCACTAACTATTATCGCTAGTGTGATTAATCGGCCCAGTTTCTCCTTTCTGGACGATGGATGGATGGATTGCCAGTTGACAGCCCAGAGAAGAGAGTATTTGTGCCTTCCTTATCAGGTCTGGTGACATGCAGTGCATCACCTCCTCCGTGTCTTCTTCGTCCTCCTTTTTCTTCCTTTTCCTTTCCTCCTTCTTTTCCTCCTCTCCTACTCCAATCTCCCTGATGCTTTCTCCTTTCCCTCCATTTATCCTTTGTTGCCGAGTTGTGCCACACCGAATTCGTGGTGGGGGACAGAGAAAGTCACGTCTCTCTCCCTTTCGGGTGGATGTTGGATCACTCCACGCCATAACCTTCATTCTTATCTCATACACCTAATCCCACGTCATCCGTCATTCATCATCAGCCCCAACAATACACCGCTATCGGACTGATCATCTTCCTGTTTCGACCTTGTCCTCCCCGTCTAGGAACCGTCTGTTGCGTTTCAGAATCCACTTTTGCGACCAGTCTTTATTTTTCCACTTTCATATATACCTTGCGACCTCAACTTGTTGTGTCCTTTTCCTCCAATACTCAACAATTCTCTTCGGATTTCCCTCTGGTGTTCGTCACGCGGGGAAGATCTGCCGCGATCGATAAAGCGCCATCTTATCTCTCCTTCCCCCACGAACTCCCCTCGAAGATTCATCTACATTGCACTGTCAACCCATGGCTTTTCGTTTACCACCACAAGTTCCCCGTCGTCGTCCTTCATATTCGCATTCCCTGCCATCTCCGGCTCTTGATATTCCGTCCCCACTCTCGCAGCTACCAGAACACGAAGCGACAGAATGGGTGCTCTTTTCTCCTACCCAGCAGCCCTCCACCAGCGCCCGCACCCCCACAACGTCCACGGATCGCACCCCACGAACATATGCTCGCTTGAGTGATTTTGGTTCCTTTGATACGGCAACGCGATCAGCTGTCGGTCCGGAAAGCGAGGCGGGCGACGACGCCCTCGACGATCCGATAGACGATGACGGAACTGAATTAGATAGTCTAGATGATGGTCTTCACGCCTTTCGGGCGCCATCTCTAGTAGCAGACGAGCCTGGAGCACCAGTCACGCTACCCGCTCATGACGGATTAGGTAGCTTTCAAGCCTCCAGCGAGGCGGTACAACATCAGCTGTGGCAACACGAGCGATTTAATCCTCATCGAAGACCCGATCTACAGCCCCGGCGGCGTTCAAGCGCGCAGCATCAATTAGATTCGATTGCACGTGAAGAAGCTGATGTCGAGAGGGAAAGATGGCAACGTATTGAGAAGTGGAGGATGGAGCAGAGTCGGGCACTATTATACGAGATTGAGAAAGCCACCCGGCAGCGTCGGGATAGCCATGCTAGTCGACTCAGTGGACAAGCCGAGCAAGTGGTTGCGCCTGCAGAGGTTCTAGAGGCGTCTTCTACGCCTGCCTCTTCGACAACCCAACAGGGAGCTGACAAGGAGGAAACCTTATGGCAACGCATTACCCGCAAAGTGATTCAAGATCTGATCGGGATTGACGACTCCTTGCTCTCTGTCCTCTTTGGAGAGTCTTTGCCGTACACAGAGGACGTGGAGATAGACACGCCGGCGGGGTCAGATAGTGGTTTCAATCTCGAGGAAGCAATGAATCAGGAGCTGAAGTCTACATCGGACCAAAGCCCGCCATGGAAGGACAAGCTACTTCAGCGCATTGCGCGTGAGCTGGGACTACTTGTTCATCAGCTCTGTGAGCATCCCGGTGCTTTCACAACTTATCTCAATCTGTCAACGGAAATACCCAACCAATATGCTGGTATTCCTCTGGACCGTCTCCCCGAAAAGAATACACCAATGTCTGCTTCCTTAGAGCCCACCACTATGACCGAGTCAACGAATAATGCTGAGTCATTATTATCGCCCCATTTCACCCCCACCTTGCAGGTTCCTGATAGTCGAGAACACGCGGCTCAATGGGGTATTGAAGACGATGACGACTTGGGCCGTGGTAGCAGCAGTTCTGCAGGCGATCCGTTGACCGAATCGGCGCGCATTCAACAAGAGAAGGAGTATTGGGAGCGAGAGTTGGATGTCTCGGTGGTTTTCCGCTACCTGCGTAACCGCTTCAGCCAAAGAGGCAACAACACGGACTCGTTATCTCATACCTCCCACCATCCTCCGCAGGATGCTTCTCGCCGCGCCGCGATCATACGCCAACATCATCCTCTCGTTGCGTGTGCGCACGCTCGCTCTCAAGCACAAATTCGACGTCAATCTCAATATTCTTCCCACCAATCAGGACCGACTGGGGTCTCGTCATCCGTCCTCCGCCAACGGTTCCGCAGACCTAGCTCCAGCTGTGCAAGTCAAAGCGCGAAGATGTCCGCCATCTCCAGCCGTCGAACACTGACGGGCTCCAGTCGAAACTACTGGGACATTGGAGGGAGTGTTGGTAGTGGAAGTGCGGTTGCACCTGTCGCAGCTGGCGTTGGCGCTTGGGGAGATGTGTGATCAGATCGCTGAGGGTATTGTTCTTACATAAGGTATTGCATGCTGGCCATCGAACATATTATTACCACCTTTCGGACCTGGAGTTCCGGATATTATTCTTTGAAACGTCATTGTTGAATCATCGCCTCTGATACATTTAGGTACATATCTGGCCATTTTTCCCATCTCATCTCCTTCTCACATTACACCGTCAACGACATCTAGAGCGGCAACAGGGGCAACTCGATTACTGGCGAAATTGAGCAGGGTATACAAATTAGAAAGGTGTGACTCTCCGTCATTGTTTGTAACAAGGGCACGATTGAGCGGGCGTCTGTGTGTTTGTGGAAATAGAGGCTAGTTCCAGTGTTGGCGAATGTAACGCCGCAGGGCACCACCATGAGACTAAGTGTTTTAGAAGACATGGGCAGAGATGACTGATTAGATGTTCGAAACCTGTAGAGGTATCTTATGCCTTCAACATGTGGATTAACGATTGTAGGCCCCGATGATGATGGTTGGTGCTTTTAAGGGTAAGTACTCAGGGATTTTGGGTTCTAGCTTGACCAGCATCCTCATAAACCAGCATCTATACTTCCATGGATCAAAAATGCCAGTCGGGTTTCAGTGAGTGTGACATAGCTGCTGACATCAATTTATCGTAACACAGTTGACAAGGAGAGGGAGAAGTAGGACGGTGTATTTGCCAACCGATGATAAACAGGTATAGACTGATCTAGAACGGTGGGATACAAGTTCTAAAGGGTTTCTAGAAGTTTTACACCAGTTCTTAATTAGTAGAAAACCTAATCAAAACTATTGATAACTGTTCACAACCATCGACGACCATCGACAACTGTTACTCACTGCTGTTGACAACTGTTGACAACAGTGAATGACAAGGGTTATCGCCTATAATATGATATATTTTTCGATCATACCAGTCACTATATACAAATATTACCAGCTAGTTTAGAAGTAGATTGCAACTAGACCCCGTTTCCACCGTGGTAAGTGAGCCCTCGGTGACTTTTATCAATAAACTTTGTTAAGGTGTATATAGCATAAGTATACTTTATCGATAAATGATATAAACCGGCAGCCGCGGGAGTCCAACAAGTAGGACGGAGTACGGGGTAGTATGATATTAACCGAGACACTAGTAGTATACGGAGTACCCCAGGGTTTCCGGATGATTGATATCATTGTGGTCAAGGGGCCATAGGGAGGTAAGACTCGGACAAGTACCCGCAATTCAATCTGACTTGGTGCTACCTGGGGAACTAATGATGGGCGTGGAAAGGAGGGAGAGAGGACCGGTCTTAGGTAGGTCGGTCGTGCGTTTTGACTTTGCCGGCGGCATGCATGTCTACTGGATGCTAGCATTTAAACCTTGATATGGTAGGGGTTGCTGTTGATGGAAGGTGTAAAATTCATGTGGCCGGTGGTGGATTTGAGGTATATGATATGAACGACATCGAATTGAGGCCGTGCTTTGGAGCCGAGGTCTCATCTGGAGATTCATAACAGAAGCTATGCTTTACGTAGCGGTCGAGGGATGGGGGCTTGGCTTTTTGGTGACATGCTTGTCTGCGGAGAAAGCGATTTGTCTCTCAGATATTCGAGGGTTGAGGTTGAAGTACGGTCTACATCGTAGGGCAGATTCTCAGCCTACTAATTCGCGGAGTGTACCAATAGACTAAACTTGAGGAGATAGCTTCCGAATCAGGATGTTAAGGGAATATCATCATGGTTTGGGGTAGTTCCGATCACATTATAAAAAAAAAGAGAACACGATGAAATGCTAATGAACATTCTTTTTCCCACTTAACACCCATCACACTACGCGAACACACATCCCGGACTCAGAAAATCTAAGCCTGGGACAGGTTCTCGTAGGCCTCGGGGAAGCGCTTCATGTTCTCCTCGATGAGACCGTGGCCACGGAGGAACTGGACGTAGGCACCGTCCTGCTTGAGCTTGCCCTCCTGGCGGAGCTGGACGTAGTCCTCGCGGCGGACGGGGGTGAAACCCCAGTTCTTGGAGACGATGATCTTCTGGCGACCGGGGAACTTGTACATGGAGCGGCGGAGGGCCTCAATGGCGGTGGCGCGGTTGGAGTCACGGGTGCGGACGGACAGGATGATCTGGCCGATGTTCACACGGGCAACGGTACCCTGGGGCTTACCGAAGGCACCACGCATACCGGTCTGGAGACGATCGGCTCCGGCGCAGGACAACATCTTGTTGATACGGATGACGTGGAAGGGGTGGACGCGGACACGGAGGTGGAAACCTTCCTTACCGGCGATCTTCACGAGGTACCTATTGTTGTTGGTTAGTTTTCTGGTTGGTTGTCATCGCTGGGTGATTTGGTGGTTGACATACTTGTTGGCGCAAATACGGGCAGCTTCGAGGGCCTCGGAGGACAGCTGCTCGTACTCGTTGGAGACGAGGTGAACGCAGAGGGGGAAGTCATCGACGTTGGCCTTCTTACGTCCAAGATCGAAGATGCGGATCTTGGGGTCGGGAACACCACGGTTGAACCGGGACTTAGGGTAGGGCTGTATGATGTCGACATGTTAGTTTATCTTGCATAATCACCTTTCTCTGACCCTTTGAGCGGATATCCAAAGTGATGTATATGCATCCAGCACCATCCTCCTCTTCTTGTCCTGACGCAATTCATCTGTCCTCATTCCCCATCCCACAACTGAGGCAAAGGTTTCCCCTCCCGACCGAGCGCAGATCCACATCACGCGTTCACACACACACATGTACACACAAAAACCAATATTCCAAACGAACATCTCTCTCAACGCACCTTGTTCTTGCAGTAGCGGTAACATCTCGCGGGACGGCGGGCCATTTTGACGGTTGGGAAGTTGGCTTCCTGGGTGGGTTGTCGAGAAAGGTGGTGTCGGGGATTCCAAAGGGAGAAAAGGAAAAAGGTCTTCTCGCGGGCGGGCAGGAGACTTTCGACGTTGATTTCCAAGCAATCCGTCCGCCCGCTACCGAGTGGCGCAGCCCTAAACCCTAGCCTCTCCACCAATCACCGCCCGCCCTCGCCCATGACGCATTTGTCAGAGTCGGCGACATTCTGACCAGTTGTCGTCCGCTGGCAATGATCTGACTGCTTACAGAATTCATGATTTTCGATTTTTAAGGAGGCAATTATTGCTTATGGCTTCATGCAGCATGTGCCCTTGCGATGAGTCGTCGCTGGGTCAAAAGAACATGTTCCTTGGCAGTGGTGGTGAGTCAGAAGCTCCCTTCCGCTAGATACGCCTACGCTCTTACAGTAAGAACTGGTCCAGTCTTGGCTTCCTACGCGACAGTTTATTGCAGTTGCGCGTCATTTGGTGTGAAGGATTTTTTCTTGTCATTATCTAAAGCATGTCATAAGAGTGTCGCATCTTGCGACATTCAACACATTCAGACATAACATGAAAGTCATTGGCACGATCCTAACACCTACTGGCTGGAGAGGATGTCGGAGTCACCAGCGTCGAGGATGGTCATGGTGCTAGTGCGGAAGAGCTTACCGCAAGCAGTACCAAGCTCGATCTATAGCAACCAGTCAGCAACCCATCTAAACCTGAAGCGAAGTCTTCCCCTGATAGAGTATCGACTGTGCCCTGACAACTGCCTTCAAGGCGGAGATAAGTGGCACTCACGTTGTTACCAGAGAAGTGGTGAACGGGGGTCTTGGCAAGCATGGCGTAGTACTCGAGCTCACTCTTGCGGAGGGGAGGAGTGTTAGCAGCGATGATGACCAGCTTGGCCTTGCCGGAGCGGAGGGTCTTGATGGTAGACTTGTAGCCGAGGGTGACTGCATCGAGAACAGTTAGCGACCATCATGACATCTCAAAAGATTTCAGCTTTAACATACCCTTTCCGGACTTCATAACAAGCGCCAGGCGCGAGTTGATGGTGTCACCGGTCTTCTTGCTCTTGGGGGCCATCGTTACGCTGTCGAAGACTAAACTTCTGCGTGATCAATTTGAATCAGCAAAGGTTCGCTCGGGATGCATTTTTTTCAGCCAAGCTCTGCTGGAATGAGCAACCACACTCAACCAGAACCAAAAAAAGATTTGGCAATGGTTGAGAGCAGGCCGTCACTCAGCCATGTCTTTCAGTGAGAAACCACATACCTAAAGGTTGAATGTGGTTTTGTTGTAAAGAGAGTGCGCTCCGGCCTTGTCTTGAGATAGGAATAGAATCGAAAAAGCCTGTTACCGCTCTTTTTTGTGGGTTCGACAAATCGCGGATCCCACTTCTTCCGTCCCGGTTCCGATTAGTGACCGTGCACGTGACCCATTTCCGGCGTTGATATCGTGTGGAACGATCGCACGTGATTCTGACCCAGAAGGATGGGCCTGTGGCCGAAAGGCCGACGGGACATCATCTGCGTACATCGGCGCCCTGTCCCAATTGATTTGGGCATACATATTGCCCTGGAACCAAACTTCACTCAAGACTCATAGCCGAAGTACTTCCGCCTTATTGATATATGTGATAAGTGCCGCTCCGGGTGGCTATTCAGCAAAACCGCGGCCTGCAAGAAGAAGCCTGGCTGTATTATACTTTGCACGTGGGCTCTTGTATACTACACGGTCCCATAGAATACATCCTGATCCAGGCTCTAATTCTGTAATTTAAGATTGTAGTCGGCTGACTAGTTTCGCAACATATGTCAGGCACATTGCTGAAGGAGACGCCACGGTTACTGGTATCCGCAGCTTTAGAAAGAGTCCATCAAGCACTATCCCCGTATCCTGACGACCAGAATACATTCTCGTGACGACATAAGCCCAAGCGCTAGGACACATGATCGTAACGATAAAGTGCTTCTCAAGAAATGTGGTGTAAATGTATGATGTGGTCAAGATTCTTAGCGGAAGACTTACACCCATTACCTGATGACCTAGCAGAGAAACGCCATGAACGCCAGAGCGAAATGATTAGAGATATGACCCTGGCTCAATAAAGGAGCCCACGCAATTCCGCACAGCAGTCCAGAGCATAAGGTTTGTCCATGAAACGAAGCAACAGGTGATTGCAAATGTGATTCTGTCCACTGGGAATATTGATATTTCGTGGCCGATCGAAGCCCTCTGATATTTACAAATAGAGGGGAGATGGCTTGTTTCTCCTTGACGGGAGATAGACAGTCATGCCATGTTAGAGGCTGGCGAATATCAGAAGCTCAGAGAGCGATCTGATAACACTTCGCAGCACTTAAGGTTATGGAAGACTGAATACGCGAAATCAAACAGCTGAGAGTAGGTTCCCTGGTGCGGACGGTGCTCGTACATGGATGGTCCCTCGGCTTTCACGAGAGCTCGGATAGTATACAACGGGTTGCCTAGGCAGTCAATTAACGGGGATATACTGATACCCGGGTCGTTCTTCACTGCCCATCAGCTCCCATTTTTTTACTGCCTCGCTGGCTGACATTGCTGTTGATATCGTGACTATCGTGGGATAGCCTTACATTGATGCATGACCGGAAGTTGCAACCACAGACGTGGCGCAGTCGGGGTATTTGGGGGTTTTCTCCGCCCCCTGAAAGCGAGCATTCATGATTGGCTGGAAGTCAAGAAGCGGCCAGACCCTGGCTGCAGCAAGGAAGTCGAGGGGGCCTGTTGGAGGGAGGGAGGGGTGCTTCGAGAGTGGCTGCTATCTTTATCGTTGCCATGTGTCTATTGAGTTCGTGTTGTTGTTGTTGTCGTCAAGGTGGAAGGAGGTTGGTTGGTTGGTTTATTGGTTGGGGACTTTCGTGTTGTCAAGGTTGTGGTGCTGCTATCATTGATCCGCATTCGGGCACTATTTCCAGTAGAAGCGGACTTTCTCTCCACCTTATTGTGGCCCAGCAGATGAAATCGAAGGTCAGGAAATGAGAATTAAATTTAGACTATTCACTGCAAAGCCTTCCAGGACCTGAGAAGACTTGGCTGGAGGCTCAAACACGGGAAAAAGTGAATTCATCATCAAAAGGATGGTAATCATCATGGGAGTCCTTGGGTCAAAGTAACGTAACCCAGACCGGCCAAACATGGGCAAACAGCGGTCATGTACGGTACGAAATCGTGCCCATCAAACAGACAGACAGCCGGAGACAGACACATTGTACATTCACTGTACAGATTGTATTGCATGCAATTCTCAATTCTCAGATTAATTATTAGTTACTTTCTCTCTCCCCCTCATCCCACTTTATAAACTGTTCTTCTCTAACACTCTTCATGCTGATCGCACCCAATCCCTAACTTTCATCCCCCCCCTATATCCACCCGGATTCCATCCCGCGCAACGGTTTGCTCTTCTGCATCCTTGCGTATTTCCCATCTCTCTCGACGTTGGCTACTTGTACTTTACCTACTTAGCCTAGCCTCCCCCCTCCGTTGCCCGCCCGCCATTAGAACCCGACCCTTTCCCCCACCGAGATAGTTACCTAGTGCGCCCACTGTTTTGACCGCTACTACAACTGTGACTCGGCCTTCCATTCCTTAAATTAATTTCCCGGTTGTTTCATTGCACTACTCTTTTCCCTCAATCCCCAGAGGCACTTTTTTTTTGCTATCCCCTCCCCTTCCCCTTATCTGAGTTGTCTCGCATTTCTGGCCTCCGAACCTGTCGCTTTCGGTCAATCTCCCATTGTCCGGTTATAGGCCAACATGTCTACGACGCCTCGTAAGCCCAGTATTCCGGGCAGTGCCACCAAATCCTCGACTACGGAGAATTCGACAGTTAACGGGACACCATCCAGAACCCATTCCCGCTCTCCTAGCACAGCAACAAATGGCGTCACTCGTTCTCCCTCCCTCCGTTCGTCGACACCTGTATCTGCGCGCGCTGCAGCCCGAAAGCCGGGTCGCTCCAACCTAAGCACCTCAAGTGCTCCCAAAATCACACCCAGCCCCTCCGATGAGGAAGCACGAGCCCAGAACGCAGCACTCATTGATGACCTCAAAGAACAACTGCAGAAGGCCGAGACAGCCTCCGAACAATATCAGAAGCAACTAGGTGTCCTTCAAATGCGACTTGACGAGGCCATTAGCGAACAAGGCAAATTGGAAGATCAGATGCACGAGAAGGACAGCAAGCTTGAAGCGCTCAACGGTGAAATCCGCGACCATGTGCGCCAGATTCGCGACTTAGAACAGGCCCACGAACAAGAGCGGAATGCCATGCTGCAGGAGAAGGAACAACAAGCAAGTCGGGAGGAGGAGATGCAGGCGACCATTCAGCGCCTCAAAGAAACGTTGGCTCAGAAAGAGCGAATCAACTCCGATTCAGACAAGAATATGTCTCGCTCATGTAAGACCCCGTTTTCCTGCTTGTCATTCTAGTTCCCATCTGACTTTATCTCTCTACAGCAAGCTTCCGTAACCGATCGTCTCCAGATGTGGATGGACAATTTGCGCCCTCGTCTCAGATCGAGCGAAGCCCCTCGCGAAACAACTCCAACCTACTTCTGCAGAAGGATAAGCTGATTGAATCTCTCAGGCTCGAATTGGCCGAGTCCCAGATCAAGCTTGTGGAGATGGAAAACCAAGGCGGCGGCAGGCAGCGAGAACTTGAGAAGGAGCTTCTGGAGGCTCGCATGGCTAACGCTCGCTTGATGGAGGACAATGAAAGTTATCAATTGCTTCTGAGTGAGCGAACCTTAAATGGCGATTTTACCAAGGGTGATTTCATGCGTGAGGTCCATCCTGACACTGCAGACGAGGACACCAAGGAAGCTGGCAGCGGGTTGGGTTCGCTGGCTGATGAGCTTGAGTCTGTAGATGCCAGGGCTGAAACGGACAACACGCGCAAGCTCGAGTCCGAGGTCAAGGCGCTCAAGGACCAGAACAAGGCCCTAACTCTTTATATCGAGCGGATCATCAGCCGCCTGCTGCAGCATGACGGGTTCGAGACGATTCTCGATAAGAACGAGAACGACCCGCCAGCCAAGAGACTCCCTGTCGGTCATAACAAGGATCTACCACCCACTCCGTTAGAGAAAGAGGAACCTTCCTCGCAGACCCTCCTTCAGCGGGCCAAATCGGTCGTTGCAGGCGGTCCGAACTCCAATGTTCCTCGTCCTCAGACCCAACCCCGGTCACGCCCCACTAGCTATATGCCACCTCCGACCAGTGTGCCCACCGCCCACGAAAATCCGGAGACAGCACCCAGCATCCCCCTGCGCGCCCAGTCAATCCGTGGTCACCGCAGGACAAGATCTGAGCAGACAGACGTTAATGTTGCAGCAGTTGTCGGTCAGATGTATCGAGGCCGCAACTCGGGAGGTCCTATCAGCCCTACCCTCATGGGACCTGGGTCACGCCAAAGCGCTTTCTCTAACGCAAGCTACATGTCCAGTATGAGCGCCAGCAACCGTGCGCCTTCTCTGTCAAGCCAGCCCGAACATAGTCGCTTGAGCAGCTCAGGTAGCATCACCAGCGATCATGCCGCAGATACTGCTTCTACGGGTGCAACTTCCAGCTCTCCGCGCTCCAGCAATGGTATGACCAACTACACAGGCGCTGTGATGACGCAGAACAAGTTGCGCCCTCTGCGTCTTGTCAGTGAAACCACCAGATTGGCAGAAGAGGAAGAAGCTGCTCGGAAGAAGGCGAACCGCGGAAGCTGGATCCCGTGGTTTAACCGTCCCGCTACCAGCAGCGACCCCCAGTCCCCCATCTGATTGACCTATCTCAGGCTCGATCACCTCATCGCTTGGAACGATACGATTGCATGAGGATACGCCAGTACTCTCTGTTCTTTCCATTAATATTTCATGCTCCAGTGGTACTATTTGCATGACCTCCCCGAGATATTTCCCCTACAGTCATCATTCTTACTGTCTCTTCCATTAACCTTATTTTTTGGTGTTGATCATCATCGTGGTGTTCGAGATGGTTATGGGCGCAGCTTTCCAACTATTCATGGCAAGTCTTGGCGCTTTTCACATGTCTGAGGAGGAAATGCTCTCTTTTGCTTTTCTCTTGCTGTCGGTTATGTGATAGACGACGCACGCACCCTTTTGAACCGGAATGATGTGATGATTGACCAGGCAACTTGCAAAATTGCTTTTAGGACACTCGCTGTTTTGACACCCTTGTATACTCGGACGGCCCACGGAATTTGGTCCTCTTCATTGATTCATGCCCTTCATTATCTTGATGAACATACCTTCTGCTCATATATCTCCCCCAATCGCGAGTGGCAGGGACGTGCTTTACGAGATTCTGCGTGTTCTTCCTGTATTGATGTGCTTGGCACATTCTTCAATTCTTGTACTATAGAGTAGATAGCAACTCTGATCCAGAACGTCCTGAGTCTAGCTATCACGAATCCGAGTCAGCCTCGCCTTCCTCCACCAACACAACAGACTTCGCCCACACTTCGTATTGGTCATAATGCTCGCCATCCTCGTTCCCAAACGCCAGTATAGCCGGCTGGACGCATAGTATAGCCCTCTTTCCAGTCTCTGATCATCCTCATCCAATCTGTGTAATCGGTGTGCGCGCACCATGAAGCTCGAACTTTGGAATCTTGAAAGCGCCGTGAGGGCAACGCATTACATAACTGTTCGCATTACCCATAGTGACAATGCCAGGTCGCCGGCCATCTGATAGACCGCTTCAAGTTCGTCAGAGCGCTCGCGTGCTTCGTCTTCATCCACAATCGAGCACAGAATGAGCCTGTCCTTTGGACTCGAGAAGTCTCACTGCCATCTTGCGACTAACTCGGCTTAGTTGCCGGAGATGCAGGTCGGGGATCGACTGCATTTATGCTCTGAGAGCCTCTCGCAATCATTCGAGTTTCGAGAAACTGCCCAGAATAGAGATAGAAAGGCAACTTACCTCTGTGGGGCCTAAGTCCATGTCCACAGTGAGATAACGGATGCAAGAGATGACCGAGGTGTAGGTTGTCTCGTTTGCGGCAGCAGTGAGTTTGAACTGAGGTTGCCTGGCTTGAGCCATTCTACTATGTATTCACCTTCTCCCATCTCGAGTCCGAGTAATACATACTTCTCTCACCTCAAACTTCCCTCCTTGCCCCTACCCTTGAACCATCGCCCACACTTACATTGCATATGCAAGGAAAACAGCACAATTGAACTCACATCGTCAGGTCTAGCAAAATGGACCAGCAAGGGTCTTCTCGACCCCTTGAAATGGCTTGAACAAGGCTCAGCTCCACCATCTCAGCTAGGAAGGAAGGAAGATGGGCCTTACAAGATCATTGTGGGAGTTGATTATGGTACCACATATACTGGTTAGTACCGGCTCCATCATGAAGAATAAGAGGCCACGAGAGAAGAAAGAGAGACAACTTGTCTCCAGTGCAGACTGGCCGCCTTCGTTCAAGGTGCTGCACTCCGGGGTCTCCAGGGTCTGCAACCCTCTACCAGGCGACCCCACAGGGATTACTGTTTTCGAATACGCAGACTCTTCCAAGCAGGGGTCGACAACGAGGCCGATGCCTCCATCAATCAATGGAGTGGCCTAAAGTATGCTACTGGCATCATGGAATGGATGATGGCAAAGATGGATCAATAGCAACTTATGCAAGCCAGAATAGATCTCTTAGTCTCGTTGCCATGATCTGCGGGGATTGTTGGTCAGGACTAGGAAGAAGAATGCAGATTCAAATTGATTCAGTCTAATGTCTATGGCATCATCAGCGGGGACAGAATGCCTCTGGATTTTCATTTACCGGCGCAAGAGGAGATACGCTGATTTGAATGGTTTGCAGGGACAGAAATACCCACCAACTACACACATACAAGGTCGGTCTGCGCTCTTCAAAACGCATCGCAGAATTCCTTAACACGATGGTTCTGTATGCATGTGATGATAAACTGGCCCCATGTGGAATTCCTTAAAGTAAGCCAAGTCACTCCGCGGTACCCCAGTGCGAGGTCATATGCAATGTGCAAGCACAAAGCAGCCACCTCCTCTACATGCGCAGGTTGGATGCTTCACAGTCTGCATGTAAGGCTGCCAGCCTGCGGGGCAAGATGACAATACCCCTCCAGAGGGGTTTTCCGACAGAGCTCGTTTATGTACAAGCATCTTGAGTTGGAGCAGGAAGATGGATTTGCATGAAACGTGATTGCTACCTGTCATTCAAAGTCACACGACCCAGCCCTTTGATTATTGCTCCCTCCAAAACTGTATGTTTCAAGAGTGACCATTTCTTCATCGTTACAGACGTCTACCGAGTTGGCGAAATCATAATAAATTTCTCGGGCACGGATCTATCTTGTTGCGAAACCAAGGTCATTGATGGAGAACTTACTTACCAGCACCATTACGAGATCAAAGTCACCTTTGACTCTCATGATGGCGTGCTAAAGTTCGAAGGTACCAGCCAGGGCAGAACAATTGGACAGACAAGCATTTGTTACCAGACTGTGAATTCCTACTAATATCCAGGTCTCCTCTTCGGTGGCTGTCCAGCGATTTTCTTCCAATGGCATCACGGATACTTATGCTAGATAAATGGCAAGCAGATAATGAGATGGAAGTGTTGGAAGTGGTGGATTGCTTTCCTACTGATAACTTCGCAGCCTAGCTAAAGTTGATTGACTTGTCTAGCCTTTCTACTCCGGAGAAAGCATTCCAGAAAGCTAGCTGTTTTCACCAAAAATCGGATTAGGACTCTATCTTAGCCGAACTAGCTATTCCCTTGCCTTTGTTGAGGAGTGTCGGAAAGCGAAGTGGTTAAGATACCTCAATCAGGCTTAGAAAACGCAATGCGACGTCTCATTGAATTGAGACCCATGCAGGCCATGCGCTCCGACAGGGTATGTCAGCATCGTGTTAGAAGTCAAAAAAGTGTGGGCGTTGATAAATTGTGTACAGTACGGCGTACAGTAGTTATAGTTGTCCCGGAGAAATGTTGACGCGGCGGCCGGATTGCGGCCAGCTTGTAAATAGTACGGAGATGTAAGTCCTATCGGAGCAGTCACCACTCACCATTCTCGAACCAGTCGTTCTCTGGTCCAATCGCCCACCATGCCTGGCTCTTTGTCTCTTTTCTCCGTCAATGCCGTTCTTCTCATGTCGGCCGACGATGGCTCGCGCATCTTCGCCAAGTACTACTCCCCTCCTCACCCTCCAGCCGGCACTGCCCCCAACTCCACCGACTATCCCGGAGCGAACCCCTATCCCACCCTGAAGGAGCAGAAGGCTTTTGAGCAGGGTCTCCTCGAGAAGACGAACAAGCAGACCAGCGATGTGATTCTCTACGACAACCGGATTGTGGTGTTCAAGATGGAAAGCGACGTTATGCTCTACGTGGTTGGAAGCGCCGGTGAGAACGAAGTCTTGCTCTACAATGTCGTTCTGTCCTTGCGAGATGCCCTCGGAATCTTATTCAAGTACGTTCCCTGCTCTATGTGCTGCAGGTATCTTGGGGCTCAATGCAGTAACTAACATGATATGCTCTTCTTTCTCCAGGGGCGCAACTGACAAGCGCACAATTGTCGAGAACTACGACCTGGTCGCCCTCGCCATCGACGAAATTATCGACGACGGTATCATTCTGGAGACGGATCCCGTTCTGATCGCCTCGCGCGTGAGTCGCGCTCCCGCCCCCGATGCGCCCAACTTGAAGAGCATCGATTTGTCGGAACAAGGTCTGCTCAATGCGTGGGAGCTGGGCAAGCGGCGTCTGGCGGAGGGTCTGCGGCAGATGTAAGAAAGGGAAGATAGGTGGTTATTGGGGTGTTCTTAAAGGCATGAGGACATGGTTCTGTCTTCATTTTTTTTAAATGTGCTTGTTCATGTTATCTGGCTGGTCCTGGCGTTGAATTGATCCGCATAATACTTTTTTTTCATGTTTCATCTTTCAAAAGAGATGTCATTGCAGTTATACCGGCAGTCCTCGATCTGAGGATTGGTTTTTCATAGATACTCCGATAAATGCTTTTCCACGTGAGTCAGAATTCTGAGCACTCGAGTACAGTATGGCGAGGCGAGCGTCGTTGGAAACCCAGTGTATCGTACTCGAGGTAAAATTAATCAATGGGTCTGATTAAGCTGAACTTGACCGATCTGTACTTCGTGCAGAGGCATATCAGTATTTCATATACGTGCGGAGTCGATTGAGAAGATAATGTTTGAAGGATATGGAAAAGCAATCTAAGCAGATCACCGGCGAATTCCAGCCCCGCATACGTCACGCCCGGCCTCGGAAGAGAGAGGGGACAATTTTCAGCAGCACTCCTTGCACGATCATCGAATCACTTTCGTTCCCACACACTCAGCGCAACACTGATTGATAGACTTGGGGGAACCAATAGATACCCCAAGATGAAGCAGAGATTCTCCTCTTTGGATGTCAAGGTCAGTTTTGGCTTTTGAGCTTGCCCTCCATCAAAGCAGCCGCACGAATCTCACACATTTGCAGGTCATCACCCAGGAACTTGCCTCGGAGCTTGTCAACCTGCGAGTCTCGAATATCTACGATCTCTCATCGGTAAGTACCACGGTCAATCACATAGCTTATACTCAGATTCACTTCTGATCTATCGTTCTCTAACCTTCTGCCCGCCCGCCAAAAGAGAATCTTCCTCTTCAAGCTCGCCAAACCCGACCACCGCAAGCAACTCGTCGTCGACTCCGGTTTCCGCTGCCATGTCACGCAGTACTCACGGGCGACGGCCTCAGCGCCCTCGCCCTTTGTTACGCGCATGCGCAAGTTCCTAAAATCCCGGCGCGTCACCTCCATCCAACAGATCGGCACAGACCGAGTCATCGACTTCTCATTCAGTGATGGGCTGTACCATATGTTCCTCGAGTTCTTCGCCGGTGGCAACATCATAATCACCGACCGGGAGTACAACATTGTGGCGCTGTTCCGGCAGGTCGCGGCCGGGGACGGGCAGGAGGAGGAGACGCGTGTCGGCATGAAGTACACAATCGACAACAAACAAAATTTTCACGGGGTGCCAGACATCACGACGGAGCGGGCTCGGGAGACGGTCGAGAAGGCCCAGGCGCTGTTTGCGGCCGAAGGCAATGCGCCCAAGAAGTCGAAGAAGAAGAATACCGACGTCCTCCGTAAGGCGCTGTCGCAGGGCTTCCCCGAGTATCCGCCGCTGTTGCTGGATCATGCGTTTGCGGTGAAGGAGTTGGATCCGGCGACGCCGTTGGAGCAGGTGCTGGCCGATCCGGAGGGGCTGTTGCAGAGAGTGGTCGGGGTGCTGGAGGAAGCGAGGGAGGAGACGAGGAAGTTGTCGTTTGGGGAGGGGCATCCGGGGTATATTGTTGCGAAGGAGGACACGAGACCCAAGGCCAAAGGAGCTGGGGATGAGAAGGAGGGTGAGCAGGAGTCTGGTGCAAAGCCGCCGGCGTATCTGTATGAGGATTTCCACCCGTTCAAGCCGCGCCAGTTCGAGGGGAAGCCTGGGGTCACAATCTTGGAGTTCGAGAACTTCAACAAGACTGTTGATGAGTATTTCTCGTCGATCGAGACGCAGAAGCTGGAGTCGCGGCTCACGGAGCGGGAGGAGGCCGCCAAGAGGAAGCTTGATGCCGTCCGCCAGGAACATGCCAAGCGCATTGGTGCCCTACAGGAGGTCCAGGAGCTGCATATCCGCAAGGCCGCTGCTATCGAGGATAATGTCTACCGGGTGCAGGAGGCAATGGATGCGGTTAACGGTTTAATCGCGCAGGGGATGGACTGGGTGGAAATCGCGCGCCTGATTGAGATGGAGCAAGGACGAGGTAACCCGGTTGCGAACATCATCAAGCTGCCTTTGAAGCTACATGAAAACACGATTACCTTGGTGCTTGGAGAGGCTGGCGATGAAGAGCAAGGTGACGGGGAGGAGCTCTTCTCCGATGACGACGAGTCTGAGTCGGAGGATGAGAAGGAGTCAGCTGAAAGCTTCGAGAGGAGAGCTGATGTGTTGGTGGTTGATATCGACCTTGGGCTTTCTCCATGGGCAAATGCGACCCAGTACTACGAGCAGAAGAAACAGGCCGCTGTGAAGGAACAGAGGACTACGCAGTCCTCCGCCAAAGCGCTCAAGAGCCATGAGAAGAAGGTGACGCAGGACCTCAAACGAAATCTGAAGCAGGAGAAACAGGTTCTTCGCCCAGCCAGAAAGCTTTTCTGGTTCGAAAAGTTCCTCTTCTTCGTCTCGTCCGAAGGATATTTGGTCCTCGGGTAGGCACAACTTCTCTTCAACAGTTTTAATGAAATTCATGCTGACTATGACCAGTGGTCGTGATGCTATGCAAAGCGAAATGCTGTATCGCCGATACCTGAAGAAAGGCGATATTTTCGTCAATGCTGATCTTCAAGGTGCTACGCCAATGATCATCAAGAACAGAGCAGGCACACCCAATGCACCTATTCCTCCAAGCACTCTTTCTCAAGCTGGGAATCTGTGTGTTGCTACATCTAGTGCTTGGGATTCCAAAGCAATTATGTCTGCATATTGGGTTGATGCTAGCCAGGTATCCAAGACTGCCGAGGTGGGAGGTCTCGTCCCCACCGGCGAGTTTGTCATCAAGGGCGAGAAGAACTTCCTGGCTCCCTCACAGCTGGTCCTAGGATTTGCTATCATGTTCCAGATTAGCAAGGAGAGCTTGCGCAATCACAAGTTACGTCAATTTGACGAACCTGTGGCCGCGGAGCCCACTGCTGAGGAGGGCAATGCTCCCAGTGTGACTGTCGAAGAGGCACATCCTCTTGAAGAGAAAGCTGAGACGGCTGAAGCTGTCCAATCTGACCGCCCCGCTGAAAAAAAAGAGCAGGAGCCGGGTTCGGAGTCTGACGAAGACGCCGAAGAGAACGAGGCTATCACAGAGAGGAACCCACTACAGCGGGGACTCTCTGAGCCAGCCCAAGGAGAAGCCGGCACCTCCCACAATGCCAATTGCAGTGTCTCAGACGAGGAGAATGCCGAAGAGGAGCGGGAGCAGGAGGAAGTTCTCAAGGAAGAGGATGATCAGTCTACTCAAGCAAAGAGTACAGCTGAGGATGAGACCCTGCAAGAAGAAAGCTTGACCTCTACTCAAGAACAGGGCAAGCGGCAGCTCTCCGCGCGAGAGCGTCGCCAACTAAGAAAAGGACAGTCACTCGATCCCCAGGAGACTACACCTAAGGAAGCTAAAGAGAGCTCGAAGCCAGCATCGAACGGCGCTCCTGGGCGACCTACGAACGCCAAGCCGGCACCAACATCCACTCGCGGCAAGAAGGGCAAGGCGAAGAAAGCCGCAGCCAAGTACGCAGATCAGGACGAGGACGAGCGAGAATTGGCACTCCGCTTGCTCGGTGTTGGCAGTGAGAAAGCCGCCAAAGCCGCTGCAGAGGCGGAAGCCAAAGCGAAGCGCGAGCAGGAGGCGGAAGCCCAAAAGAAGCGTCGCAGAGCCCAGCATGAGCGGGCGGCTGAGGCAGAACGTAAACGACAGGCTCTCTTTGAAGGGGGTGCTGATGACTACGACGAGGAGACGGCCGCGGCTGAAGCTGCGGATCTCGAATGGATTCCTGCCATGGTTGGGACGCCCCATCCTGAAGATGACATCCTTGCGGCCATCCCAGTGTGTGCACCCTGGGCTGCTCTGGGTCGTTATAAGTACAAGATTAAACTGCAGCCGGGTACTGTGAAGAAGGGCAAGGCTGTCAAGGAGATCATTGGAAGATGGGTTGCCGAAACAACGACCGGAAAGGTCAAGAAGGAGCATGCTGAAGACGCCGGTATCGACCGTGCAGCAGCAGAGAAGCTCCGCGAACGTGAAGGCGAGTTAATCAAGGGGTGGAAGGATACTGAAATCATCAACTCTGTCCCTGTGGGTAAGGTACGCATCATGACTGGGGCTGGGGCTAGCGGGGGCGATAAGGGTAAAGGCAAAGGTGGTGGTGGCGGCGGAAACAAAGGAGGTAAAGGAGGAAAGAAGAAATAGGATGCGCCACTATCTCTTGACCATTTGGATGCTCTTCTGCGATGGTCATACTTATGTCTAAATGACATGGGTCTCCGTGCGCGCAGATACGATGTGGAACCGTGCACCCCCTTCTACTAGTGACGCAAGGCCAACTATAGTTGTCATGCATTCATTGGACATATCTCTACACAATCACTCAAAAAACTATTAAGACATAAGGAGTGTATTCTCATTCCGATGTTGTAGTTAATCATATATAGTAGCAGCAGCAGCAGTAGTAGTAGTCATGTTAATCTTCAAATGGTTGCATGAAAGTGTCATTAAAGTTGCCTGTATGCTACTATATACAAACTGCCGGGCCCATGGCACATTCTATCGTGACACCAATGACGCCCCCACATGGCAACACAAGCGTTTGTGGGCTCGAACCCATCCTGTGGCGAAAATAATGGAATGCCATAAGGCTGACCCAGCGTGAAATGATATCAGAATACCTCCATTTCCCATCGGACTGGCTGCCAGAAACCGGACCTGGCCTGGATGCCTGCGCTTAGTCACCAGGCAGCCGACGTCATCGCGAATTTTTCTGGCGCCGAAAGCCTCCAAAAATTGACTCGTATCAAGAATGACTGTGGTATCCAGCAGCCAAACAATTTCTCGGGCCGATTCTGTCCAGTGGGGAAAAGAGGCATGAGAAATTGGATCACATCTGACATATGTGCAAGGCTGAACGAGTAACTTTCCACGCTTGTGACTCTTTCCCCCCACTTGGAGAATTTTTGTCTTCCATATTGACCCAACCCCGCGCCTAGCCTCTAACTATTTCTCCCTCTGGTGGCCTCGGATATCTTTCGATATCCCCTTCTCTGTTTCAAAGTGGTGTTACTTCTCTCTCGTCTCCTTGCTGGCGGTCTCCCGCGCAGCTTTGTCCGCTTCTCTTCTTCCTCCACAGCCACTATGCCTCCTACGCTTGACACGCGCATTGTCTCGGTTCGCCGACTTAACCAAGAAGGTCCCGGTGAGCGATCACTCGCGCAATGGTGGGCCGATGAATGTGGTAACAACACCCCTGAAGCTGCTGCAATTGAAGAAGCTGCACACCTTCTCCAGACGAGTGACATCCCCGTCGCATTCCCTACCGAGACGGTGTATGGATTGGGAGCCGATGCCACGCGCAGTGACGCCGTGCAGGGGATCTACAAGGCCAAGCAGAGGCCATCCGACAACCCCTTGATCATACACGTGGATTCACTTGGAATGCTGGAGCGCATCCTCAATCCCGTCCATCATAGTCCCACTCGTTTGACTAGCACTGCTCAGAACAAGCTCCCTGCCATTTACGACTCGGTCATCTCCCGTTTCTGGCCCGGCCCTCTCACCATCCTCGTTCCGAATCCTTCCGGATCTCCCCTCGCCAATGAGGTCACATCCAATCTTACTACATTTGGCGTACGAATGCCATCGTCGCCGCTGGCCCGTTTGCTGATCCATGTCGCGGACCGTCCTCTCGCGGCCCCCTCGGCCAATGCCTCTACGAAACCTTCCCCGACGGTGGCAGAGCACGTATACCATGATCTACACGGTCGGATCGAGCTTATCCTTGACGGCGGTCCCTGCGGGGTGGGAGTTGAAAGCACAGTCATCGACGGACTTTCTGATCCTCCAGCAATTCTACGGCCTGGTGGTATCGGTATCGAAGAGCTGCGACAATGTCCTGGATGGGAGAACGTTCAGGTTGGATACCACGATGGCACCCTAGACGTGAAGGAGGTACCTCGTGCGCCCGGTATGAAATACCGCCACTACTCTCCCAAAGCTCGGGTAGTCCTTTTCGAGCCGGGCTCCACGGACGAGGGTATTAGGAAGCACATCCGCAAGGACTTAGAGGACTCGGCGGTTGGTGCGCACATGATTGGAGTGGTGCGCACGCGCAACTGGAAGCAAGGGCTGGGCCTTGTTTCAGAGGAGGAGATACAAACCAGTATCAAGTCCATTGAAAGTTTGGTGGAGAACTTGGTCTCGTTTCCGGTACCGGTCGAGGACAAGATCAAGGCCTGCGTTGTGACGAAACAAACCTTTGATTGCCAACTCGGACCAGATATCAAATCGATCGCTCAAGGCTTGTTTTCAGCGTTGCGGGCAATGGATAAGATGGAGGTGGATGTCATCTACGTGGAGGGCGTGCCAGACCAGCAAGGTGATCTGGCAGCGGCTGTGATGAATCGGTTGCGAAAGGCCGCTGGGGCAGAACTCCGGGTTTGAGCCATGACAATGGATTTCTGTCTCCTCACATTTAGCTTTTAATCTTTTAATTTCGGCATCTTTATTTTGGCGCAAATCTTGGGTTGCTTAGACGGCATATAATTTAGATATGAAGTGCTATGAACAATCTGCTTTCACTGAGTCATAGAAGGGGTGCATGAGGGTTGCAGGACTACAGAATTGAGAACAGCGAATCAGCGATTTCCTGATGCTGCTCGTTTGACATAGAGTTTTGTAAGCTCACCATGATTTGATCTGATAAGAACAGGAGAGTGCAAATTAGCACTGGACAGTGGGCGTTATTCCCGTTACATGAGCAGCAACGCAAATCACCGAAAAAGAAGCCTTTATCGTTGCGCTGCAAGGAGACTTTCTCCGTCCTCCGGCCCAGTCATCGGCCGACTCCGACTCGGTATCTTTCCGGTGTGCCTGATTTTCCCACCCACACAAAAAAACAAGCTTATCATGAATCGAACTTCTAGAAGGGCTGCAGAACTTCCCACTCCCTTCCTGGTGGGTCACTGACTCATTGGTGGCCAACTGCAGTCCAACGCACTGTTGACTTTATTCCGATAGTGGCTCAATCGAATCCACCCTAGGGTCGGACCAGCAGCCATCTTGGGAGACCTCCTCCTTGGGATTTCTGGGAAAAATGGAGCCGGGTACAGACCTTATATTGTGATGCTCCCGCAAAATCTTTTCTTTTTCTTCGTGATTTTGTTTTTTGTTTTCTTAGCTAGGTACTTTCTTCAATTCAAGCATTGCTTTTGTTTCTTATAGATACCCATTCTCTTTCCAAATCAAATTTCTAAAGAATCATCATGTGTCAATCCTCCTGGCATGATTTCCTCCTTGGTCTCCCCAAGTGCGAGCACCACGTGCACTTGGAAGGCTGTCTCACCCCGGAGTTGATCTTTCAGTTGGCCGAAAAGAACCAGGTTCAACTGCCTGATCCCAAGTCCGAGCCTGCCTACGAGTCGATCGAGACCCTGACTAGCAGATATGGTCACTTTTCCTCCCTGGACGATTTCCTCCACTTTTACTTTATCGGCATGTCTGTGCTTATTCAGGAATCTGACTTTGCCGATCTGGCCTGGGCTTACTTCAAGAAGGCCCACGCTGACGGCGTGCACCATGCGGAAGTCTTCTTCGACCCGCAGGTCCACCAGGACCGTGGCATCCCGTACGAGACCATCGTGGCCGGCTTCGTGGCCGGCTGCAAGCGCGCCGAGCAGGAACTTGGCCTCTCCACTCGCCTCATCCTGTGTTTCGTCCGCCACCTTCCCGTCGAGTCTGCAAAGAAGACCTACCAGAACATCCTGGACAACAACCACTTCGAGACCGAGGTGATTCACGGTCTCGGCTACTCGTCCTCTGAGGTCGGCCCTCCCAAGGACATGTTCCGCGAGATCTACCTGTCGGCGTCAGCCAAGGGCGTGCGTCTCACTGCCCACGCCGGCGAGGAGGGTGACCCTACCTATATCAGCGCTGCGCTGGAGATGGGCGCGACCCGCATTGACCACGGCATTCGGCTCGTCGAGGACCCTGCCCTCATGGAGCGCGTGGCCCGCGAAAGCATCCTGTTGACTGTCTGCCCTCTGTCGAACGTTCAGCTCAAGTGCGTCAAGTCGGTCGCAGAGGTGCCCATTCGCAAGTTCCTCGATGCTGGTGTCAAGTTCTCGCTCAACAGCGATGACCCGGCGTACTTTGGCGGTTACATCCTGGACAACTACTGCGCCGTCCACGAGGCGTTCAACCTCTCCGTCAATGAGTGGAAGACCATTGCCGTCAACAGTGTCACCGAGAGCTGGATTGGCGAGGACCGCAAGAAGGAGTTGCTGCAGCGCATTGATGCCCACGTGGAGAAGTATGCTACTCTGGCTTAGGATATCGTCGTCCACAGATATACGGTCCGTATACATTTGGTAAATAGTATAATGAGTTGATGATGTTCACGTGTGAATGCTCCGCAAAGTGTAGAATGAATACTGTAACTTATGTAGACGGTGCATGAAAGGCAGAATAGAGACTCAATTACCTGTGTTTCAATTTTGCGATACGCTGCGCTCTAGGATCCCTCAGTCTCTTCATGGACTGTTGTCAAGTCGAGGTTAGTAACGAAAATAGTCGGAAGTGCCAAGCAAATGATAGCTGCCAGGACATCTATCATAGTCATCAACCGCGCATCTGTCAGTGGCAAAAGAAGTTCACAGCACCCAAGAACCAAAGATGCCAATGCAACAACCCCTCATGCCAATTTTCGCCCGTCCGACTTCCCGCGCCATTGCATCGCAGCCTCTTCTGCGTCACTTCATCCGTGCTCGATCTTTTTCTAGTGCTGCACCCCTAAGATCTTCTACCACAGCTACAACTACTAGTGCTACCACTTACCGGCCATCCGCATCCACTCTTACCTCCAAACTTTTACACATACAGCCAACCTTTCAAACCTATCGCATCCGCACAATGGCCACCCAACAGATTCCCGACCGCTACAAGCTCATTTTCTTCGTGCCGCACTCCCACCTCGACGTCTGCAAAGACGCCGTTTTCGCGACCGGTGCCGGAACTTACCCCGGCGGCAAATATTCAAAATGTTGCTTTCAAACACCCGGCACCGGTCAATTCTTGCCAGGGGAAGGCGCCAACCCCGCGATCGGATCGGTGGGTGACGTGGAACATGTCGAGGAGATGAAGGTGGAGATCATGTGTGTGGGACGGACGATCATGTTGCAGGCTGTGGAGGCTTTGGTGAAGGCTCATCCTTATGAGCAGGTGGCTTATGAGGTTTATAAGATGGAGAATGTGTAAATTGGCTAGGAGACGAAGGATAAATGCGAGGTGCTAGGAGGGCGATCGGGCGATAGGGTCGTCGGAACATTTTGACGTTGAGACCCTAGACATAATTTGAAGTTAGTAGATCGCTGGGCACTAGTTAGGATTCATGATGATCTCGAGACTGTAAAGCAGAACTTTCCCAGAGGAGGAGGACGCGACTCGAATGTTGCTTGCAATGGATTTTCCCTATGCGATCATTCTGTTCTATTGGTAAGGCGGGGAGTAATCTGTCGGCAGTGATTGGTCAGCTGAAGCTCCCGCAAAACGCCTCTTCAACTTGGAGTCGATTGTTCACCTTCAATCCATCAGATCGGACCTCCTCTCTTCGCGCCCCCCCAATACCCCCGTCAATCCCTCATATCGCCGCCGGCAATGGCTTCCAAACTCTTTCCCGCCGTCCCGCGGACTGGCCGTCAGCTTTTCCAGAACTTCCCTAAGACTCAATTCAGACCTTTCTCGGCTGGTCCGCAACGTTGCAGCGACTCCCTTGCCGTGGTATGTGCAATTGAGTCCGCAGATTTAATCGCTAGTCGGGCTTCGCGGTTGACTCGGATATCTCTTCACTGTCAATTGCTCACTAGGATATCTCGCTTTCGTGGTCGTGGAATGAGAGACTAATGGTCTGATCTTACTAGCACCGCAACAAGCCCGACAACAACCCGTCCGTCCCTTTTAAGTTCAACGACCAGAACCTCAAGCTCATCGATGAGATCCTCAAGCGCTACCCCCCTCAGTACAAGAAGGGTGCCGTCATGCCCATCCTTGATCTGGGCCAGCGCCAGCACGGCTACACTAGCATCAGCGTCATGAACGAGGTTGCTCGCCTCCTCGAGATGCCCCCCATGCGTGTCTATGAAGTCGCAACTTTCTACACCATGTACAACCGTGAGCCTGTTGGCAAGTACTTTGTGCAGCTCTGCACGACGGTACGTCTTGAAACCAGTCAATCGCGTATATCGAGCCAGTTACTGACACAGCGACCCCACAGACACCCTGCCAGCTTGGTGGTTGCGGTAGCGACAAGATCGTCAAGGCTATCACGGAACACCTGGGCATCACCCCCGGCCATACCACCGAGGACGGTCTTTTCACTTTCGTTGAAGTCGAATGTCTGGGTGCCTGTGTTAACGCTCCCATGGTCCAGATCAACGACGACTACTACGAGGATCTCACCCCGGAATCCATCAAGACTCTCCTCACCGCGCTCAAGGATTCGGCAACCGCTGCTGAAGCCGGCAAGCCCGTCAAGGTACCCGCCCCTGGCCCGTTGAGTGGAAGACAGACCTGCGAGAACAGCGCCGGTCTCACAAACTTGGTGGAGCCCGTCTGGGACCCGGAGACGATGATGAGAAAGGATGGAGCTTTGGATCAGCCCGCGCAATAAATGAATGTCAGCCTATAATTTGAATACAGTTTCGATGCCGTGCGTTGGAAGGTTCGGGTAGTTCCTCATGTTTTTCCCTTTTCCTCGTTCTATATCTTTTCCTTTTCTTCTATCTAAAACATTCCTGGCTGGTGACTCTCGGACACGGTCACTCGGATAACGCTTATGTACAGTACGTTGTGCCTCAGATTTGCTTGCTTCCTGTTGTGTAGGGAGAAAGACCGGGTCATGGTGGGAGTCATCTGAACTACCATAGAAGGTTTTGTTAGCAGCACCCAATGGAGTCTCTTAGTCCTTGATCAAGCATCGTTGCATTGCTCTATGAAGCCGATCTAGCCTACTCTGTGAATATTTGCTGCCTACAGATATTACGGCTCATCAAGCCCACTACCATGGCATGGTTAATTCGCCAAATCACCCAATCATGTGACTTGCGCGTACTGTACAACACGCACTGTGAGGTTCCCCCAGCTTTGTCGTCAAGCTACATCCGATAGCAGTCCTTCCCCCACCGACCCCTACACCGATGTTTCAGGTGTAGGGGTCGGTTGCGCCTTCCCAAGCACAGATTCAGGCGTCTGCAAAGCCAGTGCAGTGATATAAAACGGTTGATAATAATTGGCTGCCATTATGCACATGGCTTTGCGAAGCCCACAGCAGAACTGGTAAGCACTACCTTGCTCTTGTTCGAATGCCTCAGATAGTCGTTACAAATTGGCTTGCATTGACTCATACATACATGGGCTTCAAGATGATTGTACAGATCCAGGATTGACGCTCAATACTCTTCACAAATCCTTCAGCAATAATCCCTGGCATGACCTAAACTGCTTCCTCCTAAACCATGGGCTGCCCTTCACTACCGACTTTCTTCTCACTCGTTACTTCCGCGTCCGTGGCCAGAAAATGTTTCCCATCTTTCTCGATAAGAACCTTGTCCCGACGATTCTCAAAGATGTCGACGTCGATGGTCTTCTTAGCCAGCAGATGGTAGATATGAACGTGCCTGTTCTGGCCATATCGTCGACTCCGCCCGATGGCCTGTGTCATAGTCGAGTCATAATCATACTGAGTTTGTGTCAGCATGGGCGACAGAAATATGACATGGTTCGCGTGTTGCAAGTTCCTGAAATCAAAGGTTAGGCACCTGTGTCCTTTGGAATAAAAGATTCAATTGACTTACAGTCCTGCAGCCATCTCGGTCCCAAGGTTGAGAATCAAGACCTTTGCCTGTCCGAATCCGCTCGCCTGAAGTTTACTGATCTTCGCGGCGGAGTTTGCATCTACGGCCGTGATCATGGTGTGCTTGATCTTGGCGAGATTCAATGCTTTGGCGGCCACTTTCATGAGCTCCGGAAACTGAATGAACAGGAGAATACGCTCACCCTGCGGAGTGCTGCGGATGATTTCAATGACCTTGTCTAATTTGCTGCCGCCGAATTCGGCGTTTCTGTCTGCAGAGTCGCGCTCAAGCGTTGAGACAGGAATGACATTGTAATACTTGCCAGAACCGCGACACCCTTCCACACTGCATTCCTCCTTCTGCACGGCAAGAGAAAGGCAGTCCTTACACAGAGAATGTCCACATGAACCTAGGAGGCTCAGATTATCGACAGAGTCAAGCCGATTATTGCAACTCGTGCATTTGGAGATCTGTCCCCGTATTTGCATCGACCGTATCTTTTTGAGAAATCGGACGCCACGCTTGCGCAATACCCATTCGTCAATGATGGTTTTCAAAACAGTCGTGACTTCACGCAGCATTGGCTCGATCTCTGCTAAGCCTGTAGGTTTTGGTGGGAGTCCTGCTCTGCTTGTGCCCTTCTCTTCCTGACCGGCAGACTTTTGCGGCTTGGAAACTTTTACAGACTTTCCTCGTCCTTCGCGTTTCTGAGTTCTGTCCTCTCCCTTATCAGTTGACTGCTGTGAATCGACTTTAGCGGGAGGTGCAAAGAACTCCGTCCAATGACTTGGGTGAGATGAGCGCACGGCAGAACCCAAGAGAGAGCAGACGACCGCTGTCACCGAGTTGTCGCCAAAATTGTGATCGGTGACACCTTTGACAAATTTGTCGAATCTCACAGACTGCGAATCGCACTCGCAATACATCCACGCTGCCAGTTTCAGCTTACTCACGAGCTCCTCTTGCAATTCGACAATTTCCTGTTCTCTGAGTTTGATGAGCGATTCGCAGTTTATAGTTTCTGGACTTCCAGCCTCAGTCCAACGCTCAACACCAGCAATACAGGCACAACGCTTGAGAAGTGCCTCCTCGCCAGTCGTGCTGCTGCTGATCATCTCGTCCAGCCGACTAGCCTGATCGCAATCCGGTCTATAGCGACCCTGAGACCGAAGCTTGCCCTCACATGCCTCCAATTGTCTGTACAATTCAGAATAGAGTGCTTTCTCAACTGGCGTGAGACATATCAGAATGATGTGCTCAGTAAAAGGTATTTCGCCGATTTCCGCAACATTCTTGCAAACGAAGCGGTGTAAGAACCTCTGTGCAATCTCATGGCGATTATGATGCCATGCCTCACTGTGGCTCGTACGGTAGGACTGAAACCTCTCTGCATCGGAGCGCTGGTTAGATAGCAATCTGTGCCGACTGTTTTGCGTTTTGAACTCATCATCGTCGACACCCAGGTGGACACCCAGGAACGATGCAATTGACTTGACGTCTGCGAAGTCATTTAGAGGCGGAGTGCCCGACAAGACCCATTTCGAACGAGCTTCTAGTGCCAAAAGGGATTTTAGTCTTTCATCGTCCGCGTATGTGAACTCGTCGATGATTAGACGACTGAAGGCAAAGGCATGGAGGGAGAGATTTTTGATAGCTGTCCATGTTTGATCTGGCTGGCCATTGACGTTGAGCTCTTTCGAATCGTTCCATATCCTGCAGAAATTTTTGTCAGACGCCGAGCGACCACGTCGTCTCTTTGTGCTGCTGGTACTCGTCAGTTGCTGTGTATTCGAGCCATCAGACTTTGAAAGTTCGACTGTGCTCTCCAGCTCGTGGGCGTCGTCAAGGACAAACATGTTCGAAGGCAACTGTTCAAAGCACTGGCTGACCCTAGCCTGTAAAGAGTCGTCACTCTCCTCTTTATTTGGACTTGAGTCGTTCTCAGTACTAGAATTGTCGCCAACATGCTCCTCATTCTCATAATCGCTGCACCTCTTCTGAGCCGCATCCGCATATGATTTCCCTTTCAAACGCTTGGATGGCTGATAGATGGCCCGCGCTTGGCTATCTTCAGAAGTTTGGCGCTTCGAGCGGACTAGCTCAAGAAAAGCACCAGGGCCTTTCCCCCCTAGAACTCGAACCAGGTCTTTCAAAGAACCCAGTGCATCTTTGAGCCAACTATCAAAGTCTCGAGCCTTTCTTCCAGGCTTCCGTGGTGTTGCAGTGACATTTTGCAACTTTTGATAGTAGGCGTCGCCGTTGAACACAGTCCAAGATACCAATATGATATCACTGAAGAGTATATCCTCGATAGTCGCTTTTGCGAGGTCCTGGATATGGCTAATGACGAGAACCCTATAGGTGGAGCCTAGGAATTTCTTGATTTCCAATTCCCATTGCCGTAACAATACACCGGGAACAACGACCAGGGTTGCCTTCGCGGGAATGAATCCATCCTTGAGGCTCAGGTTCGGCAACCGAAGGTGCTCGTGTTGCATGTCGATCAAACCCAGGATAAGGGCAGTTTTGCCATAGCCAACATCATCTGCAAGAACACCTCCATGAACAGTTTTCGGAACGAGGACCCTTGCCTCGGCGCGCCACATCATTTGCGGAAGAAGTGCCTCTTCTGCTTCTTCTTCCCAGAATGGTGCGATATTGTCACTTTCTTTTTCAACCATCCAAGACAAAGACCGTAACTGCTCTGATCGTAGCTTCAGAAGGAAGTTAGGTGGCTGAAGGGATGGCGAATCGTTCCGATTGTTGAGTAAGTTGAAGACTGAGAAGTCGTGGTTGCGCGCGTCGTATGAGTTGGGCAAGAGACGCCATTGGAACAAAGTGCCTTCGACTATCTGGGCGCCATACAACCTGTCATAGGCCTGATGAAGCAGGACTTGGATATTGAGCGTGACGCGCAGATCACCTGGTCCTGTTTGATTGAAACGGCGGAAGAACAAAAATGGGGAAGGCTTCAACTTCATCTGACGTTCATAAAGCGCTGCTTCTCTAGGGTCTTCGTACGTAGCGATATGACCCTGTCTATCCCGACCCCAGATGAAATGTGGTTTCGGTGGAGCGCATATATTGCAGATTGATCGGCTGCCTGCTTTCACTGTCTGCACATAAACAAGATCCTGCCACTCCTTAAAGGAAGTCAAGCCTGCAGCTTTCTGAAGCAACCAACCAAAGCCTCGTAGTTTTGAAGAAGAGTCTATTGGATGAATCACTTCCCATTGGCCGTTGAGGTGGTCTGGCTCTGTCATTGGTTCCTTGAATGAGAGCAAGGTGATATTGGTATCACAGCAGCCAGAACTGCATACCGTGACCCTGCTGCTAGGCGCTAAACTGTGGCATCCGACGAGAGAGTCGCAATCAAGGGGACTCACCGAGATAGCAGGCGCTTTGATCCATTTGCGGTGGTATACCGGAAGAGACTCAGACACATCGCTCGCTTTCCAAGAGCGCCAAGTGTGCGATACTTCGGCGATCGTTCTTCGTCTTTCATATCCAGAGATCAGGCGATGCTCCCAAGAGAAAATGAAAGAGTCATTTTCAGGCTTCCCAAGCTTGGTCGAATCCAAGAAAAGATACACGGAAGGTTCATTCCCAGCAGTGACGATTTTTCTATGCAATGACGCAAAAGCTGTCCCACAGTCTGGTAGAAGTTCGTAAGAACCCCGGATATCAGCACCGAAGTCTTGCACATCTTCATCAGAGCCCTGAAAGTCAATATGTGTCCAAACCTTTGCGCCAACAAATTGCGGGTCTTGATGACCGCATCTAACTTCGTAGCTATCGATTCGGCGCCCACTGCCACACACATTGAGGTGACTCTTGCGGCTGATCAGAGTACATAGTTCCCATTCACCATTCAGAAATGAATTATTCTCTGGCCTTAGCCGTGCGATTGGCTTCGAAAGAATCTCCCGTATGAGGGACAGAGAAGGCATGTGACTGGGGGTCGATGCATACAGGAGCCACTCGACGCCTTCTTCACTTATCACAAGATCCAATTTCGACATCTTACCTTCATACTGAATAGTCCACACCCCGCTGCGTTTAATATCCAAGAGCGATAATTCACCATCAATGCCAGAATCTATGACTTCCCAAAAAAGTGTCCAAACCTGCGGCGGGCAGCTGGTCGACCCTGCCGCAAGCTTCGAGTAAATGTCGCGCGACACACCGGTCAGAACCAAGCGAGCTGGCAGAATACTCCGCAACTCGCCCACAAATGTCATAGGTGGGATGCGTTCCATGCTAGACCAAGATTTGAAGGCATGTGGTGGATTGCCGGCGCAGTTCCCGCAGGCTGTATGGCCACAAAGAGTGCATTGCAGAATGGTTTTCTCAACTCCCAGCTGTCCCTCGCACATGCAGTAGCGAGCGCTACGTGCGGCCCGCTCTTGAAGCATTTGAGTGTCTATTTCGACGGCATGTTTGAGCTGCAGATTATTAATGATCATGCAGTCGTCTTGAGGACACAGAGTTTGGCGCTTGGGTTGTTTCTCAGTGGATGTTGAAGATTGTTCGCCTGCGCGAAGAACTTTGTATCCTAGAATCAACGCTGATAGCATTGCACATCCAACAACCGTCGAGCTCATGGCATTTCCCGCAAGATCCAACAACTCTCGCAGAGTTTCACGTGTGAGGCAAAGTCTATCCAAAGGCAGACCCTGTAGGGCAAGCGCTTCAAGGCCACAGAGAGGCCCGCCCCTGCTGGTTAGGTAGGGAATGCCATTAGGAGTGATGCAGCCAACAATCCCCGAGGCACGAACATCGATTTCACGTTCAACACCTTGAGACAGGTCAATGCATCTCCTAAGGTTGGTCAGCATGGGACTTTTATGCAAATCTGGAGATCTAAGTAAGAAACTTACTCTTTATAGCTCATATCGTAACCTTCTTTCAGCTTGCGCAAGAAATTCATATCGAGAGTGTCCCATACTCTCTCATTCAGGGACCTATTCCATCCATGCCAGCTGAAGTCTGGTGTCAAACAGGTGCCACTGTCCAGAGACCTGGTATATGGACGCTTGTACCCGAGGTGCTCGGACTGCCTATAGGCTTGATGACGGAGCTGGTATTTGTCCCATGCGCGGAGTCTGGGTGCAGCCAGAGTTAGGCTCTTGGAGATTTGATGCAGCCTTCGATCATCGGCATCTAGAAGGAACATGCCCGCCGGAGAGCTTGCCTGACGTGTGAAGCCAGCCATTAGGCTGGTCCACGACAGCACGCACTCGGTAGAGAGACCATGTTGCGCCAGGAGTTGGGCATCGACACAACACATGTACCCTCGCTCACGCGTCTGGGGTATGTAATATGCTTTTGTGTCAACGCCAGCTTGCACGACGCAGTAGCCGATATCGATCCAGTATTGTTTGATCGTGGACCACGGCGCGCTCTTGACATTCTCTACAATGACCAGGCGAGGTCGGTACACATTGGCATACGCAAGAATGCTTCGCAGGGTCCCGCTGGATTCACCTGTCTCGTCAAGGGTCTTCTGCTTGTTGTTCAGATTGGAGAAATCCACACAGGAGAACCCCGCCACAAGAAGGTCGACATCCTCTGGTATTTGTGCCAAAGAACCATAGGCCGTTTGACTGTGGGAACAACAAAGGTACATGTCAGAGATACATGTTTATGCATCAACAGAGGAATAATATGAGAAGAGCAACTTACGCGGATTGACCTTTTAATTCGGTCACATCGCGGAAAAGCAACGGGGGATGGAAATTACGTTCGATATAGGCCTGCTTGAACGGTACGATCTCGGCACTGAAGAGATGTTCGAATGCAAGCTCTCGATTATGAAATTTTCGAAGATCTGCAAAACGATACAGGAGATGAGATATTTGTTAGACGCCTTCTCATTGAAAGCAGAAGCAACGAAATACAAAAAAAAACAAGAACAACTCACTTTCTTGCAATAGCTCCAGAGCCAGCAGCGGGCTTTCAGTTCCAGAGCAGACGGTGACTACACGGAGAGGTCTTGACCCAACATGGGAGAGGTATTTGTCCAGGCCCAGCTCCATTGCCCGTTGGGCGATCGACTGGAAAATGTCGTCCAGGTTGTACATAGGCGGCAAATGCCATGCCAACTGAGTCCGAGCCAACACTCCCTCGCCGGCGTACGGCAGCGTTCTCACATATTCGGGGTTTGTCGGATCCGACTCTTTCAAGGCTGCCATTGCCTGCTCATTGAGGGTGATTGACATGGCGGGCTGGGATTGCTTGGGCGGGGGCCCATCCTGGGATGAGGCCCTCTTCCTAATTTGAGACATCTTCCCCTTTCGTAGGCGTGACGAAAGAGGAAGACTTTTTCGCCTCAGTCTTAGAGAGGGCACAAATCACGCTATTCTGATCAAGGGCTTTCCTAAGAGTGACTGAAAGTGAGCAAAGAGATATGAGGGCTTGATGGTGTCACGTGTTGGAATGGAAGAAGTTAATGCCGAAGCAAAGCAGTGATGAGAGTAATGAGGAGAAGGTTTGGATGTGAAGGTAGAGGGTAAATAAGAGAGAGGAGACGTGGGGAGACTTGGAAGTGAGGTGAGGGGACTCAAATTCGAAACTTGTGGGCATCATGGGTGAGGGTGTTTTGTTTTGCCTAGTGAATGCGTTGCTGTTATTGCAACCTGTTGTGTAGAGCCCATAGTACTCATGTGCAAAGTGGATATGCCTATGGCTTTGCAGTAATGGTAACACACTCTGAACTTGAGCCCGAGGTGCGATGTTCCTTTCTAGCTCGTACCTGTCAAGGAATAGCAACAGCCTGTTCTTATTTCGCGCCTTGGTCATAGATGAGCACGTTGTTGTTGTTGTTGTTGTTGTCTGTGGATGTCTGTCTATGTCAAACGCTGTTGTACCAGTGGTATAGGGATACTGAAAGGTAAACAGATGGCTAGGCTGGCATCTCGAGAGAGCCGGCCCACTTCTTCAATGTTATACTAATGATATGGGACATATTCCCTTGCTCTACAATGCAATGCTATCCTCCAAAAAACATTCGGAGGTAATGTACAGTAGACACTTTGATGCAAGCTCTACAAAGACCCAGAACAGTTTCCCAATTTCCCCAACAGCAGTGAGAGCCATGTACTGTACTGTATACATTGTCGAACCAACCTAGAAGTGAAAAAAAAGCCCCATCGAAGGTGAAGTAAGCTGTGATGCGTGATGGGAATGACGCCCTCCCTCTGGATCCCCCGCACTCTTTTATTTTATACCCAGAATGGTCCGCCTAACCTACAGTATGTTCGAACCTCACTCCACTGAGAGCCTCGTAAAGCGTAGGCTAACCCAGCATAGAGAGCTCAAAGGACGTACCTTGAAAAGAGGAGGGAATGTGAAGCAGAAGCTTTGCTGGTTACGTGAACTTGAAAAGGCCTCTCTGTCTGTGACTGAGAAGGGGAAAGAGTAATCGGCGAGTCTAGGTGATTGAATTGAATATGACCCCCGGAAATGCTGAGTTGGGTCTTTTTTTTGTTCAAACTCTGTGGTCTGGAATTTGATGTTAGTGAGCCTAGTTGCACTCTTTGTAGGAGGGCGTTGCATATTTTTTTTCTAAGGGAGAGAAGAGGATTTTGCTCAAGTTTCTTGCGGCTGTTGGATTTTCTTTGGAGACCATCACAAGTCACACTCCGTACTGTATTTTGCTTCTTATGGGGAGAGAGTCTTATGGGTTAAAGGCATAAAAAGGGGATTCTGTTTTGACCCAGGGAAAGATGACCCTGCGTGTCCTTCCTGATGTAAATGTTAGTAGTTCGAATGCTCTCTTCAAGAGGGGCGGTATAGTAAAAGGCATCCGTGCTTTTTCTATAATGGCTAGCACTAACCACCAGCTGCTAGAGCTAGGTTTACATCCTACAACGTACTATGTCAGGCGGAGGAAATCATCAATAGAGCATTCAACGTTTGGGATATCTGCCACAACTCGCGTGATAAAATAAAGAGCCCGCGAGGCAAGAAGTGCTATGTAAAGTACAGATCCGAGTGATGGTTTTGAACCCAAGAATAACAGGAACCCCATGTAAACGACAAGACAAACCATTTGCGCCATTCCATCTGTTGAACTTCACTTAGAGGAAAATATACCAGAGCAGGTTTCGTACTGCTGGCAGTAGATATTAGTTGTTGTCGGAAAGATAGAAACAGCGTCATTCGGAAGGAGTAACACGCTCTCTCTGCGAAGAAACAACGAACTGTGCCACGGATGCCGCCGGGAATCGAAGCGCGAAGAAAGACATATGTAGGTAGAGTCGGTCATCATCATCATCGTCGTCAACGCAACCCACCCTGCATCAACTGCTGACGCAGAAGCAGGATCTGGCTGCGTTCCATTGGAGGAAGCGCATCGATGGCCGCCTGCGGCATGTTCAGGACTTGTTGTAGTAGTTCTTCCTGGCCCGGGATGGCTTGCGGGGCTGGCTGCTGAGGGGCAGCCTGGGGAGGCTGCTGCTGCCCGAACGGGGCGCTGACCATAGGCGGGGTGGACACTTGGCCGGGGTAGGTCTGGAAAGCTTGCGCGGCGGCTGCCGCTGCGGTCGCCGGAGGTGGTGCAGCGGCGACGGTCTGAGCGGCCTGTTCTACCACCGAGCCGAGGGCACTGTAGTCAACCAGGTTCATGAGGAGTAATGCTTGGAAGATGGCGTAGGCGAGCTGGGGCGCCTGGCGGAGGAGCTCCGTAGCGCGAGCGGGGTCGGCCATGACCAGGGACTTCATCTGGTGGAGGACATCGAGAAGTTGATTGGGAGGGAGAGAAGCGAGCGTCTGCGAGATGGCGTTCGGACAGTCGAGATGCGGGGGCACTTCAACGCCCGGGGGCAGAGGGGGAAGCGGCGCATGAGCGGGTTGCGCGCCAGCTCCTCCGGCACCGAGGCCCAGGCCGTCTTGTTGTGATGCGGCGGGGCCAGCACCGCCGGCATTCTGATTGTATTCTGGCGGAACGGAGTCCTTCTCGTTGTTATGGGGCCAGTCGACGCGGATCTTACGACCCATGATCTCGTAGTCGTTCAGGTTGCGCACGGCCGAGGCCGCGGCGTCGGCGTCGGCGAAGTCAGCGAATCCGTAGCCCTTCGGTTTGCCAGTTTCAGGATTCAGCATAAGTCGGAACTTGGTAACTGTGCCAGCGGAGCTGAGAATATCTTTCACTTGTTCCTCCGTGAGGTCTGTAGGGGTGTAACGTGTTCAGGTTAGCATGTATTGACCAAGACAGATGGTTTTGCGCGAGAGCTGTTGTCTGTGTTCTTCATGCGAGAAATTGGAGGAGAGGACATACTGTAGGGAATATTTCCCAGGAAGACACTCTTCCCGGCTCTTTCTGGAGCCATGATTGCGATGTGGATGAGCAGATTAAGCTTGGAAGAAGCTATTGACAGCAACAGACAAGAGGGAAAAAGCGAACAATGAAAGCGGGAGATGATGTTGTACGGAAAACTGCCAAGGCGGTGTCAGAATCGGGCGATTTGCCGCGAACTTCCACTTCCCTCCCATCCTGCCTCTTGCCCGTCGGCTTTGGCTTCGCTTTCCCCTCCGCCTTGTTCATACTTTCATTCACCTTTATCTATTCATCTTTCACCATGTCTCAGAATCCTCGGGAGCAGTGGGAGAGACTCCAGCTCCTTCTGCAGAGCCGTGGCGGCTCGCAGCTCAAGCGTTTCGGTGGCGGCGGTGGTGGACGCGGCCTCGGAGCTGTAGGCGCACTGTTGGCCCTTGGTGGAGGCGTCTTGCTCCTCTCTGACTCTCTTTTCAACGGTGAGGGTGCCTGCAATATCTTTGAAGAGCTTTGTGGGAGCTGTTTGGAGCTAACGGACTGGGCAATCTAGTCGACGGTGGTCACCGTGCTATTAAGTACTCCCGCTTCGGTGGTGTGCAGAAGGAGATCTATTCCGAAGGTGCGTCTATGCCTTACTATTACTCTGAAAACTCACCTGCTGATCCGTCTTTCACTCCAGGAACCCACTTCCGTATCCCCTGGGTCGAAACCCCGATTGTCTATGACGTGCGCGCGAAGCCGCGCAACATCGCTTCCCTTACCGGTACCAAGGACTTGCAGATGGTGAACATTACCTGCCGTGTCCTGTCCAGACCTCGCGTGGATGCTCTCCCTCAAATATACCGTACCCTCGGACAAGACTTCGACGAGCGGGTGCTGCCGTCCATCGTCAACGAAGTTTTGAAGAGTGTGGTGGCCCAGTTCAACGCCAGTCAGCTTATTACTCAGCGTGAGAACGTTGCTCGTCTTGTACGGGACAATCTTGCCCGCCGTGCTGCTCGCTTCAACATCGCTTTGGATGATGTCTCGCTAACGGTACGTTCCATGTGACCCACAATCGACTACTATTCTAACGTGCTTCTGTCCTGCAGCACCTTACCTTCTCCCCCGAATTCACGGCCGCCGTCGAGGCCAAGCAAGTCGCCCAGCAGGAAGCTCAGCGAGCTGCGTTCCTGGTTGATAAGGCTCGTCAAGAGAAGCAAGCATTCATTGTTCGCGCTCAGGGTGAGGCCCGCTCCGCCGAGCTGATCGGAGATGCTATCAAGAAGAGCAAGAGTTACATTGAGCTGCGCAAGATCGAGAACGCGCGACACATCGCCCAGATTCTAGGTGAGCACAGCGGCAAGAACAAGCTGTATCTGGACTCGCAGGGCTTGGGTCTGAATGTGAATGCCGGAGGAGAGGAGAAGCAGTAAGGGCCAGTCGTGCAAGGGCCGGTGGGAGGTGATCGGATGCGACTTTAATAGTTTTTCTTTCAACATGGGCCTCGGCGCTAGCAGTTGGTCGCGCATGGCCACGGAGAGGGGGGGAGTTTTTTTGTACAAATAGTCAGTTATTTGCAGGATTCTCAGAGCAACCAGGCGAACCGTTTCTCTTCTCTTTTCATTGTGATAAGCTTGAATGTTATGCAAGTCTGCTCAAAATTCATCAAAAATAAGCATTGCTTATAAAAGTCGCTATTATGGACCATGGAAAAGGTGCCTCGGCGGGATCGCCAGCGGGGAACGAAAGCGGCGGGCGGAAGTTTTTTCAGATCTCAACTTTGAAACTTTTCTCCTCACTCACTTATTCTTTCTTGCCCACAACAGCAAGATTAATTGGTGAAGACCTAGAAGCATTACTTGTAATTGTTTCTTCCGAAGGAACACCGATAGACTTACAAGCAGGTAAACCCTCCCTTTCTCGCCCCAAGCGAACTCATCTATATTTTATACCCCCCGAACCCCACCTGTACCTGCGTTACAATCAGTACTATAAAAATTCCCCCCAAAATCTTTCCCCCATCTCCATTGAAACCCTCTCCCAAACAAATTCCATCTAATCCAACCAAAACCACCCCCTAACAGAGCTCAGCATTTATCACCTTCAAATAGAATATTTCTCCTGTTAGTAAAGATGGACCCCTCAGACGACCTCATCATCAACGTCGACCTCGACATCCAAGACCTCCTCCTCGCCGCCTCGCAACACGACCTCGCCAAACTGCGCCGGCTCATCCGCACCAACCCTTCCCCTTCGCTCGCCAACCCGGTTAACGCCCGCGACCCGGAGACGGGGTTCACGCCGCTTCACGCTGCGGTCGCGGCCTGTGAGCCGGACGATGATGTGGAAGAACAGCAACAGCAACAACAACAACAAGAGCCTAGACCCGTTAATGGGGCTGTCAATGGAGCGGAGGAGGGAAGTGCGTCCACCAAGACGGAGGTAGAGAAGGAGGTGCTGGAGACGGTGCGATTCTTGTTACTGGAAGGGGCGATTTGGAATGATTTGGATAAGAATGGGGAGACGCCGGGGTGTATTGCGCGGCGGTTGGGGTTGCGCGAGGTGTATGAGTCGATTGTGGATGCGGGCGTGAGGGCGGAGTTGTTGTTGGGGCGGTTGGATGGGTATGAAGCTTTGGACGACGATGAGGAGGAGGAGGAGGAGGAGGAGGATGAGGAGATGCAGGAAGGTGAGGGTGAGGTTGTCCAGGAACAGGAGGAGCAGGAACAGGAGCAGGAAGGTGTACCGGAGCTGGTGGATGCTAGTGCCAATGCCATCGCTACAGAAGAAGAACCCACCACCACCACCAACCCCGACGTGACGCAGTCCCGCTACCTCGACTCCGGACTGACCTTCCAACACGACAGGCTTCTCGATCAAGATCAGAACGGCGTGATGATGGCCTGGGAAACGGAGATCATGAACAAGTCGGCCAAGGCTTTGCTGCCGACGCCGGGACTGCGGGTGCTGAACATCGGCCACGGGATGGGGATCGTCGACGGGTTTTTCCAGGAGCAAAGCCCCGCGGCGCACCACATCGTCGAGGCGCACCCGGAGGTCGTCGCGGAGATGAAGCGCAAGGGGTGGCACGAGCGGCCCGGTGTCGTGATTCACGAGGGCCGGTGGCAGGACGTCCTGCCCGCTCTGGTCGCCGAGGGCGAGATGTTCGACGCCATCTACTACGATACCTTTGCCGAGTCGTACGGGGATTTCCGCGAGTTCTTCACCGAGCAGGTCATCGGCTTGCTAGAGCAGGAGGGCAAGTGGAGTTTCTTCAATGGCATGGGCGCCGATCGCCAGATCAGTTACGATGTCTACCAGAAAGTGGTGGAGATTGATCTACTGGAGGCTGGGTTCGATGCGGACTGGGAGGAGTTCGATGTGCCCACCTTGGAGGGCGAGTGGAGTGGTGTGCGTCGGCCGTATTGGGCCATTGAGAAGTACCGTCTGCCTTTGTGCAGATACATGGATTAGGTTGTAGGTCATATGCCTACCTCTCTGATGTCTTAATGATCTTTAAAACTGCAAGGCTGGATGTGGTCGAAACTAAGTGGCGTAATTCAAGCTCAAATAAAAGCTGTACAGGCAAAGGGTTCCAAATATATACAAGATGAGCATGCTCCTGTATCATACACTTGTGTTGAGCTCGTGGAAGCGAAATGCCGCTAAGAATCCCAGCAACGCACATCGCGAGAAATAAGGAACAGGAAAATAAAACGCTGAATCAGAAGCGGGCAGCAAATGTTCGTCACATCGTGAGGGCTGACCGTTCCTGACGGCCAGCTTCTATAATTGAATGAGGTCAACCTCAGAGAAGTCCGGGGGGCTGCGACTGAAGATCGTGTGACTCTTTCCGTCCAATGCTTGGTACTCGTTACTGATCCAGATATGTTTGCTGAACCGCTGGGTACGATAGATCTCATCATCACTGACCCCCAGGTCGTCACGAGGGATCCAAATCACGGGTCGCTTCGCACGCAAGGCATCGTGCTGGAAGGCTCGTTGGGTGAGCTGATCGCGCTCCTCCGGGGTGAGATCCTCCAACTCATCATGAATACCGGAAAACAATGCCGGTCCCATATTGCGCGCCGGAGGACCTTGAGCTTCGGCGTCCAGGGCGATCTTCTCTCGCAGACGCTCGATGCTCGGAACTGCCATTTCCGAGTTGGCTCCAAAATACTTAGATCGGCGGTCCGGAGAGCGGTCAGCCCATGACCCACGATGAGGACCGAGTTTTGGTTTTTGGATATGGAGACCAGGGTGCTCGTTGCCTCTTTCAGGGGAAGACTCAAATTTCTTTAGCTCGATGTTCTGAGAATTCTCTTCCAACTGTCGTTGCGCCTCCTCCTGATCTCCTAACGGATGATCAACGGCGTCAGGGAGGTGATCATAGTCTTCCTCTTCGTGTAGTCCCAGTCTCGCCCTCTGAGCTCGGGCGAATTCTTCATCGCGACGCACGGCATCATCTTCCAGAGTGATCGGCAAGTAGCGGATCAGGGGACCAAAAGCGTCACTGACGAGAAGTTGGAATCCCGCTGTGAGAATCAAAACCACGATCATAATGACCGCTTGACCTTCGCATGCAACATCGCCATTTTCGTCACGAACCAGGAAGAACAAGCCAATAAGCGCAAGCTCCATGACGTACAGCCCGGTAAACAGCTGGTTAACAGCCCGCGGAAAGAGCAGGCCACCTGTGTCGAAGCGGAACTTGGTCACATAGAGGGTATTGTATCGGTAGACGAACCAGAAAAGACCGAATGTGATAATGTTGAAGACCAAAATAAGAGGCGCCACAACACAGTAAATCAGACCTACAGAGAGTTTATGTTAGTTAGACTTCAGAGGTAGGGGCTTTAGCAGAAATAGTCTTACCGATTGAAGCAAGGGTAGTATAGACGGGGAAGAAAGTGCCCCATTGCATCTGGTTCAGATTGGTCGTACGAGCCCACTTCTTTCTGGCTGTCTTATCGAAGATCGGTGCAAAGATAAACCAGCTCACGAGATTGACAATTTGGACCAAAGCTCCTGCGCTCACAGACATGGCTTGTAGAATCATGTAGGAGAAGAAGTAGTTACTGGACGAGGGAATGTTCTGCGCCAGAAGTTCTGGCCAGCTGGTGACGTCGGTGACGTTGCTGATGATGGTCGAAAAACTGGAAGAGATGGTGACGACGAGGAACAGTTGCACGAACAAGAAGGCGAAATAATAGGCCTGCACTGTTAATTCGACGGCCATACCAGTATGGAGACCCTGCGTCCGACTAAGGAAGCGCAAGATCAGAGGCAAGATCGCCATCAGAATTGCAAGGAAAAGTGCAGGCAAGACACCCTGGACCGCCGAGATAAGCCACGCTGGTAATTTCGAGATCCAGGACAGCCAAGTGAAAGCTTCTTCGAGGTATGTCAGCTGTGAGAGAAGACCAGTGAAGGCAACCGGAATTGCCCATCCCACAACCATAGCACAAACAAGAGCGATAATTCCAAACGTCCGCAAATAGCGCTCCCACCATTTCATGGACATATTATCCCAGATCACGTCGTCCGGTGAGATTTCAACGATGCGCGGCGCCATCTGCTTAGGTACATGGTGGCTGACAGCCTGGCATGCCATATGGGCCGCCACCTGATGATTGAATTGGATGAATGCGGAATTCATGAGAGGGAATCGTTCAGGATGCTGTTGGTCAATCTCAATTTCCAAATTCAGCCGTGCCAACTCTTTGCGACAGTAGTCAATAGTGTCAACCTTTTTGCCTATCAGCCATAGCGATGGCATCCAGCTGAAAATAGGCAGCCGCATGGTCGGGCGTTTTTTGGGCTGTATGTACTTTTTCCAAACGGGTTCTCCAAACTCTTCGTTATCAAAGGCCTCATTGTAGGCCAGGGGATATTCTTGCCCCTCCACTTGATCCCCTTCTTTTTTGTCGGATTCTTGACTTTGTATTTGCTTCTCCTTTATGGAGTCGCTTCTGTCAGTATCAGAGCTTCGACCACGTTCAACAGGCGATTCCGGGGCTGTCAGTGGAAGTTCATCCGGCTCGGACATGTTACTCCTCTTGCTTATCTTGGAATTACCGGAACCCCGACTCTTCCAGAATGGTCGTTTGGGAGTAGACGACGTTCCAGGTCTCACCTCCGCTACATCTGCCTCATCCTGGTGGCTTTGTTCGGGTTCCTCATGCAACTCTTCTGACCAAGGTAAAGGATCCTCGCGACTGGCATAACTGGTAGGCGGGGCAGCGTGGCCGTTATAAGCGGCAACATTCGTCTCAGGCACAAAGCCCCCGGTCCGTGTTAAGGTATCGTCGATACCAAGTTCGACTTTTCGAAAACCTCCCAAGACAGATTTGCCTAGCTTTTCCACGCCTTGACCAACGGCGCCCGCTGCTTCCAACGCGGGGTCCAAGGGGTTGAAGAGCAGCTTCTTTTTCTTGGGCTCCGGCTGTAAACCATCTCCCGTATTGCGGTGGAGGATTTGATCTAATGTATGGGCTTGGTGCGGGTTTCCGGAACTGATTCCAGCATCCATGGCCAACTGCGATGCTTTTCGGTCGGTTGCCTTTCGTTCTTGGCTCTCCACTGAATTCGGGTTAATGCCGGCTTTTTTGGCCGCAGCCTTGGCTTGCTTGAGTTGTGCCTTTTTGCATTTGATAATCAATTCGGTTTCTGCAGCTTCGAGTTTCAAGGCCACCTTGTCTCGCTGTTTCACCTTCTCGTGCAGATCGTCGAAATTGCGATTGATCCAAATATTCCGAATACCGCCCGGGAAAACGTCATACAGCTGATCCAGTGCTTTCATTGAAAGCCAGCCTTCTGGAATGGCGGTGACCAGAACAGTGGTGGCCGAAGCACGAAGTCGATGCTGAGGTGAGGTCAAGTAGGCCTGCCGGAGACGGATATAGTGTCTAAGTTCATCGAAGAAGACTGCGCAGACATAGATGACGACAATTACCGCCATGACCAAGTGGCCCCAGTAGCGCGAAGTATGCTCTGGCGTCACATTTCCCCAAGCGAGCTGATCAAGTCCGGTGACGTTCCACCGACCACCACCCTCGTCCGTGCCATTCTTGAGGTTTGTATCTTTACCGCCAACTTTGTTCAGCGGGATCAGTACGGGTAGCAAGAGGCAGCCTAGAGGCAGAAAGATTTTGAGCAGCATGCGCAAGTATCGCAGGAAGAAGTAGGCATCCAGGCCGCACTTCTGTATGAACTCGGAGCTTGAGGTACGAAAAACAGGACCGATCCATCGGAAGAGACCTGGTGGAGATGGTTGCGTACGTTCTCTGTCGGGTACCAAGTATGTTCTTGGTTGGCTAGAGTATGAGGATTAGTGCCGCGGCTCTCTGCAACCGAGACTTGAGCATACTTACTAGATACGAGTCAGCTTCCCTTTCAGAAGCAAGAAGAGGAAAAATTCGATAGCGAAGACGACGACGGCAGTAGCAAGCGATGCGAGAAAAGTCCCTATCGAAATGCCTTCCTTGTTCTTGCCTGTGCCGCCCGCATGCTCCAGCGCCGACCCAAGGTCGCCCATGATGGAAGCAAGCGCTAATGACGGATGTCAGTCTCTGGGAATGGTGTTGAAGGTTGTCTTGGAAGTTGTCGAAGGCTAGGGGAGAAAGAAATGATAAGAGTTGTGGAGAGTGTTGTTTGCAGTTGACATGCAACAAGTGCGCATCGCGCAGCTAAAGTGGCTGGGTTGGTTGATAGTCAAGTAGGAAGAATTCAACGTCACCGTAGCGAAGCCTAAAGATGCCACTACGGCGGCGGCAGACAAAGACCAATCAACGGAGGAGGGGCGATCTAGAGAGCAAAGAATCAATGAGACTGAAGGAAGTGAAAGAAGGCGTGGTCGGTTAATGATGGTTCACCCTGACCCTAGATAGTTAATTAAGTGAGGGTGGGTGGAACCAACGGATTGCAAGATCCGGGGGGTGATCTAATAAAAGGGCAGTACTAAGGGTGAAAGTTTGGAAGAAGAATTCAATAAGAAAGGAAGAAAAACGTGTTGCAGATGCAGGCATGACAACAGTGGCACCCACCACCGTCCCATTGTCCATTCAGGTCTTTGATCCCAGGGCCCAAATGAACAGGGCCGATGCGCCACCGGTAAAAAGAGGAGGGGGGGTGAGGAATGCCGCTGGGCTGGTGGGAGGAAGAAGATCCCACCTTGAAAATGACATCAAGCGCCTGCTGAAACTGGCCGGCGCCTGGCTGATGCTCCACCACGTCAAGGTTCAACGAAGCATTCACCCATTTACTTGTTGGTGAAGGGTTGATGAAGATTGCAGGCGCGTATTTTCTACAGTCAAAGTAGGGAGAAATAAAACCGAAAATCCTTTCTGCCTACAAACAAGAAAAATCCCTGACTCGGAGAAAGAGTGCATTGTTTATTTATTGATTGTTGATGATTACCTCAAAGGGAAGTATCCTTACCCTGACCCGACAAGGGCAATTCCTGACTTTACCGGAAAGAGTAAGGAACAGCATTAGTGTGGCAGTGCATCTCAGCCCTAATTATTGAGCAGCACCAGCCACGGGGTCTTGTGGCTGGTCTTGGTGCCTGCCGCGCGCAGGCCCAATTAGGAAACCTCTTTACGCGGTATTCGCGTCGGAGCGCGTCTGTTCCATGCCCGGGAAAGACTGACAGAAATCATTTTCCCTACCGCCGCAAGGCCCACCTCGAAATTGTTACTGACTTTGCCGTAGCAACCAACCTCAGCCTCCTCCACTATCCATCCTATTTTGCACTTATCTCCATTTTGTCCACACCTCCCCTCCTGGCTCTTGGTCCTATCAATATTTCAACCTCCCACCGGACCAGGCATCACCATGTCTTCTCCAGCAGCAAACCGTCGCAGAGGTCGCTTGACCAGGGATTCGACCATATCTTCTCCTGCCCGCTCAAGTCGCTCCACCAGATCCCAACAACACCTTCAAACCAGCAGTCCACCCCCCAGAGATGATCAGTCGCAGATTACCCCCCGTGCTTCCAGACGGTTACGGGGTGAAGGTCCCGTCCCATCGTCGTCGCCGATGTTCTTCCAGTCGTCTCCAATGAAAGCGAATAGCAGCGCAGAGAGCCCAGACCTCAGAATGGAAGAACCTAGCTCGCCTGTCAGGGCATCTTCGACAATGGAAGACGTCGAAACTACCCCTCGAGGAAATGCCGCTGTCATCAGAGGTATGATTATAAGACACTTTAAGTGTTGCGCGGCTTGCTCACAGTCGAGCAGATTCATCTCCCATTCGCTACGTCTCCAGCTCCAGTCCGACTCGTTCTCTCGGTCGCCGGGCGGAGCGGTCAGACATCCCCAGCAGCAGTAGCGGTCTTTTCGTGTCGACTCGATCGGTCACAGATGGTAACCGTGGAGTCTCTCGACGCAATGACCTTCATTCAGGTGGCTTCGGATCAACCCCGAGTCGTCGCCGCAGAATCTTCGTCGACGCCAACGGCGTGCCCACCGCCGATGCTGAGCCGCGCTCCGATGCAACCTTCTCCAATATTCATCCAGACACATCCGAAGCCGAGGCTCTCGGTGGCAGCTCGACCCGTGTGATTTGGGGTACCAACATCTCAATTCAAGATTCGATGTCCGCCTTCAAGAACTTTCTGTATAATTTCGCTGCCAAATATCGACTATGGGCAGAAGGCGCTTCTGAAGAAATAACCCGGACGATGGGCAAGGCTGCAGAAGAGAGAGAATATATTACCATGCTCAACACGATGCGTCAGCTCGGTGTCACTAATCTCAATTTGGACGCAAAGAATCTCAAGGCGTATCCCTCGACCCTCAAGCTATGGCACCAATTGCACGCATATCCGCAGGAGATCATTCCTTTAATGGATCAGACCGTCAAGGATGTTATGGTGGAACTTGCAGGCAAGGAGATGCAGCGTCAGCGAAGCCACAACCGACACCACCAGAGTCAGTCAAGGGATCTGAGCTCCGCACCTGCGGTTCCCAGCTCCGATGCGCTTATGAGTGATGCCGGTCGCACGCCACAGGCTGAAATCCAGGACCTTGTCCAGGAAGTTGAATCAAATTCCTATAAGGTCATGCCTTTCGGGCTTGACTCTGCAGTTAACATGAGAGATCTGGACCCTGCTGGTATGTGCTGAGTGCCTGCTCGGTTGTTTTCTCCTACTGACACCACACAGACATGGATAAATTGGTCAGCATCAAAGGTCTAGTCATTAGAACCACCCCCATCATTCCTGACATGAAAGAGGGTAAGCTGCTTCTTATTCGATGGTCGTAAGGGCCTTGCTAACACTTTTTTTGTAGCTTTCTTCCGCTGCCAAGTTTGTAACCATAGCGTCCAGGTTGACATCGATCGTGGCAGGATCGCAGAGCCTGCTGAATGTCCCCGCCCGATTTGCAAAGCCAAAAACTCGATGCAACTTATTCATAACCGGTGTGCATTTGCCGATAAGCAGGTGATCAAACTACAGGAAACTCCCGACAGCATTCCGGACGGACAAACGCCTCACTCCGTTTCCCTGTGTGTGTATGATGAGCTGGTGGATGTCTGCAAAGCTGGTGACCGTGTTGAGGTCACTGGTATCTTCCGATGCAACCCTGTGCGCGTAAATCCTCGCCAGCGGACGCAGAAGACCCTATTCAAGACTTATGTAGACGTCTTGCACGTCCAGAAGATCGATCGCAAGAAGTTGGGTATTGATGCGTCGACTGTCGAACAGGAGCTTTCGGAGCAGGCTGCTGGGGACTCCGAGCAGGTACGCAAGATCACAGCCGAGGAAGAGGAGAAGATTAAGCGGACCGCCACCCGGCCGGACATCTACGAGCTGCTCTCTCGCTCACTGGCACCAAGTATCTACGAGATGGATGATGTCAAGAAAGGCATCTTGCTGCAGATGTTCGGCGGCACCAACAAGACTTTCGAAAAAGGAGGTAACCCACGTTACCGCGGTGACATTAACGTCTTACTCTGCGGTGATCCTTCCACATCGAAATCGCAGCTTCTCCGTTACGTTCACAAGATTGCCCCTCGCGGTGTCTATACTAGTGGCAAGGGTTCTTCGGCTGTCGGTCTTACAGCTTATGTCACTCGTGATCCCGAGACCCGCCAGATGGTCCTTGAGTCCGGCGCTTTGGTTCTCTCTGACGGCGGTATCTGCTGTATCGATGAGTTCGACAAGATGAATGAGTCCACGCGCTCAGTCCTGCACGAAGTCATGGAGCAGCAGACCGTTTCGGTCGCTAAAGCTGGTATCATTACCACCCTCAATGCTCGAACCAGTATCTTGGCTTCGGCCAACCCTATCGGCAGTCGCTACAACCCCAACCTGCCTGTTCCTCAAAACATCGACTTGCCCCCCACTCTCCTTTCTCGATTCGACCTGGTGTATCTTGTTCTGGATAGAACCGATGAGCAGGAAGACCGTCGGCTGGCCAAGCACTTGGTGAATATGTACCTGGAAGATAAGCCTGAGAACGCAAGCACTGAAGAGATTCTGGTAAGCTCGAGCTCACGATTGTTCAACTGAATCAGATGCTAACATCGCAACCCACAGCCGATCGAATTCCTCACGGCCTATATCACCTATGCCAAGACTCGGGTGCACCCTGTGCTCACTCCCGCTGCGGGCAAAGCGCTCTCCGACGCCTATGTTAACATGCGCAAGTTGGGAGACGACATCCGGTCGGCGGACCGCCGTATCACGGCTACCACCCGTCAACTGGAATCGATGATCCGTCTTTCCGAGGCTCATGCGCGGATGCGCCTCTCCACGGAGGTCACGGCGGACGACGTGGATGAAGCCGTGCGCTTGATCCGCTCCGCCATCAAGCAAGCCGCGACGGACGCCCGCACTGGTCTCATTGACATGGGTCTGCTGACCGAAGGTACCAGCGCTAGTGAGAGGCGCAACCGAGAGGCAATCAAGCGTGGCGTGCTTGCGGTTGTGGATGAGTTGGCGGGTCCCACCGGCGGTGCCAACTGGACCAACGTCTTCCGTGTCCTGAATGATCAAAGCAGCGCTGCCGTTGATAACGCTCAGTTCAACGATGCTGTTCGTGCATTGGAGACAGAAGGCATGGTCAATGTCTTGGGCGAAGGTCCCCGACGCACTATCCGGCGCGCCGCCGGAGCTCTGCCCTGAGCTTGAAGCAGGGCGACTAGTTGATGAGAAACATGATGCAACGGACTAGATAGCTTTTTGGACAGATGCGTCCTGTCTCGGTTACTTGCTATTGGGGGATGGCGTTTATGATATACCGAACATGTGTACTTAACCTTGGGTTCCGGATACTCCGTAGTCAAACATACAAAAATCTAATATCTCAAGATGAAGCTAGGGAGCGTCGAACATATATATATATATATCAGTAGTAGTCGCGAATGAGGCCGTACCGCTCCCACACTCCCTGTAATATGCAGCGGCTCCTGTCCTAGTCAATATAGCCTTTTTCAATTGGTCATTGCCTCATAAAGATTTCACTACTGGCATCAAGTCCTTACCAAGTGCAAAGTACCCTATATCTAAGGAATTTGGCATTTAGTGGCCTTAGAATTCTTAATTCTTAATTGAAACTGTTATATTGATTCTAAGTTGAGATCCTTGAATCATTTACAAGCGTATGACGTCCACTATATACTGATCTAGGGCATACACAAAGTAAATATTATTCGCGAGGAGCACGGAATAGCACCTTACTACAGATTCATGTAATGAAAAGACTGTATGTACGGGGTTGTACAAGACATTTGTAAATCCTGTGGTATTCAGTCGGGGCTGAAGACTGGATGTTTCGGCACTCCATATAGAGGCGTGATATCTCAATGCAGGGCGCACGGAAACATCCCCCACGCACCTCGGTTGTTGGCATATATAGATAGTATCACAGCCTAGGCTGAATGGGGGCATCACTCGCCCAGCAAAGCCAAGATCTTGGGAGGCTGATGCAGGGGCCTTCTCGGCGGTTGCTGATAGTCTGTTGGCGTTATTAGTCGATCGATCTTACTGCAGGGCTGATGTACGCCTCGTGGCGCACTACTCAGTGCTGCTGAGATTACGAAGCGACATTGGAATGATCCTGCGATAGCTTCATGCTTTCGCTTCGTGGCCGGGCGAAGTCGTCATCATGAGATAAAAACTGCAAGGCAATTGCTGCGCTGCGTCGTCCGTCACTGAATCAAGATTGCCAAACCGGCTAAAAGGCACGTGCTCGAATGCCACGGCATTGTTGGGCGAATATCAATTGGGACATCCAGAACACCGGTGTGTGGTTGATCGCAGCAGCTAGCTGGTTAGTGTCAAAATCGCACCTATCAGTCTATCCATACCAGTCTCGGTACTATAACTCCGTTGCAAATCTGCTCAGCTAGCTGCATGCCAATCACTGCCGTAGTTTGCTCCGGTTAGCTTCGCGATTGATCCTAATTGGCGTTTAGGTTTCTTTTTTCCGTCTTTGACGGTGGCGCAACAGGATCGATCGGTCTAGAGTCGGCTAGACAGGCGAGGAGTAACGCAGGCAGCAACCTGAAATTAGTTAGTTAGAGTTAGTTAATGTAGATGAGTCAATGTATATATAGTGCTCGGGTGTTTCGAGGAGAAAGACCGGGGCGATGTTGGACGCGGTTCAAATTGATAAAGTGGGTTGATGGAGATGACCTATTATTTCTCCATTGCCCACGGGGTTATGTGGGTGTCTGTGAGTACCGCTGAATAATCACAATAAGGATAGTTAACTAGTAATAATAATAATAATAATAACCATCCTCAGAATATTAATAAGGATCATTATCCCGAGGTCTTCAACGGTTAAAGTGAGAATAAGAGAGCTTCTGCGGGTGGAGAAAGACGGTAGACCTCGTGTCGACCCGGCTATTCCTAAGGCAGCAAGGCGTCTTCTGCTAGAGCAGCACCTGCCAAATCGACTGGCTGAGAATGACTACGGCCGAGGGACTGCCATCTTAGCTTCTGAGGCCATACTGAACTAATTAGTTACTTCGTACACTGAACAGAAACCTCATAGTCGATCGGATCCTACAATGGTTACTTGCGCAACCATCTGCCCACTTGGTCAACTAATGTGGCTAATCTTACCAATTTTCACAGGCTCACAGCTAGGGTCGTGATGATTAAGACAACGCCTGGACCACTAACAGGGCCGTGTTATCGGTTGTAGTCACGGGTTGACGTCGATTCTGGGTCTCTCTCCCCCATTGATGGCCAGAACCTCGAAGCTATCCATCGTGCTCTCTGACCCAACCCTGTTGCTCACCCACTCACTCATCAGGTATCGACCAGAAAGGCGACTTCTATCCAATTTCTCTGCGCCTTGTCCGAAACTAGCGTCTCTTTTTTTTCTTTCTTTTTTGCCGCTTCAATCCATTGACCTGCCTATCCCTTCTTCGCTCAGTTTCGCTTCCAACAGCTTCTCCCGCCTGCCCGCTTTCAATTGCCCCCCCTGCGTCCACATCATGTTCTTGACCTGACACTTACCCACAACATTTGTCTCTCTCCAATTCGCCCTCATCTCACCCTTCGCATCTACCTATCCTGTTTGATTCTCTGTGCGACTCGTTAGGATCAGTTCAACATGCGGTAGGTCTATCCCTATCCCAATTGCTCTCCCAGCCATGACGAAATCGCTCTGCTGATCATCCCACTTTCCTCTCTAGGTTCGGGGAACACCTCCGATCGTCAATGATCAAGGAGTACTACTGGTACTACATCGCCTATGAGGAGTTGAAGAAAGCCTTGAAGACCACATACGTCACGGAGCCCAATGCGGAAAATGCCAGCCCCGATCGTCAACCCTGGTCGGAAGACGACGAGAAGCAGTTTGTGACGCTGCTGGAAAGCGAACTTGACAAGGTCTTCAACTTCCAGCGCATCAAGAGCGCCGAAATCGCTCGTCGCATTCAAGCGAGCGAGCTGGAAGTCAATGATGTCGTCTCGCGGCTTGAGAGTGCTACCAGTGCCCGCTCAGACAGTGTCTCTCACGCCCGAATCAACCGGACTCCGCCCTCGGACGAGGATTTCTTGGTGCTCGAGCAGGCCTTGAGCGATATCATCGCCGATGTACATGATCTCGCCAAATTTACTCAATTGAACTATACCGGGTTCCAAAAGATCATCAAGAAGCATGATGTGAGTTGTTTGGCGCCCGAAATGACATCTTGCGTCGAAGGGACATTGTTTGGACACGAGCGCCCGCTAACGGCTACATGCAGAAACAAACTGGGTGGCATTTGAAGCCGGTCTTCGCTGCGCGCCTCAATGCCAAGCCATTCTTCAATGATAATTATGATGCGCTCGTCGTCAAATTGTCCAAGCTCTATGATCTGGTGCGCACCAAGGGTAACCCCGTAAAGGGCGATTCCTCCGCCGGCGGTAGCCAGCAGAACTTCGTCCGCCAAACCACCAAGTATTGGGTACATCCTGACAACATCACGGAACTGAAATTGATCATTCTCAAGGTAAGAAGCTCACCGGTTGCCGGCTAGGCTTATCTCGTGCTGATGAATTGGGATAGCACCTTCCCGTCTTGGTTTTCAACCCCAGCAAAGAATTCGAAGAAAAGGATGCTGCCATTTCCTCCATTTACTATGACAACACGGATACCTGGGAGCTATACCAAGGTCGACTGAAAAAGACGGAGGGCGCGGAGGCTATCCGACTGCGTTGGTATGGTGGCATGGAGAGCGATCAGATCTTCGTGGAGCGCAAGACCCACCGCGAGGACTGGACGGGAGAGAAGTCCGTCAAGGCGCGTTTCTCACTCAAAGAGAAGCATGTTAACGACTATCTCGCTGGCCGCTTGACGGTGGAGTCTATTTTTGAGAAGATGCGCAGGGAAGGCAAGAAGAGTGAGGAGGAAATTGCCAACCTTGAGCAATTGGCAAGAGAAATCCAGTATCGAGTCATTACGCGACGACTAGTACCAGTCACTCGATCATTCTATCACCGCACCGCTTTCCAGCTTCCCGGAGATGCTCGCGTGCGCATTTCTCTCGATACCGAGTTGACAATGGTTCGAGAGGACAATCTCGACGGTCGCCGCAGAGCTGGTGACAACTGGCGCCGCATGGACATCGGTGTAGACTACCCGTTTTCCCAGTTGCCTCCGGAGGACGTGGAACGGTTTCCCTATGCGGTTCTGGAAGTCAAGCTGCAAACACAGGCCGGTCAGGAGCCGCCTCAATGGATCCGGGAGCTGACAGCTAGCCATCTAGTTGAGGCCGTTCCCAAATACAGCAAATTCATTCATGGCACGGCCACGTTGTTCCCAGACCGCATCAACCTCCTTCCTTTCTGGATGCCGCAAATGGACGTCGATATTCGCAAGCCGGCTACCCGCCAGTTCGGTATCACGCGTCCGCTGGCCAGCACATCATTATCCGCAACCGAAACACCGGAAGACGAGGTTTCGGAAGACGAGGAGGACACAGCTCAGTGGCCCAATGGTGTGCATATTGCCGGGGCTACTGATGCCGACCATCATGGACTCTTTGCACAGACCGATGGCAATGCCTTAGACATCGAGGAACGCATCGCCGCTCAACCTCTCCCCGGCGATGAGGATTATCCATTGTACGACTCGGACCAAGAATCTTCGATCGACTCGGATGAATTGGAAGAAGCTCGTCGGGTAGGAGGCACATACTACTACAAGCAGCTAGCCAAATATTACGCCGACCACGCGGGCTCTATCTTGATCCATGTCCTCAAGTCCCTAATCCCCCGGCCCACACCCACCAGTCTCCCAGCGCCCGAGCAAACTGGAATCGCCGTCATCGGCAACAAGCGTACCGTCAAGCGCTTCCACGCCCCGAAGGGCAAACGTGAGTTCTTTTTCTTTCTTTCAAATCTCATCATTATCTGGAAGAACAACCAGAAAGACTGATAGCACGCCACAGGCATCCATGTTCCCGTCCGCGTCGAACCAAAGGTCTACTTCGCCGCGGAGCGCACCTTCCTCTCCTGGCTCGAATTCTCCATCCTCCTCGGCACCATCGCCGCCACCCTCCTCAACTTCGGCGACGACTCTATCACCTTCGCCTCCTCGTGGGCCTTCACCATCCTCGCATCCGTATCCCTTATTTATAGTCTGATGTTGTACATCTGGCGCGTCGACAAGATCCGCAAGCGCCGCGACGTCAAGCGTGTCTACTACGAAAAATGGGGCCCCACCGTCGTCGGCCTGGGGCTGGTGACGATTGTCATGGTCAATTTCGGTCTGCGCATCCGCCAGCAAGGGTTCTTGGCTCGGGATGGCGGCGGCGGCGGAGGTGTTGACCTCGATATTCCCCCCCCACATAACGGGGAGTTGTGAAAAGTCTCCGTACCTTCCGGCGGTCCAGAAAGGAGAAGTGGTGTATATAACGAAGAAAGCTACTGTTTTGTCTGTCTGTGTGTTGATTCTTAGTACTTGTCCTGCGTAAACGATATGATGATTATGATGATGATGGGTTATCTCAGGTTTGTTCTGCCGTGGACCTCAGTTCCTCAATCAGGACAGATGGAAAGGGGAGAAAAGCGTTGAGGGCAAATGTGAGTGTGTGGATGGTCGGTCAAACTTGTTTATACATTGCTTGGTGTAGTCGTTTGATGTTAGTTGCTGATACCATATTATATTATACCACAGTCGGCGGTAATGGGAAAAATGAAGCGAGACTGAACAGCTGAAGTTGTGCAGCAGATAGGCGTTTTCAAAAAGGAGGGAGATATAGGTTGTATCGAAGTCGTTCGCCATATCATCTACGTATTACAGCGAACAATCCTTGAAATTTCAATCTATACACTTGTGAGCACCCAGAAACACAGTTTCCCATGATTCATGGGTTTTCCTGGGAATTCAATTGATGTGCTCTGATAATGAATTTTTTCAAGAATCAAAATCCACAACCGGAACCACCGTATCCTCCAACCGGACCGCGTCAGGGTTCGATTCCTCCACGCCAGAGTACCGGTTCAGCCACCCGAGGACCTGCTGGTGCCAAACCAGGCTGTTCTCCTGGTTGGTGACCCTATACATTCTCATGGATCAGTTGTAGTTCTGAAGGGACTGGGATGAGCGGAACAATGAAGAACGTACCAGTGATCCTCATCTGGGAAGTTCAAGAACCGACTCGGCACGCCGCGTTCCTGGAGGACATTGAACAACGCAATTCCCTCGGCGATGGGAAGTCGGTAGTCCTTGTCGCTATGGATAACAAGTTGCGGGGTCGAGAACTGAAGAATCCTTTCGGGAGCCGAAGGGTCGAAGCGACGGTAGTTGTCACGGTTGCCCCAGAAGGTGCCGTTAAACTGGATGATATATCAGCCAGTCTGTTGAGATTGACCTGGGGAGATACCGTTTGATGACGAATGAGATAAAGTGAACTCACGTCATGCTCGATGAACCATAGCTCATCTGTGGCGATCTTCGCGTCGGCGACGAAGGTCCCGTCGTGGGAGACCAACGCTTTGAGCTTGCGGCCGAGATCCGAGCCCTGAATCCAGTTGACCATGAAGCCTCCGTAGCTGGCGCCGGCGGCTACACCGTGGTCTGTGTCAATGAAGTCGATGTTGTCGTGGGCGTACTGCCACAATTTTACGAGGTCGTCGTAGGGGGCGCCTCCTTCGATCTGGTCAGCATGTGTAATTTCTTGTACATCTTCGTTGGGGCAAGAGAGATAGGAGCTCTGGTACTAACCCCAGTCGTTTGCGATGGCATCAGTGAGTTCATCACCAAACCCAGTACTGCCTGTCGGATTCGGAGCGATGACTACGTAACCCTGGTCTGCAAAGACCTTGGGGTTCCAGCGTGTGCTCCAGGAATCAGCCCATGAGCCTTGGGGCCCACCATGAATATAAAGAACGAAAGGATATTTCTTGCTCTTGTCGAAGCCCTCTGGATAGATAATCCATGAATGGATCTGGAACTAGATTAGTGGCCGTTGAGGGAGACAGTATCAGCTACAGACTCACCTCAGTCCAGTTACCTTGATAGTAGAATTCACCAACATCAGCAGGGCTCAATCCAGCTAGCTCAGGATCAATTTCGTTGGCCGACAACAGGGTTTTGATGATTCCTTGGTTAGGGCTCGCTGTGTAGATAGTCCAGCTAGTCCAGATGGCCGACCCAGTGACCAAAAGGGTCGAATCCTGCAAGACATGATAGGCCGCTACAGAGCCGCCATTAGTGAAATTCTTAGGCTTGAAGTCATCTCCTGCATCTGCCGGGATAGAGAATAGTCTAGTTCGACCAAGATCTTCACTTGTGACAACTAGGTTGTCTGAATCAACCCAAGCCACTGTGTCCGGAGAGCGGTCCCAGTTTTTGGCGAGCGTAGCGATAGACTCATTGGCACCAATGGTATAGACATACAGAGTGCGTCTGTCAGATTCATATTGTCTGTTGTTCATCTGGAAGTATGCTAGTCTGTCACTGTTCGGAGAAAAGACGGGACTACTTGAATCCCCTTGGACCCCTGCAGGTGTCACGGCACTCTCGGGCCCATTAATTGCGACTGCTTTCTTTGACCCGTCATGGGGTACAAGATAAATGTAGGAAGTCGTAAGGTTGGCACGAGGTAGCTCAGGTGCCTTGCTCTTGAAAGCGACCCAGTTGCCGTCAGGCGAGAGGTCATAGTCAGAGTTTCCTCCAAAGGGGGGGTAAGGGCTTTCAGCATTCTTGATGGGAGACACTAGGTTGGTAAGATCTCCGGACGAAACATAATGACCCGTGCCGTTGGAACCGCGCAACGTCCCCGAAAATACAGCATGTGAAGGTGGGGAGAGATACGTGTTCCAGTGACGGATGTAGAGACTGTCATAAATCCGCGCGGAGCTCAAGAACTTTTCCGCTAGCTTCTCATTATAGGCTGTGCCATTGCCATAGGCCTTGCCGCGGAGGATAAACTTCACGTCACCCGAGTCCGTGACAGCCGTCTTGAGGCCCAGAAAGTTCGCTGGTAGAGAGGCTGCCTTATATCTACTCACGATGGTCAGACATATCCTACAAGAACTAGCGTTTGAGAAGTTACCCGTTCTGGAAGTCCGTGATATCTGATATCCACAGCTCGACACCGCCGGGGATGTCTGCGTTGGTATTGTTGATGTAGAGAACAGTGGAATCATCCGTGCCAAGCCAGATGATTTCAGAGACGTTACTGTCGTTCGTGAGAGTGCTAGTCTCCCCGGACTTTAAGTCAAGTAGACTCCACCAGGAGCTTCCAGCATGAGACTCGAAGGAGTACTGGGAGACCGAGAAGAGACCAAGAGCCTGACACTGTCAGTTCTTTCCAGGCCAAGGAATCGGATCATGCAACATACCCCCACTGGATTGGGAATAACTTCGTCTCTCCGTGGAGCACTAATTAAATGCCTGCAGAAGTTGAAGATGAGTGACCGCCCGATTGTTATTGGGCCATTGGCAACGTACTCGGGGGTCAGGGCCGAAGCCAGTGATGCAGCAGCAACAATGGAGAGCCACCGAAGAGCTCCCATTGTGAAGATGTAGAACGATTGGGAATCTGAAGACCAGGATCGAGAGAGCAGGAAGAGGGGCCTTCTTATGGGCCATTCAAAAACCCCACCGAGTGGAAGAGGACGAAGTGAGGGGATTGGAGTGTGCGATGATGAACTTTGGTGGAGGCTGGCTGGAGAAAACAGGGACCTGCCTGATTGGGATAAGCAGCAGCAACAATACAACGGGCAAGCAAGGGCGGGCAATTGAACGTGACAAGTCTTGGGTTACAATGCCAAGTAACTTGGAAGACACACACACACACACATACACACAAACATTCTCCAACTGTTGCTTGGCACTGTCACTCAATTAATTACTTGATGATGCAAGTCTAAAAGGGCAGATCTGTTATCTCATAGTATCTAACTTAGTTAACTACTCTATGTCGATTATGCAATGGGCTGGGACTTCAACCTCAAAGGGCCCGGGATTCCACGAGGAGATTATATGTACATGCATACGTCAAAGTAAAGGGCCAGCCGAAACTCGGCCTAGTACTCGAAATCATCGTCCACTGCCTTCTTCGCATTTTCCTTCTGCACCGCTTCTTGCTTGCGGTACATCTCCGCCACTGCCCGAGTCGTTGTCGCCTCGTCGGGCTTCTTGTCATCTCGGCCTTTAATGAATCGCGGGAACCGGAGGGAGATTCCCTTGCCTCCGCCAGTGCTTCCCGCAAACTCATCGGCTGCAGCCTTATAACGTGGGCTCAGGGTGAGATCGGCAGTCTTGACTTCCCAGACGAACCGGGGTTCGAACCACACATCCGGCTGATCTTTGGGAACAGTCGAATGAGAGTAGAACGGCTTGGGCCGATCGATGACAATGGGAGAAAGTTGTTTATGAAGCTCTTCCAAATCAGCTTCCGAGAAACCCGTGCCAATGTTGCAGACTGTTTCGTAGGTTTGCGTGCTCGTGTTGTATGCAGCCAAGAGAAAGGCGCCGTATACTGATGTACGCTTGCCTCTTCCGTGATACGCACCCAAAACAACAAGATCGAGGGAGTCGCCCACTCCGCTGAGGTAATCCTTTTTCACCTAGTCGAATAGTCAGTATAACAGCACACTCCGCTTCAGTGTTGGTCGGCGTACCTTGAGCCAGTTGCGACTCCGCTTGCTTGGTTCATAGCCACTCTCTTCAGTATCCAACATCTTCACCATCAAACCTTCACAGGAGGCCTTTACACTGTCATCCAGAAGATTCTGGATCTCGTCTACAACATTTGTATTTCCATACTGCGCAAATTGAAACTCGCCTTCAACAGTCTGAAACGACTCATGAAGAAGTTCGCGACGCTCTCGCAGAGACTTTTTGACCGTGGGCTATGACTTAAAAGTTAGTGTCGTCAGATGTGAAGTCAAGGGCCAGACCGCATACCTCGCCATTCAAAAACAGCAGGTCAAAGGCAAATACACAGACTTTGACCTTGACATCCTCCGCTTTGACATCCTTTCTCTTGCGAGTCATGAGTTGCTGGAAGGGCAACACTTTCTTGTTTACCGTGTCCCATGCAACAGTTTCACAATCCAAAACAAAGCTAGTAACGCCATCCTTCACCCATGTGTTCAGCTTTGCAAGCACATCAGGGTACTTCTTGGACAGATCCTCCGAGTTGCGAGAGAAGATTGAGCTGAGGCCCTTGCTATCACTCTGTAATGTGGCCCTTGCTCCAGGATACTGGTCAATAGAGTTTGGGGCAACGTAGTGGATCTGAGCTCTCTCTCCATCATACTTATACTCGCAAGTAAAGTCTTTCCCTTCAAATCGATCAAGAACCTCGGTGATCGACTTGGTCGGCTTGGCCAACATAGGCTTGATGGGGATGCCCGGTTGCAGCTTGCAGTGTTTATGTAAATCGGACAGACCATGCTTGAGCATCAAAGGAATAATGATCTCATAGGCAGGCAGCTCGCTGTACACAGTCTTCAAGATAGCCTCACCCTGAGCCAGCTTCTCGGTGGAAGGTGTCTTCTCCCCTCTAAGCTCAGCCTCATGTGTAACCACAGCTTGAGCAAGAGCAACTAAAACTGTCTTTTCCGCCAGCCCAAGTCTAAGCTTCCCTTCCAAGAAACGAATGATATACTTGGCTTCGCTGGGTCCGCCCTTATCCTTGGTAATATCAATACCCTTGCCACCCTTGCCTGCAGCTGCGGCATCCGCTGCAGAGAGTAGTTTCTTGATGCCGGATATCTTCTTATCTTGGGAACCGTGTCCTTGCACCTTGGCAATGTTAAGAAGACCCTCGTGCACACCTCTGACAGTCAAGGGCTTCGGCGGGAACATGGAAGGCTGATTCGAGCGACTCTTGGCTGCGACCAGCCCAAGATCGCCAATTTCATGCTGGTCAGCCTTGACTACTGCCAAGCTTCGTCCTGTGCTCTCACCAATCGCCTTCATGATCAGCGACTCTCCAATCCCCAGCTCAATGCCAGCATAGTCAGCGGCCAATTTGTTGATCATAAGCTGCACAGTGGGAAGAAGGTCCTGTGGCGTCAAGCGCAGGACTTGCCGAAGAAACAGGGAACAGTGAGCGAGAATAACCAATCTTTTGGTGGTCATCTCTACTAGAGAGAATGTCGTGCATAGTGCTGCGTATGGAACGGGATCCCCAGCTTTCCAGTCGGGATAAGGCTCACTACCGCTTGCTTTGAGCGTAGCCTGCACCTTCTCGATCTTCTTCTTTTTCACTTCCGGCTTCTCATCCTCCTCATCCTCACTGAGCGATTGTGCTTCCTCCTCGTCTGATACTTGTTCCTCTTTCTCGGGGGTTTTCTCCCCCGAGGCTTTCTCAATTTTCACAGATTCGGAGGGCTGGGTGGATTTGGTATGCTTCTTGGGACTCTTGAGCACGGGGGATTTTTTCCTCGGGGAGCTCTTTGGGGAGGGGGTCTTTCCATTCGCTTGGGAGTTTCTCCGACGGCGCTTGGGTGCAGGTTGAACATCGCTGTCCTCATCCTCGCTGCTGTTTTCTCGTTTCGGTACGGCGGTATCCTGCTTCTCGTCCGGATTCGTGGCTTCTGGCTCGGCACTAGAGGATTTGGCTTCATCCATAGGTTCGTCTTTTATTGTAGCATCATTGACAGAAGCCGGCTCGGGAGTTTTCTCAGTGGTCTGCTGGGTCTTGCTCTTCTTGCCCGAGAAAGCTAGCGTGGTTTGCTTCTTGGGCGCATCTCGCGGGGTGTCGGAATTTGAGCTAAAAAACCTCCTAAGATCGCAACCATGTCAGTTAAGAAGCGCGCGACGGATTCGGGGTGACTGATTCTAGGCGCAGGTCATAACGACGCACCCGAGAGTTAGCTGGGAATCCTTGACGTACCCCAGAGTTGCCTGTTTCCGACCCTTAGAATCCGCCATTGCGAACGACGGTAATATATAGAAACAGCGGTCACGTTGCAGCCACGGTCTGATCACAGGGTGTCTTGGTCGAGCAAGTGGGGACTCGGAGTGCGCGAAGTGTCGGATCGAATGCAAAGTCCTCGGAGCTGCGGTGCTAAAGGTGGAACTTCTGCAAAAGAATGGGACGGACGGCGTAACACGCGCGAGGCGGTATGAAAAGAGCATAGACGTTCTCTGCTACCGCCGATTTGACCTAGGAGTAGACTTTGCCAGCTTGTCAGTTTATATGCATCCAGGGTCGGCAATTTCCATGGGCCGCCTAGGCACTCGAGGTAGACATTGCTGCCTTCCAATTGCTTTAAGCTTCAGCGGGCGCCTCGACGCGACGTGACGTGACGCGAGGTTAATTGAAATCACGTGATGAGACTCACAGCTGGCTTCATTCGGATTTTTGTGCTGAGATCTTGAAGGAGGATAATCATTGATAAAGTACCAACTTTCTATACCGGCTCATTGCGCAAAAATTCTCTTATGTTGTGTAGATTTGAGTCTTGCTGCAGTAAAATGACCTGCTTAGATTGGGCAAGAGTGACGCAGTTTGAACCGATCAAACCGATCAAACAGCGCAAACTTACCTAGTTTTTGACCGCTTCGGAAGTCTGGCAGAAAGACATCGATCGCCAGGCGGAGAGGATTATCGACAAGCGCAAACCACGAGCTGATGATTCGCTGTATCTGATGCCTGGTATTGCTTGATAGTCAATGTGAGCTTTTTTCAATGGCCGGACCATCTTAGATCCTACTTTTTCTTCCGTCACCTCATAGACCCAATTAGGCCAGATGGAGATCTCTCGACAGGAAGCTTTCTCCAAGGTGCGACACCCGTTCAGTATCTCAGTCGAACCAGGCTAATACGTATTCAAGCTCAAACCACCATGTGTGGAACTGAGTGCTGTTGGCTTGCGCTTCCGTGCGAACCAAGCGTCTCCCAATGATGTCTTCAAGGCCTTGAAGCCCGTGTACACCGTCCTGAGCGACCTTGGCAGTAAGAATGCTCTGGACGAAAAGCTAGCGGAATATGCATTCTTCCCTCTGTGCCACATCTTCAACGAGACACAGAGAACACCAATCAACTCCCTCGAACTCGCAGTCAAATGCCTGCAGGTCCTCGTGGAGAAAGGATGGCGGAGAAAGCTGTCCCATCAGATGGGCAAGCAGCTGATGATCCTTCTGACCTTGATTGTGGGAGGCGCGCCGAGCAAAGCCAACGCAAGCCAATCCACACAGACTCGGTCAGTGGAACTGTCTGTCGCAGGATTTAATTGCTTATCGGCCATTTTCAATGTTCTCGACGGCCCTGCAGCCACTGCGACCATTTACCATGAAGTTGGTACCGCTACCGTGGTGGATCAGACAGTATATGTTCTACTGGAAGGAATCAGCGACGACCAGTCCGATCAGCTTTGCATCTCGGCGGCCGAATCCCTCGGAGCGCTTTACCATCGTATTAGTGATCGAGTAGTCCTGGCCAGTATCATGCCTCGAACAGTGTCTACCTTGACGAAAATTATTCGACCCACGACACAGGCGCGGCGCTCGTACAAGCTCCTGAGCCTCTGCCTTCAAATTCTCACAGACATGCTTCGAAAGGTTCTCAACGATCGAGATACGAAGGTGACCGGGAGCCCAGGTCAATCCCAAAAGCAGGACGACCCACTCGTGCTTGATGCCTCATGGCTGAAAGCAACAGCCACGCAGATCAAGCTTGCTCTTGCCAACATTATCCAGATCCGACGACACGAAAGACTCGAAGTACAGACAGCCCTTCGTGAGCTCTGCCTGATGGCTATAGAAGAATGTCAAGCGACTCTGCACGAGTCGCTACCAATCCTCGTCGAAACCCTGGTTGTCTTGTCCGATGTCGATGACAACAACACGCCGAATGAAGCATTTTCGGCTCTCACACACCACGCCACGACTTACCCAGTCGTGGTAGATCATCTCAAGAATTCTCTCCACAGCTGGATCACATCATTCCCACGGACCATGCAAGGAAATGATGAGACAGCTAAGCAATGGGCTGTCAAGCAAATATCCACTGCCTTCCAAGTGTTATCGCAAGTGCAGTCCAGTTCTGATATCCTGGAAAGTAGCTTGGCGTCAGGAATATGTGACAGCGTTGCTGCAGCCGTGAATCACGCAACGAATGCACTGCAGCCTCTCAACACCGATGCTACTCAAGCTCAGAATCTGGACGTCCTGCACTATGGAAGCACCTCCGAGGGTTTCGAACCCGTGCTCATGGAACACAAGAGTCAACGAGACACGCTACGAGACCTGCGGAGCATGGTTGTCAGACTGAGCTCCTCCGAGTCCGGCAACGGGATCACGCGTCTCATCATCAATCGACTCTACCAGGAGCACGGTGATGCGCTCATTTCACCAATGTGGCTTTCACTGAACCTTATCCGGAGTAATCTGCAGGCGACAGCAGCTTTCGATGACTTTATATCGCTGGACGAACCCGAACCGTCCTCCGGCCAGATAACAACCAGGGCTGGTATGATCGAGGAATTGTACTACATTGCACTGCCAATCTTGAACGAGCCATTGGCCAACGAGTCCCACGACTGGAGGGTGCAGGCTCTTGCATTAGAGGCGGTCGCCTTGCAGGCACAACAACTCGGCGAGGCCTTCCGGCCTGAATTGATGGACGCATTGTACCCGGTACTTCAGCTACTGGCTTCCAACAACCCGAATCTCCAGCGACATGCCATGACGTGTCTTAGCCTGCTCACGAACGCATGCAACTACAAAGACGCCAGCACCATGGTGATAGAAAACGTCGACTACCTCGTCAACTCCGTGGCGTTGAAATTGAACACTTTCGACGTGTCCCCGTACCCACCGCAGGTGCTCTTGATGATGGTGAGGCTCTGTGGCCCGCGACTGATACCCTACCTGGACGACCTGGTCGATTCCATCTTCGGCATCCTCGACATGTATCACGGCTATCCCAAGCTTGTCGAGCTGATGTTCCGGACACTGGCGGCGATTGTCGAAGAAGGGACCAAAAACCCTGCTTTGCTCGCAATCAGCGACGGGTCGGAGAGCACCGAAGCCAAACATCGCAAGAAGCGCTACGAAAGTCCGGATGTATCCGCTCTCGTGCAGGACTTTGCGCAGCGTCGAGCCAAACGCGCCAAATTAATGGACGACCTCGACCACAAATCCAACACAACCCTCTCGCACCCTCAGAAGCCCTGGAAAAGCGAGTCCCCAGAAGCACATGAACAAGAAGACGAGCAGAAACCGACCGAGTTCGACAGCACACTCGCCGACCTCCTGAATCAAGACAACGACGACTCTGACGGGCCTCTCCCAGCCCCCAAGGAACCAGAAGACAGCGAAAAGCCGCTGAGCAAATCGCACACCCTGCTACTGCACATCGTCCGCTCCATCCCGTCGTACCTATCCTCCCCATCCCCTTACCTCCGCCGCTCCCTCCTCACCATCCTGGTCGAAGTCTTCCCGACTCTTTCTGCCAACGACAACAGCTTCTTACCGCTAATCAACGACCTCTGGCCTTCCCTAGCTGCACGAATTTGCTTCCCCACGTCCGCAATCACCGCCAACACCACCAAGACACTAAAAGCCCCTACATCCACAACCCTCACCTTATCCACCCCAACCGACTCCACCAGCACAGATTCCCTTGAAGAAGAAACCTACGTCACAACGACGGCCTGCCATGCTGTCCAAACCCTCGCCCGCACCGCCGGCGACTTCCTCGCCTCGCGGATCGAGAATGAATTCCCGCGCTGGGAACGCCTCTACCGCCAAGTATGGACGAAAGTCCGTCTTGATGCGGAGAAAGCCCTCGAACGGAGGGAGCGTCTGCAGCAGCAGCAGCAGCAGCAGCAGCAGCGATCCACAAATCGGCTTCTTTTGGACGAGGTGGTAACATCGTCTGTGTCCGCTGAAGTCGGCCCAGATCAATTGGCCACCAGCAGCGACAGAAACAGCAGCAACAGCACTTCCAAGAGCAGCACCACTCAACTCACCCTCACACAATCCCTTTCCCTACACCCGACCAGCGCACGCACCTTCACCCCCCACCATGCCATCTGGCGCAGCCTTATCCCGCTCTTCCTCGCCGTACTGACGCACGTGCGGCTACCGCTCGCGGTCGGGGATACTATCTGTGGGTTCGTGGTGGAGTGGGTGGTTTTGTTTGCCAGGGGTGATAAGAAGGTGTATGAGCGGTGGGTGACCGGGGGACGGAGTCTTAGAAGAGAGGTGGGAGGTAGAGCTGCTGCTGCGGATGCTGATGCGGAGTCTGCGGATCTGGCGTCGATTGCGGAGGCGCTGGAGGCGCTGGAGACATGGAATGCGGATTTGACCTGGTTCCTGTTTCAGCAGCACCACAGTAAGAAGGCCAGCGCCGGGGTTCGAGCAAAAGCGACCCGGAAACCAACTGAGAGTCCCTTGATTTGTGAGGTGGTCGAGGATGAGCAGCAGCCTTTGAAGGAGTGGTCGGTCCCGGGGACGGGGTTGAGGTTTGCAGAGCTGATTTTTTGAATGTTGCATGCGAACTTCATTAAGCTGGAGCAGAAGCATCTACCAGAAGCGGCCTACACCTGATCACTGATCTACGGTCTTGAATGAATAATGATATGTTCAAAGAGAGATTTATTGCAGCTAAAAATACGTTCTCGTCTTGTGTAGTCCTCTCAGACATCAAACTCGAGCAACAACGAATTCAACCGAGTAAACGAATGAGTGGAGTCGGTGAGACAAACATTAAGCAAAGAAACAATAAGTGATTAAAATCCCGAAAGCGATCATCTAGAACTGAAAACCATAAGCTGGCAGCAGTCTACTCATCGTCTTCCTCACTCTCCTCCTCGCTTTCGGCGTTCTCGAGCCACTCGAGGAAGGGCTCAGCGGCCTTGCGGACCTTACGGCTAGTCGAGATGTCGACGTACTTCTTGCTGGCCTTGGAACCCCAAGCCTTGAGGGTCTCCTCGGAGATGAGATCCTCCTCGTAATACTTGAGCAGGATGGCAGGGATCTGAGCGATCAGGTCGGGACGCTCCTTGCCGACGAATCGTTCAGTTCCACCCAAGAAAGCCTTCTCGTGGCGCTCAGAAGTGATGAGCTTCTTGAGGAGGCTGGCACGGGCAGGAATCTGCTTGACGATTTTGTCGTCAAAGATGGTCTGGGCCAGAACAGCCAGAGTCTTGTGCTTGCTCTCGATGCCGTACTCCTTGGCCTTCATGTAGATGTCGACATCGCTGACGCCGGTGACACCGCCCTTCTCAGTGGCAGTTTCGATGATCCAGCTACCCAGCTCATCGTAGGCGGAAGGACCGTCAGCACCGTCCTCATCGGCATCCTCAAGGACAAGGGTGCGCTTGAGATCATCAGGGAGCTCCTTAGCACGAGCCTTGACGGCCTCCTCAGACACGTCGACCGCCCAGTCATCGTCATCAATCTCATCCTCGGCCTCGATGTCCTGGGCCTGGGCCTTGATGCGGCGGGTAAGCTCATCGTCGCTTCCTGCTTCCAGGGCAGCGTCGGGGCTCTCCTCGTCGCCATTGTCGGAGTTGCTGTCTCCGGGGCTGCCATTGTTGTCACCATTGGCTGCCTTGTTCTTCTCCTTCTTACGATCGCGGCGATCCTTCTTGGAAGCCTTGTCCTTCTTTCCTCCCTTGCCCGAGGCGACATCACGCAAGATGAAGGTGCTGAGCTTGAGACGGGAGTCGACCTCGGAGCGCTGGCCACAGGCCTTGCAGTCCAAGAAAATCTTCTCGTCCTTGATGTTGACGTCCGTTTCCGGATTCTTGCACTTCTTGCACAGCACAAACTTGGAGATGAAGCCATCGAGATAGTCCTGAAGCTTGGGGGCATCATGAGCACCGTTGATGATCCAACGATCATCGGTCGGCTTTGCGTTGGCCTGAGCACCGAGCTCAAAGCCGAAGTACTTGATAACATAGGCGGGAGGCCGAGCCAGAGACTGCGCGACCGAGTTCAGGTTGACGACGACGGTCTTGATACCGTTGCCCTTGCCCTCAATCTTAGACTGCAGGCGCTCCATCTTGTAGCGGTAGAAGGGATCGGAGACATCCCGACGAATGTTGACAGTGGCCATGATGACGGATTGGGTTGATGAAAATTCTTCAGGAGACTGATTGGCGTGGTTATATTAAGCGGGGAGGATTCTGGACCAGGAATATCTTGACAAAACAAGACATGCGTGGGTTTCTTTTTTAGAAGGAATGGTGGCGGTTGTTGCGATCGTCTTGAACGAGAACAATAGAAGGCAGCAGCTCAAAGCTTTCAGCCACAAGACTTGGAATGTCTACTACAAGGTTTCGACGTGAAGCGAAACGATTGCAGCTTGAGCGGCAGGTGGTGATCGAAATCTCTGACGCAGGACGAATACATAGACAAGTTCTCGACCGACTCTGTTTTCAGTGGCTTTCTCTGGCAGGAAAGAGAGAAACCAACGGGTGGTTCTTCTGTTGGGAGAAAGAAAAGAAATGGAAGTGGTCAGACTGGTGACTTGTGATGATGGAGAGACAAGGAGAGTGGCAGTTGGAAACTAACCAGAGTGGCTTAAGCGTGCACAAAACGTGAGTAACAAACCAGCAGGCAGAAATGGACGCCTGAAGGAAGATTCAACGAGACAACAGCGTTGAACGCCGATGAGACTTGGGATGAATAAAAGTGGGAGTGGTGGATGAAGTGGTAGAGAAGTGGGTGAGGAGAAAAAGAGAGAGAAAAGAGGAAGAAAGAGGAAGCGAAGGCGATGGAGGGTAGAAAAGGTCCCCAAACAAAAAAAAAAGGCTGACCCGGGATTTGTGCCAAGGGAAGGAATAGTGTGTAAAGTGACTGTCAGTGTCAGGGAAAAAGAGAAATGGACAGCCTGAAAGATATGGCCACCAGGTGAAAAAATTTGTAGCGGGAGAGAATGGAGAGTGCTGAGTCAGCTCGCCGCTCTCTTTCCATTGATGCCGACTTTCCGGATACACGTGCTCCCATTCACTCCGTCCAGTTGATTGTTACTAGTTACCATCAATACCATTAATTCTCTTGAATCACGAATCATGGATCCGAGGCATCAGTTCAATATCTGGAAGTGGGCTGTTGTCTCCGACATTATTTCCGAGGTTCAGTCACGGCTGCTGCCTACTTCCTTGAACCCTGCCGCGGATGCCATGCATTTGTCTCAGTGAGTTACTGGAGACGTAGTTACACAACTTACACAACTCTACGGTGGCTTGCCTTTTTTCCCACTGGTATATCCTAGTAAATATTCTTAATGGAGTAATGGTGATGCTCAATCAACTCACCGCCACGTCTCTTGTCCCACGATTAACCCAGGCACTGTGGGATGCATTGGACAGACCAGCATAGCTGGTGGTCCGTACTAGTACTTAGTATATGATATTTAGATTAGATGTCTCAGCCACGTCTGTCAATTCGGTATCGAATCTGTCACCTCAAAATATTTATGAAAACTCAATGAGCAATAAGTGTATACAGCAAAGATGACTGACAGATGGCCACCTGAATCCTCCATCTTACACATTGAAGTCGTCGGTTGTCCGTATAATGACTAACTTTCGGGCGTCTCCACATCCTGCCCGAACATCGCGAAAAGCCTCTTCCAACCTCCCGGTCCGCGCAAAGATACTGAATTATCTATACTAAGGCTTCCAGTGGGTGTGTTTTATCCTTGCTTGCCCCTCCGCGCGGTTGCTACCGAGGGAGACCTTGCTTTGATTCATTGCAATGGTTGTTGTGCTTCCCCGCGGGTTCCCCACGTGCCCCTCATCGCAATGTCACAAAAACGAAATTAATCGTATTCCCTAGCTTCAGAAAAGCCCGATAGTCTATAAAATGGCCCTGGATCTCTCCGTCTATCTGGTCACCGACTCGACCCCTGTGATCCTCAAGGGTCGGGATCTGTGCACGGTTGTTGAAGAGGCCCTGAAAGGAGGTAAGTACCATTTCTTGTCTGCGACGGACTATCCACTGACCACTTAGTTCAGGTGTCACTATTGTCCAATATCGCGAGAAGAAAGCCGACACTGGGGCTCAAATAGAGACCGCCAAGAAGCTGCATCAGATCTGCAAGGCTTATGGAGTACCGCTGCTAATCAACGACCGTGTGGACGTTGCCCTCGCGGTAGGAGCGGAGGGTGTCCACCTCGGCCAAGATGACATGAGTATGCAACCTCCCTGCAGTCATCAGTCTACAGTACTGACTGCGTCCAGCAATCGAAGTTGCCAAGAAGCTGCTCCCCGAGAATGCTATCATCGGCATCAGCGCGGGAACTGTCGAGGAGGCCCAGAAAGCGATCGCGGCGGGTGCCGACTATCTCGGCATTGGAACCATGTTTGCTACCCCTACGTAAGTGCTCTATGGATCTTATTGTGCACCGGAGTCGACTGATCACCGCCAGCAAAACAAACACAAAATTGATCCTGGGCACAGCCGGCACCCAAGCCATTCTGGAAGCTATCTCCGATACGGGCCGGACTGTGGGAACCGTCTCTATCGGTGGCATCAACCAGTCGAACGTGCAGCGTGTCTTGTACCAGTCCCGCGCGCCGAAGAAGGCCCTGGATGGTGTTGCCATCGTCAGTGCCATCATGGCTGCTGACGATCCCAAGGCTGCAGCGGCGGAGTTTGTGAAGCTTGTCGCCCACCCACCTCCATTTGTCCAGAGTGGCCCAGCGGCTTCGACGCGGGACACCGCCACACTCATTGAGCAAGTTCCCCAAGCAGTACAGGATATGGTCAAGGCTCACCCGCTGGTCCACAATATGATCAACTATGTTGTGGCCAACTTTGTTGCCAATGTCGCTCTCTCAATGTACGAGCCCACCCCGCGGAACTCACTCGAACATGAAAAATGCTGACAGTATGTCCAGAGGCGCTTCTCCGATCATGTCTCCGTACGGCGACGAAGCCGTGGATCTCCGCGAATTTGGCGGGGCCTTGGTGATCAACATGGGCACACTCACCAGCGAGAGTATTCCGAATTATCTCAAGGCCTTGAAGGCATACAATGAGCGCGGGAACCCCGTAGTGTATGACCCCGTCGGCGCAGCGGCGACTAGCATCCGTCGAGGCACTGTCAAGCAGCTGATGGCGGGCGGGTACTTTGATCTCATCAAGGGCAACGAGGGTGAGATCCGACAGGCATACGGCAGCAGCGGGGTAACGCAGAGAGGTGTCGACAGCGGGCCGAGCAGCCTCGACGGTCAAGCAAAGGCTCGGTTGGCTCTTGAGCTTGCCAAACGAGAGAGTAAATACAAGCCTTTCCAGACGAGTGATATTGAATACTCACCATGCGTGCAGGGAACCTCGTCCTTTTGACCGGTGCAGTTGACTACCTGAGCGACGGCGAGCGCGTCATTGCCGTGGAAAACGGTCACGAACTGCTCGGACAGGTCACAGGCGTAAGTGCACACCCATCGGCCGCCTTCCTTGCCCCGAATTGTATTAACGGAAGATAGACTGGCTGTGCTGTTGGAACTGTCTCCGGATGCTTCCTGGCAGCCAACCCGAAAGACAAGCTTCTTGCCGTGCTGGCGGGTCTGTTGATGTACGAGATCGCAGCCGAGAACGCCGCGGCGAGGGGGGATGTGCGGGGACCGGGAAGTTTTGTTCCTGCTTTCCTGGATGAACTGTATGCGATCCGGCAGGCAGCTTCGAAGGGGGATGGCAGCTGGCTTAGTGGACGTGCAAAGGTGAGGGAGATTGATTTGTAGGTAGATGTAGATAGGTTGAATTACTTGGGTGTAGTTATAGCGCTGGCACAATAGTCATCAATATTTCTGCCTCAGTGACAAGGCAGCGAGTTCCTCGGTCCTTTTCCCCGCACCCGATTCCGTTTTCCCCGCTCTGCACTCCAACGGCACACACTGCACGCAACTGCATCGCGCTTGCTGATCTCTACACCCATCTTTCAACCCACCAGCGACCCCTACTACGAACAATTTTACATCCATCCATAATCGATCCTCAACACTCTGTCCAGCTAAAATGGCCACTCTCACCCGCGCAACCCGCATCCGTACGTCCTTTCCTAACCTCCACTGAGCATCAATTCACAGTCACTAATCCAACCACTTGAACCACAGGCAATCCAGCCCTCTTGTAATCCTCCGAGTTTCATGTCCATTGATTGAAAACCAAAACTTACATCAGACCCAGCATCTGCGACCTGCAAGAGAAATTCCGCAATGTAATCTACGAATTCCCCAAAGTGTACGTTCCAGCCATTCATCCCCCATCCAGCCATGCGGCCACCCCAACCCATCCACCATCCAGAGCCCATCTCCATACGACCATTTCCTCAATACAGACTGACACGAGGATTTCCAGAATTACAACAACAACTAAAATCCTCCGCGCCACCCAATCCCTCAACACCCCCATCTACCTCACGACCCAAAACCGCGCCCGCCTCGGCGACACCGTCTCCGAACTGACGCCCTACCTGTCCCCTTCCCAACCCTCCCAGAATAGCAGACTCAAAGCCGACATCGACAAAACCCTCTTCTCAATGATCACGCCGGAGATGGACAAGCTGCTGCCCAACCCCTCCCGACAGGGGGAGCAGGCGCTGGACGCGATTCTCGTGGGGATCGAGACGCATATCTGCGTGACGCAGACGACGCTTGACTTACTGAGTCGCGGGCACCGCGTGTATGTTATTGTAGATGGGGTGAGTAGTGCGAATGCGGAGGAGCGCGCGGTGGCGGTGCAGCGGTTGCGGGATGCTGGGGCGACGGTTACGACGAGTGAGGGGGTGTTGTTTGAGATGCTGGGGGATGCGGGGCATGCTGCGTTCAAGCAGGTGAGTGGGGTGGTGAAGGAGACGAAGGAGGAGACGAGGGGAGCGTTGGAGGCGTTGGCGCGGATCTGAATATCCAGTCGGTCGAGCCGAGAGATGGGAAGGGGGGGGGCAGGGGTTGGAGGATTTACTTGTGGTGAAGTAACGCTGCGGCTGAGGCTTCGAGTTCATGTTATTATAGTATCACATGCACCAAAGTGCCGTTACCATATGCAACTACATTCATCATCTTCAAATACGCCCTTTATTTGTTAATCATGGCCAGACATTCAGACACATACAGACATACAGACTCCAGAGACAAAGAAATGCTTGACACTGACAGGCCCTGCCGCCCTAATTTGTTTCATTTAGAGCCAGGGCCAGCCGTCATACTACGGGACCGAGAAGGCTGAGACGCGCTATTGAGCCATCCAAACGCCGACGCCCCGCCAACCGGATTGGACGTCCACGAATTGCTGGTCCGCACCCCACCGTCGGGTGACGTACGAGACGAGGTTGGCTGCACGACATCGCCAGGCAAGCTGTTGCCAGGTCCTGTCATCGTCACCGATCGAGACGACGCCTTGCTTGGCCGCAGCACTTTCATGGTACGACCCCGGGAAGGCTTGCCCGCCGCCGTGGCATTCGGATCGGTTCTGGTGTCGCGTTTCCACGAGCCCCAAACCCCGGATGCTTCGGGACGAGCCGGCACACTCGACACAACTCCGACAGGCTTATCCTGGTATTGAACTGGCTCGGGGACGGCAGGAGGTTCTGGCGTATCCGAGGAATGCGCCTTTCGACTATCCTCGGAGTCTTCCACAAAGTCTTGAGTCGAACCGTCAGCGGATGTCGCTCGCCGAGATGAGCTGGAAGGACGGCCGATGACACCCACGGGCGCGTGGCCGTTCATGTTCGCAGGCCCATCATTCTGGGCGGCTTGTCGCTCCTTCCACCCTGCACGTGAGATATCTGATGCCGTGCATAGAGACTTGAAGACAGCGTCGTCCTCCGGACGCACAAGAGGAATTGATACCTTGTTACGCTCGTCGTCGACCATGATGATCTTGTCTTGAGAGAAAAGCACGTCGGCGTTGTGGGAGCGGAGTACATCACTGCCAAGGACAATCTGCACGGAGTAGTCACTGGAATCAACCTCACGAACCAGGAACCGGACAGTCAAAGTAGGCACCTGAGGAGCAGGGCTACCGGAACGCGAGGACGATTGGTGCACGCTAGCCTCGGGGAGGTACATCGGAAGCTTGATATACTGCACATCACCGTCCTGTACAAGCTGATCTTCCCAGCCGAATCTCTTTACCATCGGGTACCCCAGTGAAGAGGTATAGGAGCCAGTGCAGACGGCCGCGTACAGAAGAGACTCGTTGGAAAAGTTGGTTGTCAGCCAACAGCGAATGATGCACGGGACAGGCCCGAGGAGGAAGAACCCAGGTGGAGGAATGAGCGGCGACCCTACAACGGAAGAAGCCATCATTCTGCTAGTTGTCTCTAGGCCCAGGCTGTTGGTTCGAGCCGAGTGATGCGAATGCCCCGAGGAGCTTTGTCGTCCATCTGATCGATGAGATAGCGTCCGTTCAGTCATAGGATGGCTGCCTAGGCCACTCCCCGTCCTCAATGGTAGTTCGCCAATCGATCGACTAGCTTGCCCGTAATAGCCGTGAATGGCACTCTCATCAAAGCGAACGCTGTTTGCCCTTGAGGTCCCACGCCTGGGCTCGTCTTCGGTCTCCATCCCCATTGTATTGATCACTGTGTGATGATGTCCCTGATCGAAACCCTTGAACGCGTCGGCGGGGTTGTGGAAGACCGGCTCTGTAAACAGATGACATCTTAGCCCAAACCCAGAGACAAGACACAGGGATACACATACCCGCGGGGATTGTGCCCCCAACAGAGGTGGGAAAAGGCGATAGAGGACCCCAAACGCTTCTCAGCTTTGCATCCTCGTCTCTTCGCCGTTCCAACCTTGCTATCCGCTCTGCCTGCTCAAATTGGGTAGCGTGAAGCTCTTTGATCTCTTCGAAGACGCGCCAGATGTCGTCGCGTGAGGCAAAAGGGAACTGTGCATCCATATCCAGGCGTGCAAGCCGCAGACAATGGGGCGGTGACCCAAGATCTTAGAAGAAAGGTTGACAACACAGGTTCCCAGGGTTACCACACATATAACACAGACTTTATTTGTAGAGCCGTAGTCACTCAGTCCGCAGTGTTTCGATTGAGCCGCTTGCCAGCTATCCGACGGTCCGCTGTTCCACCGAAACTCCTCCTCCCTCGTACACTGTGAGACGGCCCTACGGCCGTCCACCCGGTATGCTAGATGCAAATAACCCTAGTTATCTCCAGAGGCATATACAAACACTTGGTGGCCGATGTTGAAAGAGGTGGCGGAGAAAGCGTGCCGGACGATGAACGATAAGGGCGGAGAGAAAGAGGAGGGAGGCTGATATGCGGATGGAACGTCGGAGCAAAGGATGAGCGAATGCACCGTGTAATGGCGATCACCTCACCGTCCGTATGCAAGAAGTAAGATGAGGTGTCTATGAGCACGTTAAGCTATCTGCGTTTTTGAGTACAGAAGCAGAACACAAGAGATACTCGTGGCGTGAAGGGAATCGAAGAGAGGCGACGATGGGCGGGAATGTCGTTCGGATGGTCGAGAGAGATGAGGCGTGGGCGGGGTGCTGGGAGGCTATGGAGCAAAGAATTCTGGGAGGATAATGAGGAGTAATTGAGAAAGGTGAGTGAGCTAGAGCGGTAGAGAGAGGAGAAACACAGGAAGGCTGGGGAAGAATGATGATGTTGAGAAGAGCCGTTGGATTGGAAATCATGAGGGGATCTCAATTCGACGGCCAGGAAACCAACCCGCCGCCCTCGGCTGAATCTAGACCGCTTTCATCATTGCGAGTCCTTTGACCTTCCTCAACTCAATGTTGGATTCCTACCATGGTGCATAATTGACGATGTTTCTTCCAGTGAATTATTCTTGTATTTGCATCTCCTAGATTGCTAGCGACCCCTTTTTAAAAACCTAACTTGCGAGTCAAGGGAGTTCGAAGTAAGTAGTACTAGAATGGAATTCCCCTGTTCTTCTGATATGTATACAACCCGACTACCTCCCAGCGTTGGCGCCGAGTGCTCACCTCGGGGCCTGAGGCCAAGGAGGAAAAATCATGGGAATATTTTCCGGCAGCAGATCTGGCCAATTCGCCTCAATCGTCTTCATCAGCGCATCATACACAATGCGATAACCTTCTCCGGACAAATGCAAGCCATCTGTGAACAAGCTGGCAAACTTCTCGTCGTTCGGCAAATCCCTCGACCCCACCAAAGGCTGGCCCTCTTTCCATCCCACCGCCGACATGAACGCCGTCCACACGTCGACAACCGGCACTCCCAGTTCAGCCGCGAGGTCGCGGGCGCCCTCCGCGTAGACCTTGGCATTCTGGTTCGTCCGCGTCGGGTGCGGGTTCCCCTTGCTCTTGTCGAAGAACTCCAACTGGTATTCGTTGATTGGAGGCGGAGTGATGATGAGGATGCGCGGGTTTTGCGCGACCGTAGCGGGGTGTTGGATGATGTGTTTGAGGTTCGTCTTATATTGTTCCAAGGGGACGTACTGCGAGAAAGCGGGCAGACAGGAATCATTGGCGCCGAACCAGATGGTCTTGTGCCCGTATTAGTTGAGAAGTTTGATTCCGCAGAGGGTTCATGGTGGCATTACCATGAGTCGCACAGTGGCTCTTTCCGGAGGGGGAATGCATTGCGATATGACCTTAACTGCATGGCAGGTGGCGTAGCCGCTATAGAATAGGTAAGGAGAGTCAGTTGAATGGGTCGCGTGTTGCTGTGTTGGACAATTGGTGCTCACGCTAAGCCACGGTTCACGACATCGAAACGACGACTGTATGCTACAGGCGGGTCAGTACAACAGCTTGGACTGAAAAGTTGGGGGGCGCGCAAGGAGGCCTTTACTGACCATGCTGCAATGCGGCGTGAAATCCGAAGCCCATGTCTTGGTTACTACCATACTCGGTGATGGAGTCGCCGAAGAGAAGGATCTGATCGTACGGCTTGTAGGCGGACTCCTGTCCATTTGCGGAAACTCCGTTCGCCATGATAATTGCTGTGGTGGTAGTCTGCAGACGAAGAAAAATGGGATTGAGAACTGTGGACGATCAGAGTCCGGCGAGATGAAGCCTTTATTTCGACTGGGCAAGCGGGGGAGAGGAGGGGGGGGCCGATCAGTAGTGCTTACAGTTAGACCGACTGGGCGATAACGATAACCGTCGCTTGCTACTGAACGCAAAACAAACCTCGCTCTGAATCAATGTAGGATCAATCACCCCAGAAATATGACAGACGAACGTGCTTCGCAAGCTGACAGCGACATGCTTTTTTTCTTTCCCTTATACTGCTTTTACCTCTGAAACTTGCATCGAGTGGGGAGAGGCGACGCCGGGGTCTCAATTGAAGCGCGAGGGACAGAGTTTCTCCACCAACGAGGGTCTGCGGGAATACCCGACCCGGATCTTTAGCACACCTCGCATGCATTCCCTGCATGGATATGTATCAAAGTTGGGGAGATATTGTAGTATGTGGCATGACTTGGAGGTACATAGCACATCTCAACATAGGGGCGCATTCAACAAGCTTGGTTGTATCAGAACTTCTGGGATGCGAGTAGGTGCTCAGTCAGTCCTATTAGTACAATGCAAAGATATGTTTATTCGGGGATCTCTTCTGCCACAAATCCATGCCCCGTGGAAAATTTGGATAAACTAGGATAATCTGTACCGGTATATGGCTGATAGTGCTCAAACTGTTAGGCCTTCGCACATACCTTTCGAGCTGTAGATGAGATATATGCGTCATCCTCCTGATACCGGATATATTTGCCATGACAACCATGAAGACTAGTATATATTACATAGTACCCACAGAGTATTATGCACGATTTAAAAAACGTGCAGCGGTCTAGGTATGGCTATGAGGGATCAAGTAGAACTTACTAGTCGGCTTCAACCTTTATGATCTAAGATACGTAGTATAAACGAGATTGATCCTACAATAAAGTAAAGCACTGGCTGATAACTAGTTGAAAGTACTTGCAACTATCCATCACTAGAATTTGGTCGAGATGATCCCGAGGAAGACTCCAGTACTTTTATAATACATATTTAGATAAACCATCTCACAGTAATCTTTCATTGATCTTAGCCTGGTTCAAAGTTGACCGAAAGTCAGTTATCTTACTATATGATACTACAGGTAGCTACTTAGAAGTAGGTACGTATAATTTCGATGATTATATATTGTCGCTGGGCATAACCCCTACTGCCTGATAGTTACGAATTGCGTCAAATTATTGTCTATAAATTGAACTCAGTTCTGATCTACTATTATAAAGTTTTTGATTAGTGGAAATCCCCTCATTTGAAAAGCTTCCTACAACCACGACCCCCTGCCAATCGGTAGTAGGCCATTCGACACCTCATGGACCCTACATGACACTGTCTATTCCCCTGCTCGCAATCCCGATGATCCCGATGTACCTAAAGCCAAAGCAAAACACCACCATATTCCTCTGATTTGAGGTACGATTGAGTCCTGTACTTCCTACGTCTAGTTCGTTCATACTGGCAGTACATCTATGACGAGACAATGCCTTCTTCCCGCATTCAGAACAAGGAACAGATCCGCTCTCAACCTCATAACATGAACGGAAAGACGAAATGCCTTCAATCATTTAACCCGTGCATTCTATTCGTCCTCCCCTTACTACATCTCGACAACTACGATATAGCCGGCCTTGATTCCGGGTGATCAACCTCAACCTCATATCGATATCAAGAGCAATAGCTCGATGCGCCTACAGGGAAAGCGAAGAAGCCCCTATATACACAGTAGAGCCGCACGGAAGAATTCCGCCACCCCATTTGGCTGGGAACTTCAAGAGTAAGGCCTAGATGTGGGAAATAGAGTCTCTCCTCTTTGCTGCTCCGCATGCAGCTCACTAGCAGTGCTATCTATATCACCAATCAGCTATGGTATTGGCAAAATTATGGGCTTTATAACTTCAATAGGCCAGAAACCAGCAGATCTCCACAGGGATCAATACATCCGTGGGGTGCCGGGCAAGTAAGTCTACTTACTCGCTGAGTGGCTGTAAGCTGGACGAGAGGAGTTAGGAGAGGAATGGAAGCTTGCACCCACTCCAACTCACCCCAACCCACCCCACAAACGGACACCCATTCGTCCGAGAAGCCAGAGTCGATAGATTGTGGATGGACTTCGTATCCCACATAGCTATTGGAGCAGCAGAGCTGATGTGAGCGCTGTGGAGAGGTCTGTGGGGAGTGATGGTGGGCGTGTATGAGTGTACGTGGAGAGATGTGGAATGGTGGCTGGTTGCACAGAGTTTGTGGGGGCAAATACCACCCACTGAAAATGAATGCATGGGGCTGTGGCGTTGGTGAAGGAGATCCTTTCAGAAGGGGCCAGAGCTGTGTGCTTGATTGTGGACTGCAGCTGACGCCACTCTTACGGCTTTTCTAAAGAGGTTCAGATGCTGGTGCTTCAGCTGTTGAATCAGTTTATTCCTTACCTGTTTCATGAGTTGAGAATGCTGTATAATAAAGTATACTATGAGTTTCACAAACAAGCAGCGGCATATTCTACGGATCACTGCTCAGCAAGAAGGGAGCTCGGAAGAGGAGGATAGTGTAAGCTTTGCCACGAGTCTGGGGGGCAAAGCTGGCCGGGGCGCTGGTGGCTTGCCACTCGTTGCGTTCGGCCGAGAGGACTCGAATATTCAACAGTCTTGGACAGAAGAAGAAACTCAATTCGGAGTGGTTTGGGGATACCCTCGCCATGGCTCGTGGAGATGGCCTCTTAATTGTTATCGATTGTCACTGTGGGATCTTAGTGGTTGCTTGTATATGTATGATGCCTATACTTGTAACACAGGTAGCTGATTTATCATCTTGGAATCTTGGACATGTGGGTTAAGGCAGGGAAAGAGTACGAGGTAGGTTGACTCTTTTTGTGGAGATCCCAGGCAAACCCCACACAATCTGCTCGGGATCATGGAAGGATATGAAGATTATTCAGCGGGTTCATGTGCCAGATTACCTTGCCTTGAGTGGATCAATGTCTAGCTACTTGTAGTCGATACCATACTGCCACATGGAATCCGCCGAGACATGGACGAACTGCTTGACTGGGTTGCTTCGAGGACGAGTTCATAGCCTGGAATGTAATATGACTAAATCTTGTCCTCACTTGTTACGGTACACTACCATATGAATCTTGATGAAAATGACTATCTTGAGAAATTGAAATTGAACAAATCATAAATACGCTAGAAATCGTAAAGCCATATACTAAGCGGCTGGACGCCACTTCTTTCCATAGATCTGCACCGCAATAATGGGCAAGAAGCTGACAAGGAACATCAAGGCACTGCCCACCCCCGAGCTGGCGGCGATACCCACATTATCGAACATGTCGGGGAACCTGGTTTAAATTAGCCAAATGCTCACGAAAAATATGATGAACAAGAATCTTACCAGAAAGGACCAATGAAGCCCCACATCTGACGGACAAAGGTGATGAAGACACCGACACTGCCCGAATCTTCAGGGTAGCAGTCGACGGCATAAGTAACCATGACAGTCGTCACCAGCTGGTTGCCAAAGGCAGCAATAGCGGTACCCACAAGAGGGGACACGACCCAATGATCGGCCTTGGCCTCTTGGATAGTCACTAAAAACACAATCACGCCCACAATTGTGAGGATGACACCAGGGTAGCCGAGCCAGAGGCGATATTCGGGCTCAGGCCGGTGCTGGATCTTGCGTGCCCGGCGACGCATCCAGATATCAGACATGGTGCCACCAATCTGTTCACCCAGAACAGTACCGATAATGACGCCAATGAATTGAAGTCCGAGCTGCTCAGCGTTGAGTCCAAATTTGACTTGCACAAGCTGAGGGACTTCCACAGTGATCATGACACTGCCGAACAAGAAGACCATAGCGTAGGCACATGCGGGAATCATAACACTGGGTTTCTTGGCCATGGACAGGGGATGAAGAAATTCGCGGAAGGTCAGAGGAGTCGGGTCGATCCGGCGGAAGGAGAGATATTGAGCTTTGAAGTCGGAGATACCCTCCGCACTGCTGCCGATGTACCGGGTCTCGGGGCCGAAAAACAGGTACAAGATGAACTGGACGCCGTTGATGATAGCCAAGACCCAGAACATCCATCGCCAGCCAACTCTGTAGGTGATGAAACCGTAAATCAGGGGCCCTAAAAGACGTTCAGCACTGTAGATCAATCTCGTCAAGAATGTGCCACTCACCAACAGGAACACCCAGGGTAACCATCAATGTCCAGACACCAAGGTAACGGCCTCTATCCTTCCTGAAGAATGTCTCTGTAACCACAGCGCTACCGATCGCGGCTGCAGGGGAGATGAAAAACGCCGTTAGGGCTCTGCATGCAGCCAGAGATGCGTATGTGGGGCTCTTGGCACAGCCGATGTTGCACACCAGACTGCAGATGAGAGATAGGAGGAAGATTGGTCGACGTCCGTAGCGGTTGGACAATGGCTTCCAGAATAGTGGTGCACCTCCCAGGATGGCGATCTGTAATGAGGTAAGGTAACTGGCTCTCTGCATGGATACGCCAAGGTCTTCTGCAATGCTGGAGTAGGCGGGAATAATGGAGGCTGTGAAGGTAGCCATGCAGGCATGGAAGGCAACGAGAATGAGATTGGCAAGTTTCTGGAGTAAAACGATAATCAGCAAGCGGGACGAAAGCATGAGGTTTCTGGGAAATGATCATACCTTCCACAAGGGCCAGTTGTATGGGTCTGCGGCCGAAGAGCTGGGAATAGGATCCAGATTTAGGGTTCCATGGCGTTGGATAAGATAGTCTTGGTGTGATTGTGAGAGAGATGCTGCAGCATTATCGGCATACGAAGAGGGTCCCTCTTCTACCTTCTCGAAATATTCGCTGCTGTTTTTCTCGATATGCGTCTCTGCGTGAGTCTTGGGAGAGGTAGAAGGACGGACGTCCTCCGTCATCTCGATGGAGGGCATGTCTTCTGATCAGCGGACCTCGCTGCTTCTAAAGGTGTCGACTTGTTGAAGTAAGTATTGAAGATTTGCCGCGACCGCTGGCGACTTTTCAAATGATTTGTGGGGGAGAGAAGAGTGAGGAGAAAACGACTGCAGCTCAGATAAGGGTCGTGCAGGTATATAAGGGAAAGAGACATGGCCCACAGTCCTTCTCCGCAAGATCCGCACTGCTAGAGCCAAGTTAAACGAGCGCTAATTGCTCTGGGGTGTAAAGGGGGTCCGGGGTTGCGTACGCATGTCTGGGGGCGAATCATCAGCCAGTGAGAGGAGGCGATAACTGGACATTGAGTTGTGGAGAGGAGCGTGGGGATGGGGGGTGAGATCCCCACAAACGACATAATTCAGTCACTCGCCTGGCGCGGCCCAGAGTCGCGATTGTGTCTAGTGCCGTTGGGTCTAGTGCCGTTGGGTGGCGACGGCTGAAGCAGCGATTGAAGCCAAAAAAGCCCGCCTCACTAAGGAGAAAGCCGGTAGGACCGTAGTAGGCCCCGGTCATCGCCTAATCTGTCAGTCTTCCCCGGACGAACGGCTTGACCCACTTGGGATTTTCTCTCCGACCCCCGATGTGGGGAGAAGGCCTCACTGTCTGTTTTCTCGAATGACACGACGATTGCTTCATCAACAACACATAAGACAAAAAAAGCATGTCATTCTTGTACCAGATTTACATCAAACATTAAGAAACAGTGGATTTTCTCCCCCAAATGTGCACTTTGCATCGATGTCTCCGTCCTTCCTCTTCACACCTTACCTCCGAACTGCTAAGCGTTGTAGTCTCCGATCCCCACAAAGCTTGACGCAAACGTGATAGCGGCATTTGCCCATTAGAAATCAACAGAATCAGTGCAAAGAATTGTGGCGCTTTTCTCCTTGAGGCTGCCGGTCAACACAAGCCCAGCTGACGTTGTGCAATCAGCTAGTTCGTGGCAATCTTTGCCCCAACGCCAATGACTGCCTCCAGGTGCTGCTCCTTCCCCACAGCACCTTGGTCGGTTAGCTCTCAGTGCAGTCCAGCTGCATCATAGACAGAGGTTCGCCTGTATTCATTCGCCGTTCTTGTCGTAATAAATTCTTGATAAGCAAATACTAACTCCAGACTAATCCAAGTGTAGTGCTAGGCGAGCGGTTGATTCCCATCTTAGGCCATCCACTGCCTTCTTCCCCAGACACATGCCAGTTTCCAAGCATGATGCCAAATTTGTCTCGGCAGGCTGCTTTAGACTTTCATGCAGCTAGTGCATCATAGTTTCGACGCCTGTACTGCGATAGATAAGGGTTAGATGAGCCAGGCCCCGGAGAGTTGGAATTAGGCCAGATCAATAGCCACAATATCTCATGAGTGGACCCGCGCTTTTTGACCTATCATGGAATTGGCTCAGGGTTTTGATTCACTAATCACCGTTGCAACGAAGCACGGGACGAACCTGATGGGTGATACGGGCTGTCTTTCACACTAACCACTTAATTCTCCGCACCATAAGTCAAGCGGCCGATAATACGATCCATAACTCAACACATTAATAAAGCTGTGAACGATTGTGAATTATCAGTGCTAAGTACAAGCTAATGCGTATACGAAGGGACGGAGACCGGAACTTCTGCCAGCATATCTAGCTTGGTCGGGCGAGGGAATACCAGACTTTAATTATGCGCGTCGAAAAGTACTTCACCCTGTTGAAGTGGGGCGGAAGCAAATCATGCTCATGCTTCTCCGGATTAGCCTGATATCTCGAGGAACCGTTCTCAGACATTGCTTCTCGCCGTTCACGTCGTTCAAGCCGTTGTTGTCACTGCTGTTCCCGAAACGGTAATAGTCGGACTTGACTGCACAACCGAAACCGCTTGTGGGATAAGAGTCGGCCCAGGCACCACATAAGTCGAAAGGGACAGGTAAATATTGACGAAAATGCCTGCGTCCGTAGGTGTGTACAGCTCCGTATCCAGTACGCCTGACGGCTGGACAGTGCCGGTCCCCGTGACCTGGAGGTTGACATGTATTTCTGAGCGCCGTTCTCGCTGCCCGCGCCAAGCAGAGCAATCAACTCGTGGCGCAACACATAGTACCCCCGGGCGATGGTGGACGGGATCCCAACCAGCCAGGAGTTGTTGTTGGCGATGAGCTCGTCGTCGCCCCAGATGCTGGGGGGGGGTGGGCTGCTCTCGTCCACCAGACCGATGCCGTCGATCTTGAAGAACTCCAGGGTCGTCTTGTCGACCGTCAAGCAACTAGCGCCGCCGTCGGCGAGGTAGCTGATGACCGGTTCGTGGTGGCTGTCGGGCCAGGTCGTCCATTGGATGCTGATCTTGTCTCCGGCGGCGACGACGGCGTGGCCTTTGGCGTTTGTGGCACTTAGATGGCAGATCACGTCGTCAGTGTCGGACGCATCTGGAGATGAAGCCGTTGGCGGTGTTGGGGGTCTGCCAGGCGACTACAACCGGAGGGTTGGAGTTGTAAGGGTCTGAGTTGATATCCCAGCCGCGATAGGACACCCAATTGATCACGATGTTCGACACATGGCCGTGGGCGGCTACGCTGATAGCAGCTGAAAGCAGAGAGATCTATTTGACACGCATGTTGATTATTTCAATTAGATCAAGACTAAAGCGAAACCTGTTGCTGCCGATGAGACTGCCGAATGCGAATTGTACAGCAGAGCAGTTTTTATCAGAGCGAATGTCAGTCCTCATATCTCCATCATCCGAGAGCCGTCTCAAACGCAGTTCTCTGTCATCATCCAGAATTGAGGCACGGAGCTTTCCCCGCAAGAAGCAGCCGTATTGTTAACTTGATAATACAGCCAAGACCTGCATATGTCCGGCTGAGTGTCAATCCAAGACGGGGACAGTCCATCCAAGACGGGGTGGAACTGTGAGCTCAAACATACTGGTCAGAAAGACACCGCAACAACACAGTGCATAGCACCTTGCCATCTGCCCGATCATGTGTAAGCCAAGGTCTTGGACTATCACCACCGGTCGTGGATGGTAGGATAACAGCGAGTCAGCAAGAAGCCAAAGACGGGGACAGACGGTACAAAAGCCTGCAGCATACATATATACATACATACTCATCTTGACACAACACTTCTAGGTCTCAGACAAAGGGTCCTTGACGACACCACCTCAAGCCTTCGGGATCCCCCGAACAAGGGTCCGGTTACTATTCACTGTTGGCTATCCCGACATCTTTCTCACCCCAGGACTAAGCTTGATTCCCCACGGGGAGCAGCCGCTCGGTCGTATGGGTCTCCTCCGCCGAACCAAGACCAGATCTCCTCAGTGGTAACCCCGGACATTTACCTCCACAGATGTTAATGTACGGTGATTGAGCGCAGGTCAAACCAGGTAGCCAGATTGTGGACTTCCGTTGACTGCGTCTTGCGGTGCGGTGCCGTGTGGGAAGGGAAGGGAGGTAAATAGCGAGCATCGAGGCTAGCAGGAAATATTCACCACACTAAGAAACCATCGCCAGAAGGGTCGTGCAAAATAGTTTCCTTAACAGCTCACTCAACCACCTTCATACGAGTACTTTACCTGCAGATCATCTTCTTGAAGCGAGCGGAAGTGTCGGAGAGAAGCGGGATTGCCTCCGGGCTTGACTGCAACACCTAAGGAGTCATCTGCAAATTTGCCGTGAAGACATGGCTGGTCACTTGCAGGACGCTCAATGCATGGGAAAACGACAATGAGAACTGATATTCTCGGCAAATTGAAGTTCAAACCAAGGTGAGTACCAAGGTAATGACAATCCATGCAGAGCCGCTGAGTAAGACAAACCAATCTCAAGCACCAGGTATCTTTGCCGTATGTCCAAGATAATGGAAATGCTTATAGTATCCTCGATACTAGGAAAGCCACTGGCAAGAATTGCTGACGCTCACGGAACTAGACAACACAAGTAGGGTCATCAAGTACTACTCATGCTTAAAGAACCCGACATGGACAACCTTCACGCCACCGGGTTGACAGTATGCACGGTCCATGCAAGTATACTTCAGGCATAACATCCACAAGACAAAGAGAAAGGCACAGAACCCTATACCAAGCCCGAATGCATCACTGTACGTGAGATCTATGCAATTGCAACCACTCCTCCACAATCCCACAATAATCTTCCGGCCCATAGCTCTCAAACCACTCCTTCAAGACCCCATCTTTCCTCCTCACGCGTAACCCCAGGTCCTTCAGCAACAAATCCACATATGGCAAGCCCTCGTAAAAGCAAATTGGGAACCGATGCCCAAAGCTGCCGGGATACCGCCACTGCGAGAACTGCGAATGCACCAAGGTGTCCCGCCAGATCCGTTCGGGTGTCCCCCGACCAGCTGGCAGAGGGAGTTTGGCATCATCCCCATCGGAAAGACCATTCCGACGGTCACCACTACTACTGAAATACGCAGTGAGCCACAGGGCCTGAGTTTGCGCACACACAGTGTTGAGGGTCGTCGCTACGAAGCCGGCGAACCCAATGCTCCGGTCATTGATGAATGCGGGGGGCACCATGAAGCGGTAGAGTCGCCAGGGGGCATCATCGCGGTGAGGGAGGGTGGCCGCAGTGTCTGCAGCATCAGCGGCAGCAGCAGTAGCTTCTTTGTCCATGATGCCATTGTTCAGGAACTGGAATTGACGGAGAATCTCCCGGTCGATGCGCTCAGCCTGCGGGTTGCGGGCGCCCCGGGTGCGCGGGAAGCCCATCTTGTCGTGAACCTCGCCGGGAAGGAATTTGATGGTGGGCCAGTGCTGCCAACCACCTGAGACGACCAAGGCGTCGACTTGTAGGGCAGGTCCGTCATGAAGTTGAATCACGCCCGCGGGGGCGAGATGGTCGAGATCCGCCGTGTGGATCTGGATCATGCCGCTGTCGATATACTGAAAGAAGTCCGGTGGGTAGTTGCGGGCGCTGAAGCCGCCGGCCGGGGAGAAGGGCGTGTTGCTGGCTTGGGGCTGAAGCTTGCGGGTCTCGGCGTTGCGGACGAGGGCCGGATCCTGGAGGCACGTGGTGCTGAACCAGGCCCAAAGATGCCGCGAGACCCATTGTCCCACGGTCGTCCTTTGCAGGAACCGGGGCATCCAGCCGGACCCATCCGCGTCGTCCCAGGGGCAGGGACTCAACCACGTCATGAATCGCGTGGTGACAATCTTCTCCATCCAAAGACGGAATGGGGTGGTCTGCGCTGGGAGGAGACGAGCAGGACCGTGTCCGGACTTGCGGAGAATCCAGTGCACCCGGGTGCCCAGCGAGGCGAACTGGTAGGCAGCATCCCAGGCGGATTTGGATCCTCCGACGACAGCGACCGTTGTTGCCGTGTGATACAGTTCGTGATGGCTGGCCAAGTCTTTGCAGTGCAGTACTGGACGTTCGAACGAGGAGGACCCGGGATACTCGGGCATCACAGCCTCTGAAGCTAGCCCTGTTGCTACGATCAGACGACGCGTGCTGACCTGGACGTGTTGACCGTTTTCAGTGGCCGAGATAGACCAGGATCCGTCAGAACACTTCTCCACTGTTCGAACACAGCATGACAGACGAATACGTCGGTGGAGGTCGAATTGAGTTGCGAAGGCTCCAAAGTACTTGTACACCACCTCACCTGGCACGTGCTGATGCCACTTTACCCCGAAGCGAGACTCAGACATGGGGAAGTCGCTGTAAGCATAACTGCCCGCTATGCTGTTTGTTTTGACCCCACGGCAGAGTCTATCACGACCCCACACCCCTCCTACAGATTGGTTGGCTTCAAGGAGCTCCACAGTAGCATGGGGGTGAACATCCAGATATGTCTTCGCGGCCATGAGGCCATACAGACCTGATTCAGATCATGTTACTTGATTAAGTTGGAAATATCTTCGCAAGACGACATTGGCTTACCAGCACCAATTACCACCAGATCATTCATCTCTGCCATTATCTGACTCTTGACAAGTATTAGAATGGAATAAACGGGCTCGACAGCTCTTGCTGGTCTCATTGCTGTGTGCAACGCCAGACCTGGTTCCTTCTTAACCCTCGCAGTGCCGCGATGTCTGCCCTTTTCTTCATATGACGATGCCTCTTGATGATGTTCCGTTCAAGTTGAGACGTCATGGCACAAAGCTCCGAAAACCAGGTTATAAGATGTTCGATCAAGTTATAGTCAACACACATCAGGTTATGGAACCCTTGTACTGCTCGGCCAACAAGTCAGAACTAGTTGACAGCATATGATCATGCATTGATTTGAGGGGAATTTCGAGGTTCCGCGGTTGAGACCGCAGGGGCGACTCGGGTGAATTATCGCAAATTCTATTCTTACTGTCGAAAGGCAAGTAAGCAAATAGACCAAGTAAAGTAGGAGACAAGCGAAAATTCACCTGCCCCCTGTCCGGCCTGTCTGGCTCAGGAGCTCCGCAAGTAGCCACCGCCTTCCGACCGACTCATTACTCCTACGCACATGTATCTGTAAGACAACTTTACCGGCTGCTAGTGGAAGATTGGTGTGGATAGTCCCCATCAAGGGTTGGGCACCAACTCAAGCGTGAACGGAGCTGCATTCCACCTTGTTAGTGATTGTAAGTCTGTCATTGTTCATTCATACAACTGCGCGCTTCGCAATCCGAGTGAGGCCCAGGTGCCAAATGACTTCGGAATTCCAGAGCTAGAACAAAGTCTCTACAAGTCTCGATTAAGTCATAGTCACTGAACACTGGTTCATGGTCCAGGGGTCCCTCCGAGTGGCCAGGGCTCCTAGCATCGAGTCAGGGCATGGTGGCTCACGGGACAACAGTCCATTCCAAGGCAAGTTGACCTCGAAGTTCGATCGTCGTTGTCAAGCGCGAGTCATACAACTTTTGGCTTCTTGCGCGAGCTAGCTCACAATTCGGATTGGAGTCCACCAACAAGAATTCCCCGCGCGGTGGGAGAGAGTTTCTCCATAAGCTGAGGCTTCTGTAGACTGTCCGAGTCAGTACCCGCTCGACTTCCAGATGGACTCTGTCGCAGTAGTCCCATGCACTATGCAAGCAGGGTACTCCACATTCCTGAACTGACATTGAGCATGAACTCTGCAATACACCATGAATAGTCAGCTTGGCGCCAAAAGCACTTGACACAACATGACTTAACGGTGATTCCCAAGGCCTGTAGCTGTCAGTTTTGACGGAGACGTCACAGACTCCTTGCAGGAGTTTTACTAACTGCAGAAGTCTTTGCTTCAACGATATATTGGTCGAGCTGCATATGCAGCAACAGGGTTATCTGGCCAAAATTCCTGCCTAATCCAGTTGCCTTCCTGCACGAGCAAACAACGCCATATTCTGCAGGCATGCATGAAAAGCGATCAAAGCGTCAGGATCCCAGCAAGGAATCTGTGGCTGGCATCTCAAGCAGACAATGGATCGTCAAGTTGCCTTGATTTGATACTGAAGATATTCTTGATTATGCTTATATATTGGCCACCCGTGCATTGTACACAATGTCGGGACCGTCGAAGCATTGCAACACATCAGCGGAAATAGCATTTTACTATCAAAGTTGATTTTCACTATGTCCCTTACCATAGCGCTGTTCGTGCTGTTTCTTGCTTCTCTAGTCTTGCTTTTGTTTTTGATCCCGGCGGGCCCATGGACCAATAGGCCCCCGCTGCCACCTGGCCCTAGGAGCAAAATTCCTTGTATTGGGAATCTTGACGCTCTACCCAGAGAAGGTCAAGAAGAGCACGCTCACTGGCTAAGTCATGGTGACCTTTACGGTATGCTGCATGATGTTTTAGTCTAGAAGAGGTTTTCGTGCGCAGCTGACACAATGGCAAAGGTCCGATCAGCTCAGTGACAGTCATGAGACAGACATTCGTGATAGTGAATGATGTTAATCTAGCTTTCGAAATGCTTGAAAGAAGAGGGGCCATCTATTCATCCCGACCACGACAGGTGCTTTGCGGCGAAATGTATGTCGCCTTCGTTGTCCTTGTTGTATGTCACTTCTCCTGACGACAACTGATTTGAAATCCGAAACTTGGCAGGGTTGGTTGGAACCAATCTGTCGCTATGTCACCTTATTCGCAAAGGTTGCGAACTCATCGAAAAAGCATAATGCGCGTCATCGGGTCTCCGGCGGCGGCGGCTCAATATGAGCCCATGCAAGAACGAGAAGCAGCTCACTTCCTATCCCGCATACTCGAGGATCCTAGGAACTTGATTGAACATATTCGAAAGTTGGTCACCCTCAACTTGAGTTTTACCTGACAAAAAAAACAAAGCTGACAGAAACACTTGTGTAAGTGAGGCCGGATCATTCATACTCAATCTTGTCTATGGTTATCAGACCAACAAACAAGCGTCTGACCCCTTGATTGAGTTGGCGCATGCAGTAATGGAGGAGTTCGCGCAATCATCTCTACCAGGGGAGCATCTGGTTGACCTTGTGCCCTGCTGTACGTGCTCTTTTCTTGTTGAGGTCAGGTAATAACTGGCAGTAGTACGACTGGTACCGAACTGGGTACCAGGATCCGGCTTCAAAAAGATTGCACGGCGATGGCGCGACAACCTGACAAAAATGACAGAGCTGCCTTATGCATTTGTGAAGTATCAGACTGAAACCCAACGAAAGTCCGATTGCTTCTTATCGCAGCTAATCACTGGCGCTGCAGGAGATGACCCGATCCACAAGTGGACGGCTTTGTCATTATACAGTGCAGGAGCAGACACGGCATGCCATCCGCCCCATGATGTGACGCACACATATCGCAGACATGTTGTAGACTGTGTCGGCTCTATCAACCTTTGTTCTCGCCATGACCTTGTATCCTGACGTCCAAAAGAAGGCGCAGGCTGAAATCGACGCGGTGATTGGAAACACTCGACTTCCGACGTTTGCTGATCGTTCGAGTCTTCCTTACATAAACGCGCTCATAAAGGAGGTTCTTCGATGGCAGCCAGTCACTCCCATGGCATTGCCGCATACCAATGTCGAGAACGATATCTTCCACGGGTATTTCATTCCAAAAGGGTCAATCGTTCTCCCTAACGTTTGGTAAGCTTCTTGTCTGGGGTATCACGCCGTGGCGCTGATCCACTGGAAGGGCATTTATGCATGAGCCGAGCACTTATCACGACCCAATGAGATTCAAACCTGAGCGTTTTTTGTCCTGGCAGGGTCAAATCCCGGAGCTGGACCCGCGTAAGATGGCATTCGGCTTTGGACGGCGACTTTGCCCCGGACGTATCTTAGCAGAATCGTCGATTTTCATCATCGTTGCGCAGTTTCTGACCGCATTCGAAGTCAAATCAAGTAAGCATGACATGAATGAGCAAGGCAGGCAAGAGCGCCCAAGATTCAAGCCAGGGGTTATCAGTCACCCAGCACCATTCGATTATCAGGTTGAAGTGCGGAGTTCACAGCATGAGACATTGATCCGTGGAGCTCAAGAAGTCCACCCGTGGTTGGAAAGCGATGCACATGTACTTTTGCATCTCAAATCGTGATAAGGTTATGTGGCTCTGTAAATCGGACGTCACAAGATCCAATTCTCGTCTTGCTGCATTATGTAATCCTCTGCGAACCCTAAAGATTTGAGAATCAAGCCCAGGAAAATATTTTCGAGCGGTGGGAGGCCATTGCGCTTAGGCCTGGAATGCCCTGTTTTAGTAGAGATTGCGCGTCATCTTACCCTGTTTAGGAGACGGACAGGTGTTGATTTGCACTTGGCAAAGCTTTGCCTTGTTTATGTCCAGGCAAAGGAAACTGCGTGGCGTGCCAATTGTTCTGTAAGCACAGGTCTTAAGGCCTGTCAAAAGGCAGCCTTGGCCACGAGCCATGCCGGATAGTTCCATGTGTCGAGGAAAAGTTGTTCCTTCACGTCTTATCCCATCAATGAGCCCAGTTCCATGGCTCCGATACCTGCAGACGACGTACTGTTATGCGTACGCATTGGCAAAGTCAGACGACTGGGCCCAGGGTCTGTGACTTCAGCCATCGAGAAGTCCCCATGCGAGGGCAGGGTGTATGTCAGCGAGCAGGGTATAACCGGCGACGAACAGGCGTACGAGCATCACGGTGGATTTGATAAAGCTCTCCATCAATACTGTGCTCGTCATTACAAGTTCTGGAAGCTCGAGGTCCCCGAGCGGGCACACTTGTTCGACATAGGTGGATATGGGGAGAATATCTCAGCCAACTCTTTCGATGAGGCCAACACCTGCATCGGCGACATCATTGAAATCGGCACGGAAGGCGTTCTAGTCCAAGTCAGTGAGCCCCGACAGCCATGTTTCAAACTCAACCGTCGGTTTGAATTTGCGCAAGCTTCGGTCCGAACGCAGACGACCCGAAGGACAGGGTGGTATTTGCGCGTCTTGAAACCTGGCTTCATACAGGCGGGGGACAAGATTCGATTAGTGAATCGCATCAATCCGGAATGGTCTATTAGTCGAGTCGGACAGTTTCTTTGGGAAGACCGCAAGAATGTCGAGGCATTGAGGGTTCTCAGCGACCTGCCTGGGCTAGGCAAGGAGATTGCGCAGGTATTTCGGCAACGACTCGCCACCCAAGAAGAAGAGGATATGCAGTTTCGTCTCAACGGAGAAGCGTCGATGTGGGCGGAGACGACTCAGGGGCGAGCAATCGGGACAGCCGCCGTGGTCATTCTTGCGAAAGTGTTTCTGTTAGTTGGGATTGTGTTTGGGCTATGGTTGCGACTTAGGATGATGGCTGTTGGGTTAAGCGCAGACTCTGATAGTTGTACCATTCCGGAACTCTAAGGAACTCGAGAAAATATGTCCAATCAAGATTTGATGGGTGGCTTAAAGAGGATATGGATGCCATTGACGGCTTCAGATTGATGGTTGTGAAGGAGTATGTACAATTGAGAAGGGAAGCCACCATCCGATCCCGCGTCATCTGACCCCACTAGTCCCTTACATTTTCACAGTAATCCAACCAGTTGTCTGCCCGCAGCGCATAACATTCACGGTCATTGCTAAATTCATTCTTATTATTTCGATATGTGAAAATAATTGCCTCGAAACAAAGATGCCAACTTCGTTTACAGTCTTAGGAGCTGTAAGTCAGGTTTCAGCGCTTGTGGCCTATTACCTCGTTTCTCCCACAATAGGAACAAAGACAGTGGCGCGCAAATCTCGCAGGTTGAAGTTGGCTCAGTATGTCTCAATTGACATCCAGTAACAACCTACTGCAATCATATCTTGAAATCATACGGATACCTGGCAATCAGACATCCAGCAGCACCTGGAGTTAAGACGAAGCATATGACGGTGGGTTGAGTTTTTTCCTCCATAGCACATGATTTGAATAAAGCTAGCTGGGTGGACAAGCTCGCAGAATCCCAAGATCACCAGCAAGACATTGGAGGCACGAACGGGTTTTCTGACACTCATTCAGCCCTTCAAATCCTGGGTTTCCACTTGAACGAGCTTATTTGGCCCGCTGGACCCAGCGCCCCCTGACAGCTGCGGAACGACTCATCCCTTGCCTACTCTTTATTGGCTTTTCTTTTCGTACTACCGTTGTGCCACCGAAACCCGGGTGGTCAATAAATTATTTACTTAATCCTGCCGATCACCCAACTCTACGGAGTACCTCATCTACCTTTTCTTTTCATATCACTTCACACAAACACAATGGGCCAGAGCCCGTCCAGCCCGCAACCCAACACGCAGCTCCAAGTCATCGGGGCCGGGCTCTCCCGCACGGGCACCGCCTCCCTCAGCGCGGCGCTCGCCCACCTCCTGAATGGTCCGGTCTACCACGGCGGCACGCAGATCACCGCGGGCCCACCGACCGAGCTGCCGCGCTGGAACCGCCTCCTGCGGCACTGGCTGCGACGCGACGAAGCGGCCACGCTCTCACTGCTGCGCGAGATTACGACCGGCTACGCGGCAATCACCGACGCGCCCGCCTCGCATCTCGTCCCGGAGCTGCTGACCCTTTACCCAAATGCAAAGGTTGTGGTGACTGTGCGCGACCGGCAGGCCTGGATCCAGAGCGTGGACACCCTCGCCTCCGTCGTGACGCCGTGGTTCCTGTGGGCGGTACTGCTGCCTCTCCCCGGCATGCGACACTTCATGACGTTTATCTCGCTGGTGCGGGCACAGTGGGGCTGCGTGTACGAGGGGAAAGCGCAGGACAAAGCCTGGGTTTACCACCGGCATCTGGAATGGTTGAAGGAGGTGGTGCCTGCGGACCAGCTGGTGGTATTTGATGTCAAGGACGGGTGGGAGCTGCTGTGTCGCGGGCTGGGGGTTGAAGTTCCTCCTAAGGATGTGCCGTTCCCCAGAATCAATGATGCCAAGGCGATGGAGCAAGGGGCGGCGGATCATATCCGGCGGGGTTTGGTACGGTGGGCGGTCGGGTTGGGGGTGCTGGGCGTGGGGTTGGCTTGGTGGTGGAGATGGCGATAATTCGACAGATAAAGTCTCTGGCGGTGATTGTGATGGTGTTTCTTCTCGACTACAGCGCCAGATACATTATTTAAACAAGTGGCTTTCATTGTTTCGGAAGGTATCGCGCGGGCACGAGTGGACATTTTGAAAATGACTTAGATGGTCTGCCGTATGTAGTTGCTAGACTTCAGAGTGCACGGCGAGACATAAGCTCGTGTTGACTGGCTGGCATCAGAAAATGCACGTGTAATTCTGTTCGCGCTGTGCGAATTCGTTTAGGTATTGAGGATGGCGGTTTGCGCACTCATAGATTGGTGACGTTGCTATCTAGAAATCGTCTATGTAATAGTCATCTTTTGAAATTACTGCGATAATTGGGTAGTATTAACACCCAGCTGCCAAGTTACCATAGGTGACTTATCTCCATAATCGAACACATTTTCTGCTCCCTGATGTGTGCTCTAGAGCAACAAGGACTTGAGATAATTCAAGTATGCGGCCATCGTCCTGCTTAAGAGGGAGGCATCAAAAACCATCGCTGGTCGAGCAAGCAACTTGCAGCCAAAGCTGTGATGGCTGCTGCTACTGCGCGATCGAGATGGAGCTTCACTTCCCCTTTCTCAGTGATCCTGATTCCTGGGGGGTTTGACCCATTAGATATCCTCTTTACCTTCGGACTTCAGCCGTTCCATTATGCCAACCATTTTGGTATAGGATTCGTTTTCTGAACGGACTGAAAATGGAAGAGGGGTGTACCTCACCTCACTAACACACAATCTTAGCGCATAAGCATATCCTGGCCAGACCCATACGGCAGCCGTTTCTTTAAAGTCGGAGAATAAAATCATTTCCGGGTGGGTCGACCATGTAGTACTAAGTCATTTAGACTAGCTTCTGAGTAATAGAGCTAGGCCCATGCGGTATATACATAATTCCCGAAAGCAAGCGATGTGGAGACCGATCACAGGGTACAGCGGAGGTACTCCGTGACTGAGGCTAGAATAGGTTGGGTGGACGCCGGGCATAGAAAAGGATCCGTCACGAATCTCCGGGGATTCAGAGCGGAGCCACGTAGCGTTACCACTGCAATAATCCTAGTTCTAGACCCCGCTGCTCTTCCATGGAGTCCGCGGAGCAGATGCTCAGCGGGCAGTGACTGGCTGACTGATCATGCCGCTGGGGACCTGGCCAGTCTACAGTTTACGAACGCGCGAAGGAGTACTCTGTACTTATGACACACATGGCCACTGCGGTATCTATGACGATGGGGGGACAGAAAGGCTGCTCGGAAGCGTAGTGTGCCGTATTCAAAGCATTTTGCTGTAGAAATTAAGAATCAATCTATTATTGGTAGTTGTAGACTTGTGCAAGAATCCATTCGATGGGACACGTAAAAAGTCCCAATTCCCGACTTTCCTCCATGGGTATTTTACTCTTCCTGAGTTAGGCCTCAAGCAGGCGGCTTGTCGGTTGGCATCTCAAAAGCACCATCAGTGCTTGCAGCGCCATCCTTCTCGGGCTCCTGGTCGAATCGGTGGTCTCGGATGAACAAAACCACAATGAAAAAGGCGACAGCCGCAAAGGCGATACCCAGCCAGAGCGCACCGCGGTATCCATGAATGACATCCTTGCCATTGTCGTTGACGTGCGCCTCGACGGTGGCAGCAATACCCAGACCGATGGAGATGGAGTACTGCACAACAGTCGAGATAAAGGAGCCGGCGACACCCTGCTCCTCGGGCAAGACAGCGTTCGAAATCAGAATCCCCGACGAAGCGAACGAGAGATCTGGGCCGCCGACGACGAACAGGCAGGCGGGAAAAATGAAAGCCCAGTAGACGGGGGAGTAGTTGGCGAAGCTCATGAGCAGGTTACCAATGAAGAAGGAGAACATGGAGACACCGAAGATGTACTGCGCACGGACCTTGGCAATAAAGAGTCCGACCGAGGCCGTCGCGAACAAACCTCCAATGACCAGCGGAACCATCTCCGCGACAGTCGTGAGCGGTTCCGCATGGTGGATGGTGAGGATGAAAATAGTCGTGTAGTAGAGGAAAATGCCAAACGACATCCAGCCCAGCGACATAGCCGTCACAACTGGAGTGAAGCCCCTGCGGGTCCAGAGCGAGTTGGGCAGGACGGCATTCTTGACGTGCGACTGCGAAAAGGCAAAGGCCACGATGAAGACGATGCCGACGATGAGAAGCGCGTAGACGTAGGGTTCCGACCAGCCCACCACGGAGGCTTGGTTCCAAGCAAAGGAGAAGAGGATCAGTCCAGTGACGCCAAGGAAAGATCCAATATAGTCGAATTCCTTCATGCTCAGGCCGGGGATTGGCGAGCCCACGCTGTGGGGGACCACGATAAAGGTCGCGATGCCGAGGACGAGGCAGCCAATGGCCCAGAACCAGAATCCCCAGCGCCAGGTGACCTTCTCCGCGAAAGCAGCGCCAATGAGTCCACCGAAGATGTAGCCCGAAGGTGCACAAAACCCGAGGAACGCGAAGGCGATGTTCTTCTTGACTGAAAATGGGGGAAATGCACGGGCAAGCAGAGCAAACGAATTGGGGACCAGTGCACCGTTGCCGATGCCAGTCATACCACGAGCAATGTCAAAGAGAATCACATCTTTGGCAAACCCGCTGATTAAAGACCAGATGGCCATCCAAATCCATCCGAATAAGAAGACATACTTGTGGCCAAAGTGGTCACCCAGTCGGCCAGTCACCAGCACGAAGACACCACCACATAGGGAGTATGCGGCCAAGAACCAGGACATTTGACCATTGCTCGTGGCATTTAGAGAGTGACCGATCTGCTGCACGGAGAAAGCTGCATTCCCGAGACCACCGACGGAGAAAAGCTGTGACAAGCCAATGACGAAGATAAAGACGGCCTCCTGGAAGTTCGATCTGAAGTGGGATGGAGGGCCACCAGCGTCTGGCTCGCCTGCACCGCCTGGTCCGGCCATGTCGCCTTTTTCTTTGCTAAGAGATCTGCTGTTGCGATCTGTCGACCCGTCGGTAGAGGACATGACAATGTCGATTGTCTGTCAGTGCGCGTAGGCTGGGTTGACGATGAAAGGGGTCTTGTGGTTCAGAAGCACCTGAGGTATTTGGGTAAGACAAGACGGATGGGGGAGGATGGAGAGAAATCAAAACGTTGTGAGGTCGGTGCTTATAACCCATTTCGATCTTTGTCATATTTACCCTTTTCTTTTCCGCGTTGTCTCGTAAAAATCTGCTAGGGATGGACGTTTGGCAAGATCCGGGGAGGCAGAAATGGAGATCAGCCTTAGTCGGAGAGCCAGTTCAAAGTCCGCGGACTTTAACACAGGATCCGAGGCGGGCGTTGAGCGCCGGCCACCTGAGGATCGCCAAATCCGGCGAATTCTGCAGGATTCAAGCCCCCCAGTTGGGGAAATTTGTTCATTGGTCCAATTGCATGAGTGGCTTTTTCTTCGGAAGATGCGCACGTCACTCTCAGTCAGAGTCTCGCAACCCTTGGGCCTGTATGCAGATGAAGAGTCGAGCCCCGACCTTTTGCAGCGCTGCCCTCCGTGCCGTTGTGGCCTGAGGCAGCAACGCACCCTGACTCCGATTTCTCCTCGGAGCTGCATATTCCTTCCACGGGCATGAAGGATGACTCGTATGTGATTGTGTGATCGATCATGCAGCAAGAGGTGATCTATATAATCGTTTGCCACAGCCAGCTACTCAGCTGCTGATATATGCCCACCTGCGCATATCTTGTTGGGGGTATAGATTCTATCCAGCCGGAATTGTGGACTTGTGATCGAGGAAACATACTAGTATGTACTAGACTAGACATAGCGACTAGAAGATGGTTCAAAATAGATATCCTCTGTAACTGTGGAGCCAGAGAAGAATACTAGTATTGAGTACTCCGTAGGGAGTGCCTCCATAAGTACAGGACAGGACAGAATAGGAAAGTGGTCATTAGGTCATGTGACCGCAGCCTTGCAGCCAAATGATTCGGTGATTGCAATTTGGCTGCAGGAGTCGGTGTCCTTTTTCTCTGCTTACCCCTCGTCAGTCTTTGAAGAAGACAGACAAAAACGTCATTATCGCCAACATGACGGTTCAGAAGTCCTCCTCTTCGAACACGGTCGCAGACCAGCTCTCGGGGAATCCCAACCCTCCTCCTGCCCCAGCGACTCAGTCCCAGCCAAATCCCCCACCCAAGAAAGGGAAAGACAAGAAGATTTTCAGCTGTCACTCCTGCCGGCGCCGGAAGCTGAAATGCGATCGATTCGACCCGTGTGGTGCCTGCGAGGCTCGCGGAGAGGGGAATTCGTGTACTTGGGAGGAGGGTCAGAGACCAGAGTGCGTCGCTGCATGCACAGAGACACTCTCATGGAGTAACTGACTGGAAAATCGTAGACGAAACCACCGCGAAAGCCTCGAGCAACTACCGAAACTGATCCTCAAGTTGACGGAGGAAATCCAGCAACTCAAAACGTCAAATTCGGCCTTGATTGAGAACATCAAGAGTCGAGGCAAGGAGCTTGCGGGGGGTCTGGACTTGACTCCGCTCGATTCCAGACCCCAGTCCCACGATGGCTCGGACAATAATTCCGCACACTACATCGGCTGGGGTACATCGACCGATCGGATTATTTCTCCCAATTTATTAACGATGGTATACAGACTTCCTATGCCAAATCCCTGATCGCAAACAGTGGACACCATCGCGGCTGATCGCATTGTTACCGGAAAGCCAATTGTTGTGGGGCTTGATTTCACATTACGTGGGTCTCTGCTGGCTTGTTAACACCCTCTGTCTGACTCTTCACCATGGCTTAGATCTCCACATCTGCGTCGCTAACCGGCTTCATCGATGTGCAACGACTCATTGGCGATGTCGAGGAGGTTCAACAACTGCGACAAGGTCTGGACCTGGCGAGCTCATCTACAACGGTGGGACAGCTCGATATCAAGATTTCCATGATCTTAGCGTGCGCCAGTCTCGCGGTAGTGGACCTGACCCCAATGCAAGCGCAGGAGCTGGGACTGGCCAATACAGACATGGACGCTCTGGTTCGTGATTTGTGGAAGCGCTCGCGGACGTTGATCGCGTCCTCCGATCTCGATCCATTCCCTCCTGTCACAAAATGCATCCTTCCTGACGGCCGATCGCAAGCACCGGATACCAACAGTGGCCTTCTCCAACAAAACGGAATCCCTACCGCCGCTGCAGCAGATAATAACCCACTGCAGGTTGTTGCCATCAAACTTCTCCTCCTGCTCGCGGCGCGATCCTTTGCCGCCCCATCAGAGTACCTCAAATTGCACTTGGACGTCATATCTTCCGCCATCGATGCCTCGCTTGACTCTTCTTGCGACGACGGAATTCCTCTGATGGATCGGGAATGGCGCTGGCAATTGTGGTCCTTTATCTGTCTGCTAGATTGGACCTCACCGGGCATCTACCACAACAGCAGCTACTTCATGCGGCCAGAGATGCATCGCAATCCACCCTCCAAAGTTCCCGGCATCCCCGACGACGGCACCGCCCCCTCCGCCATCGAGCCCGAGCGGCGTGATCGCCTCGGCCAGACGAGACATTACCTGGAGTATGCATTAGCTCTGGCCCACCTATCCCGCCGCGCGGAGGACTGCATCATCCTGCCTGGGCCCGTCTCGCCCGCCCAAGCTGCCGAGCTCTGTACGGAGCTCGACGCCCTGGACAATAAACTGTCCTTTTACCAGTTACTCGGGGGTAGCATTCTTCCGGATGGTAGCGCTTTCAATCCCGGTGCTATGCCGGGGGATCGCACCACGTCCGGCACAGGGGACCACCTAGCCGCGCACAAGTACAAGTACAACAGCACGGAGCATCGACTGCTCTCGCTGGCACGCGCGCCCCTCATCCAGAACATGCACCTGAGCCTTGAGCTCGGCCTGATTCGATTTAAACTCTTCCGCCACGAGGCCTTCCATCTCATGCACGCACCGAGTACCTCCGGGGCCCTGCGCATGATGTGTCTGGACGCCTGCATGGACGCTTGTATTCTCGTTCTCGCGCAGTGCTGGAGCATCGGAAACCGCGACGTACCGGGAGTGGTCGAAGCGCAGGCGCAGCAGTCGCAAATGTACTTAAACCCCCCAAGCGAGTCCAAATCTCCCTGCACGGGAACTCTACGACGGGTGCTGCAGCCTGCATCGTCGGCGGCGTTGGTCGGTCAGGTACTATTACATGCTGCCCAGGGGACCGAGGTGATGGCAGGAACAGGACACGGGACCGGAAAGGGCAAGCAGTTCCAGAGCGATTTAGCAGGAGAGTCGAGGGGTAATTCTGCGACGGCGGAATTTTTCGCATTTCTGGAGGGAGGCGGCGGGGAGTTTGCGTCGAGTGCGAGTGGGGCAACTGCCATCTCGGCGGCGCAAGGGCCGTACACGGCAGCCACAGCGGGGGGTGGCGGCGGCGGCTCGTGGAGCGGGCGGATGAGCCGGGAAAAAGTCAAAGTCCTACAGTGGCATATCAACAAGGTCTTGACACTGCTGGAGGCACTGCAAGGGACCTCCTCGCTTGCGCGGTACAAGCTCAGTCTTTATCAGCAGTGCATGTAAGTCATGAGGGTACTCATGGGAGGATCTACTAGGAGTCATTGTTGTTTTTATTTTTTTTTTCTTATTTTTCGGTTTCATGAGATACTAGGTCAATCACACTAGAGACAGGGATTTTTCTTTTTCAGCATAGCAAAGCAGGATTCAGAACGAGGCAAGCATGTATCTAGTCGCATATGAATGATGATGAGATAAACAACAATAGGGAACAAAACATTTAGAGAAACCCGAGTAAGCGCTGACAAAGAAGCAAACAGAAAGCCAACAACTCTTATGTACACCTCCACCCGCATCCGGATCACTTGGAGTGCCTCTAAGCCGAAATCTCCACCGCCTGGGAAACAACCATGCTCCCCTTGACCTGCTGCTGCTGCTGCTCCTTGTCCTCCTTGGCGGCACGAGCCGCGGGCTTTGCGTCGGAGGCGCGGACCAGGGCCTTGACCTCGTCGACAGCGAGGGGAGGGTTCCAGGTGACGGCGGCCTCCTCCTCTGTGCGGGCAGCGCCGCAGGAGTAGCATTTGCGCCAGTCGGGGCGGCAGACGAGCCAGGCGCCGCAGTCCTTGCACTTGCGGGAGAACACATCCTTCCAGTCCTTCTTCTCGTCGTAGTTGAGGAAGAGGTCGTAGTAGCGGAGCAGGCCGTCCCAGCGGAAGTTGAAGCGGTTGGAGTCGACGGCGACGCGCTTGATGGCGTTGGAGAACTCGATGACCTCGCGGACGGTGGCGTCGGGGACGCTCTCGTCGATGGGGATGGGGCCGATCAGCTCGATCGCCTTGCGGGCGACGGCGTCGTACTCGGGGACCATGGAGCCCCAGGCCCAGTTGATGGAGTGCGGCACGTAGGTGTCGAAGTTGAGGTTGTAGTCCTGACGGATCAATTGCCAGCCGGGGATACCGATGCCGGCGAAGAACTGCCACAGGCAGGAGACCTGGGGGCCGAGGCGCGGGTCGCGGAAGCACACGTAGTTGAACTTGTTCATCTGGTTGAGGGCGGGGATGAGGCGCTTGGCGAAGTCGTCGTAGGGGGCGAGGGTCTTGCGGATGGTCAGCTCGGCGGCTTCGGGGTCGGTGTGGTGCTGCTGGCGGGCGGAGTCCAGGGCTTGATGGGTGAGTTCCGCGGCGTAGGTGGAGGTCGACATGGCGGCGGTGATACCGGGCGAGTGCAGGGGGTTGGTGAAGCCGCAGGCGTCACCGACGGCGAGCCAACCGGGGCCGGTGACGACGGGGGACTGGTAGGTGAGCGACTTGCGGATGTACCAGGTGGTGCCGGGCCCGTAGAGGTCCTCGATCAGCTCGAAGTTGCCCATGAACTTCTTGATGAGGTCGTACTTCTCCACGAAGTAGTTGAACTTGCGCTCCGCCTCGCGGGTGCCGTACTTGGACATGTCCTCGGGGTACTTGACGTCGTTGCGCACGGCGAAGCCGATGCTGGTGGTCCAGCGGAACTTGAGGTTGAACATCTTGGCCAGCTCCTCGGAGCTGGGGATCTCGTCGCCGGGCACGCCGGCCTCAGCGCAGTCCAGCAGGTAGGAGATCATGTCCATCAGGTTGGGGATCGGGCTGCCCTCCCAGCTGGGGAGGCGGATCACCCAGGCCCAGCCCTCGGGGAAGCACAGGTGGTTGGTGTGGTCGCCCTCGTAGAAGCGGAGGGGGATGTTGCTCTCGTCCTTGGGGGCGGTGAAGTAGCCCCAGAAGGCGTCGTAGTTCCAGCCCTCGAAGCGGTGCAGGGAAGCCTTCTTGGACGCCAGCTGGCGGAAGCGGCCGGTGGCGTCGACCAGGAGGGAGGAGTCGATGGTGGTCGCGGGCTTGCCGTCGAACTTGCCGGGGTTGATGGAGATCTTGTTGCCCTGGATCCCCCCCTGGATGGTGCTACCGTTGAAGTCCACCTGGCGGCCGTGGAAAACGTTGACGCCGTTGCGCTGGGCCAGCAGAGTGAAGAGCAGCTCGCTGATGGGGCGCTCGATCTGGAACCCACTGAGGAAGAGACCGGGGGTACCGTTGCTGCAGAAGTCGGAGTAGTTGCCCTGGTTCTCGCGGTCGAGGAAGTAGAAGCACAGCCCGTCCTTGAGACCAAACAGCCGCAGCATGTACTCGGCGGTCAGGCCGTGCATCTTGCACCACAGCGAGAACAGCGGGAGGGTGCTCTCGCCGATCTTGTAGCCGGGCTTGGTGCCCTTCTCGATCATGGAGATGCTGAGCTTGCCGGGCTTGTACTTGGCGGCATGAATGGCGTAGATCAGACCGTGAATACCACCACCAGCGACAACAACATCGGACTTCTCGGGGATGTCCTGTCCGGCAGGGTTGTTGGAGTTCAGGATCTGGGCATCGTTGAAGTTGTTGGCCGCAGCACGCTCAGTGAAGATGTGCTTGGGGGTAGGGGCGTTCTGAGTCATTTTGAGTAGATGGTAGAGGTTGAAGCTTGACTAAATCCGGAAAGATGCTTGAGACTCGAGATGGATTGAGGAGTTGTGATGCTGTTGTTGCTGTGTGATGATGAATGGTAAGTTGGAGTGTGTTTCCCAGGACTTTTATATTCGATTTCCATCAGCAATTGAGGCGATTGCAGCCAATGCCCCATTGCTGAATTCCATGGGAGTTGCATGATTGAAACTCCGCTGATGGTCCGCTGGAGGATTCCTCTGGAGAATCCGTCAGGAAGCGTTGAAAGGGAGTGAGCTTTCGCTGGGTGGGGAAGAACAAAGAGGGAACAACAAAGAGAAAGCCGCCGCATATACGCGGATTTCCTGCCGCCGCCTGTGGTTGACCGCCCGCGGAGCTCTCCCATTGGCCCCCATGATTGGCCCCATGATTGGCCCCATGCATTCTTCACCCAGCCTGACTCTCTTACAGTATCTGATCCGACACAACCTTTCCTGCAATACTGTGTGTCGGATTGAAAACACTCGGAGCTAAGCTAGGATGTTCTGTTCCCTGGATTCCGGTCGTTCTGCAGTGTAGTGTTCTACACCTGTTGCCCCACTTCTCCCCATGGATGAAGAAGTGATCGCTACCACTGAAGATACTTACCACAGCACAACACAGGGGTGTACATGCAGTACACAGCAGTACACAGTCATGCATCTATCTCGCACAAATGATCCAGCTTCTTATCGAGAGATAAGAGCATCGAGGATTCCGTGGAGCAGTGTCCGTCTATCTCCAGCAGAACAGAGAGAAGACGTATAAACCCCTCGACGAAGAGGCCCCATCGAGCACCAACCGCCACGAACCTCACTACACCCACCATCATCATCCTCATCACAGTCACTATGTTGGCCACACCCACAACTATCGGTCGAGGACCGGAAATGTCAGTTTGTCATTGTGCTTCCAGACACACATTGGAAACGGTATCTTGCATACTAACCAGTCAGGAACCCCCACATTCGGCCTCGCCTTCTCGCCGACAGCGTGGTGCCCGTTCCTTCGTCCCCCCTCAAAGACAGCAATGTCGCCGCCTATGAGCCCCTGGTCTCGCCTGCCCTGCTAATCCACGAGTTACCCACCACGTTGGCCTCGCGACGCACGATCGAGTCTGCGCGCCAGGGAGCCGCGCAGATCATCCAGCGAACCGGCGATGACCGGTTGTTGGTCATTGTGGGCCCTTGCTCGATCCACGATACTGAAGTAGCGCGCGACTACGCGGTCCGGCTGCAGGCAGCCATTCAGGAGCATGGGTGGGACCAGGATCTGCTGATCGTCATGCGGGCTTATCTGGAAAAGCCGCGGACCACCGTGGGCTGGAAAGGATTCCTCTACGATCCGACCATTGACTCCACCAACCAAGTCAACCGGGGTTTGAAGGTCCGTGCTTAGTTTCCCGATCGGTCAGAGAACCACTGCTGATGTCCAGCCTGGCAGATTGCGCGCCAATTGCTGCTCGACATCACGGCGCTCGGGCTTCCCGTGGCCTGCGAGGTGCTCGACACCATCTCGCCGCAGTTCCTGGCCGATCTGTACTCGTGGGGGGCCGTTGGGGCTCGCACCACCGAGTCGCAGGTCCACCGGCAGTTGGTCTCGGGCCTGTCGTTTCCCATTGGGTTCAAGAATGCATCCTCCGGGAAGATTAACGTTGCTCTAGATGGGATGCAGAGTGCCGCCTCGCCCCACTCGTTCCTGGGTCTGCAACCCCCAAAAGTCCGTGGAGATGTGCGTGCCTTAGTGCTGACGAGTCTGTCGATTTATAGGTGTTACCGAACAAGGCCTTGCAGCTATCGTCCACACGAAGGGAAACCCTCATCTCCACGTCATCCACCGTGGTGGTGAGAGTGGGCCCAACTTCGACGCTGCTTCGGTGGCCTCCACCGTCAAGGCGTACCCCAAGGATCTGCGGCCGAGCATCATGATTGATGCCTCCCACGGCAACAGTCAGAAGGACTACCGCAACCAGCCTAAGGTGATCGATGTGGTTGCCGAACAGATCGCAGCGGGCGAGCAGGCTATCACTGGCGTCATGATCGAGAGCAACATCAACGAGGGCAAGCAGGCTGCGCCAGATTCCGAGGAGGAGGTGCAGAAGCTCAAGTACGGTGTCTCCATCACGGACGGATGCGTGAATTTCGAGACTACGGTGCAGATGCTGCAGACGCTTAGCCAGGTACGTTGAGCCGGATTCTTTGTGGCAATCTATGCTAACTCTATCTAAGGCTGTCAAGCAGCGCCGGGCCCTGGCCTAGAGATGAATGAGTAGGACTGGGGAATTTTCGTTACAGGTGTTTTGTGCTTCAGCTAGATAGTATGTTTATTGATCATGTGAAAAGTAAATTTACAACATAGAGTTCTTTGGACATTCTGTATCATGCTTTTCAATACTAACAATACGTTTATCCTCTTAGTAGTTGTAGTTGACATTGTGCTTGTTACAAGTACTACCCATCGGCTGCTGTTCCGTGTACTAGTATACCAAGCCTTATACACTTGAAGATATATTTTCATTGCCGTCGCATTGTGCATAGCGCATGACACGGCCGTAAATCTGTACTACCCCAATATGAAGCACGCCCACGAGAAGCTTCGGAGATGAATTCTGGTAATTAACACTTGAACTCAACCTCCGACTTCGAATATGTTGTTGTTGCAGAGCCCATGGAGACTGGGAGTTTCGGAAAGCCGGAGTTTCGGAGTTTCGGAGGGAAAAGGAACAGGGCTTTCGTCCGCGGAGCCATCGAGGATCTCCCATCAACAAACTACTCTTCATCGATCCTGAAGGCTAAGAAGTCTTAGCATGTTTTAGTCGCCTCTGGATCGTCTGAAATCTCGTGTCTATTGGCTGCAGGCAAAGCTCCGGTCCCCCGCTCCCCTGGCACTCCCATCGGCTTCCCTGGGGCTCGGAAGGATGACAGCCTCCCTCGCTCCGGGCGTGGCATGTTGGGAATTCCTTGTCCTGAAGTTCTGGATAGAGCACCTCTGCTACGACACCGTATGGCCTCAAAAGATATAAAGGCAGCGATTGGAAGGGGGGTCAATTCATTCTCATCAACAGCAATCACTCACCACAAGCAAATGAGCTTCACTCCTCTCCTCCGCAACGCACTCCGGTTCCAGTCTCGTTTTACGTCTGCACGACTTCAACAACGCACTTTCTCCTCCTCTATCTTCGCAATGGCTCCCTTCACTCTGTACACCCACGCCGGTAAGCACTTTCTTACCCGGCTGCTGAGGAGTTGCGTTTCTGATGACAGCAGGTCCCGGCCCCAACCCCGTCAAGGTCGCCATGGCCCTCGAACACCTCGGCCTGGAGTATGACTGCGTTCCTCTCGGCTTTGGTGAGGGCAAGGGCACCGTCAAGGACCCCGAATACACCTCCAAGGTCAACCCCAACGGTCGAGTTCCGGGCCTGATCGACCACAAGAACAACGACTTCACCGTCTGGGAAAGTGCTGCTATCCTCCGCTACCTTGCTGAGAAGGTACCGTCACCCTGATCCCTCCTTTTCTCTCACCCGCCCTGTCTCGTCCTCCGGAAAAGCAAGACCGGCTAACCGTATTCCCCCAACTAGTACGACGCCAGCGGCAGCCTCGCCGGTAACACCGTCGAAGAGCGCGCCGACGTCAACAAGTGGCTCGCATGGCAGGTGTCCGGCCTGGGCCCCTACCAGGGCCAGCTGGTCTGGTTCCTTGCCTTCCACGAGGGCGCCCACGGCGAGAAGCCCAACCAGTCGGTCATTGCCCGCTACCAGGCCGAGGTTGAGCGCCTGCGGGCCGTGCTGGAGAAGCACCTTGCCTCCGCGGAGAACGGCTTCGTCGCGCTGGGCCGCTTGACCATTGCGGACTTTGCCATCCTGCCATGGTTGAAGATCTCGGTGCTCGCTGGCCCCGCTCTCAAGCCCTTCGATGAGTACCCGGCCATCAACGCCTACATCAAGAAGTTGGAAGCTCTGCCTGAGGTGCAGGCTGCTTACAAGAAGGCTGTGCCTCCTATGTAAGAGGTGAGGAGTCAAGTGATATGATGCAAGCTAGTAGAAGATATGTATATAGAGTTGCAATGCTAGCAGTTTCCTGGACAATCTCTCTGCAGCGTCTGAGTTTATTTAAGTACCGCTGGTCTTACTGAGACCGGAAGCTTCCCTAGACTAAGATTTATCTCTACTCAGCTGAGTGAGCTGAGTGCCTTACCGCTGACTATATAAAGTATCGTGAATGGGGACCTGATGCACTGCACGAGCCCCGCCCCGTATTCCGCCGCCAAAGCAAGACCGGCAGGTCACGTACCCAACACTGCCCTACTGTAGATTCAGCTTCACTTCAACTCGTCATCATCTGCCTCCCTTCATCCCTGACCCAAGACGTAGAGACTGATGTATCTACGTTGCCCTACCTCTACAAACCATGAATGATTCCACATCATCTACAGGACTACCCTAGATTCTTTTAGCCAGACTCATCTACCCACCTTGACCCATGCTCTGACCAACTCACAACTGTCCACTCATATACTTTACGAAGTACACTAACCACTCCTATTCTCTGCCTCACGTCCCAATCTCAACTACAGATTCCCCCCAGTCCCCAAAAAACCAAGCCCTCCTTCTGAGCCACACAAGTAAACCCACTAAGCCCAACCAGACCCGCTAGCCCAAGCCAGCAGACCTGCTCGGTTCCAAATTCAGGGGCGCAGGACAATCACGGCCCTTTTATTGAACTCTGTTCTCGCAGAGAAGACGGAGACCGCGGACGACAATGCCATCTCGTAGCCAATCCAGATGCATACAAGGGTCATCAAGGTGATCCTCCGCGCGTTTACAGGCCTAGTTGCCACGCTCTGGGCGTCGATTACGTCCTCTTTCGGTCGCCATTGTCCTGATACTAGGTAATTACTTTGCTGATGGTGATTGCTATTGTCCTGCTCTTCACAGCCCCGAAAGGCCGCACCAGCTTACCTGTTCTGCGTGCTGGATGATCCCGGTTAGCGGGTCGGATGCCTAAATTTGACCTCTCCCCCCTGCACGTACACGTGCAGTGACCCCCTGTAAGAGGCGAAAGACGTGCTAGACACCTGCCAACCTATCCGCGGAGGACGGATACCGTGGGAGAAACGGGAGGTCCTAGGGTTGATTCCCTTGGTAGTGTGGCGGGGAGACGTAGAGTACATAGGCAGGCGAGAGCAGCTGTGGTCGTTGCATCCAGAACCCTTGAAAGACAGGAGAATTCCCCAACAATCAAAGCTAAAGCTCTGTATCAAACGCAACAGTCTCAACAGATCACAGTCTCACGATCACTGCGATATATCCCTTGCTGGTTGCTCAGACTGGTAGATAGCCAGTATTGTATTTGCTTGTTGTTGTTGTTGTTGCTGCTTCTCTCTCTCTCTCTCTCTCTCTCTCCACTCTACCCCCCTCCATTACACCCAAAATGCTCTCCAACACCATCACCATTGTCCCCGTGGGCGAACCCACTGCCCATGTCGACGTCGTCATGGAACCCCTCAAGGCCTTTGACGCCCCGACCACCACAACCACTACCCCCACTACCATCACCACTCGCGGCGTGAGCTTCCCCGCGACGACGCTGAACCCCCTTGACACGATGGCGTGGACCCGGAAGCAGGCTGCTAGTGAAGCATTGGTGGAACGGATTTCCGAGATCATCGCCTCGTACCGCATCAGCGGACCCGAGGACCATTACGAGACGGTATACCGGCCGCAGCTGCTGTCGACGCTGCGGTATTTCGTGTCTCGCCAGGAGGCGATCAACATGGTGGTGCCCGCCTACCCCTTCAAAAGCCCTAACCGCGAGGAGAAGGTGCTGGGGCCGGACCCGGACGTCGGGGAGCGCATGTCCCTCGAACACTTCAACTCGATCGGGGCGCGCATCAGCCAGATCTACCCGCCGGGAGGCTACGTGACGATTGTCAGCGACGGGTGCTGCTACAACGACCTGCTGGGGGTGTCGGATGAGGAGGTGTTCCGGTACGCGGAGGGATTGCACCGCATCGTGGATCGACTGGGGCTGAAGCACCTCCGGTTCTCGGATCCGTTTGACCTGATCGAGGGGAAGCACAACGTCCCCGTCACCGAGGAAGAATATGCCAGCCGCATCGGCGAGCTCAAGGACCGGTTGTTCACCACGTATATGCCGGCCGGGTATGACTTCGACGAGTCGTTGAAGCACGACCCCAACGCGACGCTCACGTATCGGGGCTATATTCGGTTCCTGATGTCGGATCTGGCCATGTTCTTCAAGGAGAAGCAGATGAGCAAGTCCGCCATCAAGAAACACTGCGCCAGCGTCGCCCGCCGCATGATCGAGCGCGGCAAGGTCTTCTCCGCCCTGGTGGCCTCCGCCTCGCCGCTGCACGTCCGCCTCTCCATCCACGCCAGCGACAACACCTCCAAGCTCTCCGTCACCCTGCTGCCACAGGAACGATACTCGGCCTTCCCCGTCACCCCCTGGCACAACACCCCGTACTTGGACACGGAGAGCGTCTCCCTCAGTCTCTCCCGCAAGCCCGCCGGTCCCGCCGTCTCCTACCGCCTCTGCACCGACAACCTCGGCCTCGCCTTCCTCTGCGCCGACGCCCCCCTGTACCAAGTCATCGACACCAGCCGCGAGAAGACCCCGCAACTCCTCCAGCTCACCCCCCTCTACCCCTTCGGCCTCCAGATCAAGGTCCCCCACGACACCCCGCTCAGCGACTTCCGCCTCGACAACGTCGCCGCGCTCGCTCGCGTCCACTCCCCCATCATCTTCGAAGGGCTGGACCCGATGCAATATACCGCGGCGATTGCCGACGACTTCCACCGCGTCGCCGGCAGCAAGCTGTCGCTGAGCATCTTGCACGAGGGGATTGCATCCACCACCGCCACCACCACCCAGCAACGCCGCGCGCGCTCGTATCTACCGGACGCTGCCGCGGTCACGTCGTATTTCGTGGCGGTGCCGGCCCGCAATGCCGACGACCCGCTGGCCTTCCTCGAGGCGGCGACCGCGCTGGATGATGTGCGGTCGCGCGTGCTGCATCGCTGGCAGGCGGGACATGCGGTGGTCGCGGATCATCGGGTGGCGTTGCCGGTGCATTTGAGTCCGTCGAGTTTGAGGGTTCTCCGGGGTTGAAAAAATGGTGTCAAGTGCATGGCATGAGGGGAAGAGGCAGTTTACCGTATAGGGATGGAAGATTGTTGAAAGTATGAACCACACTCTTGGTTGTTCTTGTAGTGACAATATTTATTCAGTCATTTATTTGTGTTTTGTTAGTTAGTGGTTCGATGTGGTTTTAATTTGCTCTGCACCAAGTACATAGATTCGTCTACAGCTAGAAAATGTGAGATGGAATTCATTTGAATTGAAGAATCTTGGCACTACTTCACTATACACAGCGTCACAGTATGCTCCGTCCGACGAACCACCCCCTCACTCACTGACTGCACAATCAACTCCGGGGGAACAAGTCGACCGAGAAACCACGGTGTCTACAGTACAGCCAAGTCAACCAAGGAACTAAACTCAAGCATCAGCACAGCTACATCCGAGTCGAACAACCGACCTCAAATCTCCGACGTGAGTCAACTTCACCACCACAGATCTCAATCTCCGATAATACACACCTACAGCAAGCACACCTCCCCAGCCCCAAACAGCAGTCCCAGGGTACAGTCCAGTATAGTACAGTAGTTCCAGGGTTCGCCCCGGATAGCCCGTGGCCCCGAACCCCAGCCCTAAACTCCGCGGGGTGGAGGGAGGGGGCGGGTACTCGACTCCGTTCCGCGTTCGGGCTTTAACCTGACACTTTGACATACTGTAAGTACAGTAGGCTGTTAGAGCGAGAATCTCTGCGGAGATAACGCCGAGCGGAATCCGGGATCTTTCTCGGAAAAGAAAAAAAAAAGAAAAAAGAAAAAAACAGGATTTGGACCCTGAAAAAAGCAAAAAAAAAAAAAAAAAAAAAGGATGGTTGACGAAAGGCTAATTGTCAAGGATCGTCGCTAAGTTTGAGGATTCTACTAGCATATAACCTAGTATTGTACCTACGGGGACCATATCCCGGAAGAAGGGAATGATCTCTAGGCCGGGGAGGGGCTAGACTGCTGGTTTCTGCTTTCGGTGGCGGAATCCTGATGCTGAGGGGTTCTTCGTCACGGGGCACTGACACCCTTTGTGGCTCTGGCTGTTGTGGATTCACTTGTTGTAGGTTTGGGGGCCGGACCGGGAGGGAGGGAGGGAGGGAGGGAGGGAAGGAGGAGGGGGGGGGGGATGTGGAACGGAGGTTAGTTATGGCCCGGGTTATTCTAGTAGTAGTTACTACTGTAAGTTAGTCCTTATCTTGTACTACATATAGTATAGATAGCACCGCACTAACTATAGTATATTACTTCGTACATATGTACTAGTACGTACTAGTGGCATGGGACGAGGCTAACCACGAGTACAGTCAATGCTGGATAAATAAAGAATACATCATGCTAAGGACATACTCGGAGATTTCGTCGCATGTATACTACCGGAGGTGTCGAGGCGCGTTCGTGCTGGGATGCCTTCACCTTGCCATCTATACACGCATGTACGATCCACATGCCGATTGATCCGAGCCGCACCAGAGCTAGACTCAGAGCATGGCTCTAGACGAGGTGCAGATGCAAGTATGTACCGATTAGGGAGTTAGGCGATGTCTAGTACTACTATTGGCGTTAGTTTGGCCTCATCTTCCTTGCTACTTGGTCTTGATTTCTCATAGTCCGGCATTGTATAGTTTAGCTTTCATAAGTATTCGTAATTCATTCCCTTGCGTTATTGAGTTAGGTACAGTCTATTATATCTAAGTCATCAGGTTAGTACAGGATGATGTATGTACACAGCACCAATTATCAAGTCAACTACTATCTTCCCCCCGGATCAGGGCTAGAGCAGTACACCAACAGGGGCAGTCTGGCTACCGGCACCGCCCCTAGGATGAATATACCCTCTGCTTCTTCGTCGCCCCCTCCCACCCCGTTCCTTCCGCGGAGATTTCTCCGGGGTAAACGTCCAGACTCAACCCCCGTTTGCTCGTCGTCGGACTCCCGCCGGCCACGCCCACCGCCACGGGCACCGCCAGAGCATCCTCGCCACCACCGCCCAGTCGATCATTGAACGCAAACGCGTGCTGCTCGTCTAGCCAGGTCAGCAAGCCCGCATCTAACTCGGCCGGGTCAAACGGACCACCACCACCACCCTGATCCATCATCATCATCATCTCCTCGTCGTGCATCGGGACGCCCTCTGCCGGGAACCCCGTGGGCAGGAACCCGTCGGCCGATAGATCCGGGAATTGCTGGCTCAGCGCGTCTATCTCCGCGTCTGTGAGGGGCGCCGCCAGCGGGGACAAGAAGGGGGTGGCCGCGCTGGAGATCATGGATGGCGGGCCCGTGGTGGCTGTAGTGGCGGTGGAGAATGCAGAGGTGGTGTTGAAGAAGGCGCTGGGCATGATCGTACCGTTGCTGTCTTGCGAGGAGCCGTGCATCGGTGGCTCCGAGGGGGAACGCCCCAGGCCGGGATTGTAGCAATATTGCTGCTGCTGCTGCTGCGGGCCTACTGTGCCGCTCGCTGCCGCTGCGGCGGCGGCGGATGCATCCCCGAGGGCCGACCCACCCTGCCGCTGCTGCTGGCGGTCATTGAGCCAGGCCACCCACGAGGAATCCAAGTGTCGACTGGTGGGGACGGGGGTGGCGCCGCCGTGGTAGTACTGCTGCTTACTGCTGCGGCTGCAGCTGTTCTGCCGCTGGTGGTACTGGTGCTGGTGCTGGTGCTGGTGCGCGTCCTCGGCCGCAGACAGTAAAGCAAAGTAGCTGGTGGCGCTGCTCCGCGAGCGCACTCGGCCACCGCCGCTATTATTGAGATTTGAGCACGCCATCGGCTGCGAGGCGGTCGATAACGAGGAGGGCGATAGCGCACCGCTGGACAAGGAGGCCGGGTTGTTGCGTCGGGTGAGGGCGAGCCACTGCACCCAACGGGCATCCGGATCCCTCCCCATGGGTGTGCTCGATCCACTGCTGCGGGTGCACTGCATGATTGCTTTTGGCGTGTTGTGGTGCCAAACCTCAGCAAGAACCACCTGGAAAAGGTTATGCTCAGCTCGTGGGGTTTTGTGGTCTGCAGAAATCTATCTCCAAGGAGCAAGGATGTGCACCGGAGGCTTGAGCGCGGAGTAGTTTTGCTTGTGTCACGCAGATAGTTTGATGTATAATGGGAATAATAGTGGTAATTTCGATGATCGATTCGTTCCAAGACAGCTTGTATCACTACGGTGCATCTCTTGGCCTGGGCAAGCCAGGCGAAGCATCGCCATTTATACACCAAGTCTTGATCGACCGCTTGGCGAATTCTGGGGGTTTTTTTTTTCTTTTTTTATTTTTACTTATCAGGTGAAACCAAGTTGAAGACAGACCTCACGTTTCTAGTGCGGCTCCATCCATCCATCGGGGCGTCCGTTGGGGTTGAGGTGAGAGTCGTTTGACTTGTGGGAAGGATGAAGGATGAAGGACGAAGGATTGCCTCGCATTGTTCGGCTGCAGCCACCATAGCATGCCTGGCTGATATTGCTAATAGAGGCCAGGAGTTTCGACGTGGGTGGCAATGCGAGGAAGGCCGGTGGTTCAGGGACAGAGGAGGTGCAGCAGAGGAGGGAGTCGTGATAGAAGAGGCCCGCTGACGAGGCTAGTCCCCGTTGTCTTCAGTGCACGGAGGATCAGGGGATCAGCACCAATCAGTCACCGGGGGAGGATCCAATTCTAGTGGAGCCTCCATTGACTTCCGGAGTACTTCATTGGTGGTACTACCTATTTATCTGAGTCTCTATGGATGTCGTACTAGTTCGTACCCGGTCAGTGCAGCAGCCGTAGTTTAGTTGGATCCCCCCTCCCCTCCATTTCACCACACCTGTGGTTTCAGACAAGGCATTCCACTTGGAAGTCAGGCCATCCATCCTTAACCGATCAATTGCTCCACAGCGCGCTTCAGACCACGTGTAGACCAATGATCAGCAAGGATACCTCTCCGGCCCGTGTAGACTACCTAGCAGGGAAGTCTGTGTTGTGGCCACAGAAGTGAGCAGGCCAGCTAGTTCGTATCCACTTCTCTGCAGCAGGCCAGCTAGTAGTTCGTATCCACTTCTCTGCAGCAGCAGATTACTCATATCCATGCTGCGTAATGTAGCCTCCATCTCATCTCATCTTATCATCCTAACGAGAGAAGTGAGTTAGGGGACATCGTATTTGAGACACTCTCGAGCCGCCCAAATATAGCCCGCATATATATTGTGTGTGGTACATTGGTTGCAAATGATCTCACCCTCGTTTCTGCATGATGAAGGCCACCCTGTCAGCTCATCTCAGAAACAAACACCAACGAAGAAAACCACAGTATGCACGCCATAATTCGACGTTCTTCTGCGCATGATTAGTCCTCACAGAATACGGGAGAGAAATCCTGCAGGAATCCTTGATACAGACCAAGAGCAAAAGAGGGCGGGGATTGCCGCTGGACTAATTAACGGGATAAGCAAGCCACAAATGTCACTGTCCGTCTATCACGACGTAATCCAGAGAAGGGAATATCGTCCCTACTCATCCCTTTGTCTTAGTCTCTGGGACTAAAATTGGCGCTACAGGAACAAGAGCCCGAGGGGATAAGGGATGTCGGAATGGAGCCACGGATACCCCGAAGTTCCACGGAGTTTCGGAGCAAGAAATGATTGACTGACTCTCTCTTTCAGGGAATCCGCGCCGTCGGGTCACGTCCTCGTCTTTGTTTCTATGTTATTCTCTTTCTTCTCTGCGGAGTGAGATTTCCCTCTTCTCCGTCCGAGAGGAAATTCCTCACTGGCTGATCGTTTGGTTTCTGCCTGCTTCCTCCGGGGTGCATCAGACGAAAGGGCTCTGAAACGAACGAAGAGCCCCATCAAATAACTAGTACAAATACCCAAGAATCGATCCCAAGACTCCGGCGAATCAATCTGATTGTGAGACTTTATTGTCCTCGTTTTCTTCAGCTTCACCGCGTAACCTGCCCGGCCCTTCAACAACAACAATTAATTTCCATTGAAGCGCACGCACCTCCTTCAGCTATCTCACATTTTTAAACCTACCCAACCGCCAAGGATCCAACCCTAAGCCTTACACTGCTCTCAACCAACACCCAAAGCCCAAACCCCCCAAGCCACAAAAGCGCCCTCCCCCCCAAAAAATACCCAAAGGGAAAATCAACATGCCAACCCAACACCGCATCCTCGCCCTCGTTTTCCACGAGTTCGAGACCCTCGACCTCTTCGGGCCCCTGGGCGCTATTGTCCCGCGCAGCGACTACTACACACTCGAGCTGGTCAGCCTCCACAACCTCGATTCGCCCAAGGGGCTCGAGACCTCCCTGAAGAACAGCATCGGGGTGCTGCCCACGCTGACGCTCGCCGAGGCGCTCGACGAGGCCCACGAGTTCGATACCTTGTTCATCCCCGGGGGGTTCGGCATGATGCCGCTAGTCTGGGACCCGATGCTGCTGCAGCGGATTGGGCAGCTGGTGGATCGCGCGGCGAATGTGTTCACCGTGTGCACGGGGGGGATCCTGCTCGCGGCGACGGGGAAGTTGGATGGGCGGAAAGCGACGACGAATAAGCGGTTGTATGATGAGTTGACTCCGAAATGTAAGCCACTTTTTTTTCTCAACCAAACAGAAAGGGGAACGAAAACAAAAAAAAAAAGGGGGGGGGGGTCAACAACTTTCAAAGGGAGGCTTGCTAACAAACAACAAAATATTTTCGGACAGATCCCGGCGTGCAATGGCAAAAACGCGCCCGCTGGGTGCAGGACGGCAAATTCTTGACCTCCTCCGGAGTTACCGCGGGGATTGATGCCGGCTTTGCTTTCCTGGCTAACACCTACGTCGCCCCGGAGGACCGTAAGGCGAATCCTGCTCCCCAGAAGGCGTCGGCAGCCGGCGACGAGACCCCGATCCCCGGCTTCAATAAGGAAAAGGCGCTGGGTTTTGCCCACTTCACGGCCTTTGGGCTGGAGTACCGCTGGCACGAGGATCCCGCTGATGATCCGTTCGTGGACTTGCCGGGGGCCAGCGGTGGGGATTCGAAGCTTTAAGACTAGTTAGTTAGGTTTCAAAATACGTTTTATGCCGGTATTTTGTGTGTCTTAGATTCCAAGTCAGATTGATCGGTTGATATTGCTAGTATGCTAGTGAATTATAAGTAAGGTGTAGTCTAGTTTTGTTTCAAGCAGTACTAATTGCCCTCATAATCGTAGAAAGGTAGGAGACGGGTGGATAACAAAACAACGGGGGCTCAGAAGGGATCATAGGCTAGAGAGTGCTTTAACTGGGACATGGTATTTCCACAACTCAACAAACCCCGAAGTACCGCTACAGAGGGGCCATGGTGCCATCACCCATCGCATAATAGAACTTGGCGGCGACATAGGCATCCGCGCTAGACGGCGTCGTGGCGGAATCGCTCCCTCCGCCCAGTCCGACAGGCTCACTCTGCAGGGACGATGGAGAGGTCTGGGTCATGCGGGTACCCGGCGTGCTACTATACGAGTCGGCAAACTGCGAAGTGGCCAGACCGAGAGACCCAGGCATCTCCCCCAGTGTTCCGAAGGCAAGATCCTTGGGCTGCGAGTCAAAGGGCGGCGGGGGGAAGTCCAGAAATTGCCAAAAGTTGCTGGGACTGAGATTACTGGACAGAATCGGCAGAACGTCCAGATCAGGCAGCCCGTCAGCGACATTGGCAAACGGGATCGACACATCAAACGGCGAAAAGGGGTCAAATTGGAACTGGGGCTCCGGCACGGGTGCACCGGCTGGCTGGGCTGGGTCAGCCCGCCCGCTTAGGGCCCGGAGGATATCGGTCACCCTGGTTCTTAGCGCGCCTTTAGCGCCCAAGGCTTCTCCGGCACGGTTCCCCGCGGCCCCATTCTGATCCGGGTCGATTTCTTCTTCCAGTTTCATCAAGGCTTCAAGTGCCACGACGCTGCGCTGTGCAGGTCCCTTGACTTGCTCCAAGTGTAGATCATGAAGCGAGGATCCTTCCGTGATGCTTTTCGTCCGTAGCAATTCGATCGCTTCCCGGATCTTGTCGCGAGTCATTAGTCTGCTGAGATGCGCACTGGCGCTATCCGTCTCCCCTTGCTTGGACGCAAAGAGCAGGTCCAGAATCAGCACCACGGCCGCGTTGAAAAGTTGAGTTTCGCTGGTCGACAGCGTACCGCAGACGGCACATCGGGCCTGAATCTGCGCCTGGTTCCCGATGATATTCTGAGCCAGAAGCTGACAGAATGCACGGCCCACTGGGGATGAGAGATTCGGTCGGTGCAGTCGAAGCAGCAAGCTCCAAAGTTGCTGGTGCAGCATCCAGCGTTGCACGGGGATTGCGGCCATGGGTCCCGTCGCGGTGAGTCCGACCGTGCTTCCCAACCGGAAATACGTCGGCAGCCCCGCCACGTACTTTTCGTACTTGTTGTTGAGATGTTTGCGCAGCTTGGCAGACTCTGCAGTCGCGTCGGGCTGATCCGGGGAGGCGGAAAGATCGATGGATTCACGGACAATACCGCCAATTTCGAGGGCGTGGACAGTGTACGACATCATGGTGAACTCGGAACGAGGCCGCTCCGCGATTTCTCCATGCACACTCACCCTCCACGTAGACAGACACAGATCATCATCATTGACATGTAACGGCATGCGAGTGTTGAATTGTGATGGATGAATGGTGTAGTAGCCGAGCGCTTGTCCACGCGACCAGTCTCTCTGTACAAGTGCCCACCTAGACGGGATTGTTAGAAGTGAAATCAAACTCATGGTGCTAGATACCCTACCAGATGCGAATGCCTATTTCCGTCCGAATGTGTAAAGGTTCCGCTGGGGGTGTGGTACCATTTCCCAGCGGTCCCAGGTGCGATGCAGAGGCGTCTAATTTGATGTCTCCCAGCCGGTGCAGACCGAGTTTGCGGGCCCCCGAGATCGCAGTGACCAGAATAGCGTCCAGCGCCAACGAGCCCTCCTGGCCGTCAAGCAAAAGCATAACTGCAGCCTGCAACCCAGCGATCGAGCCACAGAAGATAGACACTCCGTCTTGGAGACAACGCAAGCCTAGAGACCGCCATGTCTTGGAGCGCATATCGGACGTTCGTAGCTCTTCCACGCCTAGGGTCAAGGAGGTGGGAGCCCATCCAAGTAGAGACGGTGTGGGATGAAATGCGAGGCCAAGTACGAGCTTAAACCGACATATTCAAGTAAGCAAGAAATCTAATCACGTCTCTGGGTCTGGTATCCTCCGCTTACCGCTAAGAGGAAGCAGCCAAGTGTCTCCATAGTAAATGTGCTCGATATCGCCAACACCCGCGAGTCCGGTGATGCAAGACTCAAGCAATTCCCAAACTGCTCGGCTTGCTTGGTAAATGTCGGGGTATGAACCACATTTCCCACGGGACCCTGGCAACGGGTGACGAAAACCTCGAAAAGATGATGAACCATCTCTAGCCCCGGCAGCGCATCGACGATCTCTCGGATCAAGGCCAGTTTCTCGCCGTGTCGCTTGGGGTCCGTATTCGACCAATAACGATTCGAAAAGTCGGGCGCAACTGACGAGGAGGCTGGTCCGACCGGCGGAAAGGCATTCGGACGGGGAACTCCTTCGACAAAATGCTCCAGAAGTTGGGCAGTCTCCTCTGCTTCGGCTTCACCATCTCCATTCGGGGTCGGGTCACTGATAAGATAAGAAGCATCAGTTGAACCGAGTGAATCATGAAAGCGATGACCGGATCACACTCACTGCTTGGAGGCTGTCTTGTCCTTGTGCTCCGTCTTGGATCGTTTGGCTCTCGGTTGACGCTCGTCTTTGGTGCAAAGATGGCCGATGTTGCGCTTGACGCACTCGACCTATCAGTTAGAAAGAATATGAGCCTCGAGCGTCGCAGCGGGGAACGTTCGGGGAGGAGCTGGCACTGACGCAGGGTTCTTTGCGGTCGCATTTTAGCTTTGAGGCCCTGCAGCGAGAGCAGGACAGCGTATACTTGCGTACACCAGCGTCCGAGCCCGCGGGGGTCTTGCTGCGGTTCGCATCAACCATTATTACTATTGTTGGTGATGGTTGGATGGAAACAGGACATGGTTTAGATCAGGAACAAAAAAATGGGTGGGCGCAGATTGTCCTTTGCTGTAAGTTAGTCGCCAGCTGACGCGATGATCATTCCTGAAAGCTGGTAGGCAAAGGCAGGATCAGGAGCCCCACTTGAGTGGCATCTGGACTGGTGGCCTGTTCGTATTCACCATGCAAAACGGAATAATCCACTTTTGATACCCATCATCCCTTCTGACTGTGAGGAGTGAGCGCTAGAGCAATAGTAGTGGGTTGGGTAACATTAGAGTAAATTGACTTACTCTGGGCTGTCGGAAAAGCCGACGATATGAGTTGCCAGTTGACGGTGCGGGGTGAACCGCCAATTCCACTTACTACGATGTACTAACTACTTACTAAAGTTAACTAAGTTACTTACAGTACTCCGTAAGGGAGTGGGTCAACCAATTCCATCTGGGATCATCCACGCTTCTTTCACACAAGCCTCTCTTGGACGAGCTTGATGTCGCTTCGGAGCCAATTCGGAGCCAATTCGGAGCCGATTCGCAGCCCGTGTCCAAGATGATAGATCTCTATAAGATACTGTACTAAGATATTGCTATACTATATAGCCAGCGCTAACCCGGAGAGAAGAAAAGAAAAAGGAACGGCGAGGATAGCGCACAGATGTGGAGAAAAGGTGGCGGTAGCCCCTCCCGAGTAAGGTCGTGGCCGCAAAGGGGCCAATTCGAGCCAGTAGGAAGCATCAGATTTGAACTTAATCCAGGTGAAGCAGAGAGAAAGGCATAGTATCCATCTGACTCAGAGTAATAACGTCAATGCAGCCGCAACGGTTTCCTAGGTTTGCTTTTTCTTTCTCGCTTGCCGACCATCGATGGTGGAAAGAGACTGCGGACAATAAATGCACGGTTAGCCGCGGTGCTTTAGGTCCACCGGTGCTTGAAAGGAATGAAGGAATGCGATCCCTGCCTGCAGGAATCAGTATTGCAAATGATAAAGCCCGAAAGAGCCACCAATATGCCTTAAGGTTGTATGGCTTCGTGGCCAGATCACCATTCATGGAATCGCGCACCCACGCCACTTATGCAACGACCGGCACAAAGGGGGAATCCGCGGACACAATCCACGTTGTTTGTCGTTAGATACGGGTGGAGTAACCTGTCATCTCTCGGCACTTGTTGGAATTCTTCAGGGACTACGGATACTATGTCAAGTTAGTGCCTCAGGCGGCGGCATTGGCTGGCGAGTGTCATACTTGACATAAAACTAGGTAGTGCTCGCTTCACACTTCTTGATGCTGTCTCGAAGGTTCCAGATAATCCACGGACATGCTATGGCGTATCATGTACATGTATGTCCTGCACACAGAAATTATGTTGGTACATTCAAGTACCAAACAGTGGAGCATGTTCATTACTTTGTTGATCCGGGTGCAGGTATATACTATACCTGCCGAAGTCGACATATCACTTCAAGTTCCATTCGTGACCATACCTGAAGTGATCATATGTTCTTATCTAGTCAAAGCCATTTACAACCACTAGTATTGTTCCAATGCTTGAAGATAAAAATACACATGATAAAATATCATATCCAGCTTCCTCCGCTATTTGGAACATCTTTTTGGTACCTACTAGCTTGTTCACTGTATCAAGCCTGAGAAGACTGAACTTGCGCCAAATCCGGTGACCCCATAATCTAGCCCGTGTGACACCTTTCTGGTGCCCCCTGAGAACTCGATATAAGGCTGGCAATGCGACTCATAACGCGTACCACACGGCCGAGAAAGTAGACGTTGCAAGAGAGGCCTGCCTACTTCGATGGAAAAGATGTACAACTCATATTTGCTAGATGTTTGACTTATCAGTCTAGTAGATTGACTATAGTGATGCATGAATTGTACTGACTGAGCACATTGCTGCAATGCGCTTTTGGCCCGTTTCGGCCGCAATCATGTTACTGATACTCTCAATAATGAATGATGGCCATATGCCTTCCGCTTGGCAGTCCTCCTCTTTTGTGACACCAGTGAGAACAAGCAGCGAATCGATGTTGCCATCTCGGGCAAACAGAATATCCGTGTGGAGATTGTCGCCAACGAATATTGACCGCTCCTCGTCGATATTGTAGAGTTTCTTTACAGTATCGAGCATGGGAGCATGCGGTTTGCCGATAATGATTGGATCTCGCTTCGTCGAGGCGATCAATGGCGTAGCAAGTGAGCCAGAGCCTTCAAACAGCTGTCAATGACTGGCCACAACTTTTGGAAAAAAAAAAAACAGAGATAATACCTGGCCATAGCTCCCCAAGAGCTGGGACCACCTTGTCGTCGTTCGTGAGCATGAAGTGACAGCCCCCTCCCGTCTCCCCTGCAAGAACAGGTCCTTGAGCCCCATCCCGTGTTAAGTATCTGAACGCTTTACAAAGTTTACCATAGTTTAGGTTCATGTCGAATCCACACACCACTGCGCCGACACTGGAATCCATTGCTTCCTCGCTGACCAGTGAAGAGTAGTCGTTGGCAGGGAGGAATTTGTTGTCTCCCGGCTGGGTTCCGCCGCATCGCTTGATGTTGACTGCGTCGAGTTCGGCCTCGATTCCCTCCATGCCCATGACAAAGACTTTGCGATCAGTAGGAAACTGTAGCACTTCTTTAAGGTAAATGGCTGCGGCAAAAGCGCTGGATACGATCTCATCCTGTCCGTTTTGAGTTCGTCAGTCGGTGAATTGCTCACAAAAGCACGGTACTGACCTCGCTGGCGGCAATTCTCAGCCTGTCAAATTTCTTCTTTAGCAGCTTGCGACTTCTTGCGGCATTGTTCGTAACAAATATTACCCTCTTTCCGCTCGCTCTCAAAAAGTCGATTGCCTGGCTGGCACCTGCAATAGCATCATCGCCAGACCATACTACCCCGTCGCAGTCGAAGAGCCAAGTATCATACCGCGACAGAAGCTCGGCATAGTCGCTGGGCGAAGATAACTTGCGAGTAGAAGCCATGGCTAGGGATTTGTCGATAATTGCCCGATGCAACACGCTGGCTACTGGTCTTCTCCATAGATAGAGGATATAGTCTTTCGCGCGCGCGCTTCGTAACGCGTACGGAATCCGAGTAATAAGGACGGCTCACCTCTCCATTGCTCTCCGCGGATGAGGCTGTGCATAATCAATCGAGTCAGAGATAATGCATTGGAATGCACAGCAGGTTTGCCAAGGATGACATTGAGTCGACTGATGTAGTCAGATTGGCCTGTGTGGCTTCCGCCGCCAACCATCCATAGCTCCGTCGGAATCCGCGCCTCTGTTTGTTCTTCCACCTCCAGCGGACGCTTCCCACTTCAAGACAAATCACACAACGCGGAAACCTGTCACGATGGAAACTCTGCTGTGCTTGAAGGCCGCGGCGTGCGAGGCTGTCAGCCTGAGCTCCAAGCGATACTCCTAGTACTTAAAGTTGGGACACGAAGCATGAAAGCTGGATTGAATCATCCTCACCAACTTAACAACATCAAAACAAGAACAGAGCCGACTACATCAGGTCAAAACAACAAGCTTGTCAAAAGACTGTTTTCTTAAGTATAGATCAAGATGCCTTACGTCGGCAACCCTCCCACTGCTACGGAGAACAAGGTCTCCCAGATCCTCGACATCATCTCAGCATATCGTCACCGCTCCGCCACTGTCGCCGATCGGTTTTCCGAATTCGCACCAGAGCTCGAGAAACAACTCACCGAGACTGTCGCCAAGGGAGAGGCAGTCAAGTTCATTCTTCCGGCCTTCCCCTTCAAGGCCCCCGCTGAGGGAGACAAGCGCAAGACTCTGGGCTCTTTGCCGGACAAGGCTGAGGAGATCGCCTTGCAAACCCTCGATGGATTTGCCGACTCCATCGCCGAGATCTACGAGGGTGGCGCCACAGTCGTACTTGTTTCAGACGCGTCCGTATACGGAGGTATGTGCACTAGAGATTTTCCGTGCTAGATGGACTGCTTGCTAATGACAAACAGACCTTTTGAAGATCCCCGACGCCGACGCTTTTGCCTACCACCAGGAGTTGAAGAAGCTCGCCTTGTCTCTTGGTCTCTCTCACCTCGAATTCGTGCGCCCTGGTACCCTTGCCGGCATTGCTCCCGAGGAGGCGAAGACACTCGAGGAATACTCTGAGCACGTCTCCAAGACCCGCACCCTTCTCGATGGTAGCCTCGCTCAGACCGTTGACCCCAACGAAGATGAGAATGTGAAAGCAACAAGCAAGCACTATGATACGGCACTGCCTCAGACCGAGGACCCTGAGGCTTTCAAGGCCGCGATGCTCAAGCGTGGAAAGGTGGTCATGAGTCTCGTAACGCCGTTGACCACAAAGTCGCTGACCTAAATAGGCTTATGCTAAGTTGATTGCCTCATCTGCCGAGTCGACCATCCGCCTGTCCATCCACGAGTCGAACAATGTCGGCAAGATCACTCTTGATCTTTTCCCCCCTGCGACCAACCCTGACTTCATCACTCCTTGGCACGGCGCCGTCGCGGTCCTCGCCGATGCCAGCGTGCGCATTGTCGATGCCTCCACCGTCGACATGACTAAGTTCGAAGTCATCACGAACGCCGCGGGTCGCCCCTGGCTACTTCGCGAGAAGTCCGATCTCTTCGACTGGTTCGGCATGGAGCTCGACTTCGAGCCTCTTTTCCCCTGCGGTATGGTTGTCCGCCCCCGGGACGGCTACGGCCCCTACAGGTTCGAGGATGTCGACATGAAGCGCGTGCGCCGGCTCGCACTGTCGACCGCGCCGCTCCTTCTGCGCGGCTTCACCATGGAGATTGAGAAGGAAGTCTTCCGCAGCAAGGCCCGCGAGCTGGGTGAAATCCAGATGTGGCCCTTCGGCGACATCCTGGAGGTCCGCGAGAACGCCGACTTCAACATGAACAACGTGCTCACCCGTGAAGCCATGCCCTTCCACTACGACGGCGTCTTCAAGACCGTTCAGGACGAGAAAACAGGCGAGTGGATCTCCGTCCCGCCCCTCTTCCAGATGTTCCGCAACCGTGCCGCCTCCCAGTCTAAGGGTGGATTGACCCTGTTCGCCTCCTCGCGCAATCTCGTCCCCCTTCTCGGCCCGGACACCATTCCTCTTGAGGAGCTTCGCAAGCTCAAGTGGAAGACCTTCACCGCTGTCAACGAGGCCTTCGGCGGCCACGAGCTTCTCCTGCCGTTCATCATCGACCACCCAGAGTCCCACGTTCCCACCCTCCGATTCCACGAGCCCTGGCCCGAGAGCAAGTGTATCGCTGGTAGCAGTGAGCCGACGATCGTGCAGGTGGTGGGCTGGCCTGCGGCCGAGAGTGACGCGCTCTGCGAGAAGCTCACCCGACTCCTTTACGACCGCCGCGTGGTCTACCGACACCAGTGGAAGGCCGGAGATTTCATCTTCAACGACAACGCCATGACCCACCACACTCGCACGGCTTTCGACGAAGGCCACCGCGAGCACTGGCGTGTGCATGTGTCTTAAAAACTGTTATGCTCTTTCTTAGCGATCATTGTGTTTGTCTAGTCTTTGAGAGATGAGTAGAATGAATAGAAAATCGAACTTGTCGTTATTTAGTGTCTGCTTTCTTGCCGGTTGACTATAGAATGCATACCTTCGGAAAGGACTTGCTTTGGCTAATAAGATCTTCTGTCTCCCAGGTTGATCCTTGCAATCTCGAAATCGACGATCCCGAATGCATAGGCTGTTCGTTGAGGGGAATTATGACTTCCGAAAGACAGCCTGCATATAATAAAGCCCGTGAGATTTCCTGCGTCAACGTTCAAGTAAGGTACATACTGCTCTGACTTGTCGCACGAAGTTCACCACAGTATGAGCACAGACTTGGGGCATACCTCACAGATGAGTCAGCCATCGGCTCCCCCACACTTGACATTCCTGCTCTTGGCCAGACGCTTCCAGTCACTGATTAACTGCCTGACTGGCTTTCGAAAAGCGATCGTGTGCGAAAGTCTTCTGAGTGCACCAGCAGGTCACGTTCACCGTCCGAGCAATACGGCTGTGGACATCATAGCACTGTTTACTCGTCGCCCAGTGGACCGCAGGTCCCGAAACCATGCTCGGTCCGACTCCGAACAGACGGAACCAGGCGAGGTTGGAATGGACGTCATCGCATAGTGGACTTCTCCACTACAAGACATCTTTCCTATGCATTGAACAGCTGCACGAGGGTTTTGTGTGGAGGGACCGCAGATTTGACCGGGGGGTTGGTCGCGTGCATATATACGCATCCACAGTGACTGATTAAACACCTTGGCCCATCGATGACCAGCGCCCGTGATGTTGTCTGACCGCCGCTTTTCCAGGACTGTGAAGCCCCAAACAGGCTTAGCCAAAGTCAGATGACGGCACGATCAGCGCGGATCGACTCCATCCATTCTTTCGCCCCGCGTTTTGTCCATCCCTCCTTGCTCTGTGCTTGTTGTCTGTCCGTCTGTCTGTCTGTCTGTCACTAAAAATCACCTGCATATCCCACTTCTCTCCTTTTCTTTTCTGTCTCTCCTCTCAGTCTGTCTTTTCACCAATCTCTCACCTTGTATAGTAATTCTTCGTTGTTTATACCCCCGTCTTATCTTTGCGCCTCGGCTTTCGGCTCGTTTGACCAACAGACAAACCTCCTTATCTCCGAGTCTCACCGCCGTCGACCGCTTCTTTTTGTTGACATCCCAAAACAGTCGAATTCATATCCACGCCCCCACTCGCCTGTTGCCCGGCTTTGGATGCGCTGTTGGATATGGTGGTTATCGCGAAATGTTTGTCATCATTCCTTTTCCTTTTCTTACCCGTCCTTGCGCCTTTTTCTTGCTCCTCAGGCTCTCTCAGGAGTCAGGGCTGACTTGGCTTCCCAGACAGCCATAAGTAGCTCGGAAGCAATCCTTGCTTCATCTCACATCCCTCAAGATGACTCGATCGACTCCAGTCAAATTCCCTTCGGCTCCCTCAGACATCGAGCATGTCTCGATCGAAACCGACAGTCGGAGAATCAGCGCTCAAACGGCCCCTCCGTCGCCGTCCGCTACCAGGCGCCATCACAGCTACCTGTCCGAAGCCCACACCGGCTATGAAACGCTAGAACCTCATCTGGAGATCGGAGAGACCACCAGCCTCCTTCCCAAGGGGCGTGAGCATCGGCGCAGTATTCCGAGGTCCTACACTACGATATCCGGCAACTCAGGCCCTGATGTAAACTTCAGACACAGCTTGCTGGCGGGAAGTCTTCGGCGATCACGCCATCACAGCCGCGCTAATTCGCAGGCTTTGCGGTTCAGTCGACGCGACAGCGATCCCACTATGAGCGTCGCTCCGTCGGCTAAGGACGACATGACTGCCTCGTTCCTGGACGAGCGAAGCTGGTATGATCAATTTACATCCACAGACTGGGTCCACGATAGTATTGCGGACGGTGCTCGTCTACGAGAGTTACGCCGGCGCAAAGATGTTCGGGGGCGCCTACTGGCATGGTTAGATGGCAGCCAGGGCTGGGTCCTGGTTGCCTTGATCGGCTGCATAACCGCAGCCATTGCCTTTTCGGTGGATGTGACCGAGAAATTTGTCTTTGACGTGAAAGAAGGCTTCTGCACGACACACTGGTTCCACAGCCGGCAAAGCTGCTGCACGGGAGGACTCGAGTGTCCCGCGTGGAGGTCCTGGTCAAATATCTTGAGCCCTTCGGGTAGCGAAAACCAGTGGATCGACTACGGCATGTTCAATTTCTGGGTAGTCCTCCTCTCCGTGATCTCCTGCGCCCTGACGATGCTCACGAAGACGGTGGTACCCTCATCCATCTCGCTGACGACTCTGGACGAGAACCTCGGCGCTGCGTCCTCCCGCGGGACTAAAGGCAAGACTGGGAACTCCAGCTCTCATGACTCCCCAAGTGGTCTACAAGCACCGGGCGCCGTTATCCCCACGCGTCCCGCTATGACATATTTCTCAGCAGCAGGGAGCGGAGTGGCCGAGGTCAAGGTCATCAATAGCGGTTTCGTCTTACACGGCTATCTCGGCTTCAAAACTCTCGTTATTAAGACGGTCGCTCTGGTCTTTAGTGTCGCGTCCGGCCTGAGCCTGGGTAAAGAGGGTCCCTATGTGCACATCGCAACCTGCGTTGGCAACATTTGTTGTCGCCTGTTTGCCAAGTACAACCTCAATGACGGCAAAAGGCGTGAGGTCCTGAGTGCAAGCGCTGCAAGTGGTGTTGCCGTCGCCTTCGGAGCTCCTATTGGTGGTGTGCTCTTCAGCCTTGAGGAAGTCAGCTACTACTTCCCTCCGAAAACACTCTTCAGGACTTTCTTCTGCTGCATTGCAGCAGCTCTGTCGCTCAAATTCCTCAACCCTTACGGAACAGGCAAGATCGTCTTATTTGAGGTCCGTTATGTGGGCGACTGGGAGATTTTCGAGATGGTCATTTTCATCCTGCTGGGTGTGCTTGGCGGAGCAGCCGGAGCTCTATTCATCAAGGCTTCGAGCCTCTGGGCGCGGTCGTTTCGTCGCATCCCAATCATCAAGCGCTACCCTATGCTCGAGGTGATTCTTGTGGCTCTGGTTACTGGTCTCGTCGGATTCTGGAATCGTTACACCAAGCTGCCGGTCTCTGAGTTGATGTTTGAATTGGCGAGCCCGTGTGACCATGAGTCTTCCTCACCAACGGGGTTGTGCCCTACCGAAGATGGGATCGGTGAGATAATCCGCTACTTGCTTGCCGCTCTGGTGATCAAGAGCTTCCTCACGATCGTAACTTTTGGCATCAAAGTGCCTGCTGGTATCTACGTCCCATCCATGGTTGTTGGTGGTCTCATGGGCCGAATTGTCGGCCATGTCGCACAATATCTCGTGCTCAAGTATCCGACCTCGTTCATGATGGGGTCTTCTTGTCCGGCCGCTGCTGGTATGGAGTCTTGCGTGACACCAGGTGTTTATGCCATGGTTGCAGCTGGTGCTACGATGTGTGGTGTCACACGCCTGTCGGTAACCCTTGCCGTCATCCTTTTTGAATTGACAGGCAGTCTGGACCACGTGCTCCCGTTTTCGCTGGCGGTTCTTTGTGCCAAGTGGACGGCCGATGCAATCGAACCCCGCAGTATCTATGTTAGTATTACAGTGCCCGCAAGCCTAGTCATTGTCTAACATGCATAGGATCTCCTGACGGACATGAACGCATATCCCTTCCTCGACAACAAGCTCCAGCCCCTGTCAGACGGACAACTTGGCGACCTTATCCGACCCCTGCGGGCCAGCCGAGTCATTGACATTTCCGACTCGCCATTTGTGCCCGCACCGGAGCTACGGTCGAAGCTCCAAAGCTTGCTCATTGCTGGCGAGCTCGACAGTGGCTTGCCGATTTTGCGTGACAACATTCTCGTCGGGCTGATCCCTGCGCCAGACCTGGAATATGCGCTGGACAACCTCGAGGACGAGGAGAACACCTTGTGTTTGATGGCGCTGGACGTATCTTCGGCTGTATCCGACAGTGAGGACCTGGAGAATACAGACTGGGTGGACTTTAATCAATACATTGATCCTGTAAGTTTGTGGTCCGGTTGGTCCCGTTGTTCAGGAAGAAGCTAACCAATTCAGTCCCCCATGGCTCTGGACATTCATTCTCCTATTGATCTTGTGTATCAATGCTTTGCAAAGCTGGGCCTGCGCTATCTGTGTGTTCTGCACGATGGGCAATATGCCGGCCTGGTACATAAGAAAGCGTTCGTGAAGTTTATGAAGCAGAACGAGTGATCTCTGGGGTTGCTGGATCGCATTACGCGTTATGATTTGTTCTGGGATTCTAGATTCGGGCATATGTAAATTAGCTAGGCGTTGGTTCAGCGTTCGAGGGTTCTTGTATTTAGAGCTTGATGGTGGCTGCGTGCTGCCGTACATACCTGCATAAAATTGTACTGTACTAGAGTGTACATGCTACATCCACCAGACTACAACCCACCGAGCGAGCTTAATTGGTTCGCTCATACCCAACCATCTTCACCCTCACCTCCCCGTCCACAATCCACTCCCCGGTGACCGTCTCCCCAACCCACTCCGACACCTCCTGCGCACTCACCCTCTTCCACCCGTTTGTTTCATTGAGCAGCTCCTGATCCACGGGGAAGAACGTATCACACTCAAACACCTGCGTGCGATCCTGCTCATAGGCGAGTTTCTCGACGAAAGTCATCACGATCCTTACCGCGCGGGTTTTCTGGGTTGCCAACGCCGCCGCATAGATCTCCGCCCCGCCGATAACAAACATCTGCCCCAGCCGGCCTTCCTTCCCGTGTGTAGCCTCCAGTGTCTCGATCGCTTCCTCCAACCCGGCACAGACCACCGCGTCTGTTTGACCTTGAGTCTGCCCTTGACCCGGTGAGGATTGCACCTGCCCCAATCCTAAAGCCTGACCCTGCACCCCCTCCTTCTTTTTCTCCTCCTTCTCCTCCTCCTCCCTCTTCTTCGCTTCCTCCTTCTCCCGCCTCCGTTGCAAATCCCCCTCCACTCTCTGTCGAACATCATCTACCGACCTCGTGACCACAGTATTCACCCGCTTCACGAGCGGCCGCAGTGTTGCCGGGATCGAGTCGTAGGTCTTCCGGCCCATGAGGATGGCATTGGTGGTGTGGGACGCGGGTGGGCGCGAGGTGATGCGCGCGAAGAAGCTCATGTCGGTCTTTATGCGTGGCCAGGGGAGGGTACCGTTCAGCCCGATACCGAGGCGTAGGGTGGGTGCTGCTGCTGCTGCTGCCGCATTTTGTATCGTTGTGGTGGTGGTGGTGGGGGTTGGGATGGGCGTTGTGGCGACTATGAGGGTTAATGGGTTCTTGGAGGGGGGCATTTTGGTTTTGATATTTGCGTTAATCGGTCTGGTGTGTTGACTTGGGTTCGGCAGGTAATGGGAGGCAGGGAGGAATGGGTGATGGTGGTGGTGCTGCTGCGGTGGTTTGCGGAGCTGGGGAGGTTGCGGAATTAAGTGCTTTGCGGTGGAGCTGCTGGGAGGTGAGCTGGAGGGGTGAGAAATTTACTGTACAAGCTTGGTTTGCGGTGATGGGTGGTTATCGATAAGCGTTACTGTAAGTCACCTTTAATCCTCCGTAGCTTTTGAGCTAGCTCGCTCGATGTCCAGGTGCGCCCTACTCTGCAAAGCAAGTACTTTATATTTAATTACTGTTGAAAATTCAACTTCTCTAGCGAGTAATATTCTTTGTCAGTGAATTGCTCTTAACCATATGCAACAGAATGCCCCAAAAGTAAATGCCATGCTGTACAGTCCAGGAACCGAACCCCATAGTTACGCCCATCCCATAAACTCCAGCCCAAATATCAAATCCCCGTCCAGCACAGCCAGACCTCCCTCACCCCTGCTTAGCAACATTCGCCTTTAAAGCTCCTCCCTCCTCAATCGCCCGCTGAATCGCCCCCGCATCCCTCTCCAGCGCCTCCCGCCGCTTCACCTCCGCCTCGTCCTCCCCTAACGTATCCAATTTCCCAAACAACCACGTCTCTTTCATCACGCGTGTCAAAGCGAGGATGTCTTCTGCGGCGCGAACCTACCCCAAAGATTAGCAAGGGTGGGCCGAGGGTAGAGTTTTTGGGGAACCGACTAAGGCGGTGGACTCGACGTCGAGCTGGTAGGTTTCGACGGCGGTGGAGGTGTGGCTTGTGCTTTCGGTCTGCATGTGTGGGTGGGCTGAGTTAGTGGGTGTCGGGTTTGCTTGGGCTAGGGGCTGAATAGGCTGACTGTAGCTGTGGCCATGATATTTTCGAAGCGTTGGAGGAGTTGGGAGATGTTCGTGTTGATGCGGTCTGGATCGAGGGTTAGTGGCGTCGGAGGTAAGGGCGGGGAAGGGAACGGGAGGCTGACTGTGAAGTGTCTTGGATGAGGGTTGAGACTCCATCTTGAGGTTTAGAGATTGGCGCTGCAATTGAATCTCTTGAATTTCTGGGATGGGGTTGCGAATGATTGCGCTTGTGATTGTTGCGCGGGATGTACAAGGCGGTGGGATACTGCCAGATTTATTGTCTACTGATTTGGATAAGAGGTGGAATATATGTCTGCTGGATGGTGTGGGTATTATGACTTCATTGGTGACTATCTGGGTCAGACTTCTATGTCTCCTGAGGTTGTAGCTTGCGATTATCTAGTTGATGATGCAGGCACTTGCACCATACAATTGTCCAACTGGCGGACATGGGTCTCTTTGATTGCCAGGGCATCCTATCCAAGTCCTATGATGCGACGACTCTGGGTCCATTCATATGCGCAGTTTATGATACCAGCCCAGAGATAGCCTCTGGCTCCCCATGTAGCGCAATTGTTCACCGCACGTATTTGCCCTGCACCTATCAGCCATAGAACGTGGAATGGAGTCAAATTGACTTACCATAAACCGCTTGTGAAAGTCCGATCGCAGCAAGTCCTGTACCATGTCAGCATACATCACCCTCAACACGAGACAGCGAGAAACTTACGTTGACAAACTCCTTGCCCCGCTTGTCCTCTGTGCCTCGGGCTTGGTTCTTGAACACCACATCGTCATCCCATCGTCGCTTGAGATTGAAGTCTTGAGGATTCAGCAAGGGATTGCCTCGAGCAATGTCGTATTCTCGCTTCTCCTCCTCTTCAGCCGCACGCTCGCGTTCCTAACATCATCAGCATGGACTCATACATCGGAGAAAGAAGACCGACCTCCTTCTCCTTCTGCTCCAGCCTCTCTCTCTTGATCTTCTCTAACTCGCGCATCAACTCGGCAGCCTCGTCCTCCTCGTCGTCACTGAACCAATCAGTACACTCATTACTCAGCCAGAATATCAGCCTCACCTGTCTTCGTCACTACTGTCCTCCTCAGACCCATCCGAGTCCGCGTCTATATCCCTCGTCTCTTCTAATATCCGCCGCCGTTTCGCTTCCAGATCTTCCTCTTCTGTATGGTCTGCGTCCCCGTTCGGCGAACCACCCTCCAGCTGCCGCTTGGGCGTCACGCTCTCGACCGTGGGCTCATCGAGGGGCGTTCCGTTCTTCTTGGCGAAGTAAGCGGCCTCAGCCTGAAGGAGTTCGGCGCGGAGATCGCGCTGGCCGGCTTCCGCTTCGGTACCCTGGCCGAGTTGACTTGACGACCGTTAGAACCATCCTTCCACGAATACAGGACACTGAATCTTCATCCTACCGAGTTTTCAAAAGCTTGTGCGCAGGGAGTAAGCGCTGGTGGTATGCAGGACCGCGAAGAGCCTCTTTGCCTTGTGCCTAGGTAGTTTCAATGAGCCTTTAGCCTGGTTGATATGGGTGGTTACGTACGGGATCGAACGTGGGTCTGTGTGCTATACAAGGTGTCAGTTATAGTTCTCATCAGTCAAACTTATAATCTTACCTGTAGTCATATTGTGGTTATTGTGAAGTTGCTGCTATAGTATGATAGACAGGAAAGAAGTGATTGAAGGAACCTCTGTCCGCCGCGGAACAAACCAAAGCGGTAGCAACCCCAATCTCAGGCTACAGCACTCTCACCGCCCCCTCTTTCGTCAAGACCAATTGGTCACTTCACCCAAAAGTCTCCGCCGCAATGACGATAACCCGCCCAGCAGGAAATTTGGCCCACCCAGCAAAGAAAACGAGTCTTCCCCTCCGCTGCGGCCAAGTCCGCCCGCCCCTCCTCCTCAAACCTCCCTCTCCAGAAATATGAACAAAGAAGCACCGCTCTCAATCGCGGAGCGCGACTTCATCCTCGATGCGCTGCGCGAGGACGTAAGATTGGACGGCCGCGCGGCGGATGAGTTGCGGCCGTTGAAGGTCACGTTCGGGGAGGAGTATGGACATGTCAAGGTGCAGCTTGGTCGGACGAGGTACGCACACTGTTATGATAATACTGGCCCCCATGCAAAATACTAAGTCTTATGGGTGGGCAGCCTAGTAACTCGCATCTCCGCTGAAGTAACGAAACCGCACGATGACCGTCCGTTCGACGGCCTATTCACAATCGCGATGGAGCTTACTGCCATGGGGTCGCCGGCGTGGGATAACGGACGGTAAGAGCCGACTACCCAAACCCAACAACCCTTGGTCGAAACAATCCTGGGATGGTGCGGGCTGATGCTAATTGCTCCGCAACGGAATACAGACAAGGCGACCTCGAAACCTACGTAACTAACGTCCTGGACCGAGTCATCCGCCACTCCAACGCGCTGGACACCGAATCGCTGTGTATTGTCAAGGGCGTCAGCTGCTGGAGCGTGCGCGCGGACGTGCACATCACCGACTATGACGGCAACCTGATCGATGCGGCCTGCATGGGCATCATGGCCGGGCTGCAGCACTTCCGGCGGCCCGACGCGGTCGTCAAGGACGGCCAGGTCATTGTGTACGGGCTGGACGAGCGCGTGCCTGTCGCGCTGAACATCACGCACAAGCCGCTCGCCGTCACGTTCCACTCCTTCGACGAGGGCAAGCGTGTCATCCTCGACGCCACCCGCAAGGAGGAGCAGGCCGCCGAGGCGGACGTCGTGTTCGGCCTCAACAACGCCGGCGACCTCTGCTTCATGTCCAAGTTCTCCGGCTCACCGGTTGATGCTATGGTCTTTGTCAATAAGACCTCCGTCGCTCTGGACAAGGTCAAGGAGATCAATGGTATTATTGACAAGGCGCTGCAGGCGGATTTGGCGAAGAGGGCGAAGAAGGGCATGGCGGAGGAGTCGCGCGCGGAAAACGATCGGTGATTTGCGGTTCTATTAATTTTTTCGTGTTTCTCTCTGCTATGGAATAGAGATGGCAAGCATGGTACCTGGAGTCTAATGGTTTTTAAAAGACGAGCAATCAGATTTGATTTGAATGGGCTTTGACGAAGAACCAGTAGGAAAGGCATGATTATTTCAACATCTCAAGATCCAACTCTCAAGCATCTTTGCAGGTGCAGTAATGCCTGGCTGCAGTAGAGCAAATGTCATTTCATTGCCATTGATATGCTCCTGCATCTCGCTGGAATCCCCTTTCTGGTCACTGCCTGTGGTGTGATCCGCAATCCCCAGTCGTTGAGCAGTCGCTATGATTTAGTGTCCATCGGGAAATGAAGCATCTTTCGCAGATCCCAATGGAGTCCATGAAGCTACGGTGAATCGGGGGACGATGTTCTCGGCCCTCACTCGCTTGCACAAAGCGTGCGGAGTAATTCGGAGATTGGCCGCAGCCAAATCGCCCAACCAGATATGAGAAAGCTTGCTTCTTGGGCAGACTACGATCTGACAGCCGGCAAGCCACACTTTAGTTCAGTGATCAATGTGTCTAAATCGCTGATAGGGAACTTTTTGCATTGAGAGATTTTACAAGGCCTCGACGTGGTCTTTTAGATTCTGACTCACAATGGGAGCAAAGCCTAGTTCTGCCATATACTCACTGTTCGCTCGTTCGGATGCCACGTCCTCATTCGTCGTGACGGTGATGTTCGACTTGCTGGCTGCCTGTCTTAGCAGCTCCTCTTCGGAGCCGGTCAAGTTGGCACCCAACAACTTGTGGGCCGGCAGATTAGTGCGGGACAAACGGGCTTCGTGCTTCTGTAGGCCTGCATGCGAGCCTTGCTCGATATAACCTGAAAGTCGATGGGAACCATTGGTCGAGTCCTCGGTTGAGCTGCCCACGAGATCGGTGAAAAGGCTCCGCAGAGCGGGGAGGTTCACTGCCACCACCGCAATCTCGATCTCAATCGCCGCAACGATAATCATTCGGCCGAGCACGTAGGTCGTGTCGGCGTTGGCGATGACTTGTCTCTGCACGTCGAAGGGGCAGAGCGCTGTCACTACCGATAAGCCGCCGAACCCCATGATTCCAAGGACGGCCATCTTGCGCCGATTGCTCATTTGGAGTCTCAACACGGTCGGAATCGGTAGGGTGAGGACGATAATGTCCGTGACGACGTTCTTGCAATTGTTGATCACATATTAGCATAGGGATTCATGAATAGTTTATGTTTTCGAGAGCCTAACCAGTCCTGTCGGCACCATCATGACAACATATGTGCTCATACACTGCGCGTTGGGGTAGTCCGCCGGATGGAAGATGGCCTCGAGCGGTCGGCACTGTAGGAAGGCAAGTAACCAGTTTGCGATCATGATCAGCGTGCTCAGGACCATTGTGCCGTAGACTTTGATCTGGAATGGACGATCGGGGGATAGTCGGAGGTAGAAGAGCAGGAACGCTTGCTTGATAGTCCAATGCACGAACATATAGAAAATCTCTTCGATGAACAGCCACTGGATTGCATGCGTCAGCAGAGAAGGCACCGTTGAAGCTGAGCGCACACCTTGGTGATCTGTTCGCGTTGATGCAAGGATAATAGGTCATAGTGTCTATCATAGGACATTGTCAGCTCTCCGCTAGTTCTTGGGCGGATATTGTTCTCTTACAGCCCACACCCATGGTGAAGGAAAATGTACAGAATCGTCTGCTGCATTCCGTTGACGAACTGTGTTGAAGTCAGTTTGGGTGCTCGTTGTTTGGAAAAACGATCAGCCCTCACCAAGAGTATAATGGCGACTACATCGTCCCGACCAAATGTTTCGCGGCGTAGTCGACAATATAGCCGGAGGAAGATGGAGCAAGTTCCGATCGCAAAAGCAACTGAAATGACTCCGTAGGTCAATGCCTGAAGATTCTCGATAGCCATCGCACGCAATGGTCCGCTAGACGGGTTTGTGCAAATCTAATGCTTCTTGCTAATCTACTGCGACTCCAACTCACCAAAGATATATATATACCGCAAATCATCACGAACCCATTGGGCATATTCCTGAGTGATTGGGAGGCGGCCGTTTCTGTCCCTCCCCCTCTTCTGATCTGGCCCATCCTACCGTGTGCTTCAACCTTGTCATAGTCATACCATCCCTGCAGGCGCCATCACTAGGAGCTTTTAGATGCAAATGAGATCCAGTCAGCTAAACTCTTTGCTTCATCTCCTCCGACCAATTCGCAAAGGCTGGCATGAGATCAAGCTCCACTGCGGACGGCTGCTCCCTTCCTAGTGTCCTATCGCTCGCGATGTGGATCGGTGCTTTAATCGACCACTGAATGGCTGCGACGTAATTCAGCGAGCACGAGTAGCGAAGGAGAAGAGTGGGGACGATGGCTCGAGCTGCATATTGTCCGCACGAGGAACCAGTCCCACCATTATTTGTGATGGGTCTTAGACTCTTGATATGTCGTGTCTTGTTCCTCGGTCTCGGTCTGATGTTGCGATCGGCTGAGATGGAGAGTACTATTAGTAGGGGTGTTCCAGTGGGGATTCATCAGGGGTTAATTGACTGACCAAAGCTTTACTGCCACTGACATACCCTCCTTGTCGATTATGACCACGCCGCCGTCTGCTCTAGCAGGCAGAAGTGCAGGACACTGGAACTTTCCAGATTGGATTGATATTTATATTCCTTAAGTGCTCGAGCTGCGAAATATCTTGTTCTCATTAATGACCTGCTTTGTGCACTCGATCAATGGGTAGGTAGTATAAAGACCAATACCGATCGCAAAATGGAGGCACTGCAGCGAGACTGTGGCTCTGGTCAGCAGTTGATTGTGCTGTACTCGACAAGGACTGGCCCAGTCTGGGAGTTTCCGCTGCGGCATCAGCGGTCGTCCTCCATCTCACCATCTTTCGCACCAGCTTTCCCACGGAAGACTACCTGCATGATCTTTTAGCACTACTATACCTCGCTGTTGTTTCTGTAGTGGTACTCGCCCATATCACGTTGACTGAATTCTCAGTACTCCGATGTCTGCTAAGAGTCAGCTGGATTGCAGGCGCCTTCAATGCGGGACTCGCAACAAGCATTGGCATTTGTCGATTGTTTTCATTGTCATCGTCTCGGGGCTCAATACGCACTTCGACTGATTGGATATGTTTTATCACTGACAGCCGTCATTAGGCCCGTATAGCTGTCCGGGAAAGAATCTCGCTCTGCTCAGCCTTCGTATCACGGTATCTGTCTTAGTCCAGCACTATGCTTTGACGTTTGTGCCTGGTGAGACAGGGGAGGAGTTTGAGAACCGTGCGTTGGATACCTGCACGACGACTTTATTGCCTCTCAAACTCAAATTTCAGACACGATAGTCCAGTGAGAGTTGCTAGTCTGTTTCTCAGAATTGACAAATTCTATGCATTCCAAAACTCTTTTCAGACTGACGGATTGGGAGAGGTTTGGCAAAACGACAGCTGAAGCCTGTACTCTTCGTCCTCGGATTCAATCTGGAAGGCCTAGACCAGGCTCCATCACTGCAACCTGCTGTCCCCTCATGTGTAGGATATTGTGCTTTGGCTGGCAACACGAGATCGGAGCTGCTCAGCTAGCTAGAATTCGCAAAGAGACCAGAAGAAAAATTATGCATTCCAAGCCTTCAACGCACCCATCGACTTGTCAATCTGGAGGTGGCTTTGCTTGATGTTTGTCCGTGGTATTTATATAGCATCTGTGGTTCCTGCTCCGAAATGGCATCGAAATCAAGATACCTGTCCAAGATCAAGCTCATAAGTTGATTTTTCTGGCAGACTCGTTCGATATTCCCTTGGCGCACTGCCATGCAGAAATTGTCCAATGTGTTCTACGATTTATACCAGTATGATCCTCGAAAGGTCAAAATGGCCTCGAACAACGTGGGGATTTGGCTGAAAACGACAGTAGCGGCTCAAGGGGTGCCATCTCATGTAATCATGTCAAGAAGCTATGCTTTCTTTATATGTGAATGAGCACGTAAAACTGGCAGAATCAATGAAAGGTGTCAGCACTAACGATGACTTTATCGAGGACCTTCATTACGCTAAATGTGAGGGGGGGGGGCGGGGCGGGCGCTACGAAGGGTCAGAATTGAGGTCAGAAAGACCGCTATAGACTGGACATCTTTTCGAAATCATGTGTTCTTCATCCGAGTATTGAAGAAGGCTCATGACATTCTACTTGGATCGGCGTCTCAAGACGCTTCGCGACCTTGCAAAACATGACTGCAACCGGTTACACCGTCCAAGGCTATTATTGGACGTTATTCCCCGATGATTGGAAGATTTCAATGGAGGGACTCTGGGCTCGCTCTGCTTCTTGTGTTGATGCTAGAATGTCAGTGAATTTAAGTAGTTATTTGTTTTGATGTTGATGGTCGAGTACTCCGTAGAGTACCTCCTAGAAATGACGGCAGTTGAGGATCGGTCAGGCGACGCTAACCCGAACCGGAAGGGGGAGTTCATCCCTCTCTTTCTCCAATCCATCATCCACTTTCAACCACGCGGCAGAGGCAAATCGCTGACTCTGCTAAACCTGTCTTGATTACTCTTGAGACACCATATCATTTGTCCTTCATAGCATTCAATCAGCGCATCTCTCAGTCACCAACTTCCTCACCGTTCCGAACCGACGAACCCCCCGCCCCGTCTCCCGGCCCCAGCCACTGGCGGTGATCTAACGCTAATTCTGCTTAGCCTCGACGCCTTTGCGCGGCATCTGAGCTAAACCGCCAGGCAGTCAGAATTTCTCCCCATCTGCTTCACTTCACTCCCTCCCCGCCGCTGACTGTTACTCCGTCTCGCTTCCGACCACGTTGTTCCTGATCCTACGTCTTTCCGCCATCCGCCGTCATCCTCTGTGGTCTCCTGCGTGCGAATTTCATCCCCTTCCTTCCCGACAATCAATGCTCCTGGGGCACATCTTCGCAGTAACGGTGTCTGCCCGCCTTCAGCGTCATGGCCAGCGGTAGGCCCCCCGGACCTCATCCAGCCGCTGGCCACAACGATGAACTGCTGCTGGATGAGTCCGCTCCCATGTACAACACGGGTCATCGTCCACCCGTCAATGATGACAACCTCTTGCGACAATACGATATAAATGATTCCGATCAACTCCAGCCACGGCCCTCTGTATCCTACGATAGCTTCGTCGGCGGACAAGCTCCGCCGCATTCGGGCGCCCATGCGACGTCGTCCGCGCATCCCCCGGCGCAGACTGGGGGCTATCTGACCGATCCTTACTCCGGAGCCGACATGTCTCGCACCTATTCACATACGTCCGGCCTAAGCAACTACAACCGATACTCCCTTGATGAATTCGACGACGACCGATCCCTGCACGGATACTACGACCTGGATGATGGCGACGTGGACCACCTGCAGCCCAACAGTCGGGTTCGTCAGGCGAAGGAGAGGAACAGCATTCTGGGCCTAGGAGGTGGCTTGATGGGAAGGGCGAAGCACATGCTGGGCATGGGACCCGAGTACTCGGAAATGGATCTCCCCCTGACGGAGTCGGGCGCTCGTGCGGCTCGGCTGGACAGTGCTGATCCGGATGAGAGGGCTGCGACCGGCGCTCGAAAGACGTCGAAGAGTTCGGATTTCAAGTTCGGTTTCGGTCGCAGGAAGGTCGACCCATCGACGCTGGGTCCTCGCATGATTGTTTTGAACAACCCGCCTGCGAACGCCGTACACAAGTTTGTCGACAACCATGTCTCGACTGCTAAGTACAACGTCTTCACGTTCATTCCAAAGTTCCTATTCGAACAGTTCTCGAAATACGCCAATTTGTTCTTCCTCTTTACCGCTGTTCTCCAGCAGATCCCGAACGTTACCCCCACGAATCGTTATACCACCATCGGTCCGTTATTGATTGTGTTATTGGTTTCAGCCATCAAGGAACTTGTCGAAGACTACAAACGGAGGTCATCGGATAAGGGGCTGAACTATTCCAAGACACAAGTGCTGAAAGGCTCGAGTTTTCATGAAACCAAGTGGATCGATGTTGCTGTTGGTGATATTGTTCGCGTGGAGTCAGAGCAGCCATTCCCAGCCGATATGGTCTTGCTCGCGTCGTCGGAACCCGAGGGTCTCTGCTATATTGAAACGGCCAATTTGGACGGTGAAACCAACCTGAAAATCAAGCAAGCTATTCCGGAGACTGCGCATCTGGTCAGTCCCGCAGACCTCAGCCGGTTGACCGGACGTGTCCGATCGGAACAGCCCAACAGCAGTCTTTACACTTACGAGGCGACTTTGACTATGCACGCCGGTGGTGGTGAGAAGGAACTGCCACTGGCTCCGGATCAGTTGCTCTTGCGTGGTGCGACTCTGCGCAACACTCCTTGGGTCCATGGAATCGTTGTCTTTACAGGTCACGAAACGAAATTGATGCGAAACGCCACGGCAACCCCGATCAAAAGAACCGCTGTCGAGCGCATGGTCAATGTTCAGATTCTCATGTTGGTCGGTATCCTTGTGGCACTTAGTGTGATCAGTTCCGTGGGTGATTTGGTCATCCGGCAAACGGAGGCGAAGCAGCTCACATATCTCGACTACGGCAGTACGAATGCGGTCAAGCAATTCGTCCTGGATATCTTCACCTACTGGGTCCTCTACTCGAACTTGGTTCCAATCTCCCTTTTTGTCACTATCGAAATCATCAAATACGCGCAGGCCTTCTTGATTAATGCCGATCTCGACATTTACTACGACAAGACCGATACCCCCGCAACTTGTAGGACGTCATCTCTGGTGGAGGAATTGGGACAGATCGAGTACATCTTCTCCGACAAGACGGGTACCTTGACTTGTAATATGATGGAGTTCAAGCAGTGCACTATTTCCGGCATACAATATGGCGAGGACGTTCCTGAGGATCGCCGCGCCACGGTTGAAGACGGTGTCGAAGTGGGCGTTCATGACTTCAAGAAGCTCAAGGAGAACCTTCGCGCTCATCCGTCCGCAGACGTGATCAACCACTTTCTTATTCTTCTTGCGACCTGTCATACTGTCATTCCGGAGAGATCTGAGAAGGAACCGGGCAAGATCAAGTACCAGGCGGCCTCTCCGGATGAAGGGGCACTGGTCGAGGGTGCTGCACTGCTGGGATATCGTTTCTCCAACCGTAAACCGCGATCCGTGATTTTCACAGTGGAGGGGCAGGACTACGAGTATGAGCTGCTGGCAGTCTGCGAATTCAACTCCACGAGAAAGCGTATGTCCACGATCTTCCGCTGCCCAGACGGCAAAATTCGCATCTACACCAAAGGTGCGGACACCGTCATTCTCGAGCGGCTGAACCCCGATAACCCGACCGTTGAGGCGACTTTGCAATACCTGGAGGAGTATGCGTCAGAGGGACTTCGAACGCTTTGTCTCGCTATGCGCGAGATACCCGAAGCGGAGTTCCAGCAATGGTACCAGATCTACGACAAGGCAGCAACAACAGTTAGCGGAAACCGCGCGGATGAGCTGGACAAAGCGGCGGAACTCATTGAGAGGGACTTTTATCTTCTCGGAGCAACAGCTATTGAGGATCGCTTGCAGGATGGAGTTCCGGACACTATTCATACCCTTCAGACAGCAGGTATCAAGATTTGGGTCTTGACTGGTGACCGACAGGAGACCGCCATCAACATCGGCATGTCGTGCAAGCTGATCTCGGAGGATATGACTTTGCTCATTGTCAACGAGGAATCCGCCCAGGCTACAAAGGATAATCTGACCAAAAAGCTTCAGGCTATCCAGAGCCAGGGTAACTCTGGCGAGACCGAAGCGATGGCATTGATCATCGATGGTCGATCGCTGACCTTTGCTCTCGAGAAGGACATGGAGAAGTTGTTCTTGGACTTGGCGGTGTTGTGCAAAGCGGTGGTTTGCTGGTGAGTCCCCTGTGAAAGCTTGTTTGAACTGTCCTAATTTGAAAAGCCGTGTGTCTCCGCTTCAGAAAGCCCTTGTTGTCAAGCTGGTCAAGCGTCATCTCAAGTCCCTGCTTCTTGCCATTGGTGACGGTGCCAACGACGTGTCCATGATCCAAGCGGCACATGTCGGTGTTGGTATTAGTGGTGTTGAAGGTTTGCAGGCTGCGCGGTCGGCGGATGTGTCAATCGCTCAGTTCCGTTACTTGCGCAAGCTGCTTCTGGTTCACGGTGCCTGGAACTATCATCGTATCAGCCGGGTGATTCTGTACTCGTTCTACAAGAATATTGCTCTTTGTATGACGCAGTTCTGGGTAAGCAATCTCGAACAGTGGTACGAATATGACTAACCATACATAGTACTCTTTCCAAAACGCTTTCTCTGGTGAGGTTATCTATGAATCATGGACACTGTCGTTCTACAATGTCTTCTTCACAGTCCTTCCACCGTTCGCCATGGGCATCTGTGACCAGTTTATCTCTGCGCGGCTGCTAGATCGGTATCCCCAGCTATACCAGATGGGCCAGAAGGGGCTGTTCTTCCGACGACACAGTTTCTGGTCGTGGATTGCCAACGGTTTCTACCACTCGTTGCTGCTGTATATCGTCGGAGAGCTGTTCTTCATCTGGGACGGACCTCAAGCCGACGGCAAAACTGCCGGACACTGGGTCTGGGCCGAAGCCTTGTACACGGCCGCACTGGCGACTGTGCTCGGCAAGGCGGCGTTGATCACGAACATTTGGACGAAATACACCTTCATTGCCATTCCGGGATCGATGATCATCTGGCTGATCTTCCTGCCGGCCTATGGCTATGCCGCACCGGCCATCGGCTTCTCGACCGAATACTACGGCACCATCCCCGAGGTTTTCAAGTCGCCCACGTTCTACCTACTGGTGGTGATCCTGCCGTGCATTTGTTTGCTTCGCGATTATGCCTGGAAGTACGCCAAGCGGATGTACTTCCCGCAGCACTATCACCACGTGCAGGAGATCCAAAAATACAATGTGCAGGACTACCGGCCGCGCATGGAGCAGTTCCAGAAGGCAATCCGCAAGGTGCGACAGGTGCAGCGGATGCGGAAGCAGCGCGGGTACGCGTTCAGCCAGGCGGACGAGGGCGGGCAGATGAGAGTTGTAAATGCTTACGATACCACGAGAGCAAGAGGACGATATGGTGAAATGACCAGCTCGCGGGCACTAGTGTAACGAATGATTTGATTGATGGATTCATTCTGATTGTGATTGAGAATTCTGATTCTGATTCTTGTATGTCTATTTTGTCTCTTGGGGGGATGAGACTTGTGTTCCTGTTGTTTTGTGTACTTAAGCTCTTATGATGAGACAATGTGAAATAGGTTAGGAGTGAAGTGTAGTATCATCATAGTTATCCCGCCCGTATCTACCTCACTTTTCCTCTCCTTTGGCAAGGTGTACATACCTACTATCGAGTACACCTCTCCTCGGGCGGCCGCCATCCAATCCCCAACCCCTCCATCACCAATCTCTCCCTGTCCTGCCACGTTTCTCCGGCCGCCTCCAAATCGACCACGTGCCCACCACTCGTGCGCTCGCGCACACCGCTGGAATCAAACTTCCATCCGCGCTCCTTCTTGGCAAACCGCCGCAAATCCCGCTCGAAGGTCTTGTCGCCAGACCACCCAAGCACGGCACACCCCACCGTCCGCCAGGGGGAGATGATAATATCGACCCGCCGGTGGGGGTTGGTGTTGCGCGTCTCCCCTGCAGGTGAAGCACGAGAAGGAGGCGGCGGGGGATCCTGCCACACCACCAACCCCTTATCCAACGAATCAAACATCTTGCGCTGCACCGCGCTCTCGCCCGCATCCGCCTTGTACGGCGCCGTCTGCTGGTCCCGCGCCGAATGGCCCGCATGCAACACCAGCGTATGCGTGATCCACCCCTCCGTCTCCAGACTGCGCAGCACCTCCGTGATGAGGTTCTTGGTGGCGGACTCGTCCCGGTGCGTGAGGATCAGGTCCACGTCCCCGGAGGAGGCCTTGCCGCGTCGGTGCGAGCCGGTGATGATACATTCCACCCCGCCGGCGACCGCTTGGTGTGTAGACGGCGAGTCTGGTCCGGTAGCGTCGTCGTCGTCGTCGGTCGCCGATTCTGCCCCCACTGATGATCCTCCCCCTTCCCCCTCCCCCTGCTGGGCTGCTTGGCCTTGTTGGGCTTGTTGTGGAACGGCGGTGGCAGCAGCAGCAGCAGCAGCAGCGGCGACAACAACCCGATTCGCATGCCGTAGCACCACCCCGGCAATCGCCTCCACCTCTGCCCGCAGAATGCGTTCTTGGAACTCCTCGTAGTACTTCACCCCGATCTGCTGCACGCGCGTCAGACTGTGCCAGCCGTACTCGACCACGTCGTCGAGGGAGCGCCAGCCCCGTCGGTAGTAGAAGTCCTGGGCGGTTTTGGCGCCGACGCCCCAGATGTTGTAGAAGGTGTCGAGGGTGCGCAGGGTGGGGTCGGTGGTGAGGGGGTGGGTTGCTGTGAGGATTCCCTTTTTTGGTGGGGGAGGGGTAGTGCTGCTGCTGCTTTCGGCGGGGTCGGGCTGAGCTTGGGATGGGCGTGGGCTGTCTTCTCCTTCCGAGGCTCGTGCCTCGGCCAGCTGAAACTCGTAGAACAGGTTGGCGATCTTCGCATCACACCCTGGTAACCGCAGGACCTCCGCCGGCCGGTGCAGCGGCTCGGGATACGCGGCGATGGCCGCAATGGCGGTGCTGTACGCGCGCACGCCGATTTCATCCAGCGTGAGTTCGCGGATATGTCGGATCTGCAGCAGTTCCGCGATGAACGGCTCGTTGGGTGGGTGGAGCGGCGTGGAGCGCAGGCAGGCGTAGGTGTGGCCCTTGTGCGTCGGTGAGGTGACCCAGTCCGGCGGGGGAGGCAGGGAGGCGGTTTCTTCGGCTTCGGAGGTGGTCGTGCGGTGCAAGGTTGGAATGATTGTGGTTTGGGATGCGGCGGCGTGGGTGCGAGGATGCTGGCGGTGCTGCGGCTGGTACGACGCCCGGGGCGGTTGCATCGAGGCGTCTGCTTTGGCGCGTTGCAGGATTGTCGTATTGGGCTGGGGCTTCGGGAGTGGGGTTTGGGTCGCGCTGGGACGCGCGATTCGGCGGGCGTGGTAGATGGTGTATGCCCCCGGGGGCAGGAGGGTGTTGGTGCGGATGCATTGGTGCAGCCAGTCGAGTTTGATGACTCGGATGTTGGTGCTGGCGCCGTCGCTGTCGCTGTCGGTCTCATTGGTTGTCTGTGGCTGGGCGACATGTCTGGCGGAGGCGTGCACGCTCATCCCGTCGGCTTCGTCTTCCGTCTCCGTGCTGAGGTCGATGACCTCGGCGCCAGGGCCATTGCCCCGGCGGCGCTTGACAGGCGGTCCCTCTGGTCTTTCGGGGATGGCTTCGGTCCACAGGCCGAGGGTGCGCAGGTCCAGTGCGGCGCGTTTCGGCTGGCTGATCTTGCCGAGGATGAGACGGGCTTCGTCGATGTCGTAGGTCAGACGCGCGTTGCGGTGGACCAGCTCTTCCTCAATCTCGTGGAGGGCCTCGATGCTCAGGTGCGTTTGAAGGACGTAGATGGGCGGACATGCGGAGAAGTCGAGGCGGTCGAGGCGACTCGGGTCGGGGTCGTCGCCTTCGGTCGAGGTTGATGCTGTATCAGACATGCTCATATGCACTTGCGGTATATTATAGTATCCTACATGATGTCAGCAAGAGAGAGTATGACCCTCTATGCAGATGTCACTTCCATGGCCAGGACGCTGTGATGTGATGGCGAAGTTCAGTGCTTCGGTGATGTGTGACGTCAGTCAGGCATATTGTCTGCCTTAGGCATTTATCTGCCGTAGAGGGTATAGTGCTGCTACGATCGAACCCATGGAACGAGTAAGTAGCCTGCAGCCCATTGGCTGTGCTGGGTATTGATGCATGTATTTCACTGACACTGCCGATACCGGCAATCCACAAGCCCCAGTTGTGCCGAAGGTGTCAATTACGAAGGATGCCGTAATATTCAAAACTTTTCCTCTAGTTATGCCCTCATAAGCCGTATGATCCAACAGGATGATCCAGCAAACAGCATCTCCCTTCACCGTGTTCTTTCCCCCCAACAGTACGCCAGTCCACAATCAACTCGACGGTCCACCCACCGGCTCAACCGAAGTCGTAGCCCCCTTAGCCCCCTTCCCTACGCGCTCCTCTCCCCCAACCTCCACCCTCCCCTTCCGAATCACAGGCTCATCGCGATATCCCTCCCCCTCGACATCCGTCACAATGGTCCTGCCATGCCGTCTGGCCACCCACCGCCGCCACGGTTGATACACCACGACACTCAATCCGCCGATCACGAGGAAACACCCACAGATGCCGCCGCCGATGGCATCGTAGTAGTCGCCGGCCACCTGCACGCCATCCCAGAACTTGCCCGTGGGGTGGGCCACGTTCAGCACCAGCGTCAGCACCTGGATGATGCCGATGACGATGGCCACGATCACCGTGAGGGAGGTGAGGACGATGGAGTAGTACAAAAAGGCGATGGGGTCGCGGTGGTTCTTGGCGGCGGTGACTTCCCCATCGCCCTCGTGGGAGGATTCATTCTCATCGGAGGCGGGGTCGGGGTCGCTCTTGGGCGGGAGGAAGTTGGCTGACGGCTGGACGTAGAGTGAGAGCATGAGGGCGCCGTCGGTGGTGTCGAGGAGACACATTCCGGCTGCATCATCAGCTTTTTTTATTCTCCTTGTTGGGCGGGTGGTTAATGGATGGGTAGTTAGTTACCAGTAAACAGTGCGGGGAAAATCAAAATCACCCAAAAGTTCGTCCCCTTGGCCGCCTCTACCGAGGAAATTCCTAGCAAGGCGATCTCCGAGGAGGTGTCGAAGCCGAGACCAAATAAAATCCCGAGGGGATACATCTTCCATGGCCTGTGTTCCGCCAGTAAGCCCGTGCGCGAGAGCCTGCTTCTGGAGGGTACGGGGCTTACCGGTCAATCAACTTGAACATGCGCTTCAGCACCTTGAACAAAACCCCGCCGCCCTCGATCTTCCACATTTCATCCTCTTGGCCTTCGGGCAAGTCCAACACCTTTTGCATCTGCCGGTACAACTTGTAGAGGATGTAGGCGTTCATCACGCCCAACAGGATCAAGAAGGCGGCGCTGACAGAGGTGCCGATGATCCCGCCAATGGTGCTGAAGCTGTCGAAGCGCGAGGAGATGGCGGCCGCGGTGGCTGCGACCACGATCGAGGTGATGATCACGATGCTGCGTTGGTGTTAGCATGGAGGGAGCTCTGGTCGAACGAGAGGAGGAGGGGGGGACCACAGTACGTGGAGTGGCCGAGGGAGAAGAATGTCCCCACGGTGACGGGCTTTTGGCCGGTCGCTAGCAATCTCCGGGTCATGAGGTCGATGGCCTGTCGTCTGGAGTCAGTACTGATATGCATGGGGCTGCAGGGGGAAAAAGAATGAGGGGTACCGAGATATGGTCGGCGTCAAAGGCGTGTCTCATTCCCAGGGTGTAGGAAAGGACGGCGTTGGACACCAGAGATCTGGGGTGCAAGGTCAGCTGCATCCTACCAGCACATGCTGCGAGGATTAGGCTTACGGGTGATATCTCTGCAGCGCATGTTAGTTCGTACCCAACTCCGACATCAAGGCTGGTCAAACATACCAAGACAATCGCCGCGGCAATCCACACGACCACATTCAAGAAGGCGATGAAGAGGATAATCCCGATGGCAGAAAGGGGAATCTTTCGGATCCCAGGTAGTCGACGGTGCGACTTTTCGGCCTGCTGGACCAGAAACTTGGGGGTCCATTTGCGATCAAGGGTGTCGTGGACCGAGCTGGTCTCCCCCGGAGAGGGAGAAGAAGAGTCCCGCATGGTGGGTTGCAGGCAAAGGGAGGGATTCGAGAGAGCAACTCAAGTTCTCTGGTGGTTGATGCGAATGGCCACAACTTGGCGGCAGCCAGGGTTGGGTGTGCGGGGGAGAGGGGTTGATTACACCTCGTAGTAGTAGGTATGTATACGGGCAGGGTTTTTAAAAAGCCAAGATGAGGGGCAGCCAGCAGAGAAACTGGGTTGATAAGATGCTTAGTCCCGATAAGAGTCTAAGGGAGGGGAATTATCATTATTCACGCCAACCACTCACAGGAGGGGTGTAGATATTCTGCAAGAAATCTGAGATCATTTTCTCCGCATCACAACTTCGGAACCGTTCGGAGGTGCCCGCTACTGCCCCTACGGTCTACCAACTACAATATGCCTCGATGTCGCCCTTTTCCTTTTCTGCGGGGTGACGCCCCGTCCCCGTCCTCATCGGCGCGGTTAGCAGTTAGCAGATAGTAATGAACAACCATCTCTGACCAACAATGATCATCACTAATAGCGACCTCTGAAGGACGGTGAATATTGGTAGTATGTCCTGGTTATGATTCTTGGTTCATTTAGAATCAATATAACTCGTTTCGTCAATATTGAGGGCACCTGGATTGGTGGATCTATTCAGGACAGGTACTTAATCTAGGGAACATGTTACGGGACGGATGGATCGTGCTGATCGAAACGTGCCTTAGAACAAGAAGAAATAGCTGAAGAGCTATTTCGTCGGTTCATGCGGAAATTCTTTTGAGTGTGTGTGCTAAGCCAGCGCTAGTTTAGTGTATAGTGTACGAGGCCTCAGGTACTAACTGGTGCCTGAAGCTGAGCTCTATATCAGGGCCTTGGTCCCATAACAGGGGCCTTCTTTCCCTGGATCCTTTTGGGGTTCCTTTTAGAACAAAACAACATTTTCAAACATTCATGATCTCATATTTCCCTACGGATAACCCGTAGATGACAGTATCCGCCTCATTGCCATAGCTCCCGATTTCCCTGTCAACTTCCAACTGCTGAACTATAGCCCAATTACTACTAATGGTACTTATACCACATGGATTCTGTGAGAACCTAGCTCAACAGTGAACTAGTTTCAGCTATCATGAATAAAATAGATATACTGAATTCATCTTTTAGATACATTACTATATCTACAATGTATTCTTGACGAGAGAATAGAGAAGGGTTCAATACTGTCTTCAAGATATCTAGTAATTAAGTGACTATATCTGGATCCTAGTAGCTAATACTTTTACTTTTACCAATCTTGCTTAGCTTTGTGACTTCGATAATTGCTTCAAAATATCAAGTCTTGGCTAAATAGGTATCCTATTACTCCAGATCAGGACGAAAGTGCTCGTGCTAGACTACAAGCTTTGGATATCAAGAGGGAGAAACCAATCAATGGTAAGAGATAGCCTCTATTGCCTCCCCGGGCTCGGCTACGAGGAACAAGAAGCCGCGATAATCGAGGAAGGAGCACGCGCTGCACGAGATCTCGAACTGGTTGAGCGGTATACTAATCTTATCATGGATGACGGGGAGCGACAGCGCGCGCACGCGGCTGTTGGCGGATCTGCACTTCGGGATCGCTACGGGGTCGAGCGTGCGCATGTACTGTGTACGACTTCGATCGCGGGGACGACGAGGTGTTTCTGTTCGAGGAGTGCGCGTGGGCCAAGCAGGCGTGGCCGCGGTTGAATGTGCGCGAGACGCTGATCACGTTTTCGAACCTGGTGGATTGCATTGCGGGGTGTGAGAACTAGTTAAACCTGCTGGTATAGGCTGGAGATGTCAGATTACGTTTTGACTTAGCGTGGACGTTTACCAAGTAGGAAAGAAGGCAAAAATAAAAAAAAATGCCTAGCTTCGCTAAGTTGGATTATCTCTATAAGTATCTCTGTACTAGTTCCCAAGTAACTGATACTGTTTGTAAGGACTCAGTCAGGAATCTAAAACTCCACAATATATGCCACAGACAATATACCAAGAATGTAAGCCCCATTCCCATCTATTGCCCCCAAAGCAACATTTAGCAGGCAGAAACTAAACTGTTCCGCGACCTGACTGAATTGCGCTCCTGTAACCCGGATTCCCCCAATTATATCTGGTTAACTATAATAATTATATCCGTAGTCCCCGTCTCCGCGCCAGCTATATACCTATTTTACCCCTGCGGGGTGGTAACAAACGTACTAGTAACACTTATATTTAATAACAGATCGGTATTAACTTATTCAGACTTAGGGTTCTTGGCAATCTATAACAACCGCCCTAAAATTGTATACTCCAACTTCAGCTTAATATTACTAATACGCGATAGGCTTAAATATAATCTGCAGCGTATAGTACCCGGTATACTCGATCGCAACGACCAATTGATCCAGCACGAGAATAATAATATTAATAACGAACAACTAGACCAGAATCAGGCGGCGCGAGCGCTCGGACCGCAGACGCAGCTTCTTAATCATTTCGTAGACGTAAATCCCGGAGAGAATAGCCTTCTGGACGCAGAAGACGACGAGCTGGATGCGCTTTATAGTATTGTAGCCGCGACCACAGAACCAGCAAGTGGCCCGTCACCATGCAGTACCAGGTCAGCACGATCAGGGTCACCGACGGCATTATGAGCATGGTCATGCCTGTCGACGTCCACGAATATCACCCAATTGACAGGTGGTTAGACTCCACGAAATGCAGCCGTTTGTTCATTCGCAGCATGGGTAAAGAACTTTGTCAATTCCTGTTGCGCTTGATTTGACCCTAATAAAACTTCAGGGCCAGTTGCCCTCGCTGCTTTGATCTGCTCCGCGAGTGGCCGTTGAGTGCCTGGCTTTGTGGATGAACAAAATCTCTTTTTCATACTCGCTACTTATATGAGTTTGTTTTATCTTTTTTAATCTTTCCTTCCTTTGTTGGTCAGAATGCAACACTGTTCTTTCCACAAGACTTTCGATGACATTCCTCCATCGCGTGCTCACAATATGGCGGCCCAATCCAGAAAACATTAATCCAAGCCCGGGTGTTCCTTTTCGCGGCGTTGTAGCCCCTCCCGCTCAGTTGGGAACCCCTAACGCATTAATCATCTACTCACCTCGGCAAAAACAGCGAATAAAACCTGGTTATTTACCAGGCAGCCCTCCCATGGGATCCGCGCGCTGCGATATCCGGCGAGCAGTCGCAGATCCAGCTCAGAGATGCTGAGGTTCTTCGTGTTGTAGCTTATGACCAACTGTAGGGCTACAGCGCACACGGCCGTGTCTGCGTCATTGTCGTTTGCCTAAGCTGTTTTACCAAAAACTGTTAACTGGTCAAAATAATATAATCTCTTATTATTACTTAACAACTGCTATTTTTATGATGTTGGTGTGATCTACAGAAAATCCTGGTTACTGCTTCGACAATTCCAAACTTCCCCAGCGGTCCATAAACAAATAGCCACTGAAAGCTATGCTCTTTATAAGCTAACCTTTGACTTGGGTCTTTTCCTTGGTAATTAGAAATCGAATGAATATCGGTACGGTTTCTCAAAATAATCAGTGTATTCCAGGAGAAACAGGAGATCAAAGCGGGGTGTTCTCTTGGCTGGCTGATTTTGAAATGATGTTGGTCACAGTCGAAATAATTGCAAGATCTCAAAGGTACAGTGTACGCCTCCAGCTTGGATTCGACGAACCATCGAGGGGAAAGACAGATTCCAGGACTTGAAACATTGATAAAGGCAGCACTCAATCCCCGAATACGCCAGCAGGTGTGAGCTATAATACATCTGAGACAAACTAACAGGTTCAAATGTAGGTTCATACGTCGCTTCATAAATGGGAGGAAAGTCCCCAGACTCCCTGCAGCACTTTAATCTCACGCCGGGATCCAGTTCAGTAGACTGTCAATATGAACATCATATCGATGAGGCTCGAAGTGAGGCTCGTTGTACCCAGTCAAGTCACACTTCAATTTTGTCGGCTGAAAATGGGCCTCAGCAGATCATACACAATGTTGTGGTCATATTCTCGAGTCAGTTAACATCACTCGCTTGCAGGGGGCACAATCAATTAGGAGAAGCGAATAATGCCCTTCAACACAGCGACACAGGAAGTCAGATATCGTTTAGCGGTTTCTCAACCCGCTGCCGCTAAATGGCTACAAGCCAATCTGGCCCTACGTTGATGGGCACAAGGCGCAATTCTCGACTAAGCGGGGCAATTCTCAATAGATAGTCCCTACTGCTACAACACTGATTTTGCCGATTTGGGTGCTAAGACAGGATTTGTCTTAGTGCATGTCTCCTCATAGCCTCATGGTTTTTGATTGCCGATACTTCCGGTCTTTCGGTGGGTCAAATCAATGCTGCTTACAAAGAGGGCGTCACGCCTCGATACTTTGTCAAATGGATCGAGTCAGATTCTCTTTGGACATCAAAGAGCAAGGAAAAAGGCATCCGCGGTACAAATTAGTGTACACTCAAAGTATATTCACTTCATTTTAGAAATGGGTACTTCAGTACTAGCACTATGTATAAAGGAATATCTCAAATACCTGGTCCGTCCGATTTACCGACTACACTGTATATCTGCCGAGTTTTGAACCTCTAATCAAGACTAGCAGATATCATGATCACTTATTTCGGATGAAGTCTGGGGTGGATCCGACTCTGCACGCCGTACCAACTTGAGTCATCATCCAAATCAGTGCATTTCTCGGCTAAAAGATGACAAAGGGAGAATTTGATCGAAATGTAAACATGAATCGTCAACATGGGTCCAGAAAATGTTCTGCTTGAATAGCTCAAAAGTATTGTCAGCCTCCCATGGTGCGTCTCCATTTTGAAGCGTGCGACAATTCAGCTCCTCCATCAAGAAATCGGAGGGTTGGGCCGTGGCTGATATGAGTTCTTTCTGCTCAACCAACTTATTGCTGTATGTGGACGAGATGGGAGGCGTTGTTTGCGTACAAGAAGACATGAAAAGAGAGTGCACGTCTGTTGCTGCCGCGGAGCCGGAGCTCTTCTCGGCCGATATTAGGCAACGCATGTTATTAGTATCCCGCCGCACCTGATGCGAACTTCGAGATAGCCTATCGACGCAATCATCATGGGGCTGATTCAAGACTCCAAGCCACGTAAGTAGGTCGTGAGTAAGTGGATGGCCGTTATCCTCAAGCTTCAAGGAACTATCAGGACTCCCTTCGCACACAGCTAAGAGACGGTAGAATTTTTGCAGACCAAAGACCAGCCACTGTTGTTCCTGCTCCAGGAACTCGACATATCTGCCAGATATTCGTTGTGAGATTTTAGTCTGTATCATTAGACGTGAATAGATATGCGGATGAGCTCACCCCTTAGGGTATACCCTATCTTGCATCTTCTTCTTTGCCCCAAAGACACAGATGGTTCTGTCTGTTTGACATCGCAGACATGGGCTTTCTCCAGTGCACTTATATAGTCAGCTCTTTTCCAGGATCATCACTAATGCCTCATCGTAATATTCTCTTAACCTACCTTGATCTTCCTAAGACGGCAACGATCGCATGCTTTATGGACACGCTTACGGACCTTATCTGTTGGCGAACAGTGGATGGATGGCTTTGCTTGACGTGGCATGTCTATAAGTAAGAATGTGCGTAGATGTGCAAAATCAAAAGCCTTGATGAATGTTCAGAACTGATGCAGAAATAGGGGAGTCGATTTTATGGATTCTATATCGTAGTCTTTACAGTCGAAGCTCATCGACGCAAAACATATAGATCGTTTATGGTCAAGACTACGCAAAGACATAGTACATCAATCTAACATGGGGTGCTGACCCGGGGGTTCTTTGTGGGGCAAAATCGAACTTCCCAAGTCCCTGTCTTGTGCACGATTCGGCACGCATAACGAGTTCGATTGGCATTGCCGACCCGGTAGTTAATCCAAGGGTCGGAAGGCCCCACCCAAGGCATTCGCTAAGTTACTCCTTCACCTCCGCAAGCGCAATTAGCAATAAAAATGATTGCCTGAAGAAGTTAAGGCAAACAATGATAGATCTTTTTCTGATACGAAAGAACTGCTCATTCGGCTAGATGAAATATGGAAACATGGCTCCTAATAACCTATCCTTGAGATTACTTTCTAGTAGCAGGACCGTAACCCCTATCAATTTTAAGCCATGCGAGCTACCAGTAAACTGCCTGATATCCAACATACGTTCTATTTCCACAGGGCCCGGAAACTCCACGTCTTCATCGTGAAAAGAAACACAAACTTCCATGCATGAGGCTTTCAGCACGTCGATCGGAGGTCTGTATCTGGTGAGGGAGTATGCAGTAAAGCCGGTGCTTACTTTGTAATCCTTCGCGTGCATGTATAGACTATCGAAGTTAATAAAAATATGCATCCCTAATCCAGATCCCACTTTTTATGCCACGATTGTGAATGAATTTGCCGTTATCCGATAATGCAAAGAATGCCTTGCTTTTCTAGCAGTCGTAGCCGGGTTTTCGGCCCTTTCCTTTCTTCAAGCGCAATGACACCTTTCCCACCAGGGCATTCTAGACTGTGAGTAGCCCCCCCTCATGGAAACATTGATCTGCTCGCTCCACCGCATATATATAAGGGTGATATACCCATAACAGTATATCCAATGTGTCTTTCAGGCTCGATTCGATGCTAAAGGCTTGACCTTGCTCTGTTAGATTTGCTCTTTTTGTTCTCTCTCCACTCTCCTGCGACTCTCTTCTGTCCAAGAAACATCTTACAGATCCTCTATTCCTGACTGAATTTTGAATGCTTACCATAATCATTGCTTCAAATTGAGAGATCTGGCATCCAAATTCTAGAGATGGAAGAACAAGCGAACCCAGCACTCACGGAAAAAGCTGTCTATGTTCGTGAGGAGCAGAGCCATGAGACCCTCACAACTCTCCACGATGGTGAAGAACGTCTTTCAAAGGCGCCGGTCTCTGCGGAGCTGTCTGCCAAGGTTTTGAGCATGCAAGAACGAGATCTGGCTGCAGGGTATAACAAGCGCGAGCTAGGGGTCACCTGGCAGAACCTGAACGTCGAAGTCCTTTCAGCAGAGGCGGCAGTTAACGAGAACTTCGTCTCGCAATTCAACCTCGTTCGACTTGCACGTGATTTCCGCAAAAAGGCTCCGATGCGATCCATCCTGATGGACAGCCATGGCTGCGTGAAGCCAGGGGAAATGCTTCTTGTTCTGGGCCGTCCGGGCTCCGGCTGTACTACCTTGTTGAACGTCCTCTCCAACCGGAGAGTTGGCTACCGATCGGTCACGGGCAATGTCAGCTTTGGTAGTATGACACCTGAAGAGGCCGTGCCGTATCAGGGCCAAATCGTGATGAACAGCGAGGAGGAGATCTTTTTTCCTACTTTGACCGTGGGCCAGACCATGGACTTTGCCACCCGGCTGAAGATCCCTTTTCACCGTCCTGAAGGGGCCTCGCCGGCAGACTGGGCGGGGGAATTCAAGCAGTTTCTCCTGGAATCTATGAAGATCGCACATACCCATGAAACTAAAGTTGGAAACGAGTTCGTGCGTGGCGTCTCTGGCGGAGAGAGGAAGCGCGTTTCCATTATCGAGTGTATGGCAACAAGAGGCTCGGTTTTTTGTTGGGACAACAGCACTCGCGGCTTGGACGCATCGACGGCTCTTGAATGGGCAAAAGCTCTGCGAGCGATGACCGATATCCTGGGCCTCACCACGATTGTGACATTATACCAAGCTGGCAACGGTATTTTTGATTTGTTTGACAAGGCCTTGGTGCTGGATGAAGGCAGGCAAATATATTACGGCCCTGCATCCTCGGCAAAGCCTTTTATGGAAGAGCTAGGGTTTTGCTATACCGATGGCGCCAATGTGGCGGATTTTCTGAGTGGTGTCACCGTGCCAACTGAGCGGAAGATTCTCCCAGGGTATGAGAATTCCTTTCCCAGAACTCATGATGAACTTCTCGCAGTCTATCAGAAGTCGCCAATTTGCAAAGATATGATGACGGAATATGACTATCCCACGACACCACTGGCCAAGGAAAGGACGGTTGCATTTCAAGAATCTGTCGCTTTCGAGAAAGATAATTCACTGCAGAGAAACAGTCCCTTCACCATCTCGTTCCTACAACAGCTCAAAATCTGTGTCATCCGCCAATATCAAGTCATCTGGGGTGAAAAGGCCACATTCTTTATTCGACAATTTGTGTCTCTGGCCATGGCTCTAATTGTGGGCTCCTGCTTCTATAATTCACCGGATACTTCAGCTGGTTTATTTACAAAAGGTGGGGCGATCTTTTTCTCCCAGGTCTACCAGGTGACCCTGGCCATGGCTGAAGTCACCGGCTCATTCAGAGGGCGACCGATTGTGCTCAAACACAGAGCTTTCGGCTACCACCATTCAGCTGCCTACGCTCTAGCAATCCTAGCCGCAGAACTCCCTGTCGTCATCTTTCAATGTACCATTCTGACGGTTGTTCTGTATTGGATGGTTGGTCTCAAGGCAACGGCTGGTGCCTTTTTCACCTTCTGGATCATTCTCATTGCTATAACATTCGTAAGTCGCATCTACCCGGTTCGCTGCAGGAACGGTGGGGTACGAGGGAGGGATAGTGATACCCACTAGAAGTACCTGTGGGTCGTGCGCTGACTTCAAACTAGTGTATCAATGCCATGTTCCGGTCAATTGCTGCAGCATCCCCGAATCTGGAAGTGGCATCCAATCTATCTGGTGTCATCATGAAATTCCTGGTCATGTACACTGGCTACATGATTCCCAAACCTCACATCAAAAATTGGTTTGTGGAGCTTTACTATGCGAATCCAATGGCCTACTCGTTCCAAGCTGCTTTGACCAATGAGTTTCATGATACCACAATGCCTTGTGTCGGCTCGTCTTTGATTCCCCACGGAGAGGGCTACAGCAACTCTGAGTACCAGTCTTGCGCTGGTGTCCAGGGGGCAGAAAAGGGGGCTACCTTCGTTACTGGTGACAACTATCTTGCTGCTCTTCACTGGAAACATTCGCAACTCTGGCGCAACTTTGGAGTGATTTGCGGATGGTGGGCATTTTTTGTGATTATAGCAATTGTGTCAACGTGCATGTGGAAGGCCCAAGGAGCAGGCAGCAGCTCGCTTCTCATCCCTCGAGAAAAAATGAAGCACTTTCAGCATCATAACGATGAAGAAACCCAATCATCAGGCAACAAAGAATCGCCGACGATCCGGACCATTGCCGCTAATGATGATCAGAACGGAGCTAATCTTATGCGGAATACTTCGGTCTTCACGTGGAAAAACTTGACATATACCGTCCAGACTCCCTCGGGAGATCGCGTGCTTCTGGACAATATTTATGGATGGGTTAAACCCGGAATGCTTGGTGCTCTCATGGGATCATCTGGAGCGGGTAAAACGACTTTACTTGATGTACTGGCACAACGAAAAACCGAGGGCACGATTCGGGGAACTGTCTTGGTTGACGGCCGTGAACTCCCAATGTCTTTTCAAAGAATGGCAGGATACTGCGAACAACTTGATGTTCACGAACCGTTTGCAACTGTGAGAGAGGCCCTCGAATTTTCAGCCCTTCTTCGTCAACCTGAACATGTCCCGAAGGAAGAGAAATTAGCCTATGTTGATACGATTATTGATCTCTTGGAACTTCATGATCTTGCAGATACATTGATCGGAAGTGTCGGTGAGGGACTAAGTGTCGAACAACGCAAGCGCGTTACCATTGGCGTTGAGCTTGTTTCCAAGCCCAGTATTCTCATCTTCTTGGATGAGCCGACATCTGGGCTTGATGGCCAATCTGCTTATAATACAGTCAGGTTCCTGCGCCGGCTGGCTGATGCTGGTCAGGCAATCTTGGTTACCATTCATCAACCCTCTGCACAATTATTCGCTCAGTTCGACACACTTCTTCTTCTCGCTCGCGGGGGCAAAATGGTTTACTTTGGCGATATCGGTGATAATGCTTGTACAGTCAAGGGCTATTTCGCACAGTACGGAGCACCCTGTCCCGTGACCAGCAATCCTGCTGAACATATGATTGATGTGGTCACTGGCGGCATCGAAGCTGTGAAGGATAAGGATTGGCATGAAGTTTGGCTTGATTCTAAAGAGAACGCCGCCGCCTTAGCGGAGCTGGATGAAATCGTTGCCGACGCTGCTGCCAAACCACCAGGAACCGTCGATGACGGTAAAGAGTTCGCCACATCCCTCTGGACCCAAATCAAGCTTGTTACGCAAAGAATGAATGTGGCCTTGTTAAGAAACACCAAATATGTGAACAACAAACTGGAGCTGCATATTATCTCTGCCTTGCTGAATGGATTTTCGTTTTGGCATCTTGGGCATACTGTTCAAGGTCTGCAGCTGAAAATGTTCACCATCTTCAATTTCACCTTTGTCGCACCGGGTGTGATTAATCAGCTGCAACCTTTGTTTATTCAACGCCGCGATATATATGATGCTCGCGAGAAGAAGTCGAGAATGTATTCTTGGATTGCCTTTGTTACAGGCCTTATTGTGTCTGAATTTCCTTATCTCTGTCTCTGTGCTGTTGCCTACTTTGTCTGTTGGTACTACCAGACCAACTTGCCTCATGCATCGAATGAAGTTGGTGCAACTTTCTTCATTATGCTCATCTATGAGTTTATTTATACCGGTATCGGGCAATTTGTGGCCGCCTACGCTCCAAATGCAACATTTGCAGCTCTGGTCAATCCTCTGATTGTCAACAGCTTGGTGTTATTCTGTGGCGCTTTTGTTCCTCAGCCAGAGTTGAATGTTTTCTGGAAGTATTGGTTCTACTACCTGAATCCTTTCAACTATGTTGTGGGCGGCATGCTCACATTCGGAATTTGGAATGCCGAGGTGGAGTGCAGCTCAGAGGAATTTGCTTATTTCGATCCGCCTAACGGAACATGCAAAGACTATCTGGCTGAGTTTATGGCTGGCGCAGGCTCGGCCATCAATCTCATCAACCCAGAGGCAACCTCCCAATGTCAAGTCTGTGAATATAGCCGGGGAAGGGATTACCTGAAGACACTTAACATCGAGCACTACTACTATGGCTGGCGCGATGCTGGAATCTGCGTCATCTACGCGATCAGCGGCTATATGTTGGTGTTTGCCATGATGAAGCTTCGAACTAAGGCTTCCAAGAAGGCAGAGTAGGAGCTAGGCTCTCTCTGACAGAATAGTGATGACAACACGAAGCCGAATGCCATGACACCCAAACGTTCGAGCTTTGTTCAAATATCAAGAGGAACGATCAAGGCAAATTCCTTATAAAGAGAACCTCTGTTAGCAGAATTCAAGTTCCTGTACAGGTGCTCAACTCTAGATTTCTTTCTCCGCTTGCGCATCGTGTTCCCATCCTATGTATTCGTCCGCCAAGGATATTGCGCTAAACCGAGCGCGGAGCTGCATTTCGGGAGAACCTTGGTCTTGTTTATCGGGTTGAGAAATGTCAATGATAGAAGAAGTGAATTCAATGAGAAGGCTATTGTAGTCAAGGAGCGGAACACCAGATCGCAGTATCAAGTTAGGGCTGAAGCGACGATATCCACGACTGGTCGATTTCATGCGGGGTCTGGGTAAGCTGTAGATCGGTGTCCGGAACAGCGTAATCAGATATTGAAGTAAAAGGTAGCCTACAACTGCCGTAGAAACATTTCATTTTGTTTAAGCAAAGACCTTTGTATGAAGGATTATCTTTTGATTGGTGTTGTCTTATAGAAGACATCTTATCCAATAAACTAAGAATATGTAGATAACTTCTTAAAATACGCAAAACAACGGTATCCACAGACCGCTTCGCAGGAACCGATGTTTACTGGATACTGGAAGTTAGACTAGTCCGTCCTAGTCTCATGTCCTTCTATTGCAAGAGTAATGAAACTGGCCTGCTCTGGAAGTATATCCTTCTGCTGTTACGGCCGCGATTCAAACCGCTACATTATTAGTACCTTAACTATGATCAGATCTTGAAAAAAGTACCGTCGATAGATTTTAGTACTAACGATATTTAATATAATTAACTATTTAGTGTTTAGCTATACTACAGCCAGGTATATAAAGTTTTTAAATTTAACTATTTACTGGTGGTCAAGTAAGAATATTTCCTTGAACCTGACCTGACCTGGCCGTTCGCCACTCTGATTATAACAGATAAGGCTATACTTTCTTAAGAGTTTTGTTTCACCTAAATTTACATTTTTAAGAGATATAAGCTAGTAACTATATATTTATACTTCATTAGAGCCTTTTTTTTATTCACTGTATATTCTAACCGATGTGCTTTGAAGCATATCATCAGAGACTTGAAAGTTCATGAAAGCATATATGAGGCATTGATGCTGCACTGGAGATCGATATTGAGAATGCGTACAAGGAGTTGGAAAGTCTGTTGGAGGACGAAAACATCAACTAATTATATATACGTTCATTTAATACTAACAAATATTCAGAAAGCGAGGCAGAATTGTTTAAGAAAGCAGCTTTAGAGATTCACTCACCTCTGCTGTTTTTAAAGACTAGAATAGCAGAGTTCACTTTCAGAGTTCATTTAACGATGTTTACAGAGAGTAAACATAATTGAGCAGGCTTGCATTTAGGCTTGCGCGACCTGGCAGCCTACAATATGGCATGCTTATGTGTGACATGTGACCTCTGGCTTTTTGCGAAACAACCCTGTGTGTCCTGACACGGATAACGATAGCAGTGTTTCCGGGGAGTACTTGAACCATGTCACTTGTTTAGGACAGATCGTAGCAAATTCAATGGCAAAGAAAAGTCAATACCCTGCCTTTTGTATAGCAGAGATCCTTAGCAATAATCAACACTGTCATCTGCTCTTTGTCTTCTTTCTTCTCCGCTTCGAGAATCTTAACTTCTTTCTGGCGTTCATTTTGCATGATGAATTACTCTGCTTAAATTTACGTATAACCGGTGACCACAGCCTGCGGCAAGCTCGATCGGGTTCCGTAATCCTGATATTTCGTCCTAGGCTCACTATTTATAATTTTTTTTCCAAGACTAGGGTGTAATTCTGCAGAATTATCACAGTAAGAGACTTTAACCACCATACCTTTTGCTTCTTTTACCTTTCTCGAGTATAAAACTAAACACTCTTATTATAAACCTGGTTGGCTCAAGGACATTAGGCTACCTTATGACTAAAGGAAACCAGAAAGAGGAAGAGAAGCAAGTACTAGTCAATGTCTTGTAGGTATAGCCATGAAACCTAGCCAAAGTCAGAATCATACCCTTTGGGTTTAATCTAGACGTACGACAAGGTTGTTAACACCATCAGTTCCCGCCAACCTACCCGGTGACGGCCAGCTGACAAGTTATTTCACAAATACATTCTCCGTATATTTCAAAAATTTCAATCAATCCGGCTCTTCAACCCAACTGAACTTGACTTGTCTCAATTGGGAAAAAATTAGTGAGCTGGATTCATTATTGAATAAGTTGTCTAGACGTCCTTCTTGTGCAGCTCTTTGATTTGCTGGCTCAGATCTTCACAAGCCGCACGACGTTCACGAGCGATTGAAAAGAAGCGCTCCTTGGGGGGTATGAAACCGACGAAAACCTCGTCATCTCCACTGGAAAGTCCAGCCCAGGCCTGGTCCGTAAATTCGTCTAAGGGCATTCCCATTTGACGGCCCCGTTCAGGGCCTATATAATCATGCAGTTCCGCTGATACGTAATTGACACATTAATGACCGTTCGTCGCGGGTTATGGTGATAAGCAGAATCAACCTACTTTGAACAGCTGGCGGGAAAAGTTCAATCACTTTAACTTGCGAATGAGCGTCAGTCAATTGACACCGTAGACACATAGCGAACGTATTTAATGCCGCTTTGGATGCACAGTAGCCGAGCAAAGAAGGAGCCGGAACAATTGCAAGGTTGGACTGGGTGCTATGTTGCGGTCAGCTTCAATGAATGGAGGCAACCAGAAAGAGAATCTGACAAGATAATGCTTGTGGCATTCTCCTTCCCAGACAAGAAAGGAAGAAAGGCGGTAGCGAGTGAGACTGCAGCAGTATAGTTGATATGCATTATCTGATTATAAATGGATAGATCAACAGAATCGGCGGACGTAAAGTCAGTTGCCCGCTGAAAACCGGCATTGATGAATACACAGTCTATGTTAGGATACCGACGAGTTACCTTGTTCGACAGGTTAGATATTACTAAAGGTTGGAGAAGGATCTGCATCTGAACAGGGATTAAGAAGGACCACTTACTCTGCCACCATTTGAGGGATAGCATCAATTTGGCCGATATCAAATGCCACTGCGTGGGCTTTGTCGTCACCATTTTCTTGAACCCATGCATCCAGGCGATCTTGACGCCGGCCCATGGCAGTCACTTCGATATTATGTTTGAGCATTTTATTAGCCATTGCCAATCCAATACCAGAGGTAGCTCCGATAAGCAGAACATGTTTGTAAGGGAAATTCATTGTCGAAGCCATTGTTTCCGAAGGTTGGGGCTGCGTGTTGGTAAAAAGAAAAAAATTATTTGAGTGAAACACGGGGGGGGGGGGGCACAAGTTGAGTTATATTGCGCTTTACAATCCATTTTACTTTTTTAGAGCTTGGAATTTAACTGACCCTTTTCCGTGACTGCGGGATTTCAGTAATTTAGAATCACTTTTACACAGACTCTACGGACCGAGCCACTAGTAGCGAATCTTGTTCTGCCTCGTAACGGATTTTTAGGATTGCTCACGGAAGTAACACCGGATGCACAAACTCCGACAAAATTGGGGCCCGCTTTCCCTTACCACTAAACTGCTGCATAGTATACGTACTGGTTTCTCGTGTTGCCGAATATGAAAGGGGCTTTGTGCATGTATCCAGTACACGCCTCAAAAGATTCCATTTCCATGGTTCGAGGATTTTTACACTCAACGCAGATATAGCATTTCGTTAAAATGAGCAACATACTAGTAATTTTTAGGTTAAAAATGACGTGATACGTTCTAGAACTGCTATTAATCCACCCTATCATTATGCGGAGAACAAGGTCACTGGTCTATGACTAGTTCAATTCCGCGATTCTCCGCTGGAAGTATTCCTGAACACTTGTCGGTCTCCGCCGAATCAACCACCCTAGCACGTTCGGGTTGCCTTTGATTCCGTAAAAATCATAGTATAGTAGCAGGCGATGAATGGTATCACGGGTACCTGGCGACACATCGGCATTTTTGCCAGCAATGAGAGTCTGCAATTGGCCAGCTGACTCGTAGAACTCTCTTTGTTGAATCTGTATAGGCTTTCCAATTTCTTTGCTTAAAATCTCAATCACATCGGCATAAGAGATCGGCCCAGTAGAGCAAGCCGTATATTCCGCCAAGAAATGCTTTTCTCTTTCTTCGAGGATAATTTCGAACGCTTCAGCCAGATCTTGCAAAACCGTAAATGAGAATTTCACATTCACATTAAAGCTTGCCGGAAAGACAGGCGATTCTGATTTCACCAGCATCTCGACCGGGAACGGATCTAGAATGTGGCTCGGCTGCACGATGGTGTAGTCAAGTCCAGACTCGACCAAATATTCTTCCACGTATCGCTTGCAGTCATGATTCAGTAGTTTTCGGATCCTCGGATGCAATACCGAGGAGTAAATAAAGTGCTTGAGATTACCAATCTGGGATTCGCGACGAGCCGCGTCGATCATGGTAAAGCCCATCTCAGTTTCATGGCAATGAGCAGAAGGCCCAATGTATAGCACCGAAGTAACCCCCGACAGTATCCGCTGGGCATCTTCTATCCTGGCCATATCGGCTTGCAAAACTGTCGCATTTGGGTATTCTGCCTCCAGGCGTTGCGCGGAGGCTGCACTGTTCACTGCGAGTCTTATATGTCTCCATTTATTGTAGAGCAGGGGAATAAGTCGGGAGCATTGTTTGCCGCTCGCGCAGGTAAGAAGGATAACGTCTTTCTCGAAGTCAACAGACATATTGAGAGCCGGTGCCGCCCGTGAGAGCTAAAAAGCCGAAATATAGCCTGAAGCAAATAAGGAGTTTTTTGCTGTATGTACTCCTTAGACTCTCGATTTGAATAGAGCTGGTATTTAGTGTAACGATATCTTAAGTAGGGGTGTGGGGTGTTTGATATCCCGAATACGATTTGGGCTCACGTACTTAATTTAACTAAGCATTGACCTCATACCTACGTGGTTGACAGAAACTCGGAACTGCTTAACACCGACCACCGATCTCAACCTTTCATGTGACCAATCACAATTTCAATCTTCCGGAAATGGTCGAAAAGTCCGCTAGCAAACAACTTACAAAAATACTCAACGTGGTTTTCCGATGCCAGCCCCAACCAGCCGTACTCAGGGAACAGGCCATTTCATTGTCATATTAGCCCTTATAATGGTCGAACTAGTCGTCTGAAGCAAAGATGGCGTATGTATTGCGGCACATCTAATTCCTCCACCTTTCCGAAGATGGTTCAAAAGCGTTGGTTGTCGTAGAACTCTCCATTGAAATGATTAACCACTGCGTAACAGCCGTTGAAAAATAGTAATGTAATTATCAGCCGAGCGAGCCAGGCAAGCGAGCGAGCCACCTGTAAACTCTATATTGAATCAATACACACCAGCTAAATTAAAAGTCTAAATTTTCTACCACTTCCTATTAGATTTGTATAATCTTACTACTTAAAGAATAGAAAATTTTCTAAAGTTTCAGCTAAAATGTCTTCATTACAGCAGTAATCACTTATAGGATATCGTAGGTAATATATTCTGTATTCTTTGTATATAACTATTATTTAAGATAGAAAATCTATCTCTTCAACATATACATTTTCTTCAGATAGTAACATACTTTAGATTTTTTAATTTGAATTAATATCTATGTTAATTATCAAGATTCTAAGATTTTCAACTTATGTCTACTATATATAGAATACAAAGCTGGCTCGCTCGCTTGCCTGGCTCGCTCGGCTGACAACTACCTTACTCCACAAGGATGATTAAGGTAATCCTGACGAGTTTGGAGGCTGCAAGATCAGATATGTGAACTGGTGCTACATATACACAGCATATACCCAGGCAGCTACGCCTCACTTGCGCTGTTTGATGCAGAATAGATCGTGATTATGTATCCACGCGTTTGCCATCTATCTGAGCCTTGAGACGATTGATCAAGCCTTCTGGGCCACTTTCAAACTGTACATCTGGAAAGTTGCATAGGCTTTATGGAGAACACTGCTCCGTATTGGTAGATATATGCCCTGGTGAGCTAAATTGCGGGGTCATCGGAACATTAGTCGAGAATGGAAAACACCTACCATACCATTTTCCGTTCTCCCTAGCCCCCCCTGACTGATTGAAAAACCGAGTGCGTCCATCGGCAAGGAGCCGCCGCGCTCTGGGGCCGCAAGGGAAATCGGTGGCTTCAGTGATGTAGGGGGCAAAACCTCTCGCGACCAGATAGATCCTTGACCATCCTCTAGCACCACGAATACGGAGGCGAACATAAGAGCTAGATGCACAATAGAAGGTAGGGACAGAGCGTTAGATTGACACTCCTATTATTCTACCATTCTAACTATTTGTCGGATATTTTTGGATCACATCACTTATACTCCACAGTCCTTATTGACATTAGCCGACTTCACCTTCGGAACATGGAATTAAAGCTCACGTTTTGCTCCCGCCATCGGGTAATCCAAAGCCTAGTGGGGCGGATATTAACACTAACTCCGAAAATTAAATGTGCGAGCCGACCCAGCAATGACGGAGATAGGGGCTCGAAGAGCGAAAAATCCGCGGTAGAGCATTGACACACACAGACCGAACATTCCGTTTCTTTCTTATTCTTGTTTAAGTTGGAGCTCTGAAAAGTGGGCCCGGAAGGAGGGTTCAGAGAACGTAACGAGTACATTAGCGCACATGTGTGTTTGTTCCATTAATTCTGATTCTGCGGGTCCTAGCTGGATGTATCTCGAATGATCATGGACAAACACACCATGGGAATCATGATCATGGAGAGTATGGTTCTAAACTGACCGACCACCGACCATAGTATGTCGCTTAAATGCAAGTATAAAAAGACGAACATTCACTGAGAACGAATAATGCAGTAGACTACGGTGTCAGAGCCCTATGATCTCTATTATGCCATTCCAAACCCTGTCTGATGGTCGCAATATCGTGCCAATCATTGTGGGAGGATAGCATCACGAGTGTACCTCGTTGTGTCTGCGAAGACTAACTGGCCCGGTTTGTTATTATCAGTTTGTCACCACCACGGACTGCTCTGCTGCATGCTATGCAGCATGGAAAGCATTCTGTCATGATTATACTAACTATAGACTATGCTGCAGTCTGTATAACATTACTGTGGGATAGATAGACTATAGTATTAGAGCTGTTTTTGAAAACAAGATTACTAGTACTATAGAACTTGTTGATTTTGGAAAAGTTATGTATACTGATTAACGTAGCCTTAAGTATGTTTTGATAAAATATAGCTGTCTGGATTCTAAGCTTAGCTGGCTAGTAGTACTATATACATAATACAACTCTATAAGTAGCTGCGTACTATAACTTAGTACTAGGGTATTAGCTAATAGTTTACTAGAGCAGGAAAATTATAGTACTGCTGCTCGAGGTGCGTATAGAGTGGCTATAGCTAGGTCAGGTCAGGTTCAAAGAAATCTTTATTGGTGAGCTGAGACATGTATTTCAAGCTGACGAGAAGAGTAAAGCGGCGTAAGAAGGGTTCGGTAGCGAGTGCATATCTGGGTAGCAATTGGGAGTCACACTGACTTTGTTGAACCCCTCAGTACCCTTCTCAATGAAGCATGAAAAACGATTAGCACTATATGTTGCGGAACAGGGAGCTATATGCCACTTGAGCTCGCAGGCTTCAAATAGGTATATTAACGACGTGCAACATCAGGGTGTTGAGCACTTGGATAGCGCAAGCTGTAATCTCGCTGATGTAGCCCTTGTCGATCCAAATGTAGGGAAGAATCCAGAGCAGGTGACCGACGATGCCAATAACGAATGAGCGCGCGATTCCAGCGGTTTTGAGTTTCTTTTCTGCCAACATGGCAGAGTAGAAGTAATAAGAAGCAGGCATGAAACTGATTAGAGTGCTGAGAAGGCCTGCGTTGTATTCACCGTCTAGAATGGCTCGCATGACGTGTGTGAGACTGTTGAACATAACCATTCCGTAGTAATTGGCGCCTCCGACAGAAGGACTAGCATATCGGAGAGACCAGGCGCCGATCCACATCATGATGCCATTGACGCCCCAGACTGGCAAAGGAGTAGCCGGACAGTTGTTGAGGTCTGGATAGCCCTACAGAAGCATATGTTCAGCACGAAAGGCCAAGTACCACAAACAATCTCTAGAGCATACATACCAAATTCTCACACAGTGATCGGTGGAAGGAGTAAGGAACGCCCTTGATGTCGTATCCCCATTCTTCGAATTGGTGGATCATGTACATCGGTCCACAAACGTAGCACCACCAGCGAGGATCGTGCACCCTCAGATACCAGGAGTCGAAAGATCGGAGATCACTTGGTCCTCGCGCAGTCTTCCATTCGCCGAGAAGTAGCTGTGCAGCAAGAGCCACGCCGACAGTGAGACTGATCCATGGCCATTGCTTAATCACAGCATCGACTTCGGGGCTCATCTTGAATTTCAGCGTGTACGCAGATGAAATTTACTGTTAGTCCCTCAATGGTGTGTTCTCAGCAACTCGAGTTTGGCGGTCTACTCTCTAGAGGGCGATTGGGTTTCTATATATACCGCGCCTGAGTGAAGCTTGGCTGCATAAAATTACGTCACGTCCGGGAGTCGGGTTGGAGAGTGTTCAATCTCCCCAGGTTACAGGTCAGCAGCCCACTTGGAAAATGTCGCGTGCGCCTAATAGGGTATCAAGGACCATTTTAAGCGCATGTGGGCCTTACCGTCTGTGTTTTTAATTACATTGTATTTAGACTTTTCAATATATGATACCACTCAAAGTACTTACAAGTGGTTAATGACTGTTTTACACTTATTTATTAATTAGATTTTGTAGTCTTTCCCCTCTTTCTATAAGCTCTAGTTCTTTTTCCTTAATCTGAAGCTGTTTCTCTTGTAAATTGTCTTCTCTTTTCTTTAACTGAAAATTATGTTTCTTTAGCTCCAAGATTTGACGCTGTTGCACAGAGTCTAAGATATTTTCCAAAGAAACTCAACAAAGGGTTTCAGCAGAAGATGTTATGGGACCAAGGCCCTGATATAGAGCTCAGCTTCAGGCACCACAGGATTTTTAAAAAAGCCAAGATGAGGGGCAGCCAACAGAGAAACTGGGTTGATAAGACGCTTAGTCCCGATAAGAGTCTTAGGGAGGGGAATTATTATTATTCACGCCAACCACTCACGGGAGGGATGTAGATATTCTGCAGGAAATCTGAGATCATTTTCTCCGCATCACAACTTCGGAACCGTTCGGAGGTGCCCGCTACTGCCGCTACTGTCTACCAACTACAATATGCCTCGAGCATGTATAGTTTATCCTGCCAACTCCAAGTTGTTTGCTTGAAAGCAACAAGAGACAAAGACGTTTTGATCTGTATCTCCTCTTTTTCCCACCACTGTGAGAGATCTTACATCCAAGTGACACAAGATACAAGTACAAGAACCACTTGCGATGTTCATGCCGGAGAGTGCCGATATCTTTTTTCAAGCCAAGCCTTGACAGGATTCCGCCCTGAAAGTCATTGAGTCCCGACTTCACGCATAGCGGCTTTCCACTTAGTCTTAGCGGGCGATAATTCGGACCAACCATTTTCAGCCTATGACCGATCGTTACTCCGTATCAATTCGGAGTCGGAGAGGCGGCCTTCGCAAACTGCTTTCCCCACAAAGCTATGGCCTGTTGGCCCAGTTGCCGACCTCCCTCGGGTAGCTTCACTGAGCGAAAGCCCTGGGTGGTCTCGTTGGTCGAATGCGACCGTAGAAAGTGGAGTGTTTTCAACTGACCAAATTCTATTGAAGAGTGATTAGTACTGTATATACCGTCTGCCAAATTCCTGCGCAAGAGTTTCTCACCTGGATCTTTTGCGGGATGTGCCTATAAGCCGCCGTTGCTGGTCTGCTTTTTGACTTTTGGACATCACAGATGTGATCATGAAGTGTGAACAGCATCAAGAAATCTGGATTCGGACTGATGGGAGTCATTCACGCCGCAGCCATGACCGTTGGGGATGGAGTCCACTTCGTGACCGAGGTCTTGGTGTGGAGAAAAGAGTCCGGCCCGATGACCATGTTCCACTCGTTCTGCGTGATGGGGGTGACATCCGACGCGGACAGCGGGGTCTTGGGTCCGCGTTTGGTGGGAATCACATAGCGCGTGGGGGGAGGACCCTGTCGCCGGCTGGCGCGGGTCGAGCGGAGGGGGGACTTGCGCGGCTGCTCAGCCTTGCGGCGCTGCTCGACGACCTTGCGCGGCGGCTCCGCTTTGGGTGGCGGGGGAAGGATAATCCCGTCATCGTGGTACTGCATCCGGTAGGTGTTGGCCACGCGAGTGAGAAGCTCGTCCGACACGTTCAGCTGCTCGTAGACGCGGTGAAAGAAAGCCTTGCTGAACGGACGCCCGTGGAAATCCTGTATGGTCCGGTGGAGGAGCTGCGTGCAGGAGGTGAGGTAGAACTCCTCCGGGTCAACGCCGCGGTTGGTCAGGATGCACAAGCGACGCTTGAAGGTATAGATGCGGTCGACGTTGAGGAGGGTCAGCCCCTCGCGGCTGAAGATCACTTCGTTTTGCATAATCGACTGTTGCCGCAGATAGTCGTGGGCGGCATTCTCGTACTGGCTCCGGTTCAGAGCCTCCGTCCAGCTCTGGCCCAGAGAGAACTTGCTGGCGGCTTTGGCCACGGCCCGGTAGACGATCGGCCAAGTCATGGCATCCAGTGGAGTAATGGGGATGATGATGAGGTCGGAGGGCTCGCCGGTCGGGTAAGGCTTGCCTCGACCGACCAGAAGGGTAATATGCATCATCTTCTGTTCGAGCTTGGCGGAGATGTATTCGAGCGCGGGAATGATGGAAGGGGTGAGGGTCTCCGAGTCGAAGTTGAAACTCGGAGATAGAGGCGAGGAGATCATCTCAGGACTCAGACTCCGAGCGGGCACGTAGACGCCAGTTGGGCGTGGTAGACGGATTCCAACCATGATGAGTGTGATACACAGAGGGATTGAAGGAGACTGAGGATAGTAAGAGATCATCAAAAACCCCAGATGACTGGAACTGTGATCAAGTAAAGGAAAGACGGAGGAGGCCTGAGGATTGTAGGCCAGACAGGGAAAGTTATAAACTCCCCGGGGTTGTTGGCCGCACTCAAAAGAGGGGTAACTAAGCTGGCTGTTCCTCTATGATGGAGGGTTTCAGGCCAATGGATTTATTTTGGGAAAATTCTAATGATAGCAAAACCCCGAACCACCGTGTCCAATGAGCCCCGTCAACCTCCCAATCCCAGGGGAACGGAAGCCAATGGGGGCACAACGTTAAGATTAAAAATATATTTAAGCGCCCGCCGTGTGCTGTGGCTGCAGCCGCTTATGCACGTTCCACGGCAGGTTGTGCGAGTCATTGGGGGGGGAAGAAATTTGCCAGTTGGTCCTCCTGACGTACAAAAGGTTCAGGGCTCCACCTCCCCGGAGACAGGGTGGTGCATCTGCAGCTGTCCAAAAAGGGTCTCACCCGAGGGGGGAGCGCTGTGGACATTTGAAGATTAATTATTATCCTGAGTCTGGGACTCAATTCCCCTTTCACCTCACCAGGAACCCAATCAAGGGCCAGGTTACACGCCCGCCCCCGCTGTGACTGCATTCGGAGAATTGCTGTTGCTGATCAGGACGTGCAGGAACTATCGATTTCCTGCAGATCTACGGCGGTATCCTTGGGGTTCTGAGTGGCTGGTTCTGGGAGGGCGTTGTCATGGTTTACTCTACCTTAACTTACCCCACTCGGGGGAGTCGTCATGCCCTTCGCAAGGCTGAATCTACCATATGTTACCCGACCGATGTGATTTCATTTCAAGAATCGGGATGTATGCATGGGAGAGTACCGGTAATCGACCTCATGCACGGACACCAGCCTCACGGTGGATGCGATGACAACTGGACGGGTAGTCCCACTTTTACCGCGTGGAGCAAGAATTGAGTACGGAGTAATTAGAGCTATAGAAAAAAAATCCCATGGTGGTGGTCAAGAAGAAATGCCAAAAGGACCTGTCGAAGAGTGTCAATCCATTGAGATTTCTTGGCACGGATTCAAAGGCTGCGATGATTGGAACTCGTGTGCATTTCATTCAGCCTGCCTCTCGTACTTCGTCCCTTCCCCTCCTCAGCCTGACCTTCAACTACGAAAAAACGAAGACCCAACTACCCAACATTTCTCAAGCCACCAACCCACCAACTCGATCCGATCATCCCATTAGCTTTCACGATATATTACTCTCCCAGCACACAACCCTCCCCCATGTCGCCAACACCTTTGGGAGGGACCCAGAGAGTTACAACAACTGTACGGTATATTAACTTATGCCCAGCTATATTTGAGTCAATTAATTGTAGACGTGGTTAGTCATCACCCCTGCCGTAGCAACCAGCCTCGTGAGGCTCTGAATCTCACCCTCGCAACAACCACCTCTGCACATCAATGACAGTGACACCGCGATGGCTCAAATCTCAGACAATGCAGACCACAATGGCAATGGCACTTCAACCAGCCGACGCGAACTCACCTTCGACGGAATATCCGAACCAACTCATGTGGCACCAGGGCTGGAGTACCCAACAGGCACCAAATTCTGGCTGCTCATGCTGACCATAGCTGCAGTGCTGATGCTCATCAGCATAGACATGAACATCGTCGCCACCGCCGTCCCCAGCATCACCAATCATTTCCACACCATTGCTGATGTTGGTTGGTATTCGTCTGCCTTCCGGCTCTCCCAGTGCGCTTTCCAATTTGTATTCGGTCAAGCGTACCAACGATTCTCAATCAAGCGCGTCTTCCTGTTCGCCAATGCCACCTTGATAGCAGGCTCTCTGATCTGCGGGGCTGCGGCAACATCCTCCATGCTAATCGTGGGGAGAGCCGTCGCCGGCCTGGGCACTGCCGGATTACTGTCTGGATGCTTTGTGATCCTCGTGCACTCGACGCCTCTTCGCCGCCGGCCGATGTTCACTGGCGTAATGGGCGCCATTGAAGGTCTTGCCACGCTTTCCGCGCCTCTCGTAGGTGGAGCCATCGTCCAGTCACTCGGTTGGCGCTGGTGCTTCTACATCAACGCCCCCATCGGCGCCGTCACTTTTCTGCTCACAACGCGTTGTTTCTCCGACCCCCCGAACCCCTCCAACTTCGATCACACACCCCTCCGAGGAAAGCTCAGACAACTCGACCTTCTCAGCAACCTTTTCTTCATCCCCGCCCTAACCAGCCTCTTTCTCGCTCTCTCCTGGGCCGGCACCAAGTACCCCTGGCGCAGCAGTGCCGTCATCACACCCCTCGTCGCCTTCGTGATCCTTATGGCGGCCTTCATCTTCCACCAAATCCGCCGCGAGGACACCGCTGCCCTTCCCCTCCGCATTCTCAAGCATCGCAGCATCATCGCCGGCAGCATCTTCATCATGTGCGGCAACAGCACCGGCAACGTGCTTGAATACTACCTCCCAACCTACTACCAAGTCGTGCGCGGTTACAGCCCGGCGCAGAGCGGCTACCTGATGCTTCCAATCATCCTTGCCGGCACCATCGGCGCCCTAGTGCACGGGTTTGGCACCAGTGCTCTCGGCTACTACGCCCCCTTCATGCTCGCCGCATCGATCATCATGCCGATAGCGGCAGGCCTGATCACCACCTTCGAGCTCACCACCAGCCTGACGCAGCTGATCACCTACACTGCATTTTCGGGCCTCGGGTACGGGGTCGGCTTCTCGGGCCCGCAGAACGCAGTACAGACCGTGCTTCCGGCGGAGGATGTCTCGTTGGGCACCTCGGTGCTGCTGTTCGCGCAGTCATTCGGCCCGGCAGTCGCAATTGCCATTGCCCAGGTGCTCTTTTTGGACCGCCTCGAGCTGAATTTGGGGCGTATGGTGCCTGGCCTCCGGGCTGCGGACCTCAACAGTATGGGGCTGACGCAGATCGTGACGGAGTTGTCGCCGGAACGGGCGACGGAGGCGCGCTTGGCGGTCGATCGGAGTATCATCCAGACTTGGTATCTGGTGGTCGGGCTGGCGTGCGCGACGATGGTGGGGAGTTTGTTAATGGAGTGGCGGTCGGTGAAGACGAGACGCGACTAGTGACTCAATGATTGGACTCGGGCCAACAGTTGGCTGAATAAAGGTGCCAGCTACCTCTACATCGACTTCGTTATAGATACTTCGCTTTGGCTATAGGTATGCTGGTTTTATTAGAGCAAAACGACAGATGATGTCACGCGACAGCTGTGTTAATCTTCCGGACGGGGCTGCCACTGCGCACGTTCACATTGGCACTTGCTCCTTGCTATTAGCAGACACGCACAGTATGATACCACATTGACTGAGCAAGACAAGATTAGGTTCCCGCACAGTCGCTCAGACAGAGGGCCTCTCGAGGCCGAGACCGACCCAAACCGAGACGCGGGACCCACCTCTATACCTACTCGATCCCAACAAAAGGTTTTGTGTCGAAGCACGCGAGAATGATCAAGTATGTATATAGAGCTGTGCTTTGGCCTCACGGTCTTGCTCTATATGACGTGCACAGCATTCTGGTCCCCCGGGTCTCACAGCATCGCTTGTAGAATACTGAGACTGAGGGGGAATGTAATATAGAACGAGGGATGCTGTGTTGGTAGGTATGCGTGATGGGGTAGTTGCAGCTTACGGTTGATCGAATCTTGTCTGTGTTAGATTAGACCTGGAGCTGTTGCTTCTTGCGAGTGGAAGGTTAACACCCCCGTGATTCATGCGAGTGGCCAATTGATATCTTGACGCATTGGGGAAATGGTTGGTCGGAAACTTCCATAATAATCTTACTCGAAAGACAATGCTAGCTGAGAGAGTGCATAGAGCTCAATCACTACGTACATCACTTAGCCGGCCATCCATCTGCACCATGGTCATGGATTACCGCGATCAGACATATATATGAACTCCTCTCAGCGAACCCTTGTCCGCCGATTCCACTATCTCCATCCACAACGAATCCGGCCATATCCTATACGCACCCCTACATGGTGGTCACTCAGAGATTGCCCTGCCCCGCATCACTCGGCACGGTCGTCTGAATCGCCGTGTAAGCGGAGGCAGTGGCGATATTCTTGCCCTCAAAATTGACCAAGAAGGACTCATCCGCCTCCGAGAAGGTGCCCGAGCTACCAAACCCGTTGACCACGCAGTCGCGGCCCAGGTAGGTGGCGCAGACCTCGTTGGTGGTGGTATCCGGCGAGGTGAACAGCTCTCCCGACACCGGGGACTCGACGGGGGTTTCAATATTCTGGAAGACGTTGCCCTCGGCCAGCACCATCCCGCCGCTGCCGATCTCGAAGGAGTGCCCGTCCGAGTCATACCAGTAGTTGTTGACCTGTTAGGCTGTCAGTCAGTCAAACACCGACCAGAATCGAATCACATACTGCATGCAGGAGGGTATTGCCCTGGACTTTGGGGCTGCGTCCGCTGAAGTGGTAGATGTAGTTCTTCTGGAGGGTGACCAGGTCGGCTGAGCCGTCAAAGTACAGGCCCCAGTAGGCGTAGCCGTCGCAGGTAGCGCTGTAGCTGGTCACTCCGTCGAAGTACGAGTTGGAGATGGTGACGCGGTTGTCGGCGCTGGTGCCGAGGACGACGTGCTGACGACCGATGCGAGCAGTCTTCGCCGAGGAGGGTTAGCTAGGGCGGTCGATTTCAGGTGGGGATGGATTGGCTCACGGTAACATGGTCAATCCACACCATGTCAGCGTCATCGAGGGTGATGGCGTCTCCTCCCCAGACATACTTCTCGTTGATGTCTGTGATGGCAATGTTCCTGAAGTCATGTTATGCGATGTTAGCAAGGGTCGGGTTGGTTGAGGGCGTGAAGCGCAGGGAATACGCACTGGATGATGATGTTGCTGGCACCGCTGACAATGCGAAGACCCTTGCCTTTGATGATCCCACTGGATCCGACTCCCAGAATGGTCTTGTCCGATGCCACGGTGATACCGAGAATACCGGCATTGTCGCTGTCATCGTCAGTCGTGAGGTCCACCGAGTAAGATATTCCCGTAGAATACGTACTAGGTCACAGAAACACTCGGAGCGTCAGGCTCGTAGTTGGTGCACCAGTCGTCCTGGTTGATGGCGAGCTGACAGGCAGATGCAGTCCCCCAAGGCGCGCATCCAGTCGCGGTGGTGGTTCCTTCAGTGCCCGTAAAGTCGAAGCTATTTCGGTCAGTTCGTGGCAATAGCTCGACTCTAAGATGAATACGTACGTCTGCTCCAGAACAATGACCCTTGCGGACGAATCACCGAGGTAGGATACCAGCTCATCCGTAGTGGTAGGGTACACGGCTGTCGCACTCCCTCCCCCAGTGACTCCTTCCGCGAAGCCCTCGGCAGAGCCAGAGACACTCACAGCTGCGGCCAGCTGGGCGGTCGCGGCGAGAAGGCTCAGAAATGCGGTCAATACCATTTTGTCAAGACGGGGGGTGCTGTCTGGCTTGATCGAATACTCTTGCTCGCCGGTGTCGCTGCTGTTTTATATTCCCACTCCAACCCCACCGGTAAAGTGCTTGCCCGCACCTGACTCTACTTAGTACTCCTGAATGGGTATGCATGGCAGTGGTCCCAGATAGAGAAGTGTGACCGATGGTGGAGTTGTGAATATCCATAAATTAGAAAGCATGAGGTGCAGTGCTTCACCGTGATTGATGGAGGCTGGTTGCTTCGTCTGCCGTCTTGGGCGGAGGACTTCCCGTGCAGACGCCACCTCGAGAGGGGGCCAAATTGTTCCTGCACCCGTTGAAATGGGCCAAAGCGTGAAGAGAAGCGGGGCTGACCACGCAGGCCCAGAAAATAGTGTATTCTTGGATTGCATTAGCTTGATTGGGAGGGGGCGTCGCATCATTCCCGCCATGTGCGGAGAATTGGTTGTCCGTGGGGCTTAATATGCCGGAGTATCAGGGGAGAGGTCAGCCCGTTGTAACAAGTCATCCATCACAATCAACATGCAATCTTTGCATCGTTCACCCTATCTCCGATGTTTTGGTGGTTGTTATTGTGATCAAGGGGGGCATGCATCGTTATCACCTCGACTGGGTGCCTGTTAATCAAAGAACTACCACACTAGTGCCTATAACGAGGTCTATTAATGTGATATGGCCGAACAAAACATACGCAGCAAGATAAGCATGTCGGATGAGAACTTAAAAGAACATTAGTACCGTCAGTGTCATATGTTCCTGAGGCTTTATCTCATCCCTTACACCAATTATCGCCGAGTACTCCCATGGAGTCTAAACTGTGTTTGTCAACTCATCCGACCAGCCGCTAGAATGCTCATGCTATTTGTAGTTATCTGCCCTCACTCACTGGTCATTCAATCTCTCCTGAATACTCGCAGGACACTCGTCTCGAGCATGTCAGCGTCGCACTCGGAGATAGAGATACTCCTCATCACTCAGTCTGGCGACTAGTCACTAGTGTCCCTAGTCGAGCATGGGACCACATTCGCAGACTTTGCAGGCGCAGACAATGGCGCGCATGCCGGTGCTTGTACCACGCCACTATTGTTCGCTTTGATCTATCAGGAACATCTACCTCACCCTTTTGTCTGCATGGGAGGGAATGCGAAGATATACCAAGGCTTACATGAGATATCTCATTCTGCACTCATGCTCCACCCCGACTATACACAAGCTGAAGTCGCTAAAGCGTCAACCCGACTCAAAGCTATCTCGCGATAGTCTTTCACCGAAGCTTGTCAATTCCACACAAAGGCGCGCCACAAGACTGTAATATGCTTATCACTTCCTCAGCAATCTGTGAAGGTCTGTATGGTCACGTCTCTTGTTGTAGATGGATGGTTGCGACAACGAGTGCTGAGCTTTGAGCGTCGACTCATTGATGTGTAGACACATTGTCTCAAGCGGTTATATCCCTCCAGTTAGCCCTAACACACGGATCGGCTGCATTCACCTCTCACCCCATCTGAAAGGAGGCGACCTCCACCTTCTATGAAATATTTTCTAAGTTCCCAGCGAACGCATTCCCAGCGGGAGTAAAAATATGACATACTGGACAAGTAATGAAAGCATCCATCTTCTGACAATCCACCATCGCCTACACCACATGCAACCCACCGTGTCATTACCCAAACTCTTCGACAACAGCCAACATCATGCCTATGCCTGACCCCTTCTGGCCGGGATACTGGGACGAAGAGTTCCCCGACGACAGAGAGTTCGCGATCGAATACTCATTCAACGAGGTCAACGACGCGGAGGTGAAGCTTAACATGAGGCATCGACTGCATCCCGATGACTACCACCCGGATGCTGTGCTGGTGGACGTGCCTCGCGGGGCTGAGATCGACGAGCTAGAGCTGGTTTCGGAGATGGGATATGAGGCCAGGCTCGTCGCCAAGAAAAAGGGGGCCGTGCTCCAGAACCCCTTCCTGGCGATGGTGTACTATGAGGCTGGCGGCCAGGCGGCGTACAGGGTCTGGGTTGACGTCTTGTCGCCCGGGGCTGGCGTGAAACCGCAGGCTCGTTGTGTGTTTCGCCCGATGGAGATGGGGGAGGACGAGCTGCGAGAGATGGTGCTGGCGGACCGGGAGCAAAGTGGGGAAAACGTGCAGCATCCTCAAGACATCCACAGAGCCGAACTAGCGAGAGTCTCTGGGCTGGTCGGCGGCGAGTCGACCGTTTCTAGTATCAGGAACAATAGTATTGTTTAAAACCATCAGACCATCATCTATCGTAGCATCCGTATTGTTGATAAGGCATTGAGTGGCCGCAATCCGGCAGGTTCGAATTACTGCTGCTGGTTGCCATTGACCTGCTTTTCGCCCCCGGCCTGTATACGCTTGCTCAGTGACTCGCGACACCCAGGCCTCGGAATGTAATGTCATCATACTCTGAGGATCGTGAACATCTTGATCGTATATGGTCTCTCGTGGTGTTTGCTGTGGAGTAATCGACCTACAGTGGAGTGCACGCCGTGAGCCACACGAGCTGACCAGTCATCAGCCACAGGGGACGACAGCCGAGTCAGCCCTAACCAGCCATACAGCCTGTCCAAATACATCAAGCAACGGTTTAATGCTGTAGTTTGGGCCAGTGTTTCTCCTTTTCACCTCTCCTTGCCTCAGCGGCGCAAGCACAATCGATCTGACATGTCTTATACAGTAAATCGTACCAACCGTGCTATATTTAGCACCGCTTTGACCTGTCATGTTCAGTGGCGTGGCGTTTACGGTTGCTTGTTCCGCAGCAGCCACCAAGATTCGTAACATCACACTTGACGTCAACGAGTCCCTGGCAAGGCTGTGGAATGGTAGATACAGTAGAAGTAACAACACCGGCGTATCGTCACCTCATCTTTCTCTTCCAGTTGAGCCTCGCCGCCGCATTACGAACACAGACGCCTTCCCCTCCCCATCCACCGTGAACACAAACGTGCCCAGCCCATGAGCTCCATAGTAAACCGTATCCGTACTCCAAAAGTCCAGGTTCGTGTCATACTGCCCCGTGAACGGACCGATCGATCCGAGATCCGCTGCACCGGGCGCGAAGTAGCTGTACGTTTGCGGGAACCTGGAGACCTGAAACGCAGCCTCCCCGGCTAACCCACGCGGCGTGGATTTCGGGCTACTCAGCAGCAATCGCGGCTCGTACCCGGCCAGAAACGGCGAGGCGAGCACGTCCGTGGCGTTTGATATCCACCTCGTCAGCTTGAGACCGTGGTAGTAATGTGTCGTGCCGGTGGGAGCATTGCACGCGACCGTCACCGAGGAATTGACCCGCGGATCGGCGGACTCGTATGTGCCGACGAGGTTCTGGACGGCCTCGAAACTCGCCTGCGATTCCAGCGCCGGCAGCATAGACAGGGTGATCCAATCCAGGATCTGGTTGGTCAGGGAGCTGCGCTGCACGCTCGTGGAGGCGGCGAGGAGGCTGAAGCCGGCGTCGAAGTCCGGGAGCAGCGCCACGAGGCCGCCGTAGTTGCCCGAGTCGCCGAGCTTGGTGTAGATGTCGGTCACCCTGCCTGTCGTGGGGCTCACGACCCGCACGATCTCCCAGGGGGCCCCGATCGAGCCGGCCAGGCTTGCGGTGTGCGTGTGGGGTTTCATCCATTTCCGCGTCGCGATCGGGGACAGCAGCGTGTGGTTGAGGATCGAGACCCCGAAGGCCGCGAGGTCGTCGGTGGTCGAGTACAGGCCGCCGGACGGGGTGGTGAATGGGTTCTCCAGATAGAAGCTCGCGTCGGGGAGGCCGGCGATGACGGAGCGGGCCTGGGTTGCTAGGGTCCACGGGGTGATTTCCTCCCAGTTGATGTTGCGGGCTTTGTGGGGGCAGTTTCAGACGCATTTGATTACACCTGACTCGATGTAATACGGATCAGCCTCATTTCAGGGTTCAAGCACGAGTGGGAACAAGGTGTGCATAGATTGGTCAGCAAGTGAATGCAACGCATTAGCGATGCCGTACGTATTATGCCCATGCATACACAGTACGCACAATCGGAGCCACGTGTGTATCATGACCGATAGAGAGTTGGTACCGGCGCTGGATCTTTTCCATACCTCATAACTAGTCAGGTGGAGATCTTGATATGAATCCACGATTCAACAGTTCCGACGCTCTGGATCCCATCTAACCAGGTACCGAGAGAGGCTGGTTGTTCTCCGCAGCTGATCGGAGTATCGTATCTTATCAGCCACGACCCTCCCTTGCTTAGCGCACGGCCTTTTATATGCAATGCAGATAAGCCTAACCCCCAACGAGGGGCAGCTGGCATTTCTCCCCAAATCCCTGTCTTAAAACTCGAAATACCCCTCTCAATCTGAGGATCCGACATTCCTCTACACCCACTCGACTGACCTTTTCACACAACAACCTCCAACAGTATCACCATGTACTCCCCCCGCGTCGGCGACCCCCTCTCCGCCCTCGACACCCCGTCGATGATCGTCGACCTCGACCTGATGGAATCCAACATCCACAAACTCTTCTCCACTCTCCTTCCGACCGGGCGCCATATCCGCCCGCATCTGAAAACCACCAAATGCGCCGCCCTCGCCCGGAAACTCGTCGCTGCCGGCGCCACGGGCTGCTGCGTGGCCAAGGTCTCGGAAGCGGAGGCGATCACCGCCGCCGGGTTCGACGACATCCTCATCACCTGTGAGATCATCGGCGCCCCGAAAGTGCAGCGGCTGGTGGCGCTGGTCCAGAAGCATCCGAAGATCCGCATTGTCGTCGACAGCGTGGTCGGAGCGACGGCCATCGACGAGGCGCTGGGCAAGGCGGGCGTGGCGACGCCGCTGGCGGTCCTGGTGGATCTGGACGTGGGCTTGCACCGGACCGGGGTGGCAGACGCACCAGCGGCGGTGGAGTTGGCCAGACACATTGCGGGGTGCAAACACCTGAAGTTGATCGGGGTGCAGGGGTACGAGGGGCACGTCCAGCATGTGCACGGGTTCGAGGAGCGGCGGAGGGAGTGTCTCGCCTCGATGGCGATCTTGACGGGCACAGCGGAGGTGCTGCGCAAGGAAGGGTTCCAGATCGATGTGGTCACCACGGGGGGCACTGGGACGGCGGAGTTCTGTGCCTCGGTGCCTGGGGTGACGGAGCTGCAGCCCGGGTCGTTCATCTTTATGGATACGGATTATCGCAATGCGGTGGGGGGCTTCTACGCGAATAGCTTGACAATCTTATCGACGGTGATCAGTCGGCAGGGGAAGCGGCAGGTGACCATTGATGCGGGCCTCAAATCCTTGACCACTGATAGTGGGTTGGCAGAATGCAAGAATGTGGGCTATGTGCATGCCAACCTGGGGGATGAGCATGGGGCTCTCACCTGGGAGGTGGGAGCCCCCGATCTGCAGATTGGGGATCGCGTCGAGATGATCCCCAGTCATATTGATCCGACGATCAATCTGCATGATGTCTACTATGCCCATCGCAAGGGGGTTATTGAGGAGATTTGGAGAGTGGATTCGAGAGGAAAGGTTCAGTAGAGAGCGAATCGCTCTGCTTAAACCGCAATTGATTTTAGAAAGAAGTAGCTTGATTGACGTTTACGAAAGGAACATCATTTGTACTACCAACGACTAGTCGTATTCAACCCTACGGTCAAGTAGTTTGAGCCTCTGAGTTCGGTCTCGATACTTAGTGCTGGCACTGTCTGCCCGGATCAATGACGGGGAATGAAAAATCAAAGTTCACGGGATATGCGCGAATTTCAAGAGCAGGTGGCCGAGCAATATGCGGTTATCGATAGCTGTGTCTAGCGTCAGTGTATCTTGCTGACGCGGCTTTGCAAGAAGTTGCTTCCAGTGGCTACCAGATGTGTACTGAATCAGCAGGGGCCACGGGCTATGGACAACATGATTAACGCACAAGTGTCAAGTGATCCGCGAGCTTCAGCTTCTCCACGGATTAGACAGAAAGCAAGCATAGAGAATCTCACCGCAGAAAGGTGTCGAATCCCATTGGTAGCCATCGCCATCAAGCTACCACTTGCTTAGCGCTCGGATAAATCGGGTCAGCGTGTGCCCCGTCATCTCCAGAAGAGGAATTCGCGCATCAATGCATTCGATTCCTACCTCGACAATTAGAGATTCAATGAGGCATTTACTGTCTCCTCAATATCGAATAATCGCGCAAACTGAATCCTTCAATGGTTGTGGGACTAAGCGTCCCTCAAGCCTTTCGTAGCTCGCGGTTGCATGTAGCCCTAAATCGTACTGTAGTCTTGTTGTTGTTCATGCTGTAGGTGGAAAGCTATGAAGGCAGTAAATGCCGCATAGATAGACACTTCCTTAGTAATTGAGTGGAGCGTCAGCATCGATAATGGCATCTTTGGAGCAGTCAGTCGGTGTCAAGACCCTCCTCTGGGGTAAAGAAAGCCTCGTGAATCATTCAATGAGCGGGGGCTAATGCCGCTGAAACGTCAAGTATAAGTATAGTATGATTTGCCGCTGATGCAAGGTCATTATTCTGTCTCAAAAGCATACATCTCCCTGTGAGTATCATCAAGAGACAAACTGCATAATGGTTCGGGCTACCCTGGCTTCTGTTCTTCTTTCCTTCGCGAGCCTCGGACAAACAGCAATCGTTCCTCTTCCTCCTAGCACCGGACCCTGCGACGTCACGCTTCATGCCAGTGAACTCGTCGACCTGAACCGAACCGATCCATTTGACCCAAAAGAAGGAAAACGTGCTATCATGATCACCACCTTCACCCCCGTCAATTGTGGAAGTGTGCTTCTCACAACATACATCCCCAATGCCACAGCCAAGTACGAAGACGAGACCTTCCAGTCGTTCGGAATAGCGTCAGGCACGTTCGAGGCGTTCCGCATCCCGACTCTAGCCCAAAAGCAGCCACCGCGCTCCGGGATGAACAGAGACCACCCTGTTGTACTGTTCTCGCCAGCCTCGGGGGTCTCGCGATTGATGTACACCTCGCTGCTCCAAGACATAGCCAGTCACGGGCTGGCTGTTATCTCCGTCGATCACCCGTACGATGCAAATATCGTGGAATTCCCAGATGGCCGCACAGTCTTTGGTATCTTCGGAGACACTATGACCGATGCGGAATACGTGTTCGCAATGGACGTTCGCGTCGAGGATATGAGATTTGTACTGAATCAAACCCACAACGAGACGGTGTTGGCAGACATATTCCCCCTGACACGCACAAACCCCAATCTCCTCTCCCTCGATCGAACGACTATCATCGGTCACTCCCTGGGTGGCGCAACCGCCGCGCAGGCAACCCTGATCGATGACCGACTTGTCGGAGGCATCAACCTGGATGGAACTTTGTTCGGATCTGTGGTAGACACAGGCCTGTCGAGTCCGTTTCTGCTGTTCGGCAACGCCAACCACACGCAGGCAACGGACGCCAGCTGGGCGACCTTTTTGTCCCAGACACGAGGCTGGAAGCTGGAGCTGCAGCTCGCGCAGTCGGAACACTACACTTTCTCCGACTTTCCAGTCCTTGTCGACTCGCTCGGCGTCTCCGACGAAGTTACGCGACTTGTCCAAGCCGTTGCAACTGGGACTATCGGGGTTTTGCGCGCGAGGAATGTGCTGGTGGAGTATATCACGGCCGCGCTGCGATACTTTATTTCCGGGGACCAGTCGGATTTGCTCAGTGGTCCTTCTGCGGCGTATCCTGATGTGACCTTTGTCTCTTCTTGATTAGTCACGATGATGTGGGGGAGTATGTGGACCTGCACATGACAATCCTGATGTATCTGCACCTGAGGCAATGAATCGCTGGGCTTGTTATATACGGAGAGCAAATCGAACGCAGAATGGAGAATGCTGGGTGGTCAGAATTTAGTCCTGTTAGACTTGTGCTTTGGGGAGGAATTAAAGCAAAAGCGTACCGAGCCATGTAGCTCAGGATCTCGATTGATGTGCATCCTGTCGTCTCGGTGTCACGACCGGAATTCGATATCACCACTTCTATAATTGAGTATCTTCAACGGGTAGTTTACAAGTTCATACAGGCTCCGAATCATCGCCAGTCATAATCGTCATTATTCTTCGCAAATTAGTATATACATCTAGCATACATTTGTCCTTCACCCCTTCCGCTCATAATCATCACAGCCCGACATCTATTGCGCAACGAGAACACCTCTGTATCTCATCTTGCCGTCCTTCAGCGTCTTCAACGCCTCCTGCACCCCCTCTTGCGTCAAGGGGAAGGTCATCTTGATCGGCTTGATGCCATGCAGGGCCGCGAAGGCCAGCATATCGCGGTGGACCTGTCTGGCCGCGACGATACCGCCCTGCACGCGCAGCCCGCTCGTGAGCAGGGTCATGTAGGGGAAGCGGAACTCGGCGCTGTCGACGGAGAGCGGGGAGATGACGGCGCCGGGGGCGAGGACGGAGGTGTACAGGCTCCAATCGGGCTGGCTGCTGGTCGAGACAATCAAGTGGTTAAGGGGCTTGCCGATCTTCAGCTCTTTGGCGCCCTTGGTGGCGTAGAACTCCTTGGCGCCCAGCTTGAGCGCCTCCTCCTTCTTGCTGTCACTGCCAGAGAAGACGACCACATGGCAGCCCATCTTGGCGGCGAACTGGATGGCGAGGTGGCCCAGGCCGCCGATGCCGACGATGCCGACGCGGGAGGTCGACTTCACCCCGGCCACCACCAGGGCATTGAAAACTGTCGAGCCGCCGCACATCAGCGGCGCCGCGTCCTCGTTACTGAATCCCTCGGGGATCCGGAACAGGAAGGCCTCCCGCCAGACAGCGTGGGTCGCGAACGAGCCCTGGTCCAGGTCCGCCCCCGCGTACATCTTCCGCTCGGGACACATCGTCTCCCACCCCGTCAGGCAGTTCTCGCACCGGCCGCAGCAGTCGTGCTCGTAGCCCCATCCGACCCGGTCGCCCTTCTTCAGCTCCTGGACCTCCGGCCCGACTTCCTCCACCACGCCCGCCCCCTCGTGGCCCAAGGCCATCTCCGTCGTCCGGTAGTGCAGGTCGGTGCCGCAGACCCCCGAGTGGGTGACCCGCACCAGCACCTGGTCTTTCTGCAGATCATCGCGGTGGGTGGTGGCTGGCGTGATGGATCCGTCCTTGGACCCCTTGTAGACGGTGAAATCGTATCCCATGGTTGCGATTGGTGTGTATAAGTGGGAAGATCGTGTGGCTGAGGAGACGTAGCGTAAGGACCGTGCAGGCAATTGCGGATCTGCTGTTCTCTCGTTCGTAGAGGATAAGTATATAAAGTAGTTGGGGTATCAATCATGATGTCACCGGGATCCACCGAAAATTGCCGTATCTGGGAATTTCGGAGGACGGCGGAAATGCCCTAACGATGATATCAGTTGCAGCGTAAGGTCAGTCCAGCATCTTCCCCTGGGATGAGCAAGGGATGACGCGATGGGAGATTTAAAGTGCTGATATTTGATATCTTGACCCAGTTAGTAGTAGGGTGTGAGATGGTCCCACTGGGAGTTCTGGATGGGAGCACGAGCATACTTAAGCCTTATCTCACAGTGTCCACTCAAGAGTGATTGGCTTGATCCCTGTTTTACACAGTACTCATGCTAAGACTTGCAGAACACCTTTCCTCCGACAGAAAACTTCCGTGAGGAATGTGTCAGGGTGGGCTGCATGGAGCGTTGCCAAGCTCATGCTTGCAGGCTGGATGCGCGGATCACTATGCCTCAGGCAGAGATGAGTCACCTCCCAATGGACTCTACGCTTTTTACGCGTGTGGTGGGTGTAGGACGAGTGGGGATAAGCATTACAGTGTTTCGACTCTGCATTCTACGGCCATCCTATGGAGATGGCGGGGAAGTAGTTTCCGTGGCCCTCTCATGTGCGCGGGTTGCTTGCAATGCTAAGAATCTCTTACCGTTATCGAGAAGCCTCCCTTATCACCGCCTAACTTATATCCTCTCCCCCCCTACTTCCCCCCAGAGACCCTTCTCCCCTCTTTTCCCGGTGGCTTTGGGACTGTCCGCCCCCTTTTTTTACCGGTACTTTATAGGCACCAAGCATTACAATCTTATTCTTAATGTAGACAAGTACTGAACTTGTTATAAAGGCTAAGGGGTGAAATAGCATGATAGAGGAATGTCTCGCGAGGGCCAAAGGTAAGGTTATATTGCCTTGAGGTGTTGTTGCTAATCTTCCACAATTACGGAGACGATTCTTGTATAGAAGTTCCTGCGAGAACCCACGTATCTCAGTGACCCTCTCTTAGCTTTCGTGAATACTACAACTAATACCTATTTCCTTGCATCCTACCTAATGCTTATTGCGAAGGTTGGAAGGGCGTTCTGTGAATATCCGGTAACAACCATGCTTGCCGTCGTCTATCTTCTGACAGCACGGACGGCTTCCACAACGAATGCCCCGCGAGGACTTCCTCTCAGGACTGCGTATTTTGCAGCAAACGAACGCAAAAACGGTTCCAGTGCCCGCCAGCGCTGGAAAAGATCTTCACTGATCATACTACCATTCGAGGCCCATGGCTGTAATCCTCCGACACCAGCCCGCCACTGGAAGATTGTCTCTCGCGGACCGCCAATCTCCCACCGTTCTCTCCACTTCTCCTTCTTCAGAAGATCGCTGGTGTACGGAATGGGGTCGGAGCCCACGACGATGGAGAGTGACCGTATGTAAGGAATCAGACGAAAAGTGAACCATCTCCCGACCGGATTCAGCAAAACGAGACTCTCGGGCACCGCTGCGTGTTGGGCCCGAGGATAAATATGTCGCTGGAGGTCAGGGGGGCCGTGCAGATGGGGTATATCATTCTCGGGGACGAAGGGGCGGGTGAAAAGGCAGGTACCCCGAATGCGCCAGCGCTTGCGCAGAGGGTATGGGATATCTTTGTTCAGCCAGTTGAGGGCGACACCGCGGGCTTCGTGGTTGACTAGCACTGTTTCAACTATGTAGTGGGAGGCTGAAACAGTTGGGGAATATGCGCAAAGGATCCATGAACGTTGTCAACCGCATTGTCATGTAAAGCTGAGTTACAGCTCACTTTGGCTTCAGGTGCTACCAGTCAGACGTGATAATAATGTATGCATGCATTGAACAGTCTATCGCAACCGCTAACCCTCCTTCTGCGCCCTCTTCAAGACCTCCACCTCACACCCCCCACGAATCACTCCCACGCGCATCATCGACAAGAGATTATGCGCGGCATTCGAATGATAATACACGCCCCCATTGAACATCGCCGTCGCATCCTTCCCGATGGCCGCAGTAATCATCGCCCTCCCACCGGGGTGCTCCTCCACGAACTCGGTCACATCATGCACGACGCCCGCCACGGCCACCAGGGCGCGACTCCGGGCCAACTCGAGATACTCCTCCCACTCCAGCACGGGCAACGCATTTATCGGAACCCCCCAATCCAGCCGCGCCCGGCGCTGATCGAGTTTCTTTTGCATCTGCTGCACCCGCCCCTTCTCAATCTCATTGGCGCGAAACACCTTCAAATCATACGCCAGCCCCATCTGCTTCCACACCCAAATCATCCACTTGGTCGGATCATACTGATACCACTCGATCGCGTTGCGGTAATCCGAGGGAAACTCGTGGTGAAAGTTATGATACCCTTCCCCGAGGGTCGCCAACGCGGTGATCGCATGGTCCCGGGGGGAATTGCGGTCATCAAACGGCTGCTCGCCCAGCCAATGCGCCAACGAGTTGATGCAAAAGGTCGCCTGCTGCACAAAGAAGATGCGCAGGATGCCCGCATACACGAACCCCCCCCACCAGTCGCCCCAGAGCCCCGCGCCCGCCATCGGCACCGCCAGCCCCATCACGGCCACCACGAGGAGGTAGTGTCGATGCTGCCACACCACCACCGGGTCCTCGTTCAGGTCGGAGATGTCCGTCCGCCCGATCCGTTTCGGGTTCTGCTTGATGAGCATCCATCCGAAGTGTGAGTAGAAGAGCCCCTTGTTCACCGAGTACGGGTCCTGGTCCGTGTCGGTGTAGCGGTGGTGGGCGCGGTGGAGGCGCGACCACCAGCGCGCGGAGCCCTCGACGGCGCCGCCCCCGGCCGCGGCGAGCCAGATGCGGAGCGGAAGGGTGGCGGAGTAGGAGCTGTGGGACCAGAGGCGGTGGTAGCCTGGGGTTCCAGCGTGGTTAGAAGGTGTGTGGTGTAGGGATTGGGAGGTGGGTACGTACCGGCGGTGATGCCAAGGCCGGTGAAGAAGTAGTAGGATATCGCCCAGATTGCGGTTTTCAGCTGCAGCGGGACCCAGAATGCTTGGATGATGCCGTACAGAGGAATGCCGATGATCAGGATCACATTCAGCCAGTCGATGTGCTGGTGCCAGTTGCGCAGCGTGATGGGGGTGTCGGCAATGTGGACCTTCTTCGATACCCCCCGGGACACTGGGGGTGTGGTTGTCGGCTTACCCGACATGGTGGCCTGATGCGGTGTCTCCGATGGGTAGACTGCTGCTAGACTCGCTGCATGAATTGAGTGTGCAGAATTGGTACGATGAACTTGGGATTAAGAATGATAAGAGATTATGTCTATGGGTGAGAGGTACTAATATTGAAGCGAAGGCGACCAGCCCGGACTGTTGGGCCAGTGACATGATGATCGGCAATGTGGTTCGATCTCAGATGCAATGCCCAGAATTCCAGTCCCAACAGCCTACAGCATCCAGCCAGTTTAGTCTCGTACTCTTAGTCAGATCGACCGACCTCAATTGTGGGCAGATGTGGTGCTTATGTTGACGACAGAAGTGTTGGGCCAGGGCTGCTTAGTCAGATGGGCTGATGTTCCCTCCCTCCCTCCCTAATTCTCCGCCATCGTAAGGTCCTGAGACCCAACATCCTTTTCCTGGTTCAACGTTTCATTTCATTCTCATTGCATCATATTGGTTCCACATATCACACCATCAGTTCTGTACTGGTTTCTCACCATACTTCGATCACGTGCTGTCTCTCGCGATCTCGCCTGTCATCACAACCTCACCCCGACAGGCCCAGGCCAAGCTTCGCCACAATCCGAGGAAAGATCGCCAACGCATTCTAGAGAGTCGCAACAGACAAGCGAGCGATACGAAGCCATTAATACCCCAGACGACGGCGATTGGGGGGCGGAGATATTCAGCTGATGATCACGACGCTGTCCCGTCTGGTGGGCGCGAAGAATCTTTCGTCGTTGGCGCAATTCCGCCTGAAAGACGCTAGGGCCAGCACTAACTACCGCCTCAATCGTGATGATTAGAATTGGGATGATCGGAAAAGACGAATTCACTTCAAACTGAGCATGCTCTACAGCGTGCTCCGGACTGCGTCGAGCTTCCTGAGCATCTCGGGCTTCTATTGGGAGTAGTGGAAATCATGATTCCGCTTCCGTTTGCATTTACGAGGTTTGGGCCACGGTTGCGGGGGGGAGTAGACTTGCTCCGTAAGTAGTCTGATTTGGGCTTGTGTAAGAGGGTTGAGTTGGGATAGGAGATATGTGACAGAGAGATTAAGTACACGGTACATATTTAGGGTACAGGATCAACAATATACAGCAGACTGGACCAGCCAGCGTAACGGCAATGATTCACCCACCCACTAGGAAAGCTCAGTTCTCCGGATGCGAGCCACCAAGAATCTCGCGTATCCACCCATCTAGATCCGACACCCCGTCCCAGCCCTGGAAATCACTCCGCGACAGATCATCAAACAAATTCAAACCTCCGATGGCGGAGATGCGGCGGTAGCAGAAAAAGGTTGTACAGCCGGACCCCCGACAGCGGGTACCCTCCCTCCGACCTAAAGCCCTGGTAATGAGGCTGCACCACCTCCCCCCGAAGCGATGGCGCACCGGCGAGGCCATCTCCCGCGCACCCGGCTGGCTCCCCAGCAACCGCTGCTGCATCTTCACATGCGACAGCTGCGCGATGCAGTCCGTCCAGTGCTCGCCGATACTCCTCAGGATACTCTGCGCGCTGTTGAGCTGGGCCAGTCGGAAGAGGTGGATGGATTAGGACATGTGGGAGGGGGCTGGCTGGGGGGCCGGCGGGTGGGCAGGTCCGCTCCGGAGGTGGCTGTCGGGGAGGTCCCAGGGGAACTGGCGGTGGTTAGCGGGGAAGGAGGGTACTAGCGACGGTGATTGTGGCATCACGAGTCAGGGCTCATCCGGATCTCACACGCTTCGTCTCGGAGCCCAATCGGGCGACCGATCGTCGTGCAGACCGTGCGATTTAACGTGTAGGCCACCCCGAACACCCGCGTGCGTATCTCCTGGGCGAACAGGGAGATTGGGTACGAGGGCGAGGCGCGAACATCGCGCTGCAATCCCAGGTCAATGACACTCGCCAGGCACTGGTAGTTCAGATTCCAGATGTTGACATTGCAGGACGGGTTGTACAAAGCGTAGACCAGGAGCAGCAACAGGCACTGCAGGTAGCCAGGGACCCCTCGTGGCAGACCGCGTCGACGTACTTCGTCGCCAAGGCGTAGTAACCTTCAACGGGCAGCGGTAGCTTACGTTGGCGGGAAAGATTCAGGGATGCGATGGCCAGGACATGTACACCTGAAATGAGCGGATGGGATTCGCCTCCGGGGATCGATACACTTCGTCCAGCAGTTCCATGTGGTGTTGCTCGTGGAGGCACGGGTAGAACAGATGAACGGTCCGGAAATATGTGGTCGAGAGCTCGACAGCGACCTCCTTCTGTGGTGGCAACGGCGTGGGCGGGTTCAGTAGTTCGACCGGCAGATTCTTCCTGTCGTCCACGCCAGCCGGTGTTCGAGAAAATGCGCTTGGCGCAGAAATATCCACTGGAGGAACCACTATAGCGGGGATGCCCCCACGCGAGAGAGCTACCAGTCTCTCGTGGGCTTAGTGTGGCTCATCCTGCCCGGGGGCCGACGGTAGAATCGCTGGCCTGGGGTCTTGCAAGGCACCCGTAGGTTGCGTGGTCGACTGATTCGGGTTGGACAGAGCAGCCTGGCTCATTTCCGGTGCCTGTGGAGAAAAATGGTTTGGTAGAGTATCCTCGATGAGCGAGTCATCCAATGCCCCGGAGTGCCTCTCCGGACCAGTGCTGAGGTCCACAGTCGCGCATCGCTCCCTGAGAATCGATTCCAGCCACTTGATCCGGTTCTCCATGTTCGCAATATACCTGAGCTATCACATTAGGGCCGAAGTGAAATCCACCCTCTCGACGAGACTCACGAGCGAGGGACCTTCTGCTTGCCATCGTTGGCGCAAGCCACCCCGGATGTCCGGCATGCGCCACAGGCGGGGGTGATGCCATCGCAGCGGATCTTCCGACGCTGGCAGCGCCTGCAGGCGGCGCGATTGCGGGCGTGTCGAAAGGAGTCCATTTACTCTGAATACCTGGACGTCATTCGACGTAACTATGTTGTTGCTGCTGCAAGTCGAGGGGAGAAGACGGATGGTCGCCGCGAAGGAAAGAATGGGGCGGAGGGTCGGCGATGATCCGCCCCCCTCGGATCGGATCCGACCGCGATTATGCCGTGCGAAGCCCTGATGAGAAAGAACCAGCAGATGTATGCGGCCAAACTGGCGCAACGGCGGTCATCTATGCAGATCGCCATGTGCGCTTGAATACGGTGGTTCCTGGATTGATCTGCACTCTCTAAACGCGGCAGCTGGCCCAGCTATTCGCGCCGGGCGGGGATGAGGAGTACATGCGGAGCCGGGATGCGCAGGTGCCGATGGGGGATGTGGCCCATGCTGCGGTCTTCCTGGCATCGGAAGACGCCAGATATATTACGGGGCAGGAATTGGTGGTAGACGGGGGAATCACCTCTTCGACTGGACGGGTATGAGTGGGAGGAGGACATGTCCATCTTACTACTAAACGCAGTGTAAATGATTAGCCGAATGAATATCTCCTGCGGAACTCCGGTGACAATTCCATCTTCGCAGTTATCAGGAACCCACAAAATTCCCCAAACAAGGGAATTGATAGGGACCTACCGATAAGAAGATTAACAATTATGCGATGTGATTTGCGCGCATTCAGCCGAGGTCACACCGCTAAACGGAGGCTGGTCTCCAACCTCCTCTCCACTTCATTCGCATCGGGGAGATAACATCCAGCAGGGCGCACTTAAAAACCAAGCTTTGGCGTGCCTGACCCCGGGGAAATCCTGCACCTTAAAAAAAACTCAAACTATACATAGAATCATGCGATCGTTCTGGTATGTCGCATGGTTGGGTGCTTGGCCCCTGACCCAGGCGCAATTTGTGGCCCCTCCAACCGACCTGATCGCCACCAAGGGTTATCTGGATGTCCCCGTCCGCTATAAACAGGTCCCCAATGGGATCTGCGAAACCGATCCCAGCGTCAAGAGCTTCTCTGGATACCTGGATGTAGCCGAACACGAGCACATCTTCTTCTGGTTCTTCGAAGCCCGCAACCAGGACCCGGAAGAGGCCCCGTTGACCGTGTGGATCAATGGAGGTAAGATAATCCCTACATTTTAAACCTCGCTTTCATCTGCAAGATCTTAATCCCAGTATCATCAGGCCCCGGGTCATCCTCTATGATTGGGCTTTTCCAAGAGAATGGTCCCTGTGGGGTGGACTCCAATGGCTCCGTCTACAACAACCCGTACTCCTGGTCGAACGCCAGCAACATGCTGTACATTGACCAGCCCGTGCAGACGGGCTTCTCCTACAGCATCCCCGTGCCAGCCTATGTCGATTCCGAGACCGACAATGTCATCACCTTGCCCTCGACCAGCTGCCCGGACTATGCGGCCGGTCTCTCCTGTGGCACATATTCCTATCCCAACGTGAGCCTGACGGCCAACTCCACCGACAACGCGGCACCCAACTTCTACCGGGCCCTACAGGGCTTCATGGGGGCCTTCCCACAGTACGCCCGGGAGTCCTTCCATTTCACCACGGAGAGTTATGGAGGCCACTATGGACCCGTGTTCAACGAGTACATCGAGCAGCAGAACGCCCACCTCCTGCACGGAGCCAAGAAGATTCAACTGGAAAGTGTGATGATCGGGAATGGGTGGTACGATCCCATCATCCAGTACCAAGCCTACTACAACTTCACCGTGAGATGCCCCCCCAACCACAATAATCACCTTCTCCACTAACCACCCACCTCCTCAACCAGGTCTACCCCGGCAACACCTACGACTACGCCCCATACAACGACTCGATCAGCGCTCTCCTCTACAATCAGCTCTACGGCCCGGGCAACTGCCTCAGCCAGCTCCTCGACTGCGCCGCGCGCGGCACCAACGAGATCTGCAGCGTGGCCGACAACTTCTGCGCGAACGAAGTCGAAAGCGTGTACGACAACTACCTGGGGCGCGACGAGTACGACATCCGGGAATTGACGCCGGACCCCTTCCCCTACGAGTTCTACGTCGACTACCTGAACACGGCGCGGGTGCAGGCGGCGATCGGGGCGTACGTCAACTTCACGGAGAGCAACAACGCGGTCTACGAGGCGTTTTCATCCACGGGGGACGACGGGCGCCGCATGAACACCACCGAGGACGTTGCCGCCCTGCTGCGCCAGGGCGTGACGGTGGCGATGTACGCGGGCGACGCCGACTACAATTGCAACTGGCTGGGCGGCGAGGCGGTCGCGCACAAGGTCGGCGCCCCCGGGTTTGAGAGCGCGGGCTACACGAATATCACCACCGCGGACGGGGTCGTGCACGGCCAGGTGCGTCAGGCGGGGCGGTTTGCCTTTGTGCGCGTGTATGAGAGCGGCCACGAGGTCCCCTTTTACCAGCCGCTGCTGGCGTTGGCGATGTTCGAGCGCGTGATTGCCGGCAAGGATATCGCGACGGGGTCGGTGGACGCGACGACCGGGTATAAGACGGTCGGGTCGTTGAAGAGTACCTACCGCGAGGGCAATGGGACGGTGCAGTGGTCGGTGTTGGATTCGCTGGCGACGTATAATACCACGACGAATGCGCCGAATCCCACCGGGACCAAGCGGTGGAGACAGAAGGGGTTGCGGAAGAGTGCTTTGCGGCTGCAGATGTAATGGGTGGTTTCATGCGATGGATGTATGCAGTGGTCATGTCTCTAATAAGCGGTCTTCACTAATTCGCTACATCGTCAAGCTTTACCAGCAACCTCCCCTACACCAACACCGGAAACTCGCACATATGCTCATCCCCCGGATCGACTTCAAGTCAAACCGCACGAGATCCACCTTGTAGGGAAACATGTAGGTCGACGTGACCCTACCACGGGCAATAATCTTAGTGTCAGAGGGATTCATGCTGCTACGCTATCGTGAGGAGGACAGACCAATGATGCTCCGGACTCGCCTGATACTCAGCGAGCGCAGCCACATTCTCGTGGTAACTCAGCAGGGCACTCTGAAACCCTTGGCTGCGCTCGATAGGATCCGTGACACTGGGGATGCCGACGATGAGCCGACCATTCTTGACGCAGGGGAGGTGCTTGAGCTTCTTGAGCTCGATGACGCGGGTGTTTTTGTGCTCGTCGCTGACGTCGGAGCGGAATTTGACGAGGACTGGGGGGTTTACTTTGGGTTCATAATTCGCAGTGGAGGGGACAGACCGATGTGTACAAGGTCATGATGGCGGTGTGTGTGGTGTCGTGCGAAGGGCAATTTGTAGACTTGGTAGTAATAAATACAGATGGAATTCAAGCTAGAATAGCAGGTGGTGGATATAAGAGCACGAGTTGGTAAACGTGAATCCATGCATCGGTAGCGGTCTCAGAAGATTATGGGCTTGGGTAGGCAGCGCGGATACGTGCCGCATCCCTCTTCACTAGTGGGAGGGAGTATATCTTTATAAGTATATATATATATATAGTGTGATAGTAAGTATAGTACGTATTACTCCACCACGACACCTTATCCCTAATAGGGAGTCGGGAAGTCAACGATCCCCTTCCTCTGACTGTTAGGTTTCTGGTACCAAGGCCTCCCCACCTGCTGCCGATGGTAGTGCAGGTAATGGAAATGCTTATGGGAGGGCCCATGTCGGTACATCAGGTCGGGGCGAGTTTTGCTCTGGATGGCGCCCCAGCAGGCGCGGAATGCGCGATCAATTTGCGTATCGAAATCCAGCTGATTTTCCACCCAGTCCCCCGTGCCCTCCATCTCCAATTTGACATGATCCGACAGGTCTTGCGGGTGCTGGAGATGATTGACATTGAAGACAAACACCATGTAGACGGTGAACAGCCGCTGCCACCAATTGTTCACCCACTCCCCTTGGTGGCGCATGATGAGACGCACCAGGTTCTCCACCGCCTTCAGCGGGGTCAACATATTCACCGGATACAGTCTGCGATCCTGCTTGCCCTGGTAGTGGAGGAGGCCGAACCCCGGGGTCGGCAGCTCATTGGACGCGGTGATCTGGTAGACCGGGGGTCCATACATCTCGTCGTCGGGGACACGAAAGGGCCACTGGTGGGCTCCTTTGGTGTGGGAGGCCGGTCCAGCGGGCGGGCTGGGGATGGCCTCGTGGATCACCACCCTTTTGGGGTACAGAAAGACCCCGCGCGACTGGTCCGCGTCATATGCGGAGGTGGGATAGCGGTGGTCGGTGTGGAAGTGATACGCTGGCCGGGGATAATCCCGGTGTTCGGGCTTGTGGCGTCGCAGAACGGCGCATTTGACCCTCTTCCCTTTGGTTTTATCATCATCATCTTCCTTTTTGTCTTTCTTTTCTGGTTCGTCGTCGGCTTCCTCTTCTCCCTCTTCCCCGATATCCGGCAATTCCTCATCGCTCTCCTCCTCGGAGTACTGTGTCGTGGTTTCCGACGCATCACGCCCCTCCGCCTTCTGCCTCCACCCAGTGCCATGATCATCCGCCGGACAGCAGGGAAACCCGTCCAGACGAAGCAGCTCGGCCGCCCGGTCGAGGTCGGCTTCGTCAATCGCCCACTCGCAATTCTGCACGCGAATCGGGGCGCCGGCAATGGCCGCCGCGATCTCGCCACACAGCGAGCTTCCGATCCCGTGCGTGTCGAACAGCCACGAGATGCGTGACTGCAGCGCGGGACAGTCGGGGGCATCGACCGGGAAGACCACCGGGTCTGGCGCGACGATCTGGCGGTCTTTTGCCCGGATCCCTGGAGTCCGGTCCAGCCAGTGGTTGATGTTCGCGAGCGACACCGTGTCGGCTGCGGAGCCCAGACTCGCGAGATCCGAGGCTTGCTCCTCTTTCTCGTCTTTTTCGCCGGCGTCTCTCCTGTCTTTCCTGTCTGAATGAGAATGGCTGGGCGAGGCCGAGTCCCAGCTGCTGCCGTCCACCAGGGTGGGCTCGGGCTCGGAGGAGTCGCATTCGTAGCCTTGGTCCCGCAGGCGTCTGTACATATTGCGTTGTGTGTTGTTGGTTGAGTGGATAGAGAGCGTAGAGGGTTGTAGTGTTATTGTTTTGCCATGAGTCTGGAGAAGATGCTTGATAGGTTCGAGTGGTGTGTGAATTGCGTAGTATCTGTGGTGAATGGCTGCGTTGGTACCTTATATATGGCTTATGGTATTCCATTGTTACGAATTACGAAAGAGAAGCCCAGGTTGTGTTGCGTCTCATTGTTGGATTGTTGTCGGTCGGCATATTTTACCCGCTTCTTTGACTCTGGCTCATCCATCGTGGGTTTGGCCTTGTGCATTCATCCGTCTCTTTGTCCTCGACATATCTGGAGTCAACCTGACCCGTCTACTCTGCACAACTGCACAAGAGAGTGCCTGGAGGACACACCATCGACACACCAGGACTACGATCACAAGCAGCTGCTGGAAGCCGCCAAGCGAGGCATCCATCTCCAGGGCGGATCGCCATTGACTTCCCCACCATCAGGCTGCACGAGAGCTTCTCCTTCTCCCACCCGACCAGGATGTTCCTGCGCAACCGGATGAGTATGCATACAGAAGGGATGATCCACGCGCAGCCGGTGGACGCTTGCATCCTGATCGGAGGTGAGACACCTGAACCACATCTACGCAATGGTGCTAATTGGCTGAGAATCTAGCCAGCGACAAGACGGTCTCTGTGCAGACGGGGAATGGGATGACGGTGGATGTGGATGTGGAGGCGAGGGTGCGGCGGATGGAGGTGAGTGAGGAGGCGGAGTTGGCGGGGCGGATGGCGGAGAGGGAGGCCACGGGGACCTTGAAGGGAGGTGGGGGAGAGGTGGAATGCACGGCGGGGGCGGCCGCGCGGGTATCGCGGGTTGTTTGTGTGAGCGGGAGGTGAATCAGGCGCATGAGGGGGCGGATTTATCTCGGTTTTTGACGGCGGAGAGGCCGGGGGCGGACTCTACGGAGTGATTGTGCTTGTATACTTCTGAACTATGCAGCATAATGAATCTAGAAACTTGACTTTGTGCATTACAGTCTACTGAGAAGTGAGCATCCCTCCCCGGCAACTCCCGACGGAAAAATCCGTCCCCCTCCCCCTCCCGCTCGGAAGACACGGTCAAAAACAAAAACAACCCCTCACCCGTATTTACCACCCAACAACCACCAACCTCATACCACACACACTCCAGCCACCAAACAGCTGGAACCTAGTGTACTCATTCCACACCTCCTCCAAACTCACAAAACATGACACCCTCGGAAACCCTCACCCACGTGCGCGCCGTCAGCGCCGCCCAACGCGCCAACAGCCCCATCTACGCCCATCTCCTCTCCGACATCACCATCACCTCCGCGACGGAAGGGCACCTCTTAGCCACGATCCCCGTGGGCGCCCCGCACATCAACTCCAAGGGCGGGCTGCACGGGACGATGACCGCGTGCCTGGTGGACTGGGCGGCGGGGATGGTGATCGCGACGTACGGCGGGAGCTACACGGGGGTGAGCACGGATCTGCATGTCTCGTACGTGGCGTCGGCGCGGGAGGGGGACGTGTTGGAGGTGACGGGGCGGGCGACGAAGGTCGGGGGGACGATGGCGTTTGTGGCAGTGGAGGTTGCGAGGGTAGTTGATGCAGATGGTGAGAGGGTGGTGGTTGCGAGTGGCTTGCACAGTAAATATGTTAAGCAGCGCTCTACTTAGGGACATTTATGCGGGGGAGGAAGTGCGTTGAACCAGGAAGCTGAAAAGAAAAGGGGGGTCCGGGGGTTCTCCCCCGGGAAGCCTTTTTTTTCTCTGTGGATTGGGGATGAGTTTGGCCAGGAAGCTGAAAAAAAAGGGGGGTCCGGGGGTTGCCCCCCGGGATACTTTACTGATATAGGCGGGACAAAATGTTGATTTGACTCTGTAAGGATCTGTCTGAAGGACTATCCTAGGATTCAGCCAGGCGATGACCTATGAAGAAGCCAAGAAGTCTGCGATGACCTGCAGGTATTTCTCCGGCTCATCGAACTGGGGACAGTGCGCACTCTCCGACAGCGTCACCCACTTGACCTTAGGGATTCCCCAGAAGAACGGCTCGACCGTACTGTTCTGCGCCTCGTCATACCTCCCATTAATCAGCAGGGTGAGCACCTGAATAGCCTGCAGCCGATCCAGCACGCACCAATCCTTCAGGCTCCCTTCAATCCAGGATTTGACGGACCAAGCCTTATGCGGTTAGCATTCCCCCAAATGGAACAACAACACCACCACAAAAGGAAGGGAAGCAACTCACATGGTCGACGCCACCGTGGAATCCTTTTCCGTCGCCCACACAAGACTATCCAGCAACTCCTGCGGCCAGGGATCCACTTGACAGGAGAACTGAGACAAAAAGACCATAGTGGCATCCGCATACTCCGTGGAGTCGAGCCGGCCCTCGTCTTCGCATTGCTTGAGTGTCTCCTGCACAGGCTGGGGCAGGGTCGCGCGCAGCCGATCGACGGCTCCAACCACAGGGAGGCCGCGGCCGGGGGCGTTGGAGAGCACGAGACGCCGCAGTCCGGCCGGTCGGCGCACCGCGAAACGCGCCGAGCATGCCCCCCCACGAGTGGCCCAAAAGATCAAAGTCCCCGGCGATGCCTAGATAGGCCAGCAGGTTCTCCAGCTCGGAGATTAACAGGTCAACCGTCCAGAACGCGTGATCGCCGCGTTTCTCCGGGTAGTGCGTCGACCGCCCGTTTCCGATCTGGCCGTACAGGATCACGGCGCGCGTGGGAGCCAGATCGGCCAGGGGGAGCAGGTAGTTGTGGCAGAACCCGGGGCCTCCGTGCAGGACGACGAGAGGAGTGTTGACCGTGAGATCGCCGTAGACTCGGTACCAGGTTTGCGCGGGTTGGGGGAAATGCGCATGCTGGAACGTCGCGGTTCCTTCTCGGAAAGGTGCCTCCATGATGTCCTGATCTGAATTGCAATGTGCTTTGTGGGTGAGCAAGAGCCCGGAATGGACGTAAGGTGGTGACGCTATATTAGAGCTGCAGGCAGGGGGCGCAATGGGATTGCAGCGATCTGCACGGCGAGGCGGCGGCGCAGCCCGACGGTCGAACCCTAACAGATTGCGCGGGCAAATCCATCCTTTGCAGAGTTATTCCTTTATTGCGGATGATTCTGGGGACGGGTGTTATCGGTCGTTGTTTGCCTCCACGCCCGTATCTGGTGGAGTGTGTGCTTCTCCTGATTGTCATTGTCAACTTATTAGTTACTTTGTACGAAGGGGCACCCATGTTCTGAAGCTGCTTAGTGGTTGGGAACTTGAGCGCGACGCGCGGGTTATGGTAGCCAGACGTTGCTGCTTGTCATAAGGTGTGAGGGTGCAATGAGTCTGATTTGGACAAAGAGCCGGGAAAGCCTCTCTGCCCTTAGCGACGTCTCAATGTTGTGAACTCATCGATTATAGGCCTCTCTTCCCATGATGATTATGGTATTGCGTTGCTGTTCATCCCTGTATAAGGACCACCTGTGGGGGCATTATTGTCTTCGAGAATTTGCATGGAGCAACAGCATTCGTTCCCCCGCAATAGTTCAATCGTATCCCCCTCTGTCCTGCTGCTATCCAATAGTATTGAGCCACAGAACTTCCGTACATGCTAGTACTGAGGTACAATGGGATGAGTTGATTGAAGAACTAAGCCCTGCCCCGTTTGGTACCACAGATGAGCTTACAACTGGATCAAATCAAATTTCTCCTATTGGCTGAGTAAGAAGAGGGTGGTGAATACGATGAGCAGCCACCGCGATATGTCTGGTACCCAATTTGAATGAACGCACATACTCAACCGCAAGGCGGCAGGTAGAGTGACCGGGGAAGATTTGGTTGTAGCTCCTAGTGAGTATTGGAGGAGGTTTTGAAAGCAGATGTCAAAGATATGCTTCAAACGAAAAAGAAATGTTACCAGAGAATTCGATATGAGGGCAGTCCTCGTGTATCCTTGGTGGGGTTCGCAGGTCAATGGTCATTATCCGCAGTGCAAGGATGTCGTCTCTGATTAGTCTACTCTTGGGATTGGCCGCTTCGATTGGGTCACCCATATCATGTCGGAGGCATAACATGCGCATGATGCCCGGCAGCGCCTAATATGCTTCCTTTGGTGCTAGATGCCCGGAGTGGAATAGGCTCATGAACGCTTTGGGCTATAGGAGGGAGTAGGGGGGCGGGCTCAGGAGCATAGCCTAATCTGTAAGTTCCTTATATTATAGGAACCAGTCAACCTCACTATCATTACTTCCCTCTTGCAGGACACCGGCGCGACGGAGGCCCGAGTAAAGGATAGCTAAATAATTACAGAGATTAAAGGCTTGGTTATATAATAGGGTGGCTGTTAAGAACTAGACTTGCTCTGCCTTGAGTCGCGCGACAGACTGGTGGACTCATGTCTAGATGGTCTTAGCTATGTGGCCTTCATCAGAGACCATGCGGCTACCACCTAGATAGGTGGGTGTTGAACCGCTTCACCTGCCGGCCATTTCACCTGGAGCCAAAATCAACCTGCCTAGCTATGTTATCCTTATTTATAGTTTGTGCCTGCATCTTTGCCAGCTACTCTATGGCTAGGTTATTTTTGTCCTTGTTACCGCCCCGTTGCCTGCTCTATCTATCTAGCTAGCACCTACATCCACTTCCTGCATTGTGCGCACTGACTGGGTTATATCTAAAGAGAGAATAATGGTGCAGGTGATCCTGATGTTAGTGGGGTCTAAGGCTTGTAGTTTAGTCTCTAAATTCAAGAGTATATTAAATTGTTAAGGACTTCTGTAGATAATCTAAGGCATGTAAGGAGTTCCGCTAAAATAATAGAATCCTGAATGCATCACCTAGGCGCGCGTGTAGCTCCCCTAATCAGATGTCAATGAGTGCGCTGGGGCAAAGGACTAAAGTGGGCTGATGGGTATAGATATAATCCTTAGCTGTGGTGACTAATGAATACTAAAGTATTATTATAAGTGTTATGGTTTTTCTTATTCTATAAGTGTCTGCTAGTATGCTGCCTCTGATGGGGCTCCTCGCTTGTTTGAGCATCCATACCACTCTACTAACCTGCCATTGCTTGAGCCACATCCCCGCCTGATTTAGATTGCTTGGGACACACAAGAGTAGCGTAACTAGATCCAGGACCAGGGTCTGGCAGTGTCACGGTGCTGCCTCGAATAGTTGGCATCGCTAAGGATGAATCACGTGACCTTAGGGATATCTTCATCGCACAAATTCCGAAACCTGTTTGAAGCTCTTTGAGCTACGTCCTGTCTATAGAGCCTGTACCAGCCTGCCCGCAGTCTGGAACAGAGAGATATAGTTTACTGTAGCCAGCCTGAGTGTTAACTACCTCATTGACCTAGTCCCTAGTCCGTGGACGATCGTATGTACATCCGCTTTTCTCCGCCGTTGATTGGTTGGTGCGTAGTCGGGATTGGTTTTGGTTTTCCCTCACCGCCCGCCCGCGTTCTGCCCTAAGCTTCGTATGTTCCTGGATGAACTTTGTACATAGCAGGCCAAGGGGGGGATAAGTTGGTGATCTATTCGTCTATTGAGGTAGACAGACAGAAGATTCCCACGCCGCAGTCAATTTCCAAGCTTAAAGAGCGAGAAAATCCTCCCGCGGTACTTCGAACAGTATGTAACTCGTGACCCTTTCAATCTGCACGCTGCGGAGGAAGCATGCACCTCAACCATTACCGAGATCGATTTTGGCAGGGACTACAGCTAGAGTCCCTGCTGGCCACTGTAAATTTGGACCTGGAATCGCTGGTAGTGCTAGAGGTAATGGGCACACCGGAAGATATTTCAATCTACTCTATACCTTGGGAAGTGCTAGAAGAGGAACCCTCCATATTTCGGCATTTTCTAACTTGACTACTAGGAGTGGGACGTTATATTTTCTCTTAACATTGACCCATGGGACGCGCCTCTCATTTACAAATATGCCGAAGACGTCGCAGACGTCCTCCGGCAAAATGAAGTGAAGATGGTAGTACTGAACGCATGTAGGTCGGCAAATGCTGGACCGTATCTCAATGCAAACATCGCGTGGACATTTGTCAGAAAAGGCATCTCCGAGGTAGTTGCTAGTTCCTTTGACTTACACAGAGACGCGGCAAAGATCTTCATGAGTCACTTCTATCATGAGATTCTCGTTAAGGGCCTTGGCTTCACCGTGTCGGCGGCCGAGGCCCGTCGTCGTCTTCGTACATCGCGCACGTGAGCTTCTAGATTTGGCATGACAGTTGATGTCAATGACTGGATGATTCCAGTTGTTTACCAGAGCGAAGGGCAACATCGAGAAATTGAGCTGGCTGAACATGTCAGTTTCCTAGCCCAACATGTGATGATAGTGCCTAACACACGCTCTTGGGCCGCGATTTCCATATTTATCAGCTGGAGACAGATCTCTTTATGTCACCTTGTAAGATATGGGAGCTTAGGGGCTTTTCAGGCTCAGGAAAGTCAGATTTATTAGTACACTTGTGCGATTGGTGGGAAAGAAGCAGCTTTGCCGAGGATTCTATATATTGCGACATCGGCACAGATGGACGAATTGTCCGCGTTTACCAAAAGATACTAAAGAAAGATTCTTCCTCAGCCAGTCTTGCTCTGTTATCTTCGGGCAACATTGAGGCTATGCAGAAAGCTGCGCTGAGAATACTGAAGAGCCGACGCTTGCTACTCGTGCTTGACACAATGAATTGTGTTGTTGCTGAATTAGCTCGAGACTTAAGCTCCTTTCTCTACAAGCTTTCAAAGAAAGAACCAAAGAGTTTTGTGATAACGTCATCTTGTTCCCCGGTAGTGAGAAATCTAGGCCTTAGTATGTTCCATATATACGTTTGCTACTCGCTGACTCTTCAAACTGACATTTCTCTAGGACTTGGTTCCTTCGAATCTTTTCTTTTCCGGTTTGAATGAAGATGCTTGCTTTCAATTGTCACAGCGAGTCTGTGAATTTGATAAAAGACTAGCAAACATTCGATTCCTTCAACGAGTTTTTCGACTGTTACATTATCTACCCGCAGCAATTAGAGCCGTCCTGCCAGTCCTCAATCGCACGTACTATAGTCCAGAAAGACTGTTCTATGACCTTCTATCTAAAAGGGTACAAATCAGTGACTTGGCAATATCTGAAGCTCCGAGGTTCGGTACAACTGTTGCCAACTTTTTCAACCAATCCGGCGAGCTTACTAGGAACTTAATGCTTCTATGGGCGCCATTCTCGGTCACAATCCCTTCAGACTTTCAGCGCATTTGGCAAGAACGGAAGAAATACCTTACCCCAAATGAAAATGGTGACCTTGAGCCTGAGACAAAATATAACCGAATTATCAGCGCCTGGCAGAGATTTGGAGTTTTGTCTTCGGAAATCCAGGGATATCCACTTGCCTCAAATTGTGATGACGACAAATACTCACATTGTTACGGAACAAGTTTGAAATACACCCCCTTCTGACCCTATTTCTAAGGTCACAATTCAAAACATGTCAATTTCCCGGCGGCTCTCATGTTCACGATATCTTTGTTACCTTCCTTGACTACTATAATGAGATCGGTTCCGCGCTCACTAGCGCTCAGCGCCTTGCGCTCTTAGAAGAGGCTGGATCTGATTATTTCAACTTTATCAAGTCTGTCGCATACACTTTGTACCTTGATGGCCCTTTTAACTAGATGATAAACCTACCTCAAAATCCCTTGCGTGGGCTTTCCGCTGGTACGCTATACCGATCCTATGATGCGGAAATATTTCTCCATTTTCTGGGACTTCTCATCCAGCGGTATGAGCGAGACCGAGATCTACAATTGGAGCTCTAATTGGAGGGACCCGACACTGAGTTACTCACCTACGGTACAACAGAGATAGCAGCAATGTCCTTGATGTGGGTTTGCGATCATTACGCGTCTCGATACGTAGCGACGTCCCTTGGAAAAAGCCTAGAACAAGCTAGATCCGTTACCGATGATCTAACAAAACGATACCTCTCTCTTCCGAAGGACGCAGCTAGATTGGAGCAAATTGATGGAGATCTTCCTTACTACAACCATGCGGCAATTCTCTTTTCACGGACTTGGGCTGGGGAACGGCTTGCTATTATGAAAAGAGATGGGCGCAATGGAGAATCGCTTTCTTGTCTGTACCACGCGGTCTTACTGTTCAAATAGAAACTAGCTTTTGTTACTGAAAATTAAAGCAGCAAACATTCGTCGAAGATAGCTTTTACACATTTCGCAACCCTTCCAGGAGTTCCTATCGGTGGAATGTACTTCCCAATGTGGACAAAGACAAGGACCAAGCTCAGCTCTTGAGTAGGATGGTCTTCGGGAGGCCACAGGAATGTTTGTCCCCGAATCGGGTGTCAAAATTTTGACGTCCGAAGATCTAGCTTCATCGTACTCCGCATTGGTTGACAGGACTGATTCGTCGAGATAATCTCGCCTTCGATGGTCAAAGTCCCTATCCGAGCTTCGCCCGATGGAAGGATGCTCACCATTAAGAGCAGTTGTCCGAAGAGAGAATTCTTTGTGACTGCTGGGCTTAGTCTCTGGATGCGAGTCCTCTTCTGTGAGGCTTGCTCGAGTTATACTGATGTCACAGTCGCTGCTGGCAATCTCCTCTCCATCGACATTTGGTATTGTGATTGTATTATCACCGCCCAGCAATCCTGCCTCATACCGAATGGCAGAGATCTTACTGGAGTAGACTTGTGCCATAACCTTGCCCAAAAATTTATTGAAATCCAGACTCTCGCCAAATCCTTCGAAAAACTGTTCCCGTTGGAAGATTCCTTCGTCGGCCTCAAAGCTTGCCGTGATTCTGGCTTTGAGATACTCGGAAAACCATGGCTCTTCTGATATTCTGGGGAAGGCCTTCCTTCCGAGAGATATAATTTCCATGATAGAAATGTCCTTGTCGAAGATTTGCATGTACCTCTTCGCATGTTCTGCTAACCCATCAAGGCCTTAACTCACAGCAGCACGATATGCAAATATGCTCCGAGTGTACTCCACTGTTAGGCTCGGCAATTCGTAGGTTGATGGTGGCTTCACAGTCTGATACTCCCCAGTGTAAAGGTAATGGATAATCGTATGCCCGATATCCTCGTCCACATCAGGGAGTCTTACTAGCGGGGACCCGTCCTCGTCCTGATGGCACGGCAGAGTGGTAGCATTCCTAACAAGGTTCTGTGTGATGGTGTAGCATTTTCTGCTAGGGCCAATGACGACCTTGACTCCCTTACCCTCGTACGGACTTCAATTCTCCTTAGATTAATCCGACTCCCCTTATGTATAGAAGGAAATCATACGTCGACTCACCTGATATTTGGCTGAGTGTATTCCAGAAGGACAGGTGCCCGGGAAGTAGTTGGCCCCCCAGTGGCCTCTTCCGCTCTGTAAGAGCCCGGCTCAGTAGCTCCGTTATCTCTTGTCACGGGAACATCAGCAACGTCACCTTGCTCGACAGCAGATGCTGTAGCAGCCTCATCCGTTATTTCAGGAACTGGTTCTGGGAGAGGCTCTGGGATGGGTTCAGAGCAGAGCTGGGCAACGGCCTCGGGCTCAGGCACAGTGACAGGCTCAGATATACCCTCCAGAACAAGTTCTGGAAGAGGCTCTGGCTCAGTGACGGGTTCGGGCTTAGGCTCGGGGGCAGGCTCAGCAATTTTGTCCATTTCGGCAACGGGGTTATCAGCGGCTTGAAGGTAGCGTGAAGCCGTCTGATCAGAAGTTCCCCATAAATTATTTTTTTTTTGCTTTCTGCCTTTCCTCTTCTTCACCATCTTCTCTAGTTTGCGATGGCGACTGGGATAAAGACGGATAGGCGCCGTATTTGGGTATTTGGAGGATATAAGACAGCCGGACCCTGCCAACTGCAGGAATTCCCATGCCAAAGTCTGAATGTTCATCCGAAAGTCATGACATAACTCTCAAGCCACTTCACATATTTTAACTGTGCGGAACACATGGATTTAGCGCATTGGACATAGGCAAATATTTGGTTCGACGCCCCAGACGTCACTAACGATGTCTAAGTCAAGGAGAGTAGCAAGTAAAGAAAGTTAATGCAGTACTTGACAAACCTAGAAAACCTATCTTTGAAGTAACAGAGCCAACCATGGTTAGTGACTCAAAACACGATCAGATCGACAAAAGACAAGGTAGTGCGTAAGTAGCCATTGCATCGTCGCTTGTCAGCTCACGGCATCGGCTACTGCGGGACTGGTCAATGCGAGATAGGCAAACCGCAGCACCTATATACTGTCTTCGCTTATCTGCTGACACAGTTCGAAAATATTCCGGAAAGAGTTCAATGGGCAGGCCATGCTGAGCTTTATCTAGGCCATTGTAGTGGCCCTCACAAGATTGCGTATGAGTTATCACAACCCGTGGTTGAGACCTATCAAAGAATCCTACTCCGGAACCTGCCCCGCGAACCTGAAGTAGTAAAGCCGAGCTCGACCACTGCAAGTTCCATCAAAGACGTAGGAGATAATATTATGCGTAGGTATTACGGAGGATGGGCAAGAATATGAAGATCACAGCCTGGGTCCAGCCCTTGCCTGTGTACTACCGTCACTGTAACCCTGGCTCTCCTTGCCTGCGGACGATGATGTCATGAAATTGTATGGAAAGTGATGAAATCTGCGCCCTTAACGTGCAAATTATGAGATGTGGCACATCACTAAGCTTAGATGGCATTAACCAGCAGTGCTGGTTTCTTGCGGCCAAGGGGCTTGTGATGAGGTGATCTTTAGCATAGATAATTAAACGAATCCTGAGAGGCGAAATAGAACTGAATCCCCTTGGACTGGCCGCCACTGGGAATCCACAAAGCCTAGATTGCTGTCTACATCAAATGATAGTAATGGTAATGGCTTAGCCCAACTGGAGACTGTTAGCATGAAGACAAGCTTGCTATAAGTCGCTGCCAAATTGAGTCGTCCGAGCTGATATCGCTAAGGCCCGAAAGCGAAGCTCATGTTCCATGGTCGCCGCTAGGTGCTTGGCCATACCACCAGCGATTGTGTTATTTGGGCTTCTTCGCCGATGACGAAGTTACTAGTCATGGTAAGTCTCGTTAACCCTTGCACATCGTACTAGTTACATTGCAGTGTAATCGCCGGTGGCGCGCAGGCTAAAACCCCTCGGGAGGCGGAATCTGCAGCCTTTGATATCTTTCATTCCACGAAGGTGAGAGGTCAGTATACGAATAATGACGTTAATAAGAGCTGCTGTACCAGGTAGCTCAAATTCAAAGTTGTAAGGGTGACAAATGAAACGTCACATCCAGCAACTGTGTCCGAAGTACTTGTTGGTGGCCCGTGAAACTTACAGTTTGCTAACAGATGACCTGAGTTTCTGATTCTAAACGTATAAACATACGTAGCAGCCTCGTTGTATAGGACACTAATTTGGGAGATATTTGAGGTCTATCCCGGCCTAGTGGTCCAATTCAACGTCCGTTAGCTGGTGGAAAGAGATCAGCATGGAATCATCCGGGCCCCTTCCTTTCTTGCGGGAACTCTTTTTAAGTAGCAAATATTCCGACCTTATTATACAGTGTGAGGGTCAGATTTTCAAGGCACATAGGGCGATTATTTGTTCACAGTCTCCGTTCTTCCATGCTGCGGTCAGTGGAAACTTCCGAGTAAGTGACGTTCCACGCTACTGGACACCGCTGATTTGAAGCAGGAAAATCGCGAAGGCAGAATCGAACTACGAGGCGAAGATGCAGATACAGTCAAACGATTCTTGTCATATATATACCTCCAAGACTACGACCAGGGCGACGGTAGGCTTAGCTTGAACGGGAGGAGTGAGCCTGGGGTTGGCAATACAGACACAGAATCTTGTATCCAAGATGCCAACGCGGCGCAATCCAGCATTGTCGCAGAGGCTGCATCAGCAACAGATGTCAACGAATTATCGCACAATAACCTTGGTGTCTATATAATGGCAGACAAGTTTGGCACCTATCCTTTGAAGAAGCTCGCCAAGGACCGTTTGGTCAATTGGGCAGAGAAAAATTGGCGTGATGAGGGTTTCGCTGACGCTGTCCGGGAAATTATCAGCTCTATACCTCAAGGGACGGAACTCTATGAGGACTTATCGAATGTGATATCCGAAAATGCTCAGAGCCTTGTCGAACGAGTATCGATTTTGGAGGTTCTAGAAGAATTCGGAGCGCTTTCAGCGGCAGTGCTCGAAAAGCTTGTGGGACGTCTTAAATATTCAGAGGAGGAGCGTAAACGACTTATTACCCTCTGTGAACAGGACTCTTTCGGGCGAGAATTGATGACCAAAGCCAACTCGTTTTCAAGGTGCAGGCACTGTCATGCGGAGTTTAACCTTCGCGTCGAGGACAGTGTCGCACTAGGATGGGGAACGATAAGATGCGGGAGATGTAGGACGCGCCACTGAAGAAGGGACTAGAAAGAGGCGCAATTTTAAACGTTCAAGGCTAGCTTCTATGGAAGTGTATGGCGGAGTCAATGAGTTGATATTACGTATTCAAGAAAAGTTCATGAAAGCAGGAATTGGATATTTTCAGGATATCAATATGGACTGACCGATATCCATACCTTTTTCAAATATTATGATGGATGCATCGTGATAGATAGGTCTTCATGACGCTGGGACTGGCGGTTGAATCCAGGTAGATGTGATGCTGCATCTCAAGATGAAATGTGTGGTGTTTGTTACAGTAGACGCCCAGAAGAATCCGGAGGAATCCGCCAAATAGCAAACCCTCGAGCACATATTCTCGAAATCAGTCTGACAACCAATTTGTGATGAATATGTTCCCTGGCCCAGTGAGGGATGCTACGTGTCACACGTAGATACTTAATTGACATGACTTCTTTAAAAGTACTTCCCAACGTCATTCTACAATGTCAGATCCTCTCGACACCGTTTTTCGCATCACGCGAATCTTCATGACACTACACCTCGTTGGCAGACCGGCACATGGCAATATCCTTAAGCTTCGATGGCCACTAATGTGGGAGCACGAGGTCTTCGCCTACTGGATATTGCTCATCTAATTACTCCCACGCAGTGGTATGCCGTGGCTAGCGTGCCAGGAGACGATCGATCATTTGCCTTGTTTCATTTTGCGCCCCTTGTCCTGCATTTTTCACTCAATCGTAGAAAGACGAACGTCGGAAAAGCTCCCGTAGACCAATCATGTCACTGGACAGGGTCGATATCCCTCTGAGGGGAATGATAGACGACCATCTACTGATCGTGCCAGCATCTCATGAGAAAACACCTCGTGGTGCCAGGTAGCAAATAGGGGGAGGGGAACCCAGACTTTTCTCCATCGCCCCCCTTCACTGTTATACTTCCCTTCCTTTTCATCTTACAATTCCGTCCGAGTCTCGCAAAGTATCTTGGCCGTAAACGCCAGGGACAGTAAGCATGGAGACCACCATCCCTCTCCAGGACCGGCATGCCGACCCCAAAGTCGCTCTCACCAGCACAGCCAGGTCCCCGAGGACCAGGGCCTCGGGCGTGTAGGGGAGAAGCAGATTCTCAAGCGTCGCTTTGGCTTTCTGTCTATCTTGGGGTTTTCCTGCACCATCTTGGCCTCGTGGGAAGGAATCTTATCGACTTTGATCATTTCCTTCGAAGAGTATGTGTCGTGCCTTGCGAGTCTCTGGTTCAAAGTCTATCTAACAAGAGATGATCGCGTAGTGGAGGGCCGGCTGGAACCGTCTATTGCTTTTTGATCGTCTGGCTGAGCACGTTCTCGACCTTCCTGACGCTGTCGGAGTTGGTCTCCATGTATGTATCGTACTCCTTTTATGGTCGATGGTCCTAACCATAAGCTGACATGCATCGTCTAGGACACCGACATCGGGCGGACAATATCATAGGGTATCAGTGATGTCTCCTGTTGGGTGTCAAAGGTACCTCAGCTTTCTGACAGGTCGGTTTGCTCTCTGCTCTCCCTGGATTCTTGAATCACACAACTAAGTTCTATCCAGGATGGTTAATTATCATCAGCTGGTTAGGAGCATTCACATCCACTTGCTACCTGAGTGCCTCGCAGATCCAAGGCCTGGTTGTTCTGAACCATGCCTTCTACGTCCCTGCAGCATGGCAAACGGTGCTCCTATTCTGGGCAATGCTCGCCTTGCGCAGTATTTGTCAACGCGGTCGCCAGCACCTGGCTACTAAAGTTTGAGGGGTTCGTGTTGATCCTGCATATCCTTGGCTTCTTCGCTATCATCATTCCCCTTCTCTACTTGGGTAGTCATAACGAGGCCTCCGACGTGTTCACAGAGTTCCGCAACGACGGAGGCTTTCAGAGCGAGGGGCTGGCCTTCATGGTGGGAATGACGGGGGCCATGTTCTCCTTCACCGGGGCCGATACTGCTGTGCACGTAAGTCCATTTCTTCCCTCGAGTGTGCGAGGCCTGCTCACGCACCGTTAGATGAGTGAAGAGATCCACAACGCGGAGCGAGTGGTGCCCCAGTCCATCCTCACCTCCGTGCTGATCAACGGCCTGCTGGGCTTGGCATGGTCCTGAGCACCCTCTTCACCATGACCGATGTCGACAGCGCGCTAAAATTCCCAACCGGGTATCCCTATATGCAGGTCTTCTGCTCAGCCACCAGCTCCGTCGGTGGCTGCACGGTGATGAGCGCCATTGTACCAATTCTAGTCACGGCAACGGCCGTCGGATCGTTGGCCTCGTCCTCTCGGATGGTCTGATCCTTTGCTCGCGACCGCGGCCTCTCTGGCTGGCGAGTATTGAGTCGGGTACGTACCATGTCATGCCCAGCCAGCCAACCACTTCGAGACATGTCAATCCCGCTGACATGACTCCCTGACTGAAATGAAGGTCAACACCCAAGCCGTCCCCCAATGGTCCGTCCTCGTCGTCACCATCGCCGCCATCCTGCTTGCCCCGATCATTCTCGGCTCCGCCGCCGTCTTGAATGACGTCGTCTCACTCTGCGTCAGCGCACTGTACACCTCCTACCTCATCTCCGCCTGTTTGCTCATGTGGAGGCGCTACACGGGCGGCATCCGCGACCCCGCTGCCACGGTGATGGACACGCTGGTCAATACTCCCGGCGCGCCGCTCGCATGGGGACCGTTCCGCATCCGTGGGGTGCTGGGAGTCCTAGTCAATGCCTTCACCGTCGCGTACCTAGTGATAGGCGTATTCTTCAGCTTCTGACCGACGGTGGCCAACCCGACGGCTAGCACGATGAACTGGGCGGTGGTGGGCACGGCCGGGACGAGCTTGATTAGTACCATCTACTATATTATTTGGGATGGAAAGGTGTATACCGGGCCGGTGATGGAGATTAATCGGGATTGATGTGTGCTATGCGGAAGGTGCAACCTGCTGATTATTGCTTGCGTGTTATTGGATAGTAGAAGCGATGCGAGGTGTTATCTGCGTCTCCAGGTTGCTATCTCGTATCAGTTGGAGAACCATAGAATAGACCCTGATGGGCCGACGATTCAATGATAGTCCTCGTGTCTCTGTCTGGAGTCGACTCATTCACGCGTAATTCGTACATAGTACCATTTCAGGCAAAAGACACTGCCACTCGAGCATAGTACTGTGTATGAATATCCATTCCCCAGATACCGTTGCATATTTCACTTCAACACGATGTATCAAGACCCCCAGCTGAGTGAAAGAGTTCAAGTTCGAGCAATGTGCTTCAGCTGAGGTGGTCGATTGTGCGTACGTAGCCTGCCGGAAATATACTTTCCGCAGAAAATTGAAGGATTCGCGATGAGGTGGTAAGTTGATGATGGTGATGGAAGTAAGAAAGCATCAACAGCATCAACAATGTGAGGTCAGGCGATGGGAGGTACCGGATAGGGGTGAGAAAGCTGGTCTGATACCATAGGTATTAGGAGAAATACAGGCCAAGGTGAGTCGGAGAGAGCAGGCGGTATCGCCAAATCGCGAGATATGGAGGTGAAGCATAAACACTGCTCAACAGTGTGCGGAGAATGACTAATTATGCCATCACTGACTCAATGCGGGGCAGCACATCTCCATCTCAACCGACTTGCATCTTCAAAAGCATACATACGCCTGAGTCCCTAATTGAGGTTAGCAATTGGACAATGTATTTTAAGCCAAGGGCTATAGCTCCAGCGCCAGCGGATGGTAGTTATGGAGGTAATAATCAACATATCAAGCCCACCGCAATGGCATACGCCTGCCGGACTTGTGTCAGACGCAAGGTGAGATGCGACAAGCAGACGCCTGATTGTTCCAGTTGCCGCAAAGGAAGTCTGGAGTGTTCTTACCAGGAGCCTGTATCTCGATCGCACAAGCGAAAACCGAGTGAGGAGCTCGCAGATAAGCTGGCTCGGTACGAGCGCATCCTGCGGCACCACGGCATTCTAGACAGTGAAACGTCGGCCGCTGAGAGAACCACTCGGTCAGGAACGACCTCATTTCACTATAACGAGCCTGAGGCTTCCAAGTTGGGAAGAGTCCTTGCGGACAAAGGCACCTCGAGGTATATCAGCGGTCACCCATGGAGCACTCTACAAGAAGAGGAGTTGCGACGCGCATTCGAGGAGGAGCAGGAGCAGCAAAATGCCACCAGCATAATGGACACCCTTGCGCCAGACCCATTGACAGGCTCACTTGTGGACTCTCGACAAAGTCTGCTTCAGTACCATCCCACGCACACAGAAGCTATGATTCTGTGGCAAATGCATGTCGAGAATGTGGAGCCATTGTGCAAAATCTTGCATATTCCGTCTACCACTGAATGGATGGAGAATATTTCCCGTCGGCCTGAAACAGCCTCAGATGCAGAGGAATGTCTCATGTTCTCCATCTACCAGTTTGCGGTCTATTCGATGACGGACGAGGACTGCGTGGAAAAGTTGTGCCAGTCACGCACGGCCTTGAGTCGACGATATCATGCCGCAGCACGACAGGCACTGATTAACGCCTCATTTCTCAAAACAACTGACATGCGGGTTCTACAGGCGTTTGTTTTATTCCTCCTGTCCAGCCGCCAGTATTTTGATTCACAGACGTACTGGATCCTGACAGGTGTTGCAGTCCGGATAGGGCAGCGCATTGGGATCTTTCAAGACGGTGACAAGCTGGGAATGTCCCCGTTTGATGTCCAGATGCGACGCAGGCTTTTCTGGCAGCTTATACCACTCGATGGTCGGGCGAGCCAGATGGCAGGTACTGTCGTGTACATCCTGCCCAATGCCTGGGACACCCAGCTACCCCTGAACTTGAACGACGAGCAGATCTGGCCCAGCATGACAGACACTCCGCGCGAGCAGCAAGGCGCGACACAGATGATCTTCTGCCTTTCCCGCGCATGCATAGGGAAATTCTTCGCAAGCATGAGCCCGCACATGAGCAGCAGCGGGCCATGGAAGTTCGACAGCCAGCACGAGGCTGAGTCCGTCATCAGTGCCACCGAACGGGAGGTCGAGGACAAATATATCCGCTACTGTGACGTCGTCGACCCGCTTCATTTCCTGACCATAGGACTGGCTCGATCAGGAATCACTGCGATGCGTCTCCGCGTGAGGCTCGCAAAAGTGAGGGACCAGACCGCGACGGACGCTGAGATGTGGGAGATCTTTCAACTGGCCCAGAAAATCTTGGACACCGATTCGGCAGTTTCAGCACATGCTGGGCTGCAGAGGTACCGGTGGCATGTTCGACCATTTTTTCTATGGGGAACTTACGATTCGTTCATCTTTGTCCTGACTACGCTTTGGAAGAGGCCTGACCTTCTCTCTGCAGCGGAGGTCGAGGCGGCGTGGAATAAGGTTGAACAGCTTTACTGTAACCATGACGAGCTCCACCATTCAAAACCATTATATGTGGCGTTTCGCAGGCTCACAATCAAAGCCTGGGATGCCCAATCTCCAAGCAACACAAGGCCGGAGCCAGGTTTCATTGCGACCGCTCGCTCACTGCAAACGAGAAAAGAGAACGTCATGATGAACATTCCAAGAGAATCACTGGATACAGCGCATGAGACTAGTGAAGTGTTGTTGAGAGATATTCCCTTGGCGAGTGACTTCAATTATAACGTCGGTGCAGTGGCAGAGGGAATGCAGGGCGAGATCGGCAACGCGGTCGACTTCGAGACCATAGATTGGGGGTTCTGGGATCAATTGATCCAGTACCATCAAGGACAAGGTGATTCTCAGGAGTGATGACTCAACTCCACGTGATTGCTTAACCAGAAGTTGAGCATAGAGGGGATCGTGTCAGCCACGGAAACGGAATGCACCTATTCATACCTAGTCCAGTTCCGCCAATGGAGAGGAATCTGCCTGCTGAGGATGCACGAATCCCGGTACTTTGCGAGCTGCCATTGGTCAGATTCTCGGTCTCGCCTCGGCCGAGCGTCTGTCCAATCATCGGCCCCCGCCATCTCTGACCCTCTGGTATAAGAACTCTGCGACAGCATCATTATTTAAGACCCTGTCTCATAAGATACACAATCACGAGAATCAACCATAATGCCACCGCTCAGAGTCCTCGTGGTGGGCGCATCAATTGCCGGCCCAACAGCAGCCTACTGGTTCGCCCGAGCCGGAGCCAAAGTCACCGTCATCGAGCGCTTCCCCCACCTGCGCACCAACGGACAGAACATCGACATCCGAACCGTTGGCGTTACAGTAATGCGCAAAATGCCCGGCATGGAGGAGGCTGTGCGGGCAAAGACCATCCCGCTGAAATGCATCGCTGCCGTCCGGTCTGATGGCCGCCCGTTCGGCGTCATCTCCACCACCGGAAATCCTGATCAGCAGTCCCTCGTCTCCGAATTCGAGATCTATCGTGGGGACTTGTCCCAGATACTGTACGATCGGACTCATGCCCATCCGAACATAACCTATATCTTTGGCGAGCAGGTCGCATCCATTCAGCAGCATGATCAGGCTGATGGACCTGTCAAGGTCGAATTTGCCAGTGGCTCTCCCACCATGGAGTTCGATCTCGTTGTGTCCTGCGATGGAGCTACGTCAAGAACTCGGGCGATTGGACTCGGGGTTGGGATGCGGGACTACCTCGAACCGACTGGCACTTGGGCGGCATTTTTCTCTGCCAAGCAGGATCTCCTCGATGGAAACAACAAAATGGGTAAAGCATACAATGCTGTCGGCGGTCGTATAATTGCTGCTGGCCCTGACCCTTCAGGCGTGAGTCGGGTTGTCTTGATGAAGCGCTATGCGCAAAAGGACAGCAGTGCCACGCAGCCCTTCCGAGACGCGATGAACCAGGGGGGTGATGCTCTCAGGCAGTTCGTCGCGCAGACCTATCGTGGGGCGGGCTGGAAGTGCGACGAGGTGATCAAGGACATGATGGAGGCAGAGGACTTCTATGCCAGCGAGATCGTGCACGTCAAGGTCCCGCGCCTATCGAAGGGGCGGTTTGTGCTGGTCGGGGATGCGGGATATGCCGCTTCGACGGGCACCGGAACGAGTCTCGCCATGGCTGGTGCGTATGTGCTGGCCGGGGAGGTCTGCAAACACAAAGGCGATCTGGCGGGTGCTCTTCAAGGCTATGAGGATGTGATGCGACCTCTCATCGATGATATGCAGAAGGTTCCTCCACTCCTGCCGGTCTTCTTCACGCCGCAGACGGCTTGGGGTTTATGGCTTCGAAACATGGTCTTTGCTTTTGTCTGTTGGAGCGGGATCTTGAGCCTCACGCAAAAGTTCTTTAGTGGAGCCTTTGCCGGTACTGAGAGATATCAATTGCCGCAGTATGAGTGGCAGGAATAGGAATGTTCATGGCTACGAGCTTGTGGTGTGTGTCCAGTAATATGTTGGCCTTCGCTCTCGCTGCACTCGCATAGTACCCTCCCCACCTTTCTGTAGTGTCAAAAAGTTGAAATGCTTGACATCAGTCTGTACCTATTTTCGTCAGTAATACCTTTGGTTGCGCCGGTCGAAATCTAGCATAGAGTCAGAGTGAGGATCTCACCATTTCATTCTAGTGGAAGCTGTGTGTCAGAAATGAAAACCAGTCACGTACGCGCAAGGTTAATACATACTGGTAAATGCAAAGGGCTTCAAATATGAAGACGAGTTGTAATAGTCTGGACTAGCAGGTGAAGTTGCCGTACTTGCCTGTTTTTCAGTGTCCCCTGTCTAGGACCGGACCATCACTTCCCCTTCACTTCTTCACTTTCCTTCCCACTCACCTCTCTCATCTCTTCTTCCATCCCAGTCATCACGTACCATACGCCGTCGTTGCTAAAAACCTCAATCATCACTCACACCCTCCACAAAGCGCGAATTCCCTAACTCCCGTCTGCAGCGGTCGGGTCTCACTTAGCGCAAAGATAAAGCTTTCTCAACGATATCCACCGGTCGAGTCATCTGCTCATCCACGACGCCTTTGATACTTCAGCATGACCAATAATCCTGCGATGCTAGAGGATGCTCAGGCAGGGGAGTACTGCGATCTGGAACTAGAGTGCGAGGGAAAGAAACTCACCGTCCACAAAATCGTGGTATGCAACAAGTCGGGGGTGATCAAAAAAGCGTGCAAGGGCCATTTCGTGGTAATGACAGCCACCTCCGTCGGGTCTTGATATGAGATTCTCTGATGTCTGCATAGGAAGGTAGAACCAACACAATCAGAATTCAGGACTTCTCCAGCGTCACTGTCAAACGCTGGATTGAGTACATGTACGTCGGCGACTATGGGCTGGACAATCAGTTGGAGTGGATATCAGGTATCTTCTATTTCCAGTAGTCGCTACCACTGAGACGAAACATGACTGACTTAAGCTGAAGAGCTTGCCAGGATCACTGATAACGCCTGCGATTCTATCGAACCTGTGTCTCCCACCACCTCCTCCGCCGGGTCCGTGCTGGACGCTACAGCCTCGACAACGCCCACTACTGCGGAGGTTTTGCGTCCTCACCTTGAAATGAGTACGATTGCGCATTATTACATGATGCCCGAACTCGAAGCCCTGGCCCTCCAAAAGATAAGGACATCGTTGGCGCAGCCCTGGTCGCCCGCCGGAGTGGACGAGTTGATTCCAGAGCTTTGCCCTAAGATTCGCGATGAAGCTACTCTGCAGCAACTCTGCGAGATGGTCATTGACCATATCGAAACTTTTGAGAAGAGCGAGAGCCTCTTCCCCGATCGATTCTCGAGGCGAGTCATCGCAACTCTGAGAGAACGCATGGGACACATCAAACAGCAGTTGAATGAAGCGACACTGTCTTTCGGCAGGGAGCAAATGACATTGAAGACACAACTCCTTAATTCCGACCAGAGATTCCGGACATTGAAGAGTAATCTCGAGAACATCAAAGACGTGCCCGAATGCCGCCACTGCTCGAAGACATTCCATGTCCAGCTCGAGCTCGGTGGGGAGGACAGCTCGATTTGTAAGCTCCGGTGTAGGGGATGCAAGACCAGACATTCTTGTCCTCCGCCAGACGCAGTGAATTAGTATAACTCTAATAGCGGGTTGCAGGCACATTTCATGGTTGGGCTGGGGAAGATTTGAATACGTGCTATTTGATGTATCGTCACTGATAGGCGCATATTCTCGGAGTAGTTTGATTCCCCTTTGATGATATTCCTTATAAAGCCAGATGCTCTTTGTATGATTTGCTTGCATAGTACGGGCCGACCTTATTGGGGCAATGGCACGTGAGCCAGGAACCGGCGGGGATAACCACCAATCAGCTGTCCGAGATCAATGCCAAAGCCGATCAGAGTTTTAGCATAGTTATGATCACGTGGCTCTCCTCCCCGATAACATCTATCAATGCATGCATCCCATTGATTCGCCTCTTCAAACATCCAGCCCACAAAGATACCTAGAAGATACACAAGAAAATCCAAGATAAAAAGATGCTACTAGATTCATCCCCTCCTTCCGGGCCAACAAATTCCCCACTATCATACACACCACCCAACCTCAACCCATCCCCCAGGCCCAATCCCATGAACCCAACCCCACAACTGCACAATGAGATGCACGAACTCCCCATCCGGCCCCGCGGCCTCCTCTGGCAAACCGACTTCATCACACCCAGCCACGAGCAACACCTCCTCCACATCTTCCGCCACGAGCTCACCTGGCCCGACCGCCCCGGCCGCATTTCTCTGCATTACGGCTACACCTTCGACTACAAGACCTTCAACATCGACCCGGACATCCCCTACCGCCCATTCCCCGACTGGCTGGTCCCGCTCCTCCCGGCCCGCGAATCCCGGCCCCCGGATCAGGTGTGTCTGCAGTATTACCCGCCCGGCGCGGGGATCCCGCCGCATGTCGACGCGCATGGGCCGTACGATCAGCTGTACGCGCTCTCGCTGGGCGCGCCGGTGATGATGCAGTTCCGGCGCGGGGAGGAGCGCGTGGAGGTCGACTGCGAGCCGCGGAGTTTGATGTGTATGAGTGGCGAGGCGCGATTGTTGTGGACGCATGGGATCAAGAAGCGGAAGACGGATTTGGTGGCGGGTGGTGCGGAGGATGGGGAGGGGGGCACGGGGGAGGGGCAGAGGGTGCGGGTGAGAGGGGAGAGGTGGAGTATCACTTACCGGTGGTTGCGGGAGGGGGGGGAGTGTGAGTGTGGGGATGTCGAGCTTTGTGATACCGCGCAGAGGCGGTTAGGGGTGGAGAAGGAGAAGAGGTCGGTTGTTGCGTTGAGGGAGGCTGCGGAGGAGGAGGAGAAGAGGAGGAGGGAGGAGAAAGGTGGTGGTCGTGGTGGTGAGGGAGGGGAGAGTTGAGGCGGGGAAGAGGGTTGTTGTTGGTCTCCAATGTGTTGTACTATACGTGTTTTGCTGCATACCTTAGCTGGTTCATGCGTGGAGTTGGGCCATTGGACTTCTGCATAGGCGTTGTTGATGAATTTTTATCAAGTCGTCTACTAATATCATTATTTGACACTTCCTGGCAGGTTTGCCTTTTAAGTTGTGAGCCTTTCAAGGCATGATGGCCGCTGAAATGGAGCTGTGATCGCACTGCGGGACAACTAACTGAATTACTAATTCTGTACAGTACTGTGTAGGTGGCCATTCCTCCCATTTACCAACCCCCTTTACCATCATTCCACCTTCTTCCATGCCACAATCAAACCGAAAACTCAATTATTCGGACTCAACTCCGCCTCAATAACACTCTGAATCGCCAGCGGCGAGCTCCAGATCTTCACCACCCGCAACCCCACCGATTCCAACAACCCCTGCCACATGCCTTCAGTGCGCTCAAACGCCGACACAACGATCATCATTGTCTGGTCGTAGCCCGTCGCCTGTGGATGCGCCTCCGTCGCCGGAATCACATGGTCATGAATCAAAATCGTGCTATACCCGGGCGTCATCGCGTCCCTCAAATGCCCCAGAATCTGGCGAGCCGCCTCATCGGGCCAGTCGTGGAGAACTCCGTGCAGGTAGTAAGCGCGCGCGCCTGTGGTAGATATCAGCTTCATGCCACTCCCATCATGCATTCATCCACCGCATTCCCCTGGCGGAAAGGTAAATATGAAAAGAGGGGCGGGAGGAAACAAACCCTTAATTGGCTGCTCCGTAAAGAAATCATGCGCCATCGCCCGCACTTCTGTGGGACAAATCGCCTGTTTCACCACGTCCGGGCGATCCTGCAACACCAATCGCTTGCCGAGACCGGGCTGCTTCGCCAGGAACTTGTTCATGTCGTGGCCCACGTTGCCACCGACGTCCACCAAGAGCGCGGGGTCGGCGCAGTCGGCTTCCTTCGAGTCTGCCAGCCTCTCGTACGGGAAGATGTCGAGCATGCCGGCCTGCTTGGCCATGACAGAACCCATGACGTTGTTGAAGACGGCGCTCTCGGCGGGGTGTTGGTCGTAGTATTCAAAAAGCGAGCCCTTGAATTCTTTGGTGTACTGGAAGATGCCGTCGTTGGGGTCGCTGGGGTTGCGATAGTTGGTCTGGGCGAGGTAGGCGGGCATTTTGGCGAAGCAAGGGTTCAGCATGTCGTTTCTGACGGGTGGGGACAGTTAGTCTTGTGGAGGAGGGTGGGGTCAGGGCAAGGTACGGACAGGTATGGGATCCAGGCCCCGAAGACGGGTTCAAGTAAGGATTTACTGAATGCGGATTGCTTGTAGTGGTCTGGGGAAACTTCGATGATTATGTGGGTGGAGGCTAGATGGCGGAGGATGCGAGCTGAGGTTGTCAGGATCGTCTGCAGAGATTGGGTGTTTATATGGGCTTGATTCTTACCGAGGAGCGCAGGATCCGAGCCTGTCAGTTCTGCAAGCTGTTCGGCGGACTGCTCGGCATCTTCCCCTACTTCCAGCCACTTTTGGAAGAGGTTCAGGTCCTGGCTGACTGTGAGGGCTGCGTTGAGGGCAGGCTAGAAGAAGAGTTATTATCGACTGAGCTTCTTGTTGTATGGGGTTATACAAGGGGGGGATTTACCTCGGTCATACAAAGGCGCACCACGGTATCCCACGAGGTCTCGAGACGACTGATAAGAGCGTAGGCCTCCTTCAACGCCTTGACACGGTCGCCGTCATAAGCGAAAGACGATCGGTCAATGCCTCTGATTGACCGGACGAATTCTTCAACATCGGTAGAAGCACTAGATTGGTTGTTGGTTGCCATTGTGGTCAAACAGCGGATGAGGTCCCCGACAGTGTGAAGAAAGTGATCGAACCGGATGCAGGGGTTTGGGGGAACTAAGGGTATTTCTGTCAAAGAGGACAATCAATCTCGGTCCGCAGCTGTCAGCAACCCCTCAGCACTAGACAGGATAAGTTTTGACTGGCGTATGGCGTTGACCAACGAGGAGTTGCGCACCGACGCTTGGAGGCGGGCCCAGTCGATCGGTTTTACGAGATGGTGGAGATCTTCACAATGGGGGCCGCGCGACCCTCCCCCCACCTGCTTTACCTCGCATGCCGCGGCATACTTCGTGGCGATCTATGCAGTACTAGTGGACTGTTTATTGGTTCTCTTGCATCTGACATGTCGGATTCTTAACTTGAATCATGAGTCTTGGCCCCAGAGGTCTGTTCCCTGTCAATTGCTTAGCCCGCAGAACCAGGGGTCTCTCTACCGAGTGCATTCAATGATCCACACACAAAGCAAGGGCCTTGGATCCTGATACCTCCTCAATTCTTTGCTGGAGAGTGGCCACTCAAGAAAATTGCCTGCTATATGTAAGTTTCACACAGTCCTTATCGGACTTCATTCTTGGAAACCGGGTTCGCTGCCAGATACTAAGCGGAATCGAATCCGCGTTCGCGTCATATTTATACAAAGTACCAAGTCTTCTGAACTCCAATTTCCTACCCATTGAGAACGGATGACTTGTGGTCACTGATGGATTTTTGAGACGCTTCATGGTGGTGAGATTGAGGCTACCAAAGGAAGCACGGCCGTGAGGGTGGTCAGACAGCCCAGCCAACGAGGCCTCAGGGCCCCCCCTCAATCACATTTTAATTGACCAGGTGATAATCATGGTCTAACTCTAAATTCAGCGGATTCTCAGCTTAGTGGCACGTCTATAACCTAGGTAGTATCAACTAGTTTAGTTCCATCCGCGTCAGCGGCCTGGGACTAATGACAAGTGGATAGATTCTACTACCGGTTTCATAGTCATGCGAAAGCTCAGCTGCATCACCACGGTAGAGTTGAATTCTAGAAGCAGCTGCAGCCCTTGCTCAAGGTAGATGCTTTACCTATGGGTCGTTTCACCGGCCCTTGTCCGAGGAAGGGTATATCGTGCCCAGACCGGGACTCATGAGCGTGCGACGCCATCTCTGCGTCTTTTAGGCCGGTGTCTCGCCAATTTGGTGATAAGAACGCACTGGGCGGAGGAACAAATGTGCACAACAAGTAAGAAGACCTTTTAGCAAGTTGGAATCAGAAGAAAACCGAATGGTCTAGAGAAAACAACATGAGGGACGCGCTGAAGACCTTATATTGTCGTTTCCCTGACTGGATGCTACTAATGTATCATGCTGAAATTTAAGCATAGCATCATATGCCACTTTGTGGCATTTGCATAAATGATTTATTCAGTTTGCGGAAGAAAGCACACTAGCGAGACTTCTCCTGGTACTGTGCGCAATGTCGTCTGCATAAGTGTGGGCATATACGCAAACCAGTTAGCGGGGTGAAATGGGAAGGTATGCATCAGTGGCCAACTAATGACCGAGTTCAGACAGTAATGACTGTCTAGTCGGCTCAAAAAGAGTGTATCTGGTACTACCGGCTGCCATGTCTCGGTTGCGATACGCAGTGCCAGACAGGAACATAAGATCCAGGCAGCGCGGGAGGACGGGAAGGCGGAAGAATTGAAAGGACAAGACGGCACGACCCAATCCCCGTCACCGCCCTGTCAGCCACAGTATCAGGTGACTTTCTTTGTCTTCAGCCACTTTGCCCGCTGCTGTGACTGGCGAGTTGTACCCAGGACCCTTGAGCCTGTACCACCTAAACTGTAGTTACTCCGTAGATATACTAGTACTGTACAAGGGTCACCACAAATACCTGAACCTTTGTGCTATTGTATCATCTCGCGAAAATCGATATTTGCCCGCGACGAAAAATGAATGTCCGCTACCAGACATCTAATCACACCTGCTACGGTTCCTGCTCTAACAATGGCATATCTCAAAACTAGCAGACAGCAGCAGAATCATGGTAGCAAGCCAGAGCCAACAGGGAGACCTTTTTGATGTGAATGATCAATGTGGTAGCTATGGTTGGCTGGAATTCATCGAGCATCCGAGGCACAAAGCTTAGACGATGCCAAGCCCATGGATAACCAAGTGGAGGCAGCAGTGGGGCAGTTGCCCTGCTCGAACACGTCGCGCTCTTTGCTTCAGCCCAGCTCCGGCAACCGCCGGAGCTGCCAGGTATCTTTTATTCACGACTAGGAACAGAACACTAGGTAGACTTACCGCAACCACTTTTTCGACCTCGTCAGCCTTATTCTTCTGATGGATGTGTCTCTTAAGGACCCCTTTTGGGGCCCTCAAACATCTTACTTGAAGTAAGTGCCTCCTCCACCAAGCACCCCACACTGCTTCAACTCACGCGCCACAGCTTTTGTGAAGAGGTACTCATCTCTCGGCTTCAATCCGCAAGGATGGTCAATTGACATCCTAGATTCTAGGACTATGTCGTTACTCGCTATGTGGCCGAGTTCATCAATACCTCCAGCAGCCTTATCTACAGTGCGTCTACCTCGCAATCAAGGGGCATCCGCCGATAGGTCCCCATGAGTACCAGCTAATCTTCAAAACCACGCAGTCCTGTACGGAATCTACGGCCTTAACAAGCTCCGTCAGAAGCCCATCTCATCCCTTGCTCGTGCAATCCCCTGGTTTGGGTTGATGGGAGTCGGCGTCTGCTCGGCCGGGTACCATATGACGCTGAAATATCACACGCAGATGTGTACGTCACCTGACCCGACTGTGTATGCTTGGGTCTAACAGGTCCCAGCGGACGAGCTCTCGATGCATCTATTAACCACCCCCCTTGTGTACCGCATTCTCACGTTCCAGGTGAGCCCGCGGTGGCGGCGCTGGATTGGCATCGCCCTCTGCATCGAATTCACCACCGTGATGGTCGTCCACATGGTTATGGACGAATTCTTGCTTCATGCGGTGACCTTCGGGGCCGGAGCGCTACTCATCGCGCGACGCACGATGCAGGCCATCTCGCATAAGATCCCTGATCCGCTGATCAAACAGAAAACTCGCAATATCGGGCGGTTCGGTATCTGTAAGCTCCACCACCACTTCCCCTCCCCAACATACATCCATTTTGCGAAGATAGATTAACAGCAATAGTTTGCTTCCTCTTTGGCTACTTCGCTTGGTTGGTCGACGTCTGGGCCTGCAACTACTTGATCAATATCCGGCAGTTCATCGGTGTTCCCTTGGCCTATCTCTTCGAGCTCCATGGATGGTAAGCTTTACTTCGCTGCTCCCGCTGCCCTTACCATACAGACGGGGGACTTCCGGTTTCGTTGCCCTCGTTCTGGAAGCCAAGCCCGCTAAACAATGAATAAACAGGTGGCACTTCTTCACCGCGATTGGCGGATACATCGCCGTCGCGGTCGTGGACATGATCACCTCCGGCGAGGTGCATACCGACCCGACACCCCAGCTCGCCTGGCCGGTCTCTCTCGCAGCACGGACCATGGGGCCCAATCCGCCCGCGAGTAAACGAGAGTAATTTGCTCTATTTGCGGGGATGGTCATTGGTTGATATAAATCCGCTTGAGACGAAGAACTTCTTGGAAGCCTCTTGCTTATGGGAGTGTGTTGTTCAGAGGTGCTGGGAACTGTATGGGACAAGTCCAGACTTGTCGGTCGCTTGATGAGGGAAGCGGTAGAGGAGACCACGGTGTACTTGTAGCTCGGCTGTGCCGAGACAGATTGACTCTCTGGCGCGTTCAATACTGGCTCTATCAAGAGATTAGTTAGCTAAAGTATGCGCACCGGAGTGCAATATACACTGGCGCTACTGCGCTTTTCTCTCTTCTCATTTTTACTATTCCCTTTCCTGCTTTGCCCCGTGCTGGGGTATCATCGAGGGTGATTGGAATGCCCTACCGCAAGACGACTGGCCGCAAAATGCATAAATTTGAGAGATTGCTGTCTCAATACAAAGCATAACATGATATCTGCAGGGTATCTATGAAATCACAAATGTATTGTACAATGTTAGCTCGGCTCTGCCCTCCACTCAACACTGATCTCCCCCCCAAGCCCCCGTCACATTTACCCCGCCGATATTGCGGATGCCCATCAACCCCAAGACCGCCTGGCCGCGACGGATCAATTCACCGCCCTGGCCGACCGCCTCGCTGCGCTGGGTGCCGAGACGCCGCAGCCGCTCCACCTCCTCCTCCCCGAGAATATCCCCACCCTTCCGCCCCTGCCACACCGCCTCGCGCACGACGGGCGCCCATGCCTCAGCCGCCGTCAGCTCATCTTGATTGCCCGCGTACACCTTCCGTTGACCATCGGGGTGGGCCGGATCGCAAACAAGCTGGGAGGAATACCACTCCGACCGCACCACCTCGTACCTCCGCTCCAGGAACCAGATGATCGGCCAGGTGATGATCCAGAGCTGGAGGATGATGCACGCCCAGTACACGAACCCATGGTTGCGGAGGCGGTTGACCCAGTGCGGCGAGTAGATGGTGATCATGCCGTTGGCGAGTGAGGGGGCGACGTGCACGTGGCCCTGGTAGCCGGTCGAGCGGATGTGGGAGATGAGCTTGGTGCGCATGGGGGCGGCGTCGAAGCCGTTGAGGTTGCGCCGGTATGTGAATCTGGGTGCGGGGGTACCAGCAATTAGCCTAGCTCCAAATTGTGATGTCTCCGACTGGAATGGGGGGGTACGTACGATTTCACCGGAGCAGGATCGCTGCAGAAGCGTCGACACCACCCGCGAAGCCCCGGGGAATCCTCGCCCTGGCTATCCCCGGCCTCCAAGCCCATCAGTCGCTCTCCTTCGTCAAGCTCCGTGTTATCAGCCGGCAGTGCGATGCGACCGCCCGAGCTTGTGCGCGCCCCGCGCGTCGGTCGGCGGCCCCCGCGATACGCTTTCTGGTTGTCGTGGTCGCCGACGACGGTGGTGTAGGACCAGCGCTGGACCGGGCCGCTGCGCACGCCGGGTCCCCAGGTGAGCAGGGTGCGGGTCAGGTCGATGCGGAAGTTGAAGTCGCAGACTGCCTTGCGGGTGGATTCATTCCCCCGCCGCTCCTTCTCGTGGTGCTGGCCGCCGATGATCAGGCATGGTCGCGGGGGGAGGCGGGTCTGCTTGTCGACAAAACTGTACAGGGCTTCGGCGTCGGAGGAGAAGACGGGGTCCAGCGTGACGACTCCGGCGTGACGGCTCTTTTCCCGGATGCTATGGTAGCGGTGGTGACCTGGGATGGTGTAGGCCTCGTGGGGTGGGGAGAGCGGGTCGTCGCGGTAGGGTGTTGTTATCTCGTCTGTTTCGTTGTATGCGGGGGGAAGATCGTCATCTGCGAGAGGATGAGGGAGGGAGGATGAGGAGGCAGAGAGAGGAGGGTCGAGAGGGAGATCTTTAGTCTGTCCCATAATGATGGTGTTGTGAGTGCGGTAAGAGGTGTTGTGAGATGATGAAAGGAAAGAGAGATGAGGATTGTGATGGGTTAAATACGGAGCAGCGATAAGCAGGCAGCGGTGGGGGCGGTGGCTCGGGCGCCTGATCGTGCCTGGCACTAGTGCGCTCCGCCCCCACCAACCCCTATTTAGTTAGTAGTCATGATTCTTCACGGTCAGCACACTGTAGTGAGTTGATTCACTGTACTGAAATTTGATCTGTTGGTGGAATATAATGGATCTCGTTCTTTCAAGGCCAAAGAACTTTGATTTAGACGGAAGCAGTCCCTTGAATTCTCGCAGTCTACCTGCCTCGGTCGTTTGAAATGTCGAATGTTTATGATCTATATTGATGACATTGGCCTGTGTAATACAGCAGATATATGTGCCCGGTATAACTTCACTAATCACCGTCGATACCACATCCGCGTGATTTTCGTCCTCCGCATCTTTTTCTGCAACTGAAAGACTCCGTAGAGGGTCGCCTCCGCAGTCGGTGGACAGCCCGGAATATACACGTCAACGGGGACGATCCGATCTACACCTCGAACGATGCTGTAGCTATAGTGGTAGTAACCGCCTCCGTTGGCGCAACTGCCCATGCTGATGACCCATCTGGGCTCGGGCATCTGGTCGTAGCACTGCCGCAGAGCCGGAGCCATCTTGTTGGTCACCGTGCCAGCCACGATCATCACGTCCGACTGGCGAGGCGAAGCGCGGAAGATGATCCCGAGGCGGTCTTGATCGTAGCGTGGCATGGACATGTGCATCATTTCCAGCGCGCAGCATGCCAGGCCAAAGCTCAGGGGCCACATTGATCCCTGACGGGCCCAGTTGACGATTTGGTCGAGGGTGGTACTGGGGATGTCAGCGTGGGGTGTGTGCAAGTTGTCGAGTCGCTTACAGAACGTGTTCGGCCATGTGCATCGGTCGTGTCTCTGATGAAAGTGAGTTGGACGGTGAGGAAGCGTGCTTCTGTCTATGCGGTGTATGGATCGGGGATCTGATTGAATTTATTGCACCGGTGAGATTCGATACGAGCGTCGGACGAAGGCGCGACTGGAGGTACGGGAAAAGAACTCCTGAGCAAATGTGAATTGGGTGTTTTGTGAAGTCCAGAGAACAGTCAAGGGGCCGGCCGTACCATGATGGGAAATTTGAGAACGACTCAGGCTACAGAGATGCATTGTAAGCTGTATGGGATCAAACAATTGGTATAGTAAAGTGGAAGGAAAGGTAGACAGACTGGAAGACATACTGTATACATCCATGAATAAGATTGGATGTGGGTCTTTTCCGACTAGCATGTGGGATTTCCCGATCACAATCCCGGAAAGAGTAAGGCCTGCCCGGTGAGGTGGGCTCCATCCCGGTCTCTGCCTTCGTTCCCCTTTTGTTCCTCAAATGTCTCCCTTTCTCTGCCTCATACATTAGTTACAGAGCTGATATCTATATTATGCCGTCAAAAAGCGCAAAATCATGTGACAACCACGGAGGACGGACCAGAGTCGTTTGTGAAGTTTGCCATAAATTCTTCAGCACCAAAAGCCACTTGCGACGACACGAGGCGAGCCGTTAGTCATTCCATTCTGGCCTCCATCAATTTTTAACCTCTGGCTAGATGCGCCGTTGGACAAACAGATTTGCGCATTTTGCGGAAGCGCCTACCGCCGAAGGTACACCTTACACTTGACATCCAGTCCCCCTGTGACTGGCCTCCCAAGCTTATCCTGTGCTTTTAGGGACGTTCTACGCCGCCATCTCACAACCTGCAAGCAGAGGGGCAGCCATCAACCTCTCAGCCAAAGCACTCCAGGCAGAAAACGAAAAGCTTGCGATGCGTGCGCTGAGGCACGATCATACTGTGATGGAGACTACCCCTGCGAGACCTGCCTGCAAAGGGGTCTTCAATGTACATTCGCCCGCATACACGGCCAGCCTCGTCGACACAGGTTTTTCAGTGCCCCGCAATGCGAAGAAAACCCCGAAAACCTATGTAATCTCAGCCAACACAAGCTTACCTCGCAATCCATCAAGCTGTCTATTCCATTCTTGTTGCATTACTCGAATGTCGAGAATAAATCAAGATACGAGAGTCTTCGGCTGCTATCCCAGTGTAATCCCACGGACTCCGAAAACAGTTGTTGTGCAGTAAACCACCGACCGGACAGCTCTTACATGATCACTGAACCCTGGGAAAGCTTGTTCAAGTCTTTTGTCAACACTGCCACTCTGGATGCGTCTTGTGGGATACACTCCATCCCTGGGAGCCATTTCGAGTTCAAGGAGCTCGAAAGCATTTCATCCAAGTTGCTATTGCTCTTGAAAGATTCCAAAAGCCACTCAAGCGATCGGAATATTGATTTTGAGGACATGAGGCAACTTTTCATGCCTCTCAACGTCGCAAAGTTCCTGGAGGCCTTTTTTGACAATTCGTTTCATTCGCACTTTATCAACCCAGTAACCTTCAAGCTGAGCCAAGCCTCAACACTTCTTGTTCTGACGATGGTGCTTCTTGGGGCGGTCTACACCTCCCCGTACAGCGTCAACGGTCTGGATCTATATTCTAGCATCACTGAACACTTGATTTTCGATGGACCGTCTTTTGAAAGTTTAACACAACCGTCCAGTGGCGCCCTCGATGACCAGAGAACTCTGGAAACTCTTCAAGCTGCAATGCTGGTAGTGACCTTGCAGGCTTACAAGGAAAACCCGGCCAGCATTCGACGAATGCGACTGCAGCGCTTACCGGCCCTCTTTAGGGCCATTCGCATGCTAAATTTGAATCAGATTGCAAATGACTGTATTCCCGGTGCCTCAAGGTGGGACGAATACCTCCTCCGAGAGGGGTTGGTCAGGTTCGCGGCACCCAAACCTTTAACGTAGCCTCGGGGTAACCTGACTAACATAGATCTGCTAGAGTCATGGCCGGCATCTACCTCCTCGACTGCTACTGCGTGATTTTCTTTCGCTACCCATCTCAGCTGAGGCTCAACGAGATAACATTTGCAATCCCTCATCGAGACGACTTGTTTCATGCTCGCGACGCGACGGAATGGGAGCAGGTCTCCACGCAAAACGGGCTTCCACGTGAGCCCGTCCGACTCCGATATGTCCTCCATGACTTAATGAGGGCTGAGGGCTGCGATCCGCATCGTGAGGACTATCTCCCGAAGACAATCTTCGGGTCTTTTCTGGTCCTGTCGGGTAAGTGATTACTTGCTGTCATATCCGTCCCTATCCCCGCCCTGCGGGTCCCACTAAAATGTCTATTTTTTAGCGTTACAATGTGTCCTATTCGACCTGTTGGCGCTCCACACCTTCATGGACGATCCCCGGATGTTTGATCCGGTTGAGCGCGGCCTAGACCGATGGAAGGCCCACTGGGATATCTTGTGCCGTGCAACGGAGCCTGCCCATGCCAAACGAGCGGGGTTCATCATCCATGCCGTTGAGTACTGGTGGGTGGCCAAGGCGCTCGTCAGGCACCCCTCCGCTGCTGGATTACCGGACGACAGCCACGATAACTTTCACCGTTTGGTAGAAAGATTGATGGCATCTGATGGTGCGTAATTGGGTTGCAAGAGCCCAGCAGAGGTTGGCTTCACCCTTCGCCTCCGTTCTTCTGGGTCTAGCAATTCTGATGTCGCTATACTTTCATAGCCTATTGAAAGCGAGCGAAGAAGTGGCCAGCTCTCTGCTGAGTGTCTACTGCAGAACTGGTCACATCTATGCAGTACAAGTGAGGGCTCTTGGAGAAAAACGGCGACATGCGACCGTCGCATGTTCAGGATAGCTAGGTGGTTCGATAGTATCTTAAAAGAAAGGACGAGGTTGCAATGTAAATTTGATTTGTGACGCCAGTCAGGCTTGAGCATACTGCATCACATTTGTTACACACCTAAGAGTAATGCCATGTGTTGAGCACGCCCTGAAAGATCAATCATCCGTTGCTATTGCTGTCGGGTGAGTCGCGCATCGCGAGACCGGCCCGATGGCTTAAATGAAACCGCAACAGCAGACAATGCAGATCACTCACAGCCTTCATAAGCCTTTTGTGAAACTTGTTCCGCATGAGGAAGAACCGAGCAAGCCACAAGGCTTCTTTGAGGTCATTAAAATTCGATTGTAGGTTGTTAGCCAATTCTCTGGCCTCAGGATGATTCGTTAAATATTGGCACTCATACTGGAGACACCGATCACAGGCGGCGAGAAACCCCGAACTCAGAACGACATTCTCAAAGGCATAGGTCAGATGTGCCCAGTATTCCACATCACTCCTGCTCCACTTCAGGGCTTCATAATACCTCTTCGCAATCAATTTTCCGATCTCGTGAACTTCATCCGGCAGAGCGTCCATGTCATCTAATCGGGGATGACGGTGGTTGATGACGATATATCGTCATGCACGAGTGTAGTCAAGTTGAGTCTTGATCTATTAACAAGCGGCTTACTTATATATGTCACTGATCAAAGGAACATAGTCACCAAGCTTTGTCCTCATAAGCATAATCCATTTCACAGAACAAAGAATGGAGTTGTTGTCAGTATGCGCTGATCGGAACTCTTTTCATTGTACTCCGTAGTCACTCATAGACAAGGGAGATCACCGACAATCAGATTCTCATTGTATGTTTAATAACAAACTCCTGCGTTTGACACATGGCTTAATTTGCATGCCGGGAATGTCCAGGTATAACGACCAGAGAATTGATTGTAAGTAGCTTCTACAATGGCTGAATCTACATGAGAATGTGGATTGTTTTTTCTACGATTTCCTCTAAACTGCAATCAACGACCTGGGCTTCTATCCCACCCAGCAGCCACTGATTGGCTTGCGCATGAGCAGTAGGCAAAAGACTGCAGGCGGAAGAAACCGAAACTGCAAAAAATGTGAGTCCATTCACTCCTCGGCAGACAAGAAAGTGACTTGTCTTCGGAACCAGAGGCTGATTCGCTTTCTTCATCCTCAGAATAACCAGACTCTCCCATCCTGACCTGTTCTTCTCGCGGCAACACGCACTCGCACACATTGACATGTTTGTTCAGAGATGCTGAGACGGCCAGAATACAGGTCAGCTGGACTTGTCTTTTCAGGTATATGGCTTATTGACGATTTTAGTAAGTACACTAGCTTGATATTTACTATGTAGAAGCTTTTATCGATACGAGATTCTGGCCCCCGGGTGACTCGGAATTAGCCCGAAGGCTAAGGCAAGGGAAGTATGCAGTCTATATCCAGGTCCTTTGTGTTGGTTTAGACCTGCAGTTTGAAATCTATAGCTAGAAATCTTCAGGTCTCCCCCCTTGACTCTTCAGGTCTCTCTGTGGTTCTACTGCGTGAAGCACATAGTACTATAATTATACACCGTTTATTACCTAAATGAAAGATCCTGCAAGACATAATTGCTGCGTATATTAATTTGTAGAAATACCACCCTTGGCTGCTTGAGATCACTTCAGCTGCTTAGAAGACCTTTTAGGCCCGGGTAGTTGTTTGGAGAGCAGTAGATGTGGCAGCTAGAGCAGCGAAAACTAAGTGTAGTAGAGGAAAACCACGCGAAGAACTTGACCCAAGGGCTCGGGACTTTAAGCGCATCTTAATGTTGATCTTCTACAGTAATCCGGCGGAGGCCAGGAGCCTGCACGACAAGCCTGGGCTAAGAGGCTTGCTGGGTTTGGTCGGGCTGAGTATTATTATCTTTACGAACCAGACGCCGATTCTGATTCTTCGTCCTCCTCCACGTGCTCCCCCAAAAATTTATCGATGTGATCGCTGAGATACTGCAGGTGTTCGTGGAACTCTTGAGCCTCTTGATCAAATCTGTTCTTCTCAAATTCTCTGCACATCTCAACGCGGGCCTCGAGCCTGCCTATATCTGACAGAATCAGACCACTTACGCCAAATGGCACCCGTGGCTGGATCGCCCAGGACGGCGGGCTCTCAGTCAACCACTCAACCCTCTTGAATAAGGCTCTGAGAGCTTCTAGCATTTCTTCCAGCTTCTCGTGCTGGTTTGAATCGCTGAGGTCCGAGTCGAGTGATTCCTGGCAGGCGCGCTGCAGAATCATCTCCAACCCCAGGGCACGTTCGGCGATATACTCCATCTTGGTTCTAGTCGGAGCACAGTTAGGCTGCTTAGCTGATTCCTTTGGCAATACAAGCACGCTAGACTGGACGGTGGTTCGAGAGATGCTTCCGCAGCGGGCATGTCATCTCGTTTTATAGGAAGGCCTCTGGGGCACGACTCGGTCCTCCCCACAAAACACAACAGGAGATTGTCGTGGACACACAAAGAGTTATGGCAAGGCAGACTGAAAAGGACATCTTAGCACTTAGTGTCAAAGATTAATGGAGATATAAGCTAGAGCTATTAGCATTCTATACCTAAAGTATAAATAAGTAGATTTTAGGATAAATGTAAAATAGTAGCTATCTCGGAACCTACAAGATGGGCAAGTGTCACGCCACGATCATTCAAAGTCTGCTGGGTACTACCCACTAGCCTTTGATCAATGCGCCTGGTCTGCTTTTTGCTGATCAATTGTTTGCGATAGGCCTATGTCCCATTCTCTCCCCCACCAGTCCTACGCAACCTGCCCATTATTCCCAATCGTGTACTTGTCATTCATGAAAATCTAGTAGTCTGATTGATCCAAAAATGGACCGTATGGTTGTGCCTCGATGAATCCTATGCCGAACAATCTCGAGATCCGCCACGCCCCGTTATGCCAAGTCCTCAGCACCGCCAGACTTCCAGTGAAGCCGCCACCCATCCGTATCAAAGGGCCACCCATAAAGCTGAATAGTAAACCGAGCGGTAGATTGAATCTCATCCGCGTTCTGCTTCAGTTCATTCACATCCCAATTCGCCCACAGATACTTGCCCTTCAAGAACCGCGCCTCGGGGCTCGCCAGCCAAACATAAAAGCTCGCAGGCAGATCCACTAATTACACCGAAACGAAAGTCAGCTTCTCCCTTCCAACTCCTGATCAGGGTCTCCCCCTCTACGAAAGGAGGCAAACATACCATTATCCTCAAACCCAACCATCTTCACCCCCCCGGACTCACGGTTCATAGCTGTGTCCACCACCCCAGGCTGCACATGATACACGCGCAGCGTGGGATTCTCGGCGCCGACAAAGTCCCAGAAACGGAAGACCGCCATCTTCGCGACGCTATACGAGCCAAATCCCGTCCCTAGGTTGATGTGCGCCGCGCTAGAGGAGGTCTCAATGACGACGGCATCGGGCGCCGCGTGCCGCAGAAATGCCTGCGCCACCCAGAACGCGCCGTGGAGGTGTTGCTCGATCGCGTTGAGGAAGCGTTCACCCGCAGCCGAGGCCACGAGCGTCTGCGGTCCGACGATTGCTGCGTTACTGACCAGAACGTCGATCTGGCCGGTGGCGCTGAGGAATTGGTGGAAGGCGGCGTCGACTGCGCTCTTCTGGGTGACGTCCGTGGAGGCGACGAAGACCTCGACGGCGGGGAAGTCTTGCTGGATGGAGGCTCTGGTATCGAGTAGAGGTTGTTCGCGACGGCCGAGGAGGGCGATGCGTGCGGCGCCGGCTTGAGCAAAGCGGCGCCCGCTCTCTGCACCGATGCCGGTGCCGCCGCCAGTGATTAGAACGGTTTTCCCGCGGGCGGAGAGTTCGGGCCGCGAGGGCGAGATCTCGGAGTAGGCTTTGTCGTGCCAGATGGTGGTGGGTGAGGGGAAGGGTGGCATGGTGGTGAGTAGCTGTGGTTCTATAGAAGAGAAGTCAAGCAATAGCTCAGCTGATGGTCAGATTGAACCAGCAAGGCATGGCTTACCTCCCTTCATATAGTTACCCGTGGTTGATGACTTCAACGTGCCACGGAAGAAGCAAATTTGTATGTCGTGGAAACAAATGCAATTCCATCCTAGTAAGAATCCGAAATTATTTTCATCTAGTCCGATGACTGACAAAATCCATCTCGCTGGGCGCACACATCGAACCAAAGTTGAAGCTATTCAAATTGTTCCGCCCGCCAACTCCAGAGCCCGCCGGCCTTTCCTGATCGGGCAATCCGGCCCTAGATGCGGGCTGACCAAGATGGCTGACAAATGCAACACGGGGTTTGATTCTTTTATAGAGCAGGCCATCAACAGGAGGAAACTTAGTTAAACAGCGGTACAAATTGAAGTCAAAATGCAGGAGCAAGCTGACCTCTCAGCGGTACTGCGATGTTGGCGCTGTAACAAGCCCTTCAACAGGGGTAAGTACTCCCCCCTATGGTGATTCCGGCCCCGTGTCGGGAGTTGATTGCAAGGACCTCGCAGAGTCAACACTCAAGCGACATGGATACTACTGTCGATCGAAAACGAGTGAAGGTACTCTCCGCGCCCGCTCTTGCACGGCTTGCGCGAAGAAGAAAGCTCGTTGCGACCATTACCGACCGAGGTGTTCCCGATGCCTGGCTAAAAGTATTAAGTGCGAGTATCCTGCAAGAAGGCATCAAGATGCATGTCTCCGGGGGGGCCAAGTCAAGCCTTTAAACGGTCAGCGGACTACTACAACTGTGGCCACAGGAAGCTCTGAGCCGAGTCGTGTCTGTGCAGTCAGAGATGAGCTCGTCATGAAGGCCGACACTGTGTTTCCTCTGTCTGATGCCGATCTTGGGATGATGGACGAGGTGCTTCTCGAAGAGAACAACCCAGCTGTCAACCTGCAAAGCTTTCTTGATCTAGAATTGGATCCCGAGGCTGGTCATTACCCGTCTCCTGATTCATTGCTGGAGGCTATTGATCTGGGAGCACTAATGCTACAGAAACCACTGGACCGAAGTCCATCTATCCCCGCGGTCCCGACGCAGAACATTCGGTCGCTGATCCAGCGGCCGAGACTGCACAACGGAGCCCAAAGGACGGCGAATCTGATCTTCCACGCGCTGAAATCGTATCCAAAAATGATGCTGCGCGACCGGAATCTGCCTCCCTTCATTCATCCTCATATGGTTTTTTCTGATGCTGAGGGCACCAGCATGGAACCGTTGACCAACTGCCTTAGCCTGGTCCATATGACCAGCAGCCCTGCGGAAAGCACTCGCAAGCTCTTCTGGAAGAACGTTCACTGGGAATGTGAACGACTGTATACAGAGGTTGGTGGTCGATGACGAGCGTTGCGATAAACAACACAGAAGAGCCGCTAATCGACTTGCAAGTATAATACACTTACTAGATGGCAGCTACTTGCCGCGATGCAGGCGCTCTCCATCTATCTCATCATCAGGCTGGACGAAGGCGAGACAGAGTACAACGATTTTGATTTGCTTTTGCTTTCGACGGTCACGGTAGGATAGTCTTGTATTCTCCGTTGTTCACCGATTAAGCTCTGACAATTCGAGTAGGTGATGGCAAAGCGACTCGGCGAGCGCACCGCAGATCAGGGATCCGGTCATATCCGTACACCCTGGAAGGACTGGGTGTTTCAAGAATCAACACGACGGTTGGTTTTCTCGTAACAGATCAAATGTACGTGCTAATAACATTCAAGGCTATGCGTGATCTACCAGGTCGTGAACATGCTGGTCTACTTTGATCCAGCAGCAATATGCGACCATCAGACTGATATCCCTATATCGTCACTCCCGGCAAGGAAACAGCTCTGGGAAGCTGGCGATGAGATTGCATGGAGGGTCGAGAAGGCGCGGGAGTCTGTAGGCAATACTACATTTGGTATGGCTGTGGACGGTGAGCTTGTCCGAATTAGCCAAAACGATATATCTTGCTATGGTGGAGTGATAGTTCAGAATACATCCAGTAATAGACAGATCGCGAACTGGGAGGATTGGTGTTCGGGAATGGATGATATGGGCGGGCTGGTTATGCTTGCTGCTTCGTTAGTCGGATAAGTCATAACAACGTCAAATGGAAGGAAGGAGACTCTTATGTCGTGCTGATGGGCAAGTCTGTCACTGCTATCTAATTTGACTATCTCGGCCCTTCTACATCAGTTAAACCATTCTTTGCCTTCTCCCCACACTTTGCAAACTTTAACCCTGCAAGTTCCATAAGCAGGCGCTCCTATCCTTTCCTGAAAGTTCCTGTCGATCACAAGACAATCCTAAAGTATGGCGTCGTCTCCCTTGGGGCAGCTCGAAAAGCTACCTATTGAACTTCGACTGGATATCTACGAGAGACTGTTGGGGAAGCCAACGTCGTCCGTGACTATCATCATGCGCTGCTCTCGCGCAATCAACGAGGAAATCACCGATCGCCTATACATCCTCGACATAGATCTGACCCCCTCGTGGGACGATCCCTGGATCAAGGTTCGCTGCCAATCCCTGTGGGGAATGCCCCTATGTCCTCACCCTTCTTGGAAGTCAAGCCTAGATTGACTCTCTCGCCTTCCCTACCACAAAGCCCATCTCAAAGTCCATATTCACGCCCCGGATCCGACAGACCCGGGGCAAATAATTCTCCTGTGGGACAAAGTCCACGACCTTGTCCACATGATAAAAAATCCACTACCAAGTCAATCGCAATCCATTTGCAGAAGTATAAAGAGCGAGATTGGCAAGAAGCCGGTCGCGCCGTGGAGAGCATTCCATACCCGGGCGCACGTCAACCAGACCACAACATCGCTTTCCTCCCTCTCTGCCGACTGTCTGACGTCAAGACCCTTCAGATCCTTCCTTCGTCACCGCAGATAGACCGGGTGGTGGGTTGGGGTTTGATCAACTACGCTCGCGACCTTCCCCCTTCATCCGGAACAATGGATATGCGACGTACAACGACGGCCCTTTCAGCACGTCGCCGCGGTACCGCGACATCGTCCGCCTATTCGACGATATTGACGGATGGAGGGGATGGGGTTGAGCCAGCTGGTGATCATGTTCTGTTCTCCACCATGCTAGGATATTGGGATTGAGCGCAATTCCCTAAACGGGGCGCCTTCCGCGCCGAGTTGCAGCTTGGTCTGGATTACCACGTATTCTGTGCACTTCTGTCAATTCGGACAATCCCCTTGGCCAAATATTTAGTTTCTAGTGTTAGTCATAGGTTCTCATTTACCTGAAAAAGGGAGTTGACTTGTGCTTAGGAGTGGGCAGGTCGATACATACTTAAGTTTTTAAAGAATTGTCTTGTGGCATAGTCCCCTCCGTCTCGAATGAGGGGCCGCGATCAGATCAGATTAGATTAGTTAGTTGATCGATCATAATCCGGGAAATTCCCCACCCCAACCGTGTACCTCTTGTGAACACTGTATTGCAGCATGTTACTATACATCTTACAGTACCACGGGCGACCAAGCCGCCGTTACCCGACCCCCTTATAATTGCATCTATTATCTACCCTCCCATGCCAGGACCTAAGTGACTGGTCTATGGACTTGTTCAATGGTGATCCCATTTTATCTCGATTCAACACCCACTAGAGTGATGCTACACCAGACAACCATCTGCGGCCCCCATCAGATTTGTTGACATCTGAGCTACGCATGCGGCATCACACAGGCAACAACCCTAACCTTTAGTCACCTTCACCTGGGGAACCTTTTTGGTCTGGCGATCAAATCACCCCTGATAGAATCATTGATCAAACGAAGGATATCATTCATTGCAAACAGAATCGAAACAACGTAGTAGTGAAACACAGAATGACCAATCGCCCATCAGCCCGTCTTGGGCAGGAGTGCACGACTATCTTCGTCAACCGGTGACTGAGGGTCCGTGTCTTCCCTGTCGGCATCGCTGTCCTCCGCGTCCACCTGACTATTAATGTACTCATGTTCTGACTCCACATCCAGGTCAAAGTCACCTGCTTCCAGACTCGTGTATTTCCTGCATCGGTACCACCAGATCGCCACCCCCGCGATGACCCCCAAGACAAACACCCCCAAGCCTGTGCTGAGCAAAGCCACGACCAGTTTCGACACACCACCAGCAGATTCCTCCGTCTCCTCCTCCAGCCGGGGAGGCGGAAAGATCGTCTCCGACACGTCGTACAGATCCTCAGCAACAGACAACTCCGCCGTATTCAAGTCCACGGCCTCCGACCATCCAAGGACGTTCCCCAGGTTATCGACCGCCTCCGCCCAGATGTACTGCCAGTCCGTGCTCCCAACGACCAACTTGGTCTCGAACCCCGTCCGTCGCGAGACAGCCAGGATCTGGCCCTTCTGGTCGGGCAGATCGTCTGACGCGCCCCTGACAACCCACGTCTTGACTTCGGTCGCGCCGTTCCAGCTAGCGTAGACGACAAGCTCACCTTGGGCGTTCATCCGCGGTGCAATCTGCGGATCCCACCACGGCGTGGCGGACCAGTCCATCTTGTACGCACGGTAATTGTCGAGCGCGTCGGGAATGTCGTCGCTGTGCCAGGGGGAGAATTGGACGTCCAGTACCGTCTCCCCGGAGGAGCTGTGTTCTGTGAACGACGGGCATCGGCCCCACCCGATGAACACATTGCCAAGGTCGTCCGTGCCCGGGGATAGAGGCTGCACGCTGCCCTGGCTTTGGGCTTGCAGCTGCGATGGATGTTGAAACTCCGCCAGCAGCCGCACGGTCGGGGGTGAGGCGGTGTCGTTGATGGCGATGTGCAGACCCCGCGAGCAGTCCGAGTCGCACTGCCCATGCGAGGTGACCTTGACGTGGTTGTCGAAGAAGGTCATTTGAGATTCCTCCGTTCCGGGGACATAGCGGGCGTGGTGCTGCCAGCCCATTGTCAAGATAGGTTGAGCAGACGCATCGACTCCTTCCGCTGCTGGCAGTTCAACAAAGTCGTTGTGCGGGCCGCCGAGCGTCCAGATAATGGCGCCTGTCTTACCGTCAATGAGATAGATGGCGTGCATGTGGCGGATGGAGATCAGATAATTGCCCGCTTTGGTCTGTACGCAGTAGCGGTGGGTTAGCGCCGTGTGGCTGTATGGCTATCCCTTCCGATGCTCCCCCATCAAGGCTAGCTCTCACCTTCTGAATACTATTGAGATGGTATGCGTCCCACCCGCTCCCCCTGGGCTCGAATGATTCCATCGGGTTGATGTGGTCGAGTGCGCGCCAATCGAACAGCACGTCGTTGGTCTCGAGGTCAATTTCCTGGAAGACGGCGTTGAGCACCTCGAATCGTTCAGGAGTTCTCCATTCCGCTGGCAACTCCGACCGCCATGGCCGGATCTTGTCGACCCCCGTGACTAAAGCCGTTCCGTTGCCGGTGAAGGCAAACTCGTGCAGGTCGCTATGCACCTGAATATTCTGGGCGGAGATTTTGTACGCCAGCCGGTAGGTCTCATCATACGCGAGTCCGTAGCCGTCGCCGATGCCGTCGCCTTTGTCCCCTCCCCAAAAGGTCAGGTACTTTTTGCCCCGATTCTCCTGGACTCGGGTGCCAAAAACGTTCTTGAATGAGCGGTTCATGTACACCGCGCTGAGGTCGTGACTGTCGAGGATCAGAGGCGAGGAGAGCGGCGAGGAGTCGTTGCCATCATGACGGAGGAAGATATGCGAACCCGTATCGGAGATGTTGTCGGCGTCCCAGACGTTGACTTGCAGGAGGGGTGAGAACTCGGTGCTGGAGTGATACTCCAGATGAGGGCGATGGCCCAGCGCTCCCTTGTTGTATTGCTGGTAGTCTGTTGACACGAAATCCCCGCTCGCTACCTGCGCCAACAGCCCGATGCAGCCCCAAATCGAAGGGCGAACCATGATCAACCTGTCCGTTAAAATTGCGTGATCATGAGGAACAGATCGCCGTTGCTTGTGATTATTGACAGGAAATGAACTGAGGCCGTTGACGACCTTTCAAGTGTTTTCCTACGAGAAAGCATTGATGCTACTATGCGGAGCGAGAGATCCACATTCGTGGTGGGGAGCGAGCCTGTGGCCAATCACGGGGGGCGAAAAGCCGTGATGCTTGCGTATGCGTCGTCGTCCTCACGCCCACGACAGCCACCCACACATGACGAATTTGGGTGGGACATTCGTGAACAATGCTCGCTTTCTGAAAAGGAGACTCTACCCTTGCGGTCTTCCTTCACATCATTCAGGTTTGTAGTCTCTATCGTACACAATCAGATGATATGTCATTGCGGATATATATATAGCCATCACCGAGGCCACTAACAGCCCCCGTCGGTAAACAAAGCTTGTTATCACCGAGCTGCGATCGCAGTAGTAGAGACCTAGTGGCCGTCCTCGAAAAACATGGTCAGACCCCGACTCATCGAGCAGGCCATCACGCTTGTATGCTCCTCACCCTCATACTCCTGTACATACACACTCTGCAGGTGAGGAGAATCGCGCAACAGATCACAAAGCTCGAGCACATCATCCCCCATCCGCAAGTCTGCTGCGATCCTCTTGCGTTCCTTGTACTGCTCCTGCGTCTCATCACTCCATTGCGGTGGGTTCTGCTCAAAGGAACCAACGAAGGCCATCAAAGATGGCAACCGGTCGCGACCAGAGGCTCGCTGCCTGCCCAGAAACGACCGGGCCTCCTCCAGAATGCACCGACCATTCCACCATATCGACGGACTACTCGCGATATAGCAATCGAAAGAGTCCGACCGCGTAAACAGAGCATGCAGCGCCAGCAGTCCCCCGTACGAGTGACCGTACAGGGCTTCCCGCGAGCACGTGAGGTGCGGGAATCGGGCCTTCACCGCGGGCCGGACAATGTCGGTGATAAAGGCCAGGAACTCATCCGCCCCGCCATGGCCGGGCACCGGATGCTCGGATGGTGGCGTAAGGTCGAGATTACGCCGCTGAAAGTTAAAGAGGTTGTCGGTTTGGGGGTAGCCGATCGCGACGATGAGGCCGCCGCCGGCGAAGCGGGATGAGACCGCTCGGCGCCAGGCTGTCTCTGTAGCTGTCAGGAATAACGCGTTGCCGTCGACGATGTATCTGGTGGGGGTCAGCTACCGTCCGGAGCCTCTGGTAGGGGGTTCCTTGATCGTGCGTACATGATTGGAAGCGGGCTTGTAGGGTGCCCGTCTTGCCAGTGTAGCGGCCAGGATAGCTGGATTAGGTATTTTTGTCCGTGGCTGTTTTCGAGATCAAATTGCGATGAATTGGGGAGGGTGATTGGTGTGCTCTCATTAGCCATACTGAAGGTTCGAGAGACGTACGATGTGCTGGAATGGAGGGCTCCGTGCTATGTTGGCTAGGCTGGGGTTTTGTTTTGTACTGTAAGGATCCCGGTTCACTCCGCTGATCGGATGTACGTACCAGGATGAGAAAGATCCGTTCCCGAACCAAGTCTCGACGGGGATTGGGTAAGTTTGTGATGATAAGATTATCAGATCAGATTAGATACACACTGTCCAATCCATCCTTGTTGCTGCTGAGTATCTCAGTACACTACTAGACTAGACTAGAACGAGGCGCTACAAAGGCTTCCGTCACTGCCTTATCTCGTGTGGCAAAGATGCCCGTATAATGCTGATGATCAAATTACATTGATTTCTACTAGAGACAAGAAAGAGGGCTGGATGTTCTCTTCGAAAAGAAGGAGTAGTTTTGATAGCATCCTTATATACAGCGCGTGACTATATCACCCAATTATCTATAGAGTAGATTACAGTGTTCCGGTATTTTGGGGGGCTTCACGCGTGTCATCAAGCTTAGACTTATTACAGGTACAGACAGCAGACTCCTAAAACCAACTTGAACCACATAAATAGCGGGTGTCAGTCACAATAACAAGACAGACAATAGAAAAGGTTATCAACTACATATAAAACGTACCAACTACAAAAAGGTACTCGTCTTTCAGTGTTTTAGGTAGCCCGGATCTGCACTAAGCCCTGGAGTTTTGCTCTGCCCCTTTTCTGGACCCAGCCGCCCCACTGGTACAATAGAAGTTCTGCTGAATTTGGAAGTCGGATGCGCTTCCCTCGTTGAGGATGGTTTCAACATTGAGTGCTTCTCGTCACTCTGGGGAAGAAGACCTGATTTCGACTTGGCTGGAAATGTCTTCTCCGACAATATATGCCCATGCAACCTAATTCAATCCTCGCTTTGTTAATTTGTGACCATAAGACAGTTGATTCTGAACAAGCTCCGCAATGAAAAGTTTATCGGGGGTATACATTACAACCCTTTATCTTCCTTTCTTGTCACGGTCTTATCCTAACAATGCCCCAATGCGAGCAAATCCGGCCTTTGTTGGTCAGTGAGAGATTTCGATTAAGCACAGGAGAAGAATAGGTTCGCCTGTCAGATATTGCAATACACAAACGATGTCGCAGGAATATGCACCTAATCACGCTAAGCACTCCGCATAGCGGCAGTTGTAGATACTGCATTACCTCTAGCAGTGACTGTCCCTTTAATAGAACTTGATTTCTGCAAGAATACTTTGTTCTCGTGAGGTAGTTTTGTTACAAAGGAGAAAGACTAGATTATCAAAACCCCGGTTCCCTCGCATTATATCCTGTGTTCAAAACACGCGACAAACTGCATATAAGCCCTCATACTCCACTGTAGCCTCGATGTAGATCAGAGTCAACTTGACCAGCCAATCTATATCTCGACCAGGATAAACTAACCGCGCTTTGTTCAAACAGAGTCATTATACTCCACCGAGAACCGCACTTCGAGAGCTTTCACCTCAATTGTCAGTTTCGCAAAACCGAGAATGGACGCTATTCCCGTCACCATCGTCGACACCGCCGCCGGAGTCTCGGAACTCCTGGACACTATCCTCGACCACTCCGCCGAACCACTCTACGTGGACCTCGAAGGCCAGAACCTCGGCCGATACGGTACCATCACCATTGTGACCATCCATCTAGAAGGCCTAAACAGAACCTTTGTAGTTGACGTCTATACTCTAGGTAAGGAAGCCTTCTCCACCTCCGCCACGACTGCGCCCGCCACCACTCTCAAGACGATCTTCGAGTCGGAGGCGCACACCAAGGTCTTCTTCGACCTGCGGAACGACTCCGATGCCCTATACATGCTGCACAACGTGCTCCTCCGGGGTGTCGAAGACGTGCAGCTCTTGAAGCTTGCCGCCCGCGGCTGTCGCGGCTGCGGCTACCTCCCCGGGCTGAAGGCCTGTGTGGAGGATAGCTGCGAATTGGGCCTTTCGCTGCAGCAAAAGGCGCAATGGGTCACGCGCAAGGAGGCGGAGAGGAAGACGTTCAACGCCGAGGGTGGCGATAAGGGCTTCACGATGCGGCCGCTGACGCCTGAGGCGGTCGCGTACTGCGCCGGGGATGTAGTGCTTTTGCCGCAGCTGCGGCGGGAGTATCTGGCCCGGTTGGATGGGTTCTGGTTATGGATGGTGGCCAGGGAGACGGCTGCCAGGCTGGAGGAATCGCAGCGGGACTGGTACAATCCCGATGATCACGAGCATGCGTTGGTCCCGTGGAATGTGGTCGAGTTTGAGGAAAGGCAGAAGGAGTATAAGGTGATGATGGGGCAGTGGCCCCTGGTGAGCCCGTGGGCGGCTATGGCAATGTTAACGGAAGAACGGTAGAGATATTGTTCTTTATTATAAATAAAAAAAATTTAATAGAAGGAGTTATTGAAGGTATCCTAGTAGCATGAACGGCAGCTGTCGAGGCGGATTGATATCCAAAACCCTAACACTACGGTCCTGCACCGGAGGCCCGTGGGATGATTCCCCATAGCCCGCCCCGGGAACCAACAGCTTCACATATTCCAGCCGGGAAACTTCTAGCCATTTGAGTGCAGCCTCGTACCTGGGGGCGAGCGTCTCGTGGAAATTGAGCAGGGCTGCAGAAGACGGGTGGTGTTTTTATTGCATCGTGAAGATGTCCCGCATCATGCCTGTACTATTCCTGCCCCGGTGATGTGGCTGACGCGAAGGCATGAGTCAGACTATATTCTTTAAACTCCACTTTTGACCCGTTCGAATATGATGCTAAGCTTAAGGGCAAATTTATCAGATAATGTAAGAAATCAAAGGCGCTGTAAGTAAATACCTTTGACGACCGAGGTATTAAGTATAGGCAGCCGAGACGGAGGACTAGCTTCCTGACCTTCTTTGAGGTCCGACATCGCAGGACTTTCGAGAGGTTGAGCCTTTACGCTGCGATAGTCCAGGTATCGAACAAGTTCACCAATCCGGAATGTAGTCCATAGCTCCAGGGATATTACCGAGCTGAAAAAAACAAAGAGAAGGGATAAATTCAGTACAAAGAAGACAAAAGCTATGAGTACAAATCGCATTTCACACTCCCTCAATCACAAGGGCCGTCGTTTGAGATGATCAAACCAGCAAAAAATCTATTTCAGGCACCGGGCGCTATGAAAAGGGCTTCCGAGGTCATGTGCAAGCGAGGCACTGTCGTGCTTCAGGTAGACCGGCTCCTGAGCACAGCTCGGCTCGCTGCGGATGTAGTGTTAGCCTGAGATGAGTCAAACATGAAAGAAGGGGGCGCTCAGCTACTCACCGATACAATTGGCATGTCATGCCAGGAATCAGCTCAACAGAATTGATGACGCCCGAAGGTCTGTACGCGGCAAAGTCAGCATAAAGATCCTCAGCCCAAGAGCAAGGTGTTCTTACGTCGTGATACAAGATCCGTCCCCATTGCTGTGGACGTACGGACCGAAAAAGTGATCATCGGTGAACAGAGCCGCCTGCCTGAATCTTAGTGTTTCCTTGTTAAGTCATTATCGAGGGAAGTTGGCTGACCTGAGTCGAGGAGTAAGCCAAGGCCGGAACAATGGCCACCAAGGCGTTGAACAGGAAGAGAGTGAACTTCATTATGATTGTTCGTGAGGTGTTTGTGATCTCGATGTTGCTTGCTATCGTAGTGTTGGTGCTTCTGATTTTGGTGATCGTGGTCGTGGTCGTGGTCGACGTTGTTATTCTGGTTTCTGGGTGATGAAGCTCATGGTCATGATTCTCATTTATAATCCCTTGAAGCAAGATTTGTTGAGACCAGTCGGTATTGTTGTTTGAGAGAAAGGTGCTTTGTTTTTGTATTGGTTTTGCCGACTGTAGGCGGAGGTATGCAAATCGCAATCTGGCTGCATACCGGTGTAAATCTGTGTGACATACGTATGTATGCCTAGACCTGAGGGATCAAGAGACTATGCTTGGCGCCGGGGGAGCTCAGGGGACTTTGCGCAGAACAGTTCTCTGGGAGTTTATGCACGCAGCATTCCGACCGGGATCGCCGATCCCCTTGATTCATGTACAGGCTATGCGGAACCAATCAGTTGGGTACTTCCCCGAGAACGTGGTACAAACATTCAGCATGGGTTTTAGGAGATATGGAGTTCGAGACCATGAACAGAAACGACGTGTGGGCATCCGATCGTGTTGTTTAATGTCGAGGAGGAGCTTCTCCTGCTGTTGTCCACCGCATGCATCCTGTGCCTCAGCGCAGCTACTACGGAAACCACCTCAAATTGCACATATTGGACAAGAGAGACTCTAGGAAACAAGGGATCGATCATGAAAGGGTGCAACTCAAGCTGAATATAAATTACATGAGATCCTCTCTTCAGGCATAGAACACACTATAGAGATACATGTCTAGTCAACGTATAGACAAGTACTGTATTGCTCGCCCATCACGACTGTTTCCATCCCGGGTCAAATAAGGTCCCTGCTCATTCTTTTGTAAGATCGACGTTTCGGCGGGTAATAAAGATACCGTGGAAGCCTGGAAACTCCAAGGATCAATTCTAGGCACTTTAGAAGTTGACAGAGGATTTGCTAGGTTCTTAGTGAGAATCGACCACGTATGAATGGGGCATATCATTGCATGATGATTATTCCCAACGGCGCGTAGCAACAGCGCGTCTAGTTCTCTATTGCCTGTACGAATCAGTATTATAGTGCCCTCACTGCACCCAGGGCCCTGGAAATATACATCAACGTCACATTTCTCCCTTTGTCTACAATTCGAGAAGCGACATCTACCATCATGATCCGGACAAAGCTCGTGCTCCTTGTCTCTTACTCATTGTTGCCTGTTAGTATACATCGCACAGCATCGGCAGCAAATAAAGCCAGCCATATACCACCAGAAGACGAGACATCAGGACGTGTACGGGAGGTGTAGGTGTCAGGAATGAAAGGGCAGCGCTACACCGCCCTCGGGGCAGAATTCCCGGCATCATCTCCGGACCATACTTTCACCGCGGCAATCGACCCACAGAGCTACACGGAGACAGGCCGATTGGCTAGCGCAGATCTGCCGCTGCTCTCCGCTTCCCTCGGATGTTGTGGAAGGCGGTTCTATTATTAGAAAGACCTCGCCTACGCCGCAACTGCCAAACCACACTTTCCTCGTAGATTGTCCAGATTCGCATCTTCAGAATCAGAATCATGATCACAATTGCACCACACCGGCTTACTGATGCCATTCTAAGGGGCCCCTGGGGGGGAAACCGCCCTTTTAACCGGGGCAATTCCGCCAAAATCATCTGAGCAGACACCATAACCCAGCGGATAGAGCAAAGATATACATAGTACTAGTATATACCAACGCACAGAAATAGCCCTTAAACTCATAGCCGGGTAGTCTATCTCCATATTCGGGGTAGCACCGCCCCAGGATCATCCAGCCAGTTCTCCATTACTCTCTTGATCCCCAGGTACTACGTACCATAGTACTATATATATCCCGCAGGTCACATGTTTCCATCCCTCCCTAACTTGACGCGTACCATGAAGTGGGACAATGTCCACACCCGGTGGTGGCAACCCCAGCACGTCAGCTACCCGCTTGCCGCGCAGCATCATACTAAACGACGCGTGCTATAAAAATCCCAACCACATTCACAATCACCACGAACCCCACCCCTAACCGGATTGTCGAGGATCTGACCCTGCCGATCCAACAATCCGTTTCACTTGGGGGATGATGATTCCTTTATCAGAAGATCAGAAGGAGCCTCCATATCCACAGCCTGAATCTAGTATCACGCCGTGTCGATCTTTCATTGAGGGTAGTTAGGCGATAGATGCTGAGTAAGCTGTGGTTAATGGCATCGTCATTATGCACCATTTACACCTATGGGATTCGAGTTTTTATGGCCCTATGACAGATTCTCCCCGGGCCCCACCACCGGAACAACTTTTCTGTGCGGCGCCAGGCGAGGCGACTTTCCCGCGGCCCTCCGGTTCTGCCGATCGCCGCCGCCCCCCCGGGGTCTGATCAACCCGGCCGGATTGTCCATTGAGGTTAAATTCTTGTGTTCTAGAAGGTCTGGACTTTTCTCCACATTTTCCATAGGAAGACCCGTGGAGGCTTTGCATGGGATCGGATTGGACTACTTATGCCTCTTGTGGAGTGCGATTATGTGGACGTGGACAAGACAATTGGAGTGGGTGAAAGTGTATTTATTCATCATTATTGGTTTTCGTCCCTTGCACAGCAAGGTCGACAATCTATCGGCAAGAACAGGTCTATAGGACGTGGACGCTCTAGGTGGTATCTTCTAACAACAGGACAAAACGCTAAGTGGACATGCGACCCCAGGACAGTAAGACAAAGGAGACAGAGAGACAGAGAAATAGGTGGAAAAGACTTTTGGCCGTGAGCTTGAAGGCCTGCTTCGTCATGGTGGAGTAGTGGAGTTGGTGGGAGAGGGGATAAGATGGTAGAAGTCTGCCCGGGACACTTCAAGAGGATCACTCGAGATCTCCATCGGAGGAGAGGCACCAGAAGCTGATGTACTGGTGGGGGAAATTGAGTGGTTCCTGTGGAGGAGTAGGTCTGAGGATCCGGTTCGACTGGATTGCCGATGCGGTCGAGATGGAAGAACCGGACACGGCGTGATTCCCTTGGTCCGGTGAAGACCAGTAATGGATGGTGATGGGAGGTTGAGCTTGCTTTGATATGATCAAGCATAGGTGAGGCCGGGTTCGACAGAGTGAAAATCAACAGGCGACAACCGGAACACCAGATTGAGACCAGTGGGCATTGCCATTGCGGCGAGAGAAGATCTTCTCCATGCACCGGCGACCCTTGTCGAGGAGGCTCTTCTTCTCGACGGGCTCCGGGGCCCATTTGATCGAGGGGGCCTTCTTCACTACGGTCGGCTTGACAGCAGCCGGCTTCATCGGGGTAGGCGCAGCCGAGGCCTTGGAGGCGCGGCGCGATCGACGGGGAATGGGAAGATCGTTGTCGAGGTCATCGTCACTGTCGCTGCCCATGGAGCGGATGTGGACGTGGATGTCGCGCTTGACAAGCTCCATGGACTTGTCATGGATGCGGGCGTGACCGAGGCACCGGCGCAGGTCGGGCTGCTTGGCGCTGCTTTCCTGTTCATATTTCTCGCCGGAAACAAGACAGAGGTGGAGATGGAGCGAGGATTTAGTCGCGAAGGGGGAGCGACGCTGAGGACGCACGGGCGGAGGGGTCGATTTGGTGAAGAGGAAAGACGAGGAGGTGTAGGACATGGTAGATGGATGGGAGTTTGACTTGACGGCGAGAGCGCGGTGGAAGGAGATTGAGCACACAGGCACTACTCCGTCACCCAAAGGGCGGGGAGAGTCAAGGTGAATGGGTTGGTGGTTTGGTTGGGGGGTGGGTAATGTAGAATTGCTTGGTTGTGTGAACCTCCTTCCTCGATGACAGCCGTCGTCCAGGGTCTATATAGTGAATTAGGGGCAGCAGCAAGACAGCCAGCTTGCGATAAGAGACGACAGCAGGTCATGGGATGAGCAAAAGTCTGCTTTCCGGACTCTAGAACTTCACCAAGTGGATCGGAGGTGGATCCAACCATCGATGGCCGACTGTTCCAGCCCTGCCAGGATCCATCAGGCCGGCAACCTCCCTCAACCGCCACTGCCCAACTGCAGGAATCACTCAGGAACCACTTCTGTGACAATGGATCATGAAACTATAATCCATGATGATAATGCACGGCCAGGGCAGCTTCCAATCAGCAGCCAGGCAACAGGCACTGGGTGGTTGATAACACCAAACCGCCAGACTTGCCAAACTGCCAGTAACCAGTGAGGGAATAAGGTTCTCTCGACCTGAGAGAGCAAGATGTCCGTGCATAGGCACGTGGGCCAGATAAGCGATTTCCTGATGCATTATTTGTTCATTTATTTTTGGGAGGAGGGGGGGGACAGTGGAACCCGGCGAGGGGAGTTTGTGGACTGGTGGTGGCTATGAAACCTGGAAGTCTCGAGCATCGACGCGACAGCTCGATCACCTCTTCGCCAACTTCACCTCAAGGTCCGCGACTCCACCGGTGAGGTGCTGACGTTCCCTCCCTGCTCTATTCTTCTGCCCCTCCCCCTCCATAGATGGTGTCATCAGCTGTGGCGATCTGACCGGCCAGATTGACAACTGAGTCACCGCTCTTCCTGCAACGAGTTTATTGACGCGATTTAGTGCGTAATTTGTTCTAACTTTCTGGTTCGAAAAGAGTCTTAGACCCAGTAATGGCGTCAGAGGACCATGGTCCATGCCACGATTTCCCATCGATAGTGTGAGTTGATGCATTATCGAAATTCGGGAAGGGGATGTCAATCCTCGGACCGGGCGGACCACGGATTTTCGGGTCCCGATAAGAAATGCTCTGCACCGGCAAAACAACTCACCAACAGCTGACTGCAGATCAACAGATCGACAAACTGTTTGTCTTTCCTGCAGGTGGTGTGTGGCTTGTGGCTTATAACTCGGTGAACCCCATCCTTCCGGCTTTGCAATCTATTGCTGCATCCTGCATCACTGCATCAACTTCACTTCCCATAGATTTCTGACTTTCACTCGGTCGCAAAGGTTTTTTTTCCTTTTCTTACCCACACACAAACACACACACACACATACACACACACTCTCCGCTTACTGTCGGCGTGGCACTGGTTATGTAATCTCCACACACAATAACTTAAGTTAGGTGGTGGTGACCCATTGCACCATCAACAATCGGTCTTGCACGGCGAGAACAACCCAGTCGAGCCAAATCTCCCGATAAAATGTCCAGGATTGCGCTGAGTGGAGGCAAGCTATAACCATGACTGGTCTGGCTTCTTCAGTGCCCCTCACCGAGTCATCATAAGCTCAACGCAGCGAGATTTTTTTTCTTGTTTTCTTTTTCTTTTTACTCCGTACATTGGCTTTTTCCGCGCGAAACTCTAACCCCCAAGGCGCAAGCAAAGCCAGCAAGCAAGCTATACGGAGTATAGGGTTACCGAGACGCCACACGCGGACCTTTTTTTTCGAATTTGGAGAAAGTAAATGACCGACGAGTCGATCAGGATCTAGAAGGTTTGAAAGTCTTCCCGGGGGAGGTCTTCCGGTCTCAGAGAGTGGGTTTCGCATGTGGTTTATTGATTGGCATGGCGAATCCGGATTGTGTGCGACTCGGACTCTGACTCGACTGTCAGTTAGTTTTGTTGCAAAAGTGCAAAGATCCGATTGAGATCCGAGCTTGAAGTCCGTAGTGTGTCTCCTGCCCCTGACTCCTTTTTTTTTTTTTTTTTTTTTTTTATAAACATGTGTGATGGATGGGTGCCCAATTACCGAGACCAGTGGCTCCGAGGCTACGGAGTAACTTGCGATCGGTCTGTCAACGGTCGGGATTTTACTTGCTCTACTGCACGTACCCATTCCCTACTGCGTAATGTGTATCGTTTATCTCCTTGCGCCTGCCTTGATTCTGGTGTTTCGAGTGGCGTTTCCTGGTCAGCTAGAGAACAGACATGGACCCTGAACCATTTCCGTGCGACCGGTCAGTCAGTCAGTCAGTCAATAGTCTTGCCCGACAGAGTTGACATTATGCAAGAAAAAGCCCCTCTGCAACTTCACATGACCCCCCCCCTGTGTGGATTAATTGCCATCTTGCATGCATATATAGAACCCTCTCCGTCCCTCTGCCCCTCCATCTCAAGGACAAAACCCTGACAATGCCAATCGCCCGCCAATGAGGAAGGAATCCCGAACCTCGTTGCCGGACCGAGATGTTTTGTCGTTCTCGGCATTGCAGTGCATGATAAGTTGATAACACTAGGCCCTATTCGGTGATCCCGGGGCAGTAAAAGGGTTCCGGTTGAGGCCGAGGGAGTGCGATCTATCGCTCCCTACGTACCCGTCGGGATGAGGGATGCTATCTTTGAAAAAGCAAACCTGAAGGATCAACGGTGACTGCTTATTGGTTAAAAGTGTAGATATCGATCGGCATTTCTCTGCACTGTCGGGGGATCAGTGCATTTCCCACAGATTGTCAAAGGTCCATGCTGCGGGATTGCCGAAGAAGAATTCCTCGAGTGACAGGTCTTCCTGGTTGAAGGGCGCCTATGGATTTGGCAGGAAGAATGTCAGTCGGGCAATTTTGGCAAGTTGACTGCGTGCTTTGCGCAGAAATAAACGTCTGTTTCGGGTACAATTGAGGGAGCAGCTTACGTGTGCTAAATCCGGGTCGAGCAGAGAAGCACCCGCCAGGTCCTCGGGTATATCAAGCTGATGATTGGGCGGGATTGACTATCGGACTGTTAGCAGCACATGGACCACTGCTTCAGTCGAATGACTCACCGAGACGAGTCGAAGCGGGAACAGAAGGTCCTTGGCCTTGCGCAAGTCCTCCTGATGCGCCAGCACGCGATGATACTGTCGCACTACCTCATGGATGGCCTCTTCCCTCGGCACCGGCGAGTGCGTGGGGCCGAGCCGTGAGCGTAGAAAGGCCGACGCGGCGGCGATGTACCAGTAGTGCGTGTACCCGGTGCCCAGGCGCGAGGTCTTTTCCTCAAGGAGGTGTAGGACGTGCTCGATGTGCTCAATGAAGGTGTGGCTGTTGGATTGCAGCAGGAGATTGTCTTGAGCCCATCAGTGAATGCTACTACCGCCAGAGACGGTCGGCACACTTACCGTGCAGGCTGATAGCGATGTACAGGTTGTGGCAAATGTTCAGCGCACTTTTGAAATAATCCTGGCGTAGGAGCAGCAGGAGATGGTTGCCGGCCTCGGTGAGCTGTCGGTGCTGTTCGATGATCCGAAAGGCCGCGTTGAAGCACACCATCCGCGAGAGCGAGTAGCGCGGGTTGGTGTCCGCCTGCCGCGCGAACGGCGCATGCAGCAGAATCAGAAAGTGTCGGAGCTGGATGTCGAGCAGTGCCCGCGTCAGGGTCGAGTCTCTCCCGGCTGTCCCGGGCGTGGCCTCATTCCAGCCCGGCAGTCTTTGTAGTTCCGTCATCACCTTCTCCTCGCCGCGGAGGACCTCTTCGTACACTGATTGCGCATGGATGTCGTTCACAAGGGAATTTAGGGAGGTGCGCAGCGCAAAGCTAGAGGCGGACACGCACAAGTACGAGCAACCAGTATACACCTGTCGGGGGTGGGAGGCCGGCAGCGACTCGGCATCCACCGCCAGCTCATCGTCCTCGATGTTCAGTGGCGGCACAGTGTCCGACGGCAAGGCGGCCGACGCTGACGGCATTCCCCGGTCCGTCGAGATCTGCAGCTCCAGTTCGAGGATTGTTGCCCAGAGTCGGCGGCGCATTTCGAGGTCAAACACCGAGACCCGGTCGCCGAGGATGGTTGGATCGCGGTGGAACCCGGCCGACATGGCCTCTCGGACCAGCGTCCCCGCCGCCGTCCATGTGCGCTTCTTCTTGACGACATTCACCATCTTCGCTACCAGCAGCAGGCAGCGGATTTGCCAGATCGCCAGGTAGATGTGCTTTTGACTCTGCTTGGGAAGCCAGGCCGCCGCGGCCTCGATCCACAGCGTCGCGCGTTCCCGCGCCATCGCACTGTCTCCGATATACTTCGGCTGCGCCGGGCTAGCGAGACAGCCCACGCACGCGAGGACAAGCATCAGGATGACGATGAAGGCCGGTCGGGCGGTCCGACTATCCTGGCGAAACGACTCGTACTCGTTCATGAAACTAGGATAGTGCAGGATCCGGTATATTTTCTCGAAAGTATCGAAGTAGAGACCAACATGCGCGTCCATCGTCTCCGGGTCCGGTAGCAGCCCGACCAGCTCCCATTCATGCTGCGGGAGCAGGTCCGTCCGCATGGCCTTCCACTTCACCTGCAGCACCTTCAGTTCGCGCTGCAGACCCGGCAGCGAAGTGCGCTGCATGATCGTCTCTTTCATAAACGACCTCAACTCCGGGAACTGCTCACATCCATCAGCTGATCGTCCACCGTTGCAACCCAAACCAAACCACGCCAAAGCACTCACATGAGAAATCAGACTGATCGGATTCGTGCTCCCGTAATAATGCGTCTTGAAATTCTGGCCTCGCATAGTCGTCGTCTGCACGCGCAGCCTCTCCCCGCCAGGCCCCTGCGGACCTGGTCCGTCATCCTCGGCATTACTCCGAATGGACGGCCGCTCTTCATTGACCCCCTTCGCAGAAGACAACGCGCCCCCAAGCAACTGCCAGCTCCCCGCATTTGGCGGCGCCGCCAGCGCAACCACGCTTCTATCTCGCGCAGACTCCTGGTGCTGCTGGTGCTGCTGGTACTGATGCTGCTCCGTACCCTCACCACCTGTAGCAGCCCGTACGGGGTCGTGATGCGGCACCGGCGGACTATGCAGCGTATACCCACTACTCTGCACCAAGAACGAACCCTCCTCTTCCCCTCCCCGGCCACGAACGCCTGGATACTCCTGGTAAGAACACGAGTCCGCCAGCCCGCCCTTCCGACATCGTCCGCACGCCGGCTGCGCGCGGTCGCATTTCAGCTTCCGGCGCCGGCAGTCGTAGCACGCGAGGGCCTTGCGTCTGCGTTTGGGCTTGTCCGAGCTCACCGGCCGAGGGGATTTCGAGATCCGAGATTGCGAGATTGATTGCATTGTGTTTGATGGTTCGGGTCGGGTGTAACTAAGGGGTTGGAAGTGAAAGGGCCTGTCAGATGTCCGACTCGTAGGTCCGAGACGGCGCTGGTGGGGGAAGGCGCGGGCATATTAATCTCGGGGTTAGTTGCCTCGGGGTTGAGGGGTTTGGTTGGCCTCGGGCGGGAGTTAGAGGTCTAATTGGTCTGTACTTATCAGATTGATTGATAACGTGCTATGGGGACGGGATGCATGCTTCTGATTGGATGGTAGGTCGGAGTTAGTACAGTGTTGTCACAGACTTAGAGGTCATGGGAGACGTGAACTCGACTCAGAGTATGGCTAGGAATTGTCTAGAATGAATATGTGTAGTGTGGTATGATTTTTTATCGATAAGAAAGCGGTATGCGAGGGATGTCTTTGTCGTGGTAAATTGGGTTTTGGCAACATGCCGGGTAAGCAGACAGGCCCAGTATACACTCTGCCGGAAGCTGGGTGTCCGGCTAACCGACACAATATAGCTAGGCGAGTCTTCGCTGCCTCGACGGCATTGACGCGTGACCCGAGCCTGTGTCTAAAGATTTATATTGAGCAGAGAGTCAAGATCAAAATCAATTGGCTCCAGATCGTGATAAGGATTGTACGCGACATCATCCGGCGCGAGTGGAATGGCCTCGAGTTGATCTGCTTCAGGATCGGGGTCGAAGCTTCCGGGGTGTTCTGCATGAGGATGAAAGCTCTGTAGAGACTGCTCGAGGTGCCCAACTCCCTTGCGTTTCTGATCCAAGCAAGCGCGCGCAAGCTGTCGGGCGGTCTTATATGCTTCTGTAGCCAAAGGGGAAGGAAGTCTTCGAGATATTTCTTCCAAAACCTCCATGGCCTTGGGCATAGTCTGCAGGCTGTCCGGAGTGTCCAGCGCAAGCAGCACGCACACGAACTGAAACGCAGTCCCCACTAGATTCCAGAAGGGCTGCCGAGTGCGCCTGCTGGTAAATTCGTCTACTGGCGCCAACGCTTCTGTACCCCTGGAGATGATGATATCGATCTGTTCTTGGCGAAAGTGATAATTAACCATCCGCAGCCTGCGGTATAAGCAGAAGATCAGATCGGCTTTCACCATGGTCAGAAAGCCATGTTCAACCTTGATCGAAGCCACATTCATTATCGCCGAGACCTGTTCTTCCACCCCTGCACCGGATCCACGTGATGGGCTGGTAACAGGCATGGCTTGGACCAAGGCACATAGCTGAGAGGTCAAGTCCGACTCGAGAGTGGCTGCAAAGTCTTCCTGGCGATGATATAGGGTGGCGTTCATCACCGATCTTCCGTAATCACAGGCGATCAAAACATGGAGGCATTCAGCAACATGCGCGGTCCGCTTGGGCCTATACAGCTTTCTTTGTCCCGTGTCCGGAGGGGCTGTGCCTGGCGCCAGAATGACATCTTCTGGCCCATACTGCAGCCCAGTTGCCTCGACTAGGTGCATCATCGTGCAACTGTTGAGCCACGCGAGATGAGGTCTGCTCGTGGAGCGGACGTACAGCGTGCGCAAGATGTACGCAGCCACTTGCTCAACGGTGGGTAATCGGCCCACGACGGAATCCTCGAGAATGCTTTTCGCGTGCTGCACCATCCACGGCTCCGTTTCCCTTTTCGGACGCTCTAGAGATGGAGACCGAAACAACAGCCCCAATGCAATGACACCACTGATCACCGCTTCAAAGCTGGGTCCCTGGGGCATGCCGTGCCAGTGGTCCTCTGCCCGCTGTCGGAGTTCCTCGGGATCCAGAAAGTTGAACAAAGGATGAAGAACTCGTATGTAATCATTGATGTATCGCAAGGCAAGATGCCAGTCGAGAGCCTCCGCAATCTGCAAGCTGACCATGGTCTCCGGCTCTGGTCTGACCCCAGCATTGTAACCGAACGAATGCAGCCGTGGCGGGTCAGGAGCCTGCACGCCCATTCCGACAATCAGGGGAAATGCGATCGACGACTGTTGCCCCATGAAACGCTGTTTCGATGGCTCCAGGATCCCGTGGGGAATCGACCCACCCGCCCTGTCATGGGGAGGCTCAGTCCAAGCATTGCGCCGTTCTTCTCCAGCGTCACCGCGAGCATTCTGCCTGACAGAGCCTGGTCGAGTCCCTGGACTTTTCCGCCTTGCAGAGACTGGTCGCGTCGATGCGGCATACTCACACGGATTCCTGGAGACTCTACAGATATTGCAGGGGAGATCCCCATCACATCTCGTCTTTCGCGCCCGACATTCGTTGCAGGCTTGATGCGATCGATGAGGTTCATAATCCCCGGATGAGTCCTCACTCGAGGAAGGCAAGTCTCTTCTGGCCCGCCTGGTCTTACCAATTAGCCAGTGCAACACGGTCCGACCGGGGAAACGACCTCACTTTCTGGGGTTGCTCTGGCCTAGATCGAAGCCCGGCTTCAACTTGCACGACCGGGACTGCTTCCAGTTGTCGTGCGTCTCCGGAGGGCACGTGTGAGGTTTGTACACCGCAACCCGGGGCTGCCCTTTCTTGGTGCCGATTCGGACTTCGTATTCGCACCGAAGATCTCTGCATTTGGTGACATGTCGTTTGGAGTCCGACTTGGTGACGCGAAAGGATTCATGGCGGTCGGCTGTGTGCCGGAGGAGTGTGTGACGCGCCTGAGTGATGTCGTCAAAGGTCTGGCCTACGTAGAACGGTGTTCTCTCTGCGACGCTGGGTTAAGACCATTAGGTACTCATCATTTTAGCGAGTATTGAATGCATCGGGAAAGTAACAGGGCATACGATTCGGTGGGTGGATCCATGTTTGGCGGTGGCTGTCGGATAGAATGTGGGCGTCGAAACGACGACAACTGGTCATGTTGAGGAGCAAAAGACGGGCATCCGAGCAAAAAAGACGGGGAAAGAGGACAAGTACGGAGTACAGAGTACGGAGTTAGTTGTGGGTCACGTTGGGAGAGGGACATGTCAGGTGATGAGTGGGTATACCGCATTGGGAAATTCTGGGCACTGGCTGGATTACTCTACATCGTAAATCTCGGTTGAGAACTATATCGGTCGATCATAGTCAATCATAGTCAGTCTATTCACTTAAGCTCATCAGTGATCGCAATCGTCAGGATGTCATCCGTATTCGACCCTGCCAAGGTGCAATGCAATCTACGAGCTAATTACACGCACCCACTATCACGAAGATGAGTGAGTAACCATGACCTAAATCCATTGTGATCTCACCGTGACGCCAGGAAACACGAGTCGACTGTGGTAAGCATAACACATTGGGTTTTAAAAGACATTCTCGCGCTGTCAGGAACACCCCTCACGGAGAATGAACAAATCTCCAATCAATACGACTGAAACAACTAACAACAGACACCCCAACTAATCGACCTGCAGAGTCTCCTCCTCAAGCAAGTATGTCTCGCAAACTATGCATCACCGCCGTCGATGGCCATACCGGCTTTCTCATCGCCGAGCTCATCATGACGGACGATAATTTTAAGAACGCGATCGGCTCCGTCATCGGCCTGACGCTGCACCCGGAAGCCCCCTCCTGCAAGGAACTCAGCAATCTCGGCGTCAAGATCGTCCCCCACAAGCCAGGTCGCCTGCGTGAAATGACGAAGACACTCCAGGAGACCGGGGCCGATGCCATGTGTTTGATTCCGCCCCCGCACCCGGACAAATTCGACATCACGTCGGAGCTGATTGAGGCGACGAAGCAAGCCGGGGTTGCCAACGTGTGCATGATCAGCTCCGCCGGCTGCGATCTCGCGGAGAGGGACAAACAGCCCAGACTGCGCGAGTTCATTGACCTGGAAGTTTTGTTCCTCGCCGCCAAGGGTGATCCCAATACATCCACCGGCCATTCTCCGGTTGTTATACGGTATGAGGCCCGGAATCCATTAGGCGGGAGATGTACTGAGTGACTGATGACGATGCAGACCTGGTTTCTACGCTGAAAACCTGCTGTTGTATTCTCGCCAAGCGCAGGAAGAAGGGCTTCTCCCGCTGCCTGTGGGCAAGGATCACAAGTTTGCACCGATCGCTCTCGGGGTAGGGCATTCTCTTGCTACCACCTCTCCCCGAGCAGTATGCTAACAACTCCTAGGATGTCGCCCAAGTGGCCGCGCATGTTCTGACCGGGGAGGGCAAGCACGGATTCAGTGACAAGCATCGCGGACAATTGATGGTACTAACCGGTATGTGGCACCGCGCGAAGCACCAGACACCCAACGTCTATTGAGCGTGCCTGGCTGATACTACTACGTAGGACCGATGCTTACCACTGGCGACGAGCTAGCCTCTGCAGCTAGCCAGGCACTAGGGGAGGAGCTGAAGTTTGAGAATATCTCAGAGTGGGTCTGCCCCAATCCTCCAGTGATCACCCTGTCCGAAGCTAACTCGAGCAATCACCCGACTGCAGAGCCGAGGCCAAAAAGGTTCTGCAAGCCCAGTCGGAAAGTGATCAGTCTGAGGTGCAGTATCTGCTGGAGTATTACTCCCTGGTGCGCGAGGGCAAGACCAACTACATTTCCACCACCGCTTTCCATGACGTCACGGGGGGTCATCCCCAAGAACCCCCGGATTTCTTCAAGGTCTACGCCCAGGAGTTTCACCGCAAGCGCACGAACAAGAGACGCAAGACCAGTGGAAGCAAATGAGATGGCTGCAAGCAGCGAAAGTCGTAGGATACGGAGGTTAGGTGCCGCAGAATTCTTCTCTGACGGAGAGCGGTGTAACTCGTATTGATGTCATTGATTGGGAGTCTGTCTTCGTGTTACTCCACAAACTGGTTTCTGTACCATAATTCTCCCAATGAAATAACGATGGCTACTTACCTTACTGTATGTTCGCCACTGGGATTGAAAATACATCACCCGTGATTGGTGCGCAGGTTGCGGGTGGTCAAGGTGTCAGGGTCTGATCACTTGTTCATTGTTCCACTGCGGAGTCAAGTTAGGATATCGCCAACCCTTCATCCCCAGTGGTCGGGGAAAAGATCCCGGGCTGGTCACCCACGCCAAGACAATGACCAGTGCATTAGTAACACGGTACGCCGCAGACGCAATAACAGCGCAGCCAGGCAATACAGGAGGGGTCATCGTGGGTTAATCATGACGTGACGTTCGTCCAACCATCACGAGGTGGATTAAGAACAGCTCACAGCTCGAAGAGAGAGGTTTAAATCTCAACATGTGTGCGGCGCAGAATCAAGTTGCTGCCTTCCCCGTCCAGTCATCTCCAGTATCGCGACAAACACCGGCCAAAATGACTTTGATTAGCGACGAAATCAAAAAGGACCACCGCGACCTCGAAGAGGCCTACAACCACATTCTGAACGCGACGACCGACGATGAGAAGCACCGGTGGCAGAACCAGTTCACCTGGGAACTGGCTCGCCACTCCATTGGCGAAGAACTCGTCGTCTACCCGGCTTTTGAGAAACATCTCAGTGATGGCAAAGCTATGGCCGACAAGGACAGGGCGGAACACAAGACTGTAAGGGAGCCATTCTGCCCCCCCTTGCCCCCCGGTCGAGCTTCTTCTAAGTGGATGAAAAGCTGACAGGTGGCTGTAGGTGAAAGACCAGCTAGAAAAGTTCCAGAATCTCAAGGCAAAGGATGCGGAGTTTGTTCCCACCATCAAAGGGCTCTGGGCGTCTCTCTCCGAGCACATTAAGGAGGAGGAAGAACATGACCTCGTCAAGCTCGAAGCGGCTCTAGACCAGGCACACTCGGAGAGCATGGTCGGCTCCTTCAAGCGTACCAAGATGTTCCTCCCAACTCGCAGTCACCCATCCGCGCCCGACAAACCCCCCTTCGAAACAGTAGCCGGACTGCTCGCGGCTCCGATGGACCATATCAGAGATTTGTTCAGGAAGTTCCCGCACGAGGCTTCGAGTGATATCCCACCATAATGGTGTCAAGAGGATTGTTCTTGGGGCTGTGTCGATATGGCGCTGATTGCAATTAGTTATAATGGATGGAGAATATGGAGTGTATGTTACTTATCTGGCCTCAGTGAACCAGAATGATATGCGTAATGAGCTTTGGAGAGTGATTATTCACGAAGCAGCCTGCAGCACCTGGGACTTTGTCTACAGTAAATTACCTGCAATATCAGACTATCAAGCCACATAAGGCAGTGACGATACCATAATAATCAGTAAGGGATGCGATATTTAAACCCACGGAGCTTAGAAATTTTCCGATTTTCTGTGGGGATTGCAGAGATGCGCTGTCATCGGGACGGACTTCAGGAGACCCTATTTTCATTTCGACGCCGTGAATCAGGCGCAATGCCCGGAGTTGACGGCATAGATTTGCCTGTTACAGCCTGCTTCGGCATGAAATTCCCAGAAGCAGACAAGTACAGAACGTAGCGGAGTAGTGAGACCGGAACTCCGATTACCGATTGCCGACGGGACGGCTATCCCCAATTATGCTCCCAAGCTCGGTTATGACACCGAGGAGATGCACTTGTTTGAACTGACAACAATTGCAATAGTTATAGGTTTCATCGCACAGAATGCCATGTGATTGGAGTATATCTCTTACCAAGCAGAACACTTGTATAGCTCAAGCAATTTTCCCTTCTCTTGGCGCAGATCGTAGCATAAGATGGGATGTTATACATAGTTACAGCTCCGTGGGCGGAGAAGTTATGCGCCAGAAAGCCCTGTGTCTCGCCGGTACTAATTTCCCATCTCCGCCCCTGGGCCCACTATGCAAGCTCAGGTTTTGCTGCCCTGAATCAGGCTCAGATGACATATATAAGCCCCGGTTCCACATGGCTTCATTCGACGTAAGGAGACAAAGTGTTTGGGAACAATTGAGCATTTCCCCACTACTAGCCTGGGGTCAAATCCCGCGAACTCTACGCCACGGTTAACGATAAACGACTGAGCGACGGGCTTGCAATAACTACCGAGCATAATGAGCGGGGCACAGGAGGAACGTTTAGAAAAGAGCAATGATGTTGAAGCCCGGGCTGGTTCCCTGGAGAAAGAGGAGCTACCCGATCCCTATATTGTGGATTGGGATGGACCCGATGACCCCAACTGTCCCATGAAGTGGCCCTGGTGGAAGAAGGTGCGACAGTTGGCAGGGATGGGAGTGAACAGTCTTCTCACGTAAGTGAACCTGTGGAATCATCTTATAGTGAATGAAGTCCAGCTGACGTGCACCATCTAGACCCTTGTCCTCATCGATGTTCTCCCCGGGCGAAGCAGACGTACTGGCTGAATTTCACAGTTCGAACACCACTCTGGGCTCCTTTGTGGTATCCATCTTCCTGCTCGGCTATGTGATTGGGCCCCTGGTGATTGCGCCGCTGTCAGAGATCTACGGGCGCTGTCGACTCTACCACATATGCAACACACTCTTCCTCATCTTCACGATCGCCTGCGCGGTAGCGCAAACTTTGCCGCAATTATTCGTCTTCCGATTCTTCGCTGGAGTCGCTGGGAGTTGTCCGATGACTCTGGGCTCGGGAACAGTTGCGGATCTGATTCCCAAGGAGAAACGTGCTGGAGTGATGGCTATCTGGGCTATGGGCCCCATTCTTGGACCGGTCATCGGTCCCATTGCCGGCTCATTCGTCTGCGCGAATATCGGCTGGCGCTGGGTCTTTTGGATCATCGCTATCGCGGTAGGGTCCTAGCTACTTCTGTATCATATGCGCTCGGTCTTGTCAGCTAATCTGCCACCCACAGACCGGAGTCATGCTCATCGGGACGCTCTTCTGCTACCGGGAGACCTACAGCGTGGTGCTCCTCGAACGCAAAGCCGACAAGCTACGCAAGGAAACCGGCAACGAGAAGTATCGATCCAAATTCGACCGCGGCGTCCCTCGCAAGGAGATTTTCCGACTGGCCGGTGTACGACCATTCAAGCTCCTGTTCCTGTCACCCATTGTCTTGTTAATGGCACTTTTCGGCGCGGTGTCCTACGGATACCTGTACCTCATGTTCACCACCATCACGTCGATTTTCGAAAAAGTGTACGGCTGGCGTCAGGAGCTGTGTGGCTTAGCCTACCTGGGCTTCGGCCTGGGTGCCATCTCTGGGCTGCAAGTCACAGGCTATGTCGGGAACCGCATCGCCGCATCGCATACGGCCCAAGGCCGCTTCGTGCCCGAATCGCGCCTGATTCCCTGCCTCTATGGATCCTGGCTTCTGCCCATCGGTTTATTCTGGTATGGGTGGTCGGCGGATAAGCATGTCCATTGGATCATGCCCATCATCGGCACTGGCATCTTTGGAGCGGGCCTGATGTGTGTCTTCGTATGTGCCCTTCCTCCTTTGCCGCCCTTCTCTCTCCCTGCTAACTGGTGGCGCAGCTGTGCATCAACACGTACCTTGTCGACTCTTACCTCCTGTACGCCGCATCCGTCACCGCCGCGAACGCGGTGTTACGTTCGCTGATCGGTGCGCTGCTTCCCCTGGCTGGTCCATCCATGTACAGCGCGCTGGGTCTGGGTTGGGGCAATTCTTTGCTGGCATTCATCGCGCTGCTCTTTTGCACGTTCCCGATATTCTACAGCCGATACGGAGCTAGGATTCGCACCTCCCCGAGATTTCAACTTAACCTTTAGCTTGGGTGGTGATAACGTGATAGACCCATCTCCTGTCCCTAATCAAAAGTTGTGATCTTCGAGAAGTATCTTTGATCCATTGTAGCTCATACGCGTAGACTGATTAAGACATACGACCATCAAGCTAGGGCTGAGACCCTAGTACCTTAGGTGCAGGACATGACCGAAATGTGCCTGATAGTCAGTCACCTTGTTTGTTATGAGTTCATCCGCAGGCACCGGTGCAATAATGTCCCACTCGGTCTAGATGAGCATGGGATAGAGCTGAGGATACACATCTCGTCCGAAGACTTTGCGCAAACTCCTCACTAACTAGAGTTTAAGCTGATATGTTTGTTCGTCACGAACTATTGGCTCCGTTGCGAGTTTCAGGAAAGACTGAGAGATTCGATGGAGGAATATTTGTCAGATGCTTACAGCCTGACGAATTGATGAGGGAAATGGGGGTTTTGATAAAAACAACTTTTCGCGATAATGAAAGAGACAATGAGAAGTTTACTCCAGTCGAACTTGATTGGGGCAATTGTCCCTCACGGAAACAGCACATAGTCATAGGGGAGATTATGCATTTCTGTCACGAGATAGAGTGACCCCACGTGTAGTAAAGGGCGTAGCGGTATGCGATAGCATTGACTTGGGATACAAACGATCTACAAAAAACAGCGAGAGTTCCTCAGGATGGGATTTTAATTCGCCAGATAGCTCAGTGGTTGCATCCTCGGACAGTGAAAAGTGCCCTGACCTTTCCCGTAGAGATTAACATGCTAGGGCTATCGCCCAGAACCCTTTAGGGTTGCGTATGGGCCCCATAACCTCGTTTCGCGATAGGGTATGCTTATAGCAGGCCTCAAAGCCCCTTCAAGGGGTGGCTATGATTGGATAATTTTGACTTGCATGTTTATAAACAAGGTTGGGTGTCTTAATGCTCACACACTTGGCATGTTAAGGTATTGACTTTTACTCGGATATGGTCAGGAGCAGTGTGGATAATTTCCAGCCTCCAGTCAATTATACTATGACCTAGACTACATAAGGACCTGATCGCATTGCAGCAATCTCCCGCATGAAGAACACGAACTCTCGACCATTTCACTCATCATACTGATGCTAACGAGTGTAGTTGGCCAGTCACAGTACGAGGGTTTGTCATGAATGAGTGCATGTCAGACTGACGTCTGATGCCAAGTCCCCCCCGTCCGCTTCCCCCCAACAACCAAAGACTTCCTCCCCATTACACATCAGACTGTCCAACAAGAACCCCGGGAGTCATCGCCCGGCTGATTTATCCAAGGGTTTCAATGCGTAACAAGCTTCTCGTGAAGAGCGGTGGTCTTCTGATCAAGGTATGACCCTTGTTGCCTGCCTTTTTGCGCAATGGTGACATGGGTCTCTCGTATACACTCCTGCGTAGACAGAAGCTGGGGATCTTCTTTAAAAGTCCCACGCACATCCTCATGCGTCTCAATTTTATCTTCAGACATTAGTTCAAGCTAGTACATTTCTTATCATCACAAACATGCTCACCACTCGATTCATGAAGCAATCCCTTCGGGGAAGCCTGTACAAAGCCGCACCCTCGACCATGGCCATTCCTCGACGTCAATTCGCAGCCACTGCCGTCCACAACACCAACATCTCTGAGATTATCACCAGTGACCATCGGGATCTCGAAGACGCATACAACCACATCAAGAACGCCGCAGACGCAGAGGAACGGGGGAAATGGCAGAATCAGTTCACCTGGGCCCTAGCCCGCCACTCGCTGGGCGAGGAGCTGGTGGTCTACCCCTCGATGGAGAAACATCTGAGTAACGGGACACAAATGGCGGACCACGATCGCATGGAGCACCAAGTCGTGAGTGTAACCCAGTTTCATCAAACTGGACTTCGCTGACAATGAATGATCCAATGCAGGTCAAAGAACTCCTGTACAAGTTCCAAGGTCTCGAGCCAAACGACCCTGAGTTCATTCCAGTGCTGGACAATCTCTGGGGTAACCTCGCCCAGCATATCAAAGAAGAGGAAGGAAAGGATCTGCCTGAGCTCGAAAAGTCGCTGGATGAGGGTGAGTCCCGGCAGATGGCGTCGTCGTTCCAGCGTACCAAGCAGTTCGTGCCAACGAGGAGTCATCCAAATGCCCCGAACAAGCCTCCCTTCGAGACGGTGGCGGGGTTGATGGCAGCCCCAATGGACAAGATCAAGGATCTGTTCAGGTCGTTCCCGGAGACTAAGGACCAAGCAACAAAATAATCGGGGGTGTTTGTTGAGATATATTGGAATGCATCTAACTTTCGGAAGGCACTGTTTTCTAGTATAGTGTACGTGATGTTCATGTATGACATGGCTTCGCCTAATTCATCATCGTATTTGTGTACTGAAGTTGAGGAGATTCTCCCAAGCTGAGACGAAACGCAAGCATTATTGAACCACTCCTCGGCATCTACATCAAGGATAGTAGTAAATACTCAGGCATTCTTCTCTCTCTACCCAATTCCTAGTATCGACGTCCTCAGCATACTTGGTCCAAGTAATGGGTTAGTATGCTTTTTCATCCGACAATGCCAGATTATGATTTCATCAGATAGAGTATGCAGTGCCCGGCTGATCAGATGTATCCAAAAAACAGGAAAATAGGACTTGAGCATAGACCCTAATTGGTCCCAAACTACGGAGTAGTGGGGGTGGAACATGAGGTGCAGAGGTGACTCTTACATTTTGGACAATGGATTCTCCATCTCTGCTACGGACTTTTCCAAGATGCAGAGATAAATCCGATTTTTGGGGATACCAGCTGCCCCATCTCCCCGGATTATGATGCTACAGATGATGGTGACATTTTGATACATTAATTAATTGCAGGTCCTGGTGAGAATACTTGCAATCAACAGCACTAGACAATTTGCTCTATTCGAAAGGTTAAAATACATGCCGATAATACCAGTCATCTCACGCCAAGGCCTTCGCTTTGATATGGTTTAATGCACCTCCAGCCAGTCACATCCTTTAACCACCGAAATGCCCTAGACGTCGAATAATACATGACAGCAGGGCAGGAGAGACTTGAATAGGCACTATTCCTCTTTAGGTGATGCTCGTCCCCGCACCCCCGGATGCTTAAGTAATCACACTGGTCGGGCCTCACCGGGAGCGGCATTGCTTGGCCACTTAATCTTGCATGATGGCGGCATTCCAGCCTGCTCAAACTGCGCCCGCGCAAAGGTAACTTGTGTTGATATTGATCGTTGCAACAATGAGATTCTCATCTCGCGCGAGTATGTTCATCTATCTCTGTGGTACTGTTGCTCATCATCATGGTTTCGTGAGCTGACTTCCACCAGCTACGCCGTGCGGTGCCATTCTCGTATCGAGTGGCTAGAAGAGCCAATTCTCCTACTAGATCGAGAATTTGATCTTTTCAAGGCACCTCCAATTGAGCAGTCGGTGTTTAGGACCACTGTCTCTCGCCGGACGCCATCGACCACCCCGGGTGGGAGTGCTGCCGCTCAACCACAGATGACACTGGGCAGTCGAGCAGCAGAAAGCGACCGTACGATTCCCTGCATGCAACTGACAGTGAGCATGTGCCACAGACGTCTGTTCAGAACTCTAGCACAGAGCGCGCGGATATCTCTGCTTCAACGTGCAGCAGACGTCAGACAAGCAAGCTGACCGTCGGCTGAAGCTCGCTCCCTAGCTTTGAATCTCGGGATGCTGTCGCTCTATTCCGACTCGAGACAGAAGTACTATCTGAGGTCCTCATCTGGCTTGTTCTTCACAAAATTGCTCGGGGCGGATAACCCTCTCTCCCCTGCCACGTTCACCTCGTCGTACGCGACGCAAGGCAATCAGATCCGCCGGGGCTTACAGGGCCCTTCGCCCGAGACATATTGTCTTTTATACAACAAACCTCGCAAGGTATGCTAGGTGGTGCAAGTCAAGCAGATCTTTCAGCAAAGCAGCACCTCCGCTAGCTTCTGAACTGAAACCTTCATCTTGATATAACAATCGTGCTGACCACGAACAGGATCTACCTTCTCCGGAGGAGGCAACTTATTTGATCAACATTTACCTGCAGGGGCTTCACGTCGATCACCCATTCCTGCCTGCCACCTCTTTATTCAATGCGTACCATGCACTCTGATTTTGTGAAGAACGCGGGCATCAGGGCAATTTGGATCCTAACGGTTGGCCCGAAGAGATGGAGCCATTTTCGTACACTGGCAAACTGGACAAAGTGGCGGAAGAAGGTGTGATCATCGTTTCCATTCTTGCCGCGACTCTCCACGTGTTCATGGTCCTATCCCTTGCGCCGACGATCCTCACTCGGAACAAGAATTGCGAGTATCCGCCCTCCCGGTTCCACGGGGCAACGCCTCTCAAATGGCCAACGGATTACACGGCAGAACGAGCCCGCATCAAAACGCGACTGGAACAACCGGTGCGCCCGACGAAGAGGATCCCGCCTTCCACCACCAGTGCAAGCTCCTCAAGCTCGAAGTCCTCTACCAGCCCTCCCAAGCATTCCCTTCTCCCACCAGGCCGCGCTCTTGAATTGCTACCACAGTTCACGGGACCGAATCCACATCTACAACCGGATCAACCGCCAGGAGACCCTCTACTACACATGGCGCAACATCCACGGGATCTGTTCGTCCGGCGCGATAATCATTCACTGCTTTTGGGCCTCGTCAGAGCTCCAGTCGGTCGTCCCCCTAAGGAGGCGCTGCAGTGTCTGCGCGGGTGCTCCAACCTGCTCAGCATCGGCGGACAGTGGTGGCTCTCGGTGCGCCACGGCAAGGAGAACTCCGACCGCATCGTCGACCTCACTGTCGAGCGGCTGAGCCAGAAGCACCATCACTCGTTTGCCGCCGGTGCGGCCGGTCAGACCGCGCTGCCTCAGTCGGATAGCCTCGCGGAGGGTGGCATCCGATTCCAACGGATGGAAATAGCAGCATGCACAAAGCGGTGGATAGTCTACTGGGGCTCGCGTCGGTCGCGTGCGATGGCCTCGGGCAGAACCTGGAGATGGCATCGCAGGATCCGATCATGGAGAGTTTCTTTAGCGAGTATTTGCAGGGGCATTGGAGTTGGGATTCGTTTTCAAGATCCTTGCATCCGATGCCTTAGATGCCTTAATCTCGGACCCCGAGAATTGGTGGTTAGTTTAGCTGCTGCTGCACAAATTAGCAAGGCTGGCGGCCCTTTGCACACCACGCGAGGTACGTAGCGTCCGTTTCCGGAGTACCTCCATAGGGTTGTTTGGCTTGGCTTGGGCGTAGCGGATAGGCTTGCAGAGCATAACGCCCTCGTAGAGATGGGAAAGCCCAACCAGTCCGGCGAGGACTTTGGATAGAGGGCAAACCGTCGCCAATCCTGGAAATTTCTGTTTTAGCCCGTGCTTTGGAGGCCATCGGGCAAACCCTGCATCACTGCAACTCACGTATCCGGTAAGAATTCAGATCTTGGCTAGGGTTGCAACTATCAAGGTTCTATTTTTCGCTCCACCGGGTGGGGAGGGGAGAGAAGTCAGGACGTTGGATCAGTTACTCCGGGTTGAGTTACGACCAGGCGGACGGTCAATCTCACCGATACTGTGTGGACTCTAAGTACTCCTACACTATAGATAGACAGACTACCTAAAGTGGATTTGAACCGGGAACTACACCCGGATTCCAGGTATCAAGTGACCAAACTCGACCCTTCAGAAAGATAAGGTCGTCTCAGGGGGGCAATTGGGGACTCCCTATTTCTCAGTCAAGAAAAGAGCTCCTTCTGCAAAGAGATTAGTCGAGCCCAGAACAGGATTTCCCACCCCCACGGGCATGAGTTAGAGTTCTACAGGACTGGAGTCATTGAGAGAGCGTAACTCGAAAAACGCCTGAGGGTGACAGCGGGGACTACAATGTAGGTAGTACAAGAGCACCGGGACATTTGCCACCGGCAATCATATCATTGCTGGCGGGAGATTGCAGCCCATGACATCTGGATTGCATGGGTAAGTCTCGAATTCTATATAAGAGAGACGATGATTCGCAAGGATAAGTTATCCGACCACCGCCCCCCCCCACCCACCTCCTCCCCCCCGGTTGCCAAGTATGAGTTAGTAGTACTTCGTACCCTTACTACCTACCAACCAATCCTTTTCCGTCAATTGCGTTCTGGATTCTTCCCCAAGCTTCATGAAAGTCATTGACCTTGCTTGCGTGCGCCCGTTTAGACTTACTTGCCAGTGAGGGACCCGCTCGGCCTACATTCCCCACTCTGGGAGATGAGTGAAGTCGTCTAGTCATCTATTCTCATCGAATCGCACCGAATTCGGCCATCAATGGCAGAGGGGGAAGTCCTCTGGGAGGACTGTAGATCGAACCCAAAGCTCTAGAAGAGTCCGTGGACACCCTCCCAGTGCATGACACCACATCGAGTGATGATCTCAATCACCTCCCCTTTCAAAGTTTTCCTACGCTTGGAGTTGATCTGTATCTTGCACTTCGGCCATAGCCATCCGAGAACATCTTATCGCCGGAAACGTCGACCGCCGGAGAAATTGTCCGCCTGCACTCAAACCAATCAGCCTGAGCGCTGAGGCATCCACACGGTCACACCGGAGGCAGGAAAGACAGGAGAGAAAAAAAAAAAAAAAAAAAAAAA